TTGCTCCCAGCATTGCCTACGATTCGAAGTCCCGCCCACTACCCTGGACCCCCAGCAACCCTGTCAAGCCGTTTCAGAGATACGGACCGACGATTGTTCCAGTCGGACCACCATCTTATTGACATTCTACTTTCTTTCTTTGGAGATATCATCTGTCTGCCCTAGATGTAGGGAAGTGGATGCCTACGAATAGGGGGGCTAGAGCCAGAGCGGATCACTGCGACATTTGTCGAAGCCGTGCGAACCAGACAAATGCGATAAATCTTCAAGAGGTTGATCTCTATCAGACGCATCCTGATCACATGGCTTGAGAGAAGGTTGAGTGTGTGGGTTGGGGTTATGGTGGTTGGCCCACCTCTCTCGGGTCTCCATATTTGCTATCCGCCTCCCGAGAAAGCATCATCCTCTTTCCTAGAACAATGCCGGCAAACACGTTCTCCGTTGCCAAAGATAGTCCCATGTGCAGCTGGTTGGGCAGCGTTACGGCTTGAATATGACTCCCCCAACCTACATTGTGTATCTAATCGAGCATAGGGGTGTAAACGTGAGATCACTGGCCAACGAAACGAGGTTCTCTTAGAATCGGTTTGGAATCATTGCTGGCGTAGGATGCCCAGATTTTCACTACTCCATACCTGGGCGGCCGGAATGACACTGCTTCACCCTCGTTCATGCTGGTTCGGAGGATTGAGGGGTGTGAAAAGTGACAGGTAACATCCTGTCTTCAGCCCATGCAACCTTCTGGATGACTCAACTTGCGAGTCTGACAAGCGATCCACGATTGTCCATGAAACCCTGATAATTTAGCAATTACCTAGGTTTCAAGCATCGAGCCAAGCGGGTAGAAATACGGAACATGGACTATGCTTTCGTGTAGAGGGACAAATCACTCTAAAAAAGCATCACTCTGAGCTACTTTTCAACATGGTAGTAGCCCACGTGCTCTGGGCTGCGGATTCTCCCGACGCAACTCCATTTTCGCCGCTCCCCCCTTCACTAGAGGGAATATTGGAGTAAGCCCCATGCTGGAGTCGCATCGAGTTTTTTGCAGCCTTTGCTTGATCCCTGATGCTCGCAGAAGCTCCTACCTCATCGAACCGTAAACAGAATGGATTGGGATGCCAAGAGCCTGGTGTCGTGTGCCATTGACGCGTATTGGGCTTGTTCAAGGGCATTTTGTTAGCGATCCCATCGGCATTTCAGCTTCTGATATTTGGGTGACTGCTACCTTACGATCAGAATTGTAGGATGGCATCAAGCCAATTACCCACTGAGCTCTCTTTTCGGGTTGCATTCACGAGTTACATCCACGGGTTGCAGCCCACCTCCCATACGGGTCAAGGAGCAGCACAAAAGCGGCGCCGCCATGCACACTTTACTAACCGTCTGTGATATTGTTCGGTGGTCACTAAGTGGACCGAACTAAGGATATGTATCATGTCATTATTGATTGGTTCCCACACGCGCCATGAGGTTGTCGTGTTTCGCGCCTATCCTCATTGTGTGATGAGCATGATCAGGTTGCTCAACGACGGCGGTGGGATCTTCTTGCATGCCTGCATGAGATACCGGTGGAAGGTGTGGAAGATTTACATGTGCTGCACGTGACCTTGTGTCGGCGAACCTGGGCTGATCTGAATCTCTGATTCCTGGTTCAGAGACACTCTCTTTCCCTTGTAACCCGGGACACAATGAACATTGGGGTTCTGTTGGTTTTCCATGTCTTACGGTTTGTGCCAAAGTGCTACCGGACAAGGGCCAATGAAGCCCCGGCTGAGGTAGCGTTGTGTGCGCAAGGCCGAAAAAACTTTTTATAGTATGGTCAAGAAGTTTTGGGCAGGCGAGCACGTGGGCTGACTATATCAAATAAAATGTTGCTGCACGGTTGCTGTCCACGCACTTGAACCCCTTTCTGCCCACCAGATACTTGGCACACTACGAGTGGGTTGATTGATGGATTGGTCATGCCGTTGACATCTTCGTACTCAAATTTCAGCAATCAAGAGTTGTGGTTGGGGCGAGCCGGCTTGGATAATAGATCTCCCCGGCAGCCTCAATTCTCCACCCATCGAGCTGGCTTTCCTGGAAAGGTCCTAATGCGGATATTGCTATGCACAAAACTACCTACCTTTGCGGTGGGGTGATCCGATGGGGACAGGTCTGCTGGAGTAATGTTAGTAGTCTCCTGATGGCCTGGTTCCCAGCAAAGCGTAAACGCTCCAGCCATCGATCGGCCTTGCAAAAAAAGATAAGGCGCCTCCCGTGAGTCTGGCGCCGAGAGCAAGCTGGCGGGCTGACGAGATGTCAGCTCGGTGTGCTGCTTGCGTGGGTGGTGATCTTGGAGCGGTTCCGTGTGCGTCTTCAGCGAGAGTGGTAGCGGGAAGTGGATTGATTGGACCTGGAGCTGCAGGGAATGTTCGAAAGAACCTGTGACGAAATAAGGGTCCCAGCTGTCGAGAAGCACAGGCACTGTCCCTGTACGATGCTGTAAAAGGGGCCATGAACCAAAGCTTGAGGGAGCAGATGGATGACGGCGGGCGCCGAAAGGCTAAGTCATTGGAGGCTAGCAGTACTTGTGGCACAGTGCGAATACATGCGTTGTCGGTTGGAGTAGGTAGACAATTGGCAGGGAGGGGCTCGTCGATTTGTGAAACTTGGCACATCAGTCTGTTGGCAGCTGGCCGATCGAATGATGACTCTGATGAGGAGTACATTAGTATTAGTCCATGACCGGAGAGTCGGGGCTGTTTTGTGTTTTGTCCGGCGCGAGGAGAGAGAAAGAATCACCACGCCGAAGCACGAGGCAGGAGCGAGGGCCGAGTGCAATTGGTGACAGGGCTTCCAGTGTCCGTGTAGGCGCGGTAGCCAGCGCCTGCTTCTAGTGCTAGCAGGCTACTCTATTATTATTACAACCAACGGAGGGAGTCTGTGCATACAGATGCAGATGCAGACGGTGATGCATCCTCTCTATTACTTACCTGCCTGGGTAGGTGCTAGCAGGCTGTACTACATTGACCGAGTGACACCTGCCATCCCATCTCACCAGCGCTGCGCTGTGGCAACGGACCTGGCTTGGTTTGTTCAGCTACGAAATCATTCTCCACCTACTCCAGGAGCCCCGCCCAATCCCATGGATTCAACTGAATCTCCCGTTTTCTTCTCTCGTGCTCCAGTGATGAGGAATGCAAAACCTCCCGTGGTCCAGGCCGCTGCACAACTAGCCTGACTGTTAATGACATGTTCTCACGCAACCAGGGTGGCTGGCTGTGAGTCTTGGATGAGCCCGCCAGACTCACTTGCTGCGGAGATGGTCCCTTCCAACCTGCGTGTGCCACAGCAGAGACTTGGAGATGATCAGTCATGCCCTAGTAGCCTTACGTATGCAGACAGCGACTGCCCAGTAGTAGATTGACAACGAATGCCAGGCGTGTGCAGTACGTCTGGAGGTATATGCACTCCAATCTGCGAGCCCCCCTGGCGGGGATACAGTCGTGCTACGCACAGGATGCACCAACAAGGAGCAGGATCTGCCGTGCTTTGCGTAATGGGTGTGGGATGGGCAAGGCTCTCCGGCAGGCTGGCAACCTTTGAACGATGCACATTCCCGCCTGGCGCGGTCCACACAGCTCGCTTTTGGTTTCGGAACGGACGAGGTCTGGAGGGCCTAGTCTCAAGCCACCGAGGAAGGACGGGTCTCAATAGCTCATTCTGGAGCGTGTCCTGATTTGAGAGCGAAAGGGAGCCCGCCAAGATTCATCAGTCGATTTCAGGACGGACAAGAGCGGTTTTTTCCTCCCTTGGACTGCTCATGCTTAGCTCGCGGGTCTTGTCCAGGACTATGACTGGGGTGCTCTCTGCCAGCAGTGGAGATCTGCGTCTAGAGATGAGTCGCACAGTTCTGCGGACTGTGGATGCGGCCGGCTTCCACGTGAATGTCCTCGCCAATACGAATAGGGGATTATCTACATACCTTTCTGCATCTGGCCGGACAATACGACACGTTGGGCAAGCTCGCACATATGTCGGATTTATCCGGGGAAAGACATGTTCCTGGCAGATTGAGACCAAGTGCTCGGTTCAGTCAATGGCTGACCTGGCAGCTGACCAGCTCCCCCACGGCGTCATCTGCAGCGCGAGACGAAAGCAGAAAGTTAACTTTGAGCTAGTGCTGAAGACGCGGGTGGTGACACCGCTGTGCAGGCTGCTTGGAGTGTCACTCAAAGCAGCCCTGGCGGCGCGCAGAGTTCGGGATGGGCCATGATTCTTGCTGTGATAAAACGAGCACCATCACAATTTGAGCCAAGGTCTCTGGTGGTACTTTGGCCTGTCCCAGACGCAGCGGTGGCGCTGGAGGGCGCTAAGCAAGCGGAAGTATCGGCGCCCAGGAGCCCTTATTTAGTGATGACTAACCGGAAACTGTGACTTTAATTTTCTGCCAGCTTGAACCTTGAGCACTGTGCCCGAGGTACCTGCCGCCCGCCGCAGTACTTGTTCGCCCTGCTGGAGCCTGGGCCCGGCCCCCAGCTCGCACCGCACCGCCCACTTTCCTGGCTGCATCCTTGCCGGCCCTCCCTTGGACCCCAGACACAAGCATCTCGTTCGCTTACATTGTCAATTTTCCCAGCACTCAGCCTGGCTATTTCATCCGTCACCTGCCTCCCTCCCCCACGTGTCTCAGATCAACATCTGCTGCCTCCGATCATTGAATATTAATACTCCCACGTATACATCGGACAACATGGCCTACCTCACCATTTGTTCTAGAGCCCGCCGCTGCCTCTTGTAGGCCCGAGCCCACGGTTCCCGTGCACGCGAGCAACTGCCATATTGTGTGGCCATTGCTCCTCTGAAGCCCTACCTCGACTCAACTCGATTGCTTTCACGACTTCACGACTTTGTTCCGTCACCCGAACCGTTGTTACTTCTTTGCTTCACCTACCCCGTTGCGTCCTGCTTCTAGCCTGTGCTAGGTGGTTGAACGCGCGACTCCCACCACGACCATGACACACATTGCCTTGCAACACCCCGACCATTTTCCTTATTTCGACGAGGATACCATGGCCTCCAAACGAAATTCCCGCGTCTTTACCGAAGAGACTTCTGCTCACGACCAGAACCGGTCCATGCCCCAACAGAAACAACAGACGTCAGCCTACCGATCGAGACGCAATTCTAGAAGCTCCAGCAAGGACGAGCTCTCTGCACGTGCCGAGACTATGGGGGACGCGGAACGCAACCGTACCCCCAGTGCCGACTCAGATCTGCCTCCGCGTTCGCATGGTGGTGTGGTAGCCACCGGCAAGGGCCTCTCTGCAGAGGTCCTGGCACCTGGAGATGTCAAGGGTAAGATGGTCCAGCGACTCTTATGACCTCACTCGTCCAATGACTGACAATTTGCCCCCTCTAGTGATTGTGGAATGCAAGGTTTCACGCAAGGAATCTGAGGATTTCTCATCGCCACCTCTTGCTGGGAGACCCAACAACTTTGGGATGGTCATTCCTGGTGTTTATCGTAGCAGTTATCCCAAGTCACAAGACTTTGAATATCTGCGGGGTCTGAAGCTGAAAACTCTGGTGTACGTCCCCCCCGTCGAGCGTGAACAACATTTATCCTAACGCGTTCATCTAGGACCCTGGTGAAGAAGGATGAGATTGATCAAGATCTCGTTTCCTTTGCTGCCAGCAACGACATCCACCAAGTCGTTTTCAACATGAAAGGCACCAAGAAGGAGTCCATCCCAATTCAAACGATGAAGTCCATCCTCGAGGTCGTTCTCGACCGCCGGAATCACCCTCTTTTGATTCACTGCAACCAGGGCAAGCACCGCACAGGCTGTGTGGTTGCTGTGGTGCGCAAGGTTGCAGGTTGGAACGCTTCCAGCGTCCTTGACGAGTACCGCGCCTTTGCTGAGCCCAAGATTCGCGAGTCCGATGTTGAGTACATACGAAATTTCGAGATTTCAGCATTGCATCCTCTGGCAACCGAGCACCATTCTCGATATACCCCCATCCAGGTCCGCAGTTTCCGCAGAACCTTGGTTTTCTCAACGATCATCATGCTCCTGTGGGTTGTGTCGGGGACTCAACTGCTCTCAACACGCAAGGAACTGACCAGCTGAGACGCGGGTTCCTTCGGTTGCCAGGCACTCTAGGCTTCTTACTTTTAATCGCATAGCACATCTTGGTGTTCCGGAAGCAAGAAGCATTGAGACCAAGGACTCTGCTTTGGGAGTGTCGCTCGACCCAACCACTCGGCGACAACTGTTCATACACCTCCCCACTAAATTGGCCAAATCAATCGCCAAGACCATGTATTATGTCGCATATCCAGGAGACGCATCAAGTGCTGAGACCGTCTCTGACAGTTGCTTTTTTTTTGTCACCCCAAGTTGGGGAAGGGAATTTGAGATTGAGATGTGAGCGGATTGGATAGTATTTTTTTACCCTTTGTTTTGTTCCATAGCCAGTACCATCATGACTGTCAGAATCCTGCTCTTCCGCACGCCCGTTCAGTCTGACTGTCAATCGTGATGATACTCGACGCCGATGGAACAGGACCAGCGTTCGCCTTCCAGATAAACCATCTGGGTGTTGAAATGTATTGGATGGCATGGAGAGGCAGGCATGCTCGGCCTGTCCATCACACTAATGGCTCCGTGTCATCCCCCCTCGACAACTTTCCTACCTTTCAATCCCCTTTCATGTCTAAACAATGGCGCATGGTGTTGATAGACTTGTTGTCGGGCATAGAGAAAATTTATGAAGTAGAGCGAGAAGGTTTTTGAAAGCGAATACTATACACATGAGCGCTGGCTCGTTCATGTCGTTACGCCGTCTGATCTGATTCCTCTGTCGTGACTATGATACAACGTAGTTCCCTGGTCCCCTTGCTGGGGCGTAGGGCAAATTTATATATTACACATTTTGGCCGCAGCCTAGCTAACCCGTAGTCCCCAACCCCAAGCGGCGCGGGGTTCGTCCTTCTGATAACCCTCTTCGGACACATCCCATTAGGGATTCGCGGTCAAGTTGAGAGCGAATCTCGTCAGCAAGGGTCGCACTTCACCCCTCAACGCCCCATCGATCCCTCTCTACCCTCTCCTCCTCGTCCTTCTCGTAGTCGCCGTGGAAGTACCTCCACCCTCCCGCGACGCAGTTGCCCGCGCCGAGGACGACGGCGCCGCCCCTGATGATGCCCCGCGGGGAGAGGAAGCGGGCTGTGACCCCGCCGGGCTGGCGGCGGCGGAGGGCCGTGAGGGCGTACAGCCCCGACCAGGCCGAGGAGATTCCCGCGGCGGCTGTGGGCTGCCCCGCCAGGTTGAGGTAGGTGGCCAGGAAGAGCGGCGGGGTGAAGAGGAGGAGGGCCAGGGGCTGGCGCGGGCGGGAGTGGAGGGCGATGGTGAGCATGGCCAGGGCGGAGGGGGGGACGGCGGATGCTTTTCGGATTTGTTAGTCTGCGGGGGATCGTACGTGCAGGGTTGATTCATCATGGGGCTTCTTTTTGTCTGGATTGTTATCCTGGACTTAGAAGAGGGTAGGAGAGTCATAATGGACGACTTCCTTCATGTGTGGAGGTGTGTGTACGTGTGTTGCTTTGTCTTTTTGAATTGCGGCTTGAAGATGGGGCAGTATGGCGATCAATGTCCAGAGGGGAGGGTGTATGAAGTGAATGAATTGGGCTGGCATGAATCATTCGATGCTATGAGATAGAGGGACGAGACTTACAGCCCCAGGCGTATAGGCTGTCCGTGAAGGACGCCTTGACTGGCGGTTCTTCTTCAGCCATGATGGCGACACAGGCGGTCTCTCAATCGCCGAGGGAACCGTGTACCAGGGTATCTAACTGTCCAGGCGAGCAGAGGCTCTGTAATTGGCGAGCGCGGAAGCACACGCGGAGCAGGATCGGGCGGCGGGTATGATGAAAAATTCAGGGCCGTAGCAAGATTGAGGCATGACGTTGTGATGCAGCCGTAGATGCTGACTCAGCAGCCTGAGATCAGTTCATCCCATTACGACTGCCAACTGCCACTGCCACGCGCATGGCCAGTATCCACAAACCTCACTTCACTTCATCATGTTCACTTAACTTGAGGCCGCCTAGGCTGTAAGCGTCCTCCTCCTCCTGCTGCTGGTCCTCCATCTCGATAGGCAGACCTCCGGGAGTGATGTCACTCTCCCCGAAGCCTATTTTGTGGCACGCGAGCATTCCACTACTTACATGCGCCGACAACCGAGAGGCTTAGCGGTTTGCGGACGGTGCTGATGGGCCTACGACACCGGCATTCGCGTGCCGGATCACTTGGGGCTGTTCATCACCATGCAGCGACCTCAATGGATCGACCGTTCAGCTGGGGTTGAAGACATGGCCCGTCTCTCTTGAGTCAGGCGCCAGCCATGCTTCGAGTCTCTCAACCCGTCTGCTACGCCCCTCCCTTGTTTCTACTTTCCTTCGGCCGATATCAATGGTGCCGCCGCGTGCCTTGTTGTGTAAATTACGCTGTAAATCAACGGGCTTCTCTGCGCGGCCTAGGCTATGTACGGTCTATGCTTCCCCAGCACAGATATCAGCCGGAGCTGGCCCCCACCGGCCCGGACCCCGGAATCCACGTTGTCCGTGTCCGCTGTGACATTTCGCCTCAAATGCCTTCAGCTGGTTTCGAGTGGCTTGATTCAGGCCCTCGCCATCGCAGTACGTCAATCTCGCGGGGAAGGGTAGGGGAACTCAGGGCATGAAAAGGGGGGGAATACGTCGTCGTATTTCTTCCGGTATTGTGGGAAATGAGTGCATGCAATGCACCTTTGAAAACCCCGAGTCACGCAGCCATATTATATTGGAAAACGTGGTGCTTGCCATATTAATATAATTTAGGTTGATCTCTTTGCTCCTGCACCTAGGCTGAGAAGGGCACTGCCGACTTGACCTGACCTGGGCAAGGTTTCCCACGCGGCAAATGGCAGTCGTCGGATTTTCGCGAGAGGCGAGCAGCTTGGTCTGCGTCGTCGTTGATTTCCCGGCCCCCCCGGTTGGGACTTTGGTTTCTGATTCTTGATTCTTTGGGGTGGGTGGTGCTCCAGTGCAAATTGTCCGCGCGGGCGTTATAATACCCACATCGCTCGATGCCCCTCGCGCTCCTCGAAGCAAATTAACCACAATTTTATTGGACCACGCCCCCCGATGTGTTTTTCTCTTGGTCAGCCACTGGGACATGTGCCGGGACCACCCATTCGCCGCGTTGCAGGTTTGCTATATCTGGATATTTCAGCGCCTGCATGCCTCTATTTGCCGCCCTGGCCGCTGGTACCCGCCCGTCTCGTTACCGAGCGGTGGGAGGCAGCATACTCTGATATGGGCCGCGTGGAGAGAGCCGTTAAGCAAGGGCCTTGCTCCGCGGTGACAGGCGCGGGCAATTGGGGAGTGAGGGTACTTCCTGGCACGGGTGCGTGCGTACTCTCCCGTACTTCCGTGCTCTATCCGGTAGGCTTAGACGGACAGGCACCTATACACGCATAGGAGTTTCAGCTCGGGTGATTTGGCCGTTTTGTATTTTTCTATGTACAGAGCCTGGTCATGGGAAATATGCTCGTGAAAAATGCGAAGATGGAGAAATAAAAACAGCAGTAATGTATACAACCCAGAAATATATCCCGCCTTCCAATGCAATGGCTAATACTCAAGATGAGAACCCTAAATAAAAAGAAATAAAAGGTACAAACAAAGTCTATGGATGCCCCCTCCCGAAAAAAAGAACCGTTTTTGTCTGTGACAAGAAGAAAGAAAAGAAGGGTTGTGAAAATACAAAAGCAACACCTAAAGGTTAGAAGAAGAAGGAGCTAAAATCGTTTGAAAAGAAAAGGAAAAGGAAAAAAAAAAAATTAGCATGCAGAACGCTGTGGTTGGACCGCGCATGCAGGCTGGTTTCCCAAGAAGTCGTCGTTCAAGTCGTTCCCAAATACCCTCCTTCACGGCCCAAAAAGAAGAAGCCCGTGAAACCCCCCTTTTGTTTTGTTTGTTTTCTCCGCCCGCGGTTTGAACCATGCCGTTTGAGTAGGGACACGGGCGGTGCTTCAGCTGGTGGTTTATAAATTTTGTACTTTTGTCGATTTCGCCCATACCAGGGCGGGTAGGTAGGTGTGAAGAGCTGGAGCCAAGGCGCACCAACTCTACCTTTCTTCCCCATCCCCCCGGTGGACCCATTGGTATCGAGGGTCTAACTGGCTCTGGTAGCCCGGCTGGTACGTGTAGGTGCTCATGGGCACGGCGTACCCCTGCCCGGAGGTTGCCAGATGTGGATGCCCCATGGCGGCCGCTGAGGCTTGTGGTGGTGGCACTTGCACGAAGCCTTGCTGGTGCCACGCCTGGTAGCTGTCGCTGTCATGGCGCGGAGCATCGTGGTGGTGGAATATCGGCGGTGAGGTCGCCGTCATCGCCTGGGCGTGGTAGGCGCCGCACGTCGCCAGGGTCGTCGTCGGGATGAAGCCCCCGGCGTACTGGGCGTCCGAGAGGGAGCCCAGGTCGAAGCTGTCCTCGGGCTGCAGCAGCGAGAAGTCGAGGCGGTCCAGCATGCGCTCCTGGTCGTACTCTGCTGGCGGCTGCAGCGGGGGTGTCGGTGTTGGCGCGGCGGGCCTAGCTGCCCTGGTTGACAGAGATGTTGTAGGCTGGTTTGGCGAGAGCTGGCTGCTTCTGCTGTGGGATCTACGCGGCGGCGGAGGAGGGTTGGACGGGGAGTCCTCCCTGGCTGCTGCTGCACCTTCGGTAGATCTGACGCGGTTCTTCTTGCCCCGGCGGGAGCCTCTGGAGCTGGACCGGGTGTACTCGCACTGGAGCTTGTTGGCTGCACACCGTTCGCAGCCGTCCTTCTCCCCACTGCATTTGAGCTGTCACATGTCAGCAACGTTGTTCTCTGTAGCCACGAGATCGATAGAGTGTTAAAGAGGGGGGTTTGAGAGGCCAATGGCTTGTATTGTGCTGGGGTGGGATGGGGACTTTGGTGCAGTTCGATTCTTCTTGAGCATCGATGGTACGGACACTTGGATAGAGGCAGACTGAAAGAGCAATATCCGGCGAGGTGGGACACATGACATGCATGTATATGGGCATACCTTCTTCTCGTGACAGCGGTTGCATGCCTGGTGCTGGCTTGATCGTGCTGTGATGGGGTCGAAGGCCTGACGCAGGTTCTGGACCTCGTCGGTCTCGGGGTCGTACTTCCACGTGCCAAACATGACCTCGTCCTTGTGTATGTCTGTATGTGGGTGTGGTTGTATGTAACTGTATGCGTGTGCTGCGAGAATGTCCAAGTGGGCGTCACTGAAACACACACACTCGCTGCTGTGTCTTGTGATGCTGGGTGATGTTCTGGAAACTCTGTTTCTCGCAGGGTATTACCATAGTTGGAGAGATCCGAGAGATTGTAGTCGGAGATGTGTGCTTCTTTAATATATAAAACTGGCCTGGATGGGGCAAAAACAAGACAGGTATTATATATACTACTGCAGGGAATATGGGATCGAAGAAACTTCACCCGTCGAATCCTCCACCACCGGCATGGGAGTGTAGGGGGGAGGGTCCCAACGCCCCGTGCCGCATGTATGGGATTTTCGGCATTACCAGAGCCCAGACCATCGTGCTTTTGGTCGTAGCAGCCGTTAGTTGAACGGTGCTGGCGTGCCATCAACGAAACCCGCGCGAAGAGGAGGGGACTGGAGGGGGGGGGNGGGCCAAGAACAAGATGGGAGGCCAAAGCACAGGGCCGGGGTGGGAGAGACGACACACGCCTGGCGTTTCCCAATCCCACACCCATCTCCACAAGCTAAGAATCAAGCTGGACTGAAGCTCTGGCAATGACGTGCCGGGATGTCTAGGATGGGGCGTCTTTTTGTGTAGGTAGGGGGAAGGGTGGGTGGCCAGGGTGAACATGACCCGCGAGAGAGGGACCGGATCGCCAAAGCCCGACACGGAAATCCCAACTGCCTGACATGCGGTAGCTACAGCATCAATAGGGCACGGCAAAGGCAAAGGCATGCAGCAGCACGAGCATGGGGAGCTATGCGAGTTGGGGTAAGAACTCAAGTCGGCGGGGGCCAGTCTTACCGGGGGCGTGCTGGGGGGCACGATGGATGTCTGTGGCAACATTGCAGATAAAAAAAGAGCCGCCTTGTCATACTGTCGCACATGCAACGCGAGAACGTGAGAAACCTGATGGAACAGTGGGAAGGCCTTGGGACTCTTCTCCCGGGGGTGGGGAGGCGAGCTAAAAGTGCACTACAGAGTCGATCTCATCAGGGTGCTTTTGACATCAATTGGGGGTCAACGTTGCGCTGGCTGGCTCGAGATAGCTACAGGGGCTTCGGCGTGTGTTTCTGTGCCATCACTCGCACTCCCGTCCCCATCCAGCGCCCGCTCAGGGCATCTCGACTAGGCATGAGGTACGGCAGTGCAGGAGATGGCAGATAGAGCTGGCCGGGTTGTAGGGCTACACATCTAGGGCCAGCTCTGGTGCAAGCTCAAGCACCGCAGCATCTGCCCGTTGAATCATACGTAGTTGGCGGGGTGGTTTCCGGCTCAGGGGCACGGGCACGGGAGAAGACTGCGATGGGACCATGGCCCTGGCCTGCATTGCTGTGGATAGACTGGAATGTCACAGGGCCCACAGCTGGTCGATTCTCCCAAGATTGATCCAGTGCAAGATTGGGCCGCCAGCCAGCCCACCCACGCCCAGCGTTGCATCTGCCTGCCCATGGAAACGGTGGTGGAATCTCCACGGAGGGTCTACGGGGCCCAGCAGCTCGGCAGCAGCAGGAGAAATCAAGCAGCGCAAGGTGCAGCTGCTGGCCGAGCACGCATGAGCGATGGGAAAACGTGGCTTGGGCTTCTCTCTTCGCCCGCAGGATGAACCGGACATTCTTCCCAGGTGGGCTTGTCTAGGCTGTAAACGGGCGACGCTGAGGTGAGGCGTGTTTCTGGCCAGTCGGAGCATCGCGCGAACAAAGTTACAGTCAACGTTACTTGGAGCTACAGCTAAAACTAGCTCCCATTGCACACAACACAACCATACATCTCACATTTCTCACGATGACTTGAGACTGTTGCTCTGCTGTCTCAGGTATTGTTTTTGCCTTTAATCGCCGACGTTAGCTGGCCACTCTATTAATTGGCATCGCAGCCTATTTTTGGTGTTTCTCCAATCCCGGGCTGCAGATTGTGGCGAGTCGATTCGGCATCGTCCCCATCGGTCGACAACCAGCGAGCCGCGGCATCTACTGGGCAAGCGTCCATCTACAATCCCGACCTCAATCCCGACTGAATGGGATAGGCTGCTGGGACGGGCAGACCCAGAATATTAGAGTGTGCTGCCTTGTTTCGCGATTGCGAGGGCTTCTGCCGGCGTGCGTGCGGGCTTGCAGGGCCTGCTCTAGCTAAAGTTGCCCTAGGCGACAGCGGGCTTTAGTGGTGTTCTTAGTGGCGACCAGTGGTACGACTCTGCACCTCGCATCCATGTCACTGGCCGTGTTCCATTGCCCGCTGCCCTTGTCCGTGCATCGAGTTGCAGTTGCAGTTAAGTTGGACTAGGATGCGTTGGGCAGAGCTAAACAGAGATCTCCCACCCCCAGCCAGGGCCTTGGGTTGCGGCCCCCATCCATCAGCCTTGCCTTGCCCTCAGCGCACGCGTGGCATGGCAGCACATCACATCGCAATCGTCCAGCCGGTTCCCCAATCTGCAGTGTTTCACCCCGGTTTCGAATTGTCCGAGGCGCTGGCTATTTTTGTACCCGTCGCCGACCTGCATGCATGCAGGGCAGCGCATGGGGCACACCCGCAACGACATCTGGGCGAGCGACAGCCGGCAGATGCTACTGTCCGGCACTTTATTGTTCCAGCCACGAACTACTGGCGTTGGCTATCTATGCTATCGCCGATCAGGTGGGTGGTGATGGTGTGCTGGTGGTGGGGACGGCTTGAGATTGGGGGAGCGCAGGGCAGGGCAAGCTCCTGGCGAGAGGAGCCGAGATTAAGATGGGATGCGGCTCGCTCACGCATTCGTCCATGACGGCTCTTGGCTCTCGTCTCTCAATCGATCGCGCGCCAGGTTCTTCTTGCGCGCTCTCCACCGTCATTCTATTGTGATGAGACCTTTGTGCAGAAGGCCCATAGCGTGCACGCCCATCGCCTCCGGCTTCTGCTAGCAAGGTGAGCATCGCTGTGGTTGGTTTATTTATAGCGCCGTCCCCTGTCGGCTGGCGGTCTCGGGTAGAGGCACCGCTGGGCTCAGTGGCCAACTGCCAGCCGGTGGACCCCCCCGCGACCACGCCATTCATGCCGCCAACTCCATGCCATCCGCAAATGACTCTGGACGCAGGCAGCTGGCAGCTCATTTGTCCGCGCTTGGATTCCATCTAGATCACAATCTCTTTTCGTCTCGTAACATGCCCAACCCGGCTAGCCGGCCTTCCCCATCTGGCTTGGCCCTCAACCAAAGATCCAAACTCGCTCGGCTCTTAGCCTCTACAGGTAGCAAAGGCGCGATCCTGTTCAACGATGCCGCTTGGCACTGTTCCTGCAAACCCCAGATATTGGCACTTCACCGCTCCGAACCCATGTTCATATTTGATTTACGTTGAGCCCGAGTCTTCACATGATTGATGCGATGCACTTGCTCCTCAACTCAAAGACATTGGTTTAAGCTCGCACAGACGACCGACCGGTCGGACCAATTCGCTGGGCTGAACCTGAACCCCGGCCCCAGCGTTTCCGCCACTCTAAATCTGGCCCATCGCAAGGCGAATCTTTAATCTATACTGCATATACAAATCGCGGAGGCGAATTCTATATTAATCAATTGGGTATTTTTTTTTTTAGACTTGTGTGTTATTTTGGACATGAGCCATATTCACTCACTAGCACAGAGGCAAATATGCCGCGCTGCAGCAACCAAAGGCTCTGGTTGCATCTCACGTTTGAAGTTGTACAGTGCAGCTTATTGCGAGTTGCGAGCGTCTAAGAGGCCAACTCAGAGAGCCACTCAGTTGGCGCCAAAAGGTCCCTCCACCCCACTTCGCCTTCGCCCAACCCGACTTACACCTCACACCAGGTTAAAAAAAGAAAGAAACAACGATAACAAACAAAATGGAATATATTAAATGGACGGGATTCAGAGAACAAGGAAGTTGTCATTGCCAATCCCGTTCGTCGAGGAAGGTTATGCCCATCACTGCACACTTGTCTTCAGCCCTATACCCAAACAAGTTGACGCCGAGGGGCAGCCAACATGGAATCTCTCTCCCAATCTCCCCATCATCGTCCCATCCCCGGCAGGCCTTGTCTGTTCAAGGACGTGGGTTGCGGAGCTTTGGAAGTTGCGGGAAGGAGGTAAGGAGAATCAACAGCACACACCCCCTTCCCCTTTATGCCATGTGGACTCCTATATCCAGTGAACGTTTTTACGCCTCTTGACCTCGAGGTGAGAGGCGTATTCACGGGCATCCCGCACGGGAACGTACTCGTCAAAGTTCTCTCGTGCCCCGTCCTTCCAGTGCACCACAACCTTGTTTCGTCTGCCGTCATGTGCCAGCCGATCCATGATTTCAGTGGCGCTGGCGTCCCTGGAAAGGGAAAGAGGGATCAGCCGTCCCCCGTATTCATCGCGATGCCTGCCTCGGGACCTGTCAGTTCTGTCCACGACGTTGATGGTCCAGCTCCCCTGCTCGGCCCTGCTCCTCCTTTTCGCCCTGCTGGCCGCGGGAGGACCACCACCACGCATGTCATTAATTAGTCTGTGCCGTCCAGATGGAACCTCGTGCGTGTTAGTGGGTTCACGGCGGCCGCCTGAAAGACTTTGATAGGTCGAGGCTGGGCCGTGGTTGGATGACTCCGGCGGCCGACCATCCTTTGGATCCTCGCCATGGCCAGGCCGCCCGCACCTTTGTCGTCTACTGCTCGCTATCGCCGACGCCGACGGGCGTGACGAATGGGGACAGCACTTGCATGGGCAGTTCTTTGAACTGTTGGCCGCGTATCCCCTTTTGTCACTTGGGGAGATGATCGTTCCGAAGGTGGAACTGTGAGGGGCTCTCGGAGGGCAGTCCTCCTCGGCGGAAGAATAAGAGTACCTCCGGTGGTTTGTATACTCCGTAGGCCTGTCGGCATATCTCGAGGCGTACCCATCCTTGCCGTGCTTCCCTTGGCGGCCAATCTCCCTGCTCCTTCGAAGGAAGTTCATCTTATCCTTGGAGGGGTCTTTTGTGGGCTAGGGCTGGGAACTTTTTGGTCTATATTGCCAACTACCGAATATCGAAGCTAGTCTCAGTATTAGGGGTCATGGGCGTCTGACTCGAGTCAACCTCGAGTCCTGTATAGTTTCATTTATATGATATATCGGCCACCCTGAAACGCTGGCCACTAGCAATCCAGACAATGAATGAGGGGAGAAAGGATCGCCTGTATGCATTGTACGCCGCTAGCGTGCATCGGGCCGGCGATAAAAGAAATTTGCCATTGTTTTCAGCTTTGTGAGTCCGATCGGTTTCAATTTTTGGGGCGTGGTCTTTGATTTCTGTTTTGTATTTCTGTTGCTACAAAGGGCCGTCTATGTTGTGGTTGAAGTCGGAGCTCAAGAGTGGACCCACCCAACGGTCAATGAAACCTTTAAGCGAACAACCCCAGAAAACAAACATGAATGCACGACAGATCTACAGAGTCAACAAACGAAATTATGCCTGTGATTAATGCATCTAAAACAGTTCTGTTGCATTTCAAACAGATCATCTGTAAGACTAGGGCGCTTCTTCCTTCCATCTTTTATCACAGACGGTGTGCGACATGATTTGTCTGAGAACAGGGTAGGTCTATTTAGAAGTGCTGCACAATCGAAGGTCTCGCTGTGGCTGGAATCGATGGATATGGAATTTCGGGGTCCTCTGACTGGTTGTGGGGGGCTTCTTTCGGGTTCTATTCTCCTTCCGCCTGGACAGCGGGCCGGAAAAAGGTTACAACGAGGTGGCGCAATCTGCCGAATCGGAGACTCGGGGTTGTTGTGGGTAAAGTTTGCCCCAAATTTGGGGTTTGGAAAGGCCAGCGTAGCGACAACGAAATTTGGAAACTTGCAAATCTTCCCTCCAAAACTCCCCCACCAGTCGCCCTCGCTGTCGCGTGCTGCTCGTCTTTCATCTTTTCGCTTCACCTCCCTGGAACTCTTCTGCGTACCTTTCTTTGTCAACAGGACTCTTCACAATGGCCTCCCTCAGCCCCCAGATGTACGTTTTCCTTGTCCTCCTGCCAAAGGTCCTCGCGTGTGCGCGTAATTCCAGGGCGCAACGTTGGCCACGGGGCACATGCCTGTGGCTTGCCAACCAAGAATGAGACTGACACTCCCACAGTACCAACCTGATCATCATGCTCGGCATGATGCAGGTGTCGAAGCGCATCCCCTTTGACGACCCCAACACCCTGAACATTGTCCGCGGCGTCTACCTCGCCAGCAACGTCATCATCGCCCTGCTCTACCTCTACGTCCAGGCTCAGATCAGCAAGAAGAATGGTACCCACACTCGCTTGATTGTAATTTAGCCCCTGCGTTTCTGCTTGAGTGCTGACCCTGGCCCTTTGTAGACATGACGACCCTCAAGTACGTCGAGCCCGCCCCTGTCGGCTCCAGCGAGGAGGGCAAGCTCGTGACCACCACGATCAAGGCCTACGACTCCCAGCAGCTCAAGAGCCTGTTCCGCGGCCAGCTCATGGGCGTCGGCATGATGGCGTTCATGCACATCTACCTCAAGTACACCAACCCCCTCCTGATCCAGAGCATCATCCCCCTCAAGAGCGCCTTCGAGAGCAACCTGGTCAAGATCCACGTCTTCGGCACCCCCGCCGCCGGCGACCTCAAGCGGCCCTTCAAGCAGCCCGCCGGCTTCATGAGCGCCATGCAGGGCGGTGCTGCTCAGAGCGACAAGAAGGCCGTCGAGGCCGCCGAGCGCTCCGGCCGCGGTGGCGCCAAGGAGGAGTAAGGGAGTGGATGTCGAGTCTGCGCGGGCACTGTATTTTATCATGGGTTCGCTTGGCTGTTGGGCTTAGATGCGCTGTAATGGATGGATTCTGCATCTGATACTTTAATACACCACCGTTACTAGAGGAAGTGTTTTCGGTGATGTCATGTACTTTGTATGGAAGCATGGAATATAGAGTTGAGACAAGAGTCACATGTCATTTGTTTGATTTGACTATTCTTGGCATGAGAAGCATGTGTATTGTGAAAAGTCTGCATACTGGAAGGATGTGATATATTCATGATTCAGTTTGTAGTGTCGATGTATCGCGAGTAGTTATTTGCAACCAGGGACGCCAATTGGGTATATCACGCGCGTGTTGGGTAATTGGTTAATTAATTGACAAGTAATAACACAGTAGCGGTCTGAGGTGACTGGTTATTGTCTGTTATTTGGCAATTGATGATCTTGACAACTTCCATTTACTTCTAGGCTAGGCGGGAACAGACTTCTCTCCACCTGGCCCCGACCGTCTAAACTTTAGATATGGTTGATTAACAGTGAATGCCGACGTGCATGTATCGTCAATCTATCTGTCGGTGCAGGTACCGAGTGACGACCGGAGAACGGGATTTCCGTTCATAAGCAGATGCAGCGACAACGATACAGGCCGTCACCCCGGGCCAATCATGGGTGAGCGCGGATGAAGCTCCAAGGGGGATAGCGGGAGGGAGTGAGCAAGCGACACCCTCAAACCCTACAGTGCCATGGATCATGGATTGATATTGGGGGGTGGACGATTCACAGGCGCAACGATAGCCGGATGGAGCCTGAACTCGTCTGGTTTTTCTGCTTTGATTCTAAAATTCCAAGCTCGTGCCAAAATAGGCCTGGCAACGTTTGGACGTGTATCTAGCCTGGGATCCGCTGTCGTGCAGTCTGTCCATAGCTCGGCTCATATGCCCTCAAGAGGGAAATTCGGTGGTGCTCTTGTGACATCAGTGAAGCAAAAGGGGTGGGTGGGTTGGTTGCTGTGGAGGGAGACGAGGATCAAGAGCTAGACAAGGGGGGGCGTGTGAAGTTTTTGAGGCCAAGGCTGAAGCTCTAGAGAATAAAGATGGAATGCTACCAATGTCGTGGGCAAGAATCATCACCATCAGCATGTCACTTTAGGGGAATCAATTGGGAAGGGCAGTTCAGGTGTGGTGCCTGTAATTAGCACCTGAGGCACTAAGATATGCGCGCATACGGGTGGATAACGCGGGATTAGCGCTGCGTCGACGGTGATCCAATCCCTCTGCGCCCTCCGGAAACTGCCGCCACCAACGACCGTGAAGAACGTCGAGTGCCGTGAATGCAATCTGCGACCCTCCATCCCAAGCAACGGTCGGACAACTGAGCCGACAGCGAGACGACGACGGTGACGAGCGCCGGTCAGCGAGGGGACGGGGTTCGATCCGATCTGCCCTGTGTTTCGTCTATTCCTGTCTGACCTGGAGTCGCCCTGGCCATGACGGAAAAGCACTCCACGCCGCCACCGAGTGCTTCTAAATCGGCATCACAGGTGGCCTCGCCACCAACACCCGAGCTCGCCAGACGCATCGTGAGTCCACCCTGCAGTTTATTTTTAATCTCTCCAAGAGTTCCTTTGCTTGTCGCCTCACCGATCTGACCTCGCATGCAGGAGGAGAACAGACTACGGGCCAAGGCGATTCGGGACCAGCGAGATGCAGAGAGGCGTGCAGCTGATGGCGGGACCCCGGCGATCCCCAAGACGGCCTCGGGCTTTGTAGCGACCGACAGCGTGCAAATCGTCGGCGGCAAGCGTTCGATAGACGCCATCTCGAAAGACTCGGGGACCAACCGGGATGGGCGCAACAACGACGATGGGGCCCTGCGGCCCGCCCGCAAGTTCACCAAGTTTGTCGACTACAACATGAGCTCCATGACCGACACCAAGGGCGGCTTCCTGTCGATCGAGGACGACCCGCACAACTACGCGCTGGGCAGCGCTGCCGCCGCGAAGGCCGGGCAGGCCGAGGCGGAGCAGCGGCCCAAGCACATGACGGCCCAGGAGTGGGAGCGCATGCAGCTCATCAACCGACTCAAGAGGAACAAGACAGGGCCCTTTGAGCCGGCGCTCAGTGCGCACGACGACGAGTCGAAGCGGAAGCGGTGTCGGGAGTGCCGCAGCATCGAGATCGACTTTGTCTGGGATGAGGTCTTCCACGTCGCCGTGTGCAACCAGTGCAAGGACAAGTACCCGGAGAAGTACTCGCTCCTGACCAAGACCGAGTGCAAGGAGGACTACCTCCTCACCGACCGTGAGTATTCCTTGGTTATTGTAGGCTGAATGTAGAAGCTAACTTGGTGGTAGCTGAACTGCGCGACCCGGAGCTGCTTCCGCATCTGAACAAACCGAACCCTCACAAGTCCCACTGGCACGACATGATGCTCTTCCTTCGCTTCCAGGTGGAGGAATATGCCCTCAAGACCAAGTGGGGTTCCTCCGAGGCCCTGGACGCCGAGTACGAGCGTCGCGAGACGCAGAAGAAAGCGCGGAAGGAGTCCAAGTTCCGCGAGAAGCTCATGGATTTGAAGCGCAAGACGCGCACGGATGCGTTTCGCCGCCAGGCGGGCAACCTGTCGCGGACGGGGGCCAGCAAGTTTGGCGATGCCGTGGGGAGCGGCGGGAAGCATGTCCATGACTGGGGTCGGGCCGTGCTCAACGAGGAGGGCATGACGGTCAAGACGTGCAACGAGTGCGGGATGGAGGTTGAGGAGTTGGAGTTTTAGTCGGTCATTTTGTTACTTTGGGAAGGTGTTTGGGTTCAGGTACGGTTATACCCCTTTATTGATGTTTACGAGACGAGTCTTTGCTACAAGACTAGGACTTGACAGGTTACGAACTCGGATACTTATAGATGGAAAATATCAAGTGCAGGATTTTTCAAGCATGCCATATGCGACTGGAACATGCGAGGGGACAAGCCTCTGACTGAGACTATTCTATTCTCACATCTGTCTAAGGCTGAACAGCTATCTACTTATCCTTTTTTTCCCGCTTTCCTTTATTAACCTTATAAACTAAGGAAGGGAAAGGGCTGTTGTGGACGATGGCAGTATGTGGGCTATATGGTTCATATAATCCTAAAAAATCAGATGAGTAGATAGTTCTATTTAGCCTTGCATGTAAAGGGGGAATAGAATAGCTTCAGGCAGAGGCCACCCCCCTCTCGCACGTTTTAATCACATATGGCATGTTTGAAATGAAATAAGAAGTGTATCATTCTATGATGTATGCCACATGGGCTATGCATATCCCTAGGTCCCAACCCGGGTACCTCCATGAAGTCGTGAATTCTGGTCCCTTTTTATTTTATATCTATATTACTTGTTTCTGCCGTTATTAGGGGTTTACGACAGCTCGAATCTTCTGCGGTTGACCTCATCCCGCCCCTTGTCGGTCACGGTGGCGCGCTCGCTGGTCACGGTCCTCTCGTCGCCAACGGGCAGGATGACGGTGAGGGTTTTCCAGGGGGCGACGAAGCCGGAGGACTCGTTGCGCTCGAACTTGACCTTGACCTCCTCGTCCGACGCGGCGTAGGAGATCTTGTACGTCGACACCTTTTGTGCCTCGGCTGTGCAGACGCCGTCGTCCTCGTACCAGGTGTTCTCGAACCACTTGCCGCTGCCCGAGCCGGCGGGGGCGGGGAAGATCTCGACGCCGCGGTAGTCGTCGAGGGGCAGCTCGGCCGGGTTCTCCGTCTCGCCGGCGGAGAGCACCTGCACGTCGCGGCCGACCTGGATGGCACCGCCGACCTTTGCGAGGAGGGGGATACCGGAGCCGTGCCACTCGGCGTCGATGGTGGCCCACTGGCCGGCGGGGAGGTGCTGGAAGGGGGCGTTGAGGTTGAGGAAGCCCTCGTCGGCGTCCGAGGCCCGCGGCAGGTAGACGTCGGCCTTGCTGACGCCCGGCTCGTAGACGCCGCCGACGAGGAGGGCGTCGCCGAGCCAGTACTGCTCCTCGCCGTCGGTGACCCGCTTGGCCCAGACGTTGGGATCCGACTCGTAGCCCCAGCCGGTCCAGCGCTGCGGGGGCAGGGCCGACTTGTGGCTCTGCAGGGCGGCCGAGTAGATGTAGGGCATGATGGCGTAGCGGCGCTTGATGGCCTTGCGGACGTGCGGGGTGATGGCCGGGTACATCCAGGGCTCGATGACGTCGCCGACCGAGTTGTCGTTGATGGTCTTGAAGCAGTTGATGGCGAAGCGGGGGGAGTTGCAGCCGAGCTGGACCCAGCGGAGGAGGAGCTCGGGGGTCGGCTGGGGACCCTCGAAGCCGCCGATGTCGTGGCCGTAGCACTGCATCAGGGAGATTCCCGCGGTGAGGGACATGGCGTTGGCGCCCTTCATGTTCTCCCAGCTGGTGACGTTGTCGCCGCTCCACGTGCTGGCGGCGTAGCGGAAGGTTCCTGGGGTGCCGGCGCGGGTCAGGACGAACGGACGCTCGTTGGGCTTGGCGGCCAGCATGCCGTCGTGGGAGGCCTTGCCGTGAAGTTCGGTGTTGATGTGACGTCCCCAGAAACCGACTTGAGGGCGGTCCTTGGCGGTCTCAGGGACCTTGATGAGAGGGTTGTCTAGGCGGCACTCCCAGTCATCGTCGACGATTGTGTATCTATAAAGTGTTAGCTAGAGAACGTGGATAGAGATGAAGAAGCGGATAGAGAGAAGACGTACTCGTTGTTATCGTTCCAGAGGCAGCACACGCCCTCCTTGACGAGCTGCGTCGTGCCCTCGCGCCACCACTTGAAGCCAGCTTCAGAGGTGAAGTCGATATGGCCGCCAACGTCGCTCTCACCACCGCCGGCACTCCAGAGACGGGTAGCTCCAGCCTCGCCGGTGTGGGGGTCCTTGAAGAGCGCGCCAGCCTCCTTGAGCCTCTGGTAGTCGGGGTGGCTGGACAGGATGTAGGGCTTGATGTTGGCGATGATGCGGATGCCCTGCTTGCGGTACTCCTTGAGGAAGGCCTCCGGGTCGGGGAAGCGGTACCGGTTCCAGTTGAAGACGTGGCGGACCTTGGGCTCCTCGTGGGAGATGGAGTAGCCCGAGGACAGCTGGTGGGCGGAGCAGGGGATGTCGTTCTCCTTGAGGATGCGGGCCACCTCGAGGAGGGCCTCGGACGCCTTGGGCTCGTCGAGCTGGGCGTACTTGTAGCCGCCGGAGAGGTAGCCAAAGGCCCAGCGGGGGACGAGGAGGGGGAAGCCGGCCAGCTCGGCGTACGAGGTGACCACGTCCTGCAGGGTCTTGCCCACGATCGTGTACTCTTCTAGACCGCCGTAGTCTTGTCTCAGGACCGAGTAGAACCCCCACATGCCGTCCATCTCGCAGCCGATGGAGTACATGCCTCGGGAGTGGGAGGTAGAGAAAGTAGCCACGCACCCGTTGGGGGTGGCGTTGATGAGCAGGGGAATGTGCTTGTACAGAGGATCAGTACGGTACGAGTCGTAGCCGAAGCTGTCTGTGGCATTGAGCTCGAAACGGCGGCCAGCCAGGTTCATGGGAGCTGCCTTCTCACCCAGACCGACGTAGAGGGTGTTGCGGTTGTAGCGGGTGTAGTGAGCGACACCGTCGCCATTGACCGTGTATGAACGGTGAGGCACATCCTGGCGGAGGGGAGCGCCGCTGGAGCCCTTGCGGGAGATGGTGACCAGAGGGGTGGACGACGTCTCCCAGTCGACCTTGGCCTCGAAGTCTCCAGCATCAATGGTCTTGATGGAGCCGTTGGTGGTGCTGGTCAACTCGGCGCCAGACAGGTCCTTTGTGGGAATGGGGATGTTGGGGTACGGGGCAGTGGGATATCTGCTGGAGGTGAATCTTGTGCGGAAGATGTTGGGACGGACAGCCTCGAACTGGAATGTGAAGTCCAAACCCTGGTCGTCGCTGGTGAGCGTCACCGAGGGAGCGGCAGCCTCGCTCGCGGCGGTGGCAGACACCCACTTGGCAGGGATGCGTTCGCGCTGAGGAGCCATCTTTTGTGATATGGGAAGATGAAAAGAGGGTGATGAATGACACGAGAGGAAACGCTCAAGCTGAGTGTACGGCCCTTATGAACGTCGATGAGACTTGACTTGCTTCTTCTTGTGAGTGAGATGCATACAATTCACGACGGCTTAAACGATGTATAGTCCGGCAGCGTCCCGAAGAGCGGACGGAAATCAGCCTGCCAACAGCGACACGAGCGAATTCTTCTGGCCTTCCATGTGACCTCGTTTCCCCGAGCAGCCCCTCACGCCTCCCCACAAAGCTCTGGGTTCTCCGCGCGAGCTGAGACTGACGTCTTGCGAGGCCATTCGTCCTCGTCCCATCCGTGATGCGTGTATGGTTGCAGTGGTGGGCTGGGGTCGGCAACAAGCCAGAATCTGCGACGAGGTGGCCCACGGTTCGATGACCAGGGGCGTGATTGGTTGCTTGGCGTTGAGGCTCGGCTCGACGTTGGGAATCTCCGACCCGGAACCGGATGAAGCGGCTCATGTACCGAATTCTCCGGCACTTGTCTGTAGCCCTGCCTCTAGACTCCCCTGGATGCGGCTCGAGCGAGTCATTGATTCCACTGTAGTCCAGGGCCCCTTCTCTCCAGAGTTTGCTGAACCATGACCGAGGTCCCCAGACGGAGTCTCCAGCAATTTTACTGTGTCAATGCTACATTCTCCGCGTCCCCATGGGGCCGTTTTTTTTCTTCTCCCTGTTTTTCCCTCTGACGAGCAATTATTGAGTCTATTAACCACCCACCCAGACTACTGGAGCTAGGATCGGATCCAAGTCCGTTCCACGGAGAATCAGGAAACCCCTTGAGAACGCGGTGGCGACGTTGGACTATATCTGCTCGACATCCCTCCCCGTTCTCATCTGATAAAACACACGATTATCAAGACGTTCCATCTGTCCCAATCTGGAACCTGAAGCGTCTTGATCTATTACCCTCATCCATTATCGTTTCAGAGTTTCGCTCAACATGGCTGCTGAGAACAAGGAAACCGTTGACGACATCCAGGTCGAGAGCGCGCCTCAAGTCCAAGCTGACAAGGGTGCTGCTTCTGCGGATGCCAACGATGACCTCGTTAAGAAGTTTGCTGGCCAGAAGGGCGCCGCCGCCGAGTTCCTCAAGCAGATCGAGCAACCCATCGTCGTGACCCCCGAAGACAACAAGCGCGTTCTGCGAAAGATTGACTGGCGCATCCTGCCCATTATTCTCTTCGTCTACTGCCTTCAGTCTCTCGATAAAACAACCCTCTCTTACGCGTCCGTCTTTGGTCTCATCAAGGACACGAACCTCGTTGGCGATCAATTCTCATGGCTCGGCTCCGTTGTCTACGTTGCCCAGCTGGTCTTTCAGCCTCTGATTGCCTATTTTCTCGTTAAGTTTCCCATTGGAAAGTTTTCTGCTACCATGGTTTTCCTGTGGGGCGCGGTTCTATGTAAGAGGCTCATCCATCGACAACAACTCAACGGCTAACCAATTTTTAGGCTGCATGGCCGCTAGCCATAACTTTACTGGCCTCCTGGTAACTCGGCTACTCCTCGGCAGTTTCGAGGCATCAGTTGGTATGTTCCTGAGTTGTCGGGCCGCGGTTGTGGTTGAGGCGAATATCAAACTGACAACTCCTAGCACCCACATTCGTTGCCGTTGTTCAAATGTGGTATCGACGACGAGAACAAACTACGCGTAATAGTTATTGGTATTCGATGCTTGGAGTACGAAAAAATTTCAATTCCTCGTGTTTCAGTTGTTTTTGAATCATATTCTAACATTCTTATAGGTTGTGAATAGTACGAAGTCGATCTCTCCCTATCCCCTTTTCTCTTATTCTAACCAATAACAGTGCTCGGAAGTTTACTCGCGTACGGCCTCGGACATATTCAGTCCTCTCTGCGCCCCTACCAGATTATTTTCCGTGAGAGACCTTGCCAATTCGTTGAGATTAGATAGTTTTTTTGCTGACAAAGTGGTAGTTTTTTGTGGCGCTATCACCGTCGCTTTCAGTGTTGTGATGTTGTAAGTAACTCTCGAGTTATCATAGCTTTGGATTCCTAGCCCCTAATATGTATATCTAGTATCTTTATGCCAGACTCTCCCATCACGGCCAAGTTCCTTAACCAGGAGGAAAAACATGTCGCAGTCGAGCGCCTACGAATGAATCAACAGGGAATTGGCTCTGGTGAATGGAAATGGGACCATGTTAAGGATGCTGCCCTCGACCCAAAGACCTACCTTTGGTTCTCTCTTATTTTCCTCATCTCGTACGTTCCCGACTTGGCAGCTCTAAAAAATCCGGTCGCTAACTCCTGTCTAGAATTCCTAGCGGTGGTATCTCGACATTCGGACCTCTGATCATCGAGAGTTTTGGTTTCGACAGCTTCACAACCATCCTCTTCAACATTCCCTTCGGCGCGGTTCAGATGATTGCCACCATCGGGGGAGCTTTACTGGCTGACAAGATCCGCATGAAATCTCCAGTCCTCCTCCTTCTCTGCCTACCCCCCATTGCCGGATGTTCTATCCTCATGGCTGTTGGCCGATCTCCCTCCGATCGCGCTGTTCTTCTTACTGGATACTATATTGTTTCCTTCTACCCCGGTATCTCCCCCCTGATCTACTCTTGGTCTGGCCAGAACACTGGAGGAGACACCAAGCGTAAAGTCACCACCGCCATTATCTTTATTGGACAATCAGCGGGCAACATCGTTGGCCCTCTTCTGTTCCGCCCTGCAGAGAAGCCATACTATTCTCGTGGTCTCCGGGCTAACCTGGCCATCTTCGTTGCTTTGGCTGTGGTTGTTGCCCTCGGAATGCTGCTCATTAAGATCCTCAACAAGAGACAAGCCGCTAAGCGTGTCGCTATGGGCAAGTCTGAGCATATTGTCGATGTCAGTATGGCTGCAGGAAACGCGATTGATAATGATGAGAACAAGGCGCAGCAGCTTGTTGACGAGGCTCAAGGCGACAGCGCCTTTGATGATATCACGGACAACAAGAATGAGGATTTCATCTACGTATACTAGTTTAATCAGGATTTGGGGGTTTAGGAGGTTTCTTTTCTCTTGTATGAGAGAGTTGTAGAGAGTTGTGGATAGTGGTCCAGATCTCATCGAGTGAGCAGGACTCTTGGTTGTACATACTCCACAGAATAATGCAACGAGCCCTTATTTAACCTCGTGCTTTGCGAAGAAGCCTTCTAGAGTTTAAATCTATGAATTGTGTTTCAGTGCTTGACGGGCGAAGTCTTGGTGTTGTTAGACGACAACCTCAACCTCTCATGTGTTCCACTCAATTGCTCTTAGCGTTATTGGGTTACAATAATAACCACAATAGTCACAATAAATGGCAAATGAAAAAGACAAATTGCTTATTGCTTTGATATTTGTTATTTATTGTGTTAGGCTAGTTACTCTTGTGTCGGAACTCAATGTCGATGGTCTGTCGGCTTGGAGCCTATTACCTCAATACGTACTGCTAGAGCTTCTCTTGTGTTTAATTCATGTTCCTTACGCTCCTGACATTGCTTTACTCTCTTTCCCAATGAATCAAAGAAATCAGCCGAAACTACACCCTTTCAACGCCTCGTAGGCTTTTTCCGGAGCATAATTTGAGTACTAGGCCGTCCCGCCATTCGTCGCTCATAACGGCCACAACCAATACCATATATTTGATCCTGGGTTTCGCGTCTGAGTTCTTATATGACTTGGCTCGCCACAGTCTATACACAACTTACCTTTACTAGGTAGGCAAGTGCATTGCATTAGGCAACACACTGATTGAGTTTGCGCTTGGCAGCTTTGAAGGTGGTCACATTGCGGAACGGAAGGAGCAACTGGACGCTTGACCTCGATGGCTCCTGCCTCGGTCTAGCTCCTGCCTCGAGTTGATTTTAGGCTACACAATACGCGTAAGCACTCACGTCTGCATACAAAAGCATTCCTTGACTGGTTTTGTTTTCCTGCTCCTCTCTCTGTCAACTGCATTGACAATCAACAAGTGTTTCATTCTGCAACAGTACCATCAACAACATCTTTTTTTACCATCAACCAATTAACAATTTAACAATGGACTCCTCAAACAACAACCTGCTGGTCCTCGTGCCCAAAATCAACAATTGTCGCAAGACAATCGAGCGACACGTCGCTGATATGGACGTTTCCTTACAGGTCACGGCGCGGGGGTCAGCAGTCTTCAATAATGCAATTAGAGAAGGCGTAGAGTACAAGACTCAGCTACAACGAGCTGCCGGCTTTTAGTAAGTGACTATTCTTTCGAAATAAATATACATGCTAACAAATTGACCCAATAGGAGCCGCCTTTGATTACAACTTCCCACGCCCTTCACGGCCGACTCGTATCATAACACTAGTAAAGAGATTAGGCCCTAGAAGGGCGTCGACCACTGCCCCCGTTGATGGGACCAAGAAGAAACCCGTTGCCGGCTATTGTAGAGTCTCTTGAATCGAGATATCAAGAAGCTCTACCCGGTCAAAGGTCAATCCTACGAGAAAGATCAAGAGACCGGTAAGTTCATACCTGGCGCTTTCTCGCCTAAAGCTGTCGGTGAATTCGAACTATAACCAAATAGACAAACACTTTAGTCACATGAACGAATCACTGGATAATGTATACAGAGCAGATTTATATGAATATCTGGCAAAATCTCTTTCTACGTATGAAGGGGATGAAGACAAAAAGAAGCAGTACTGTGATTACAGTGGCCCAAGGGTCCCGACAATATTCATTGGAAGTCATACACCCATTTGCTGTAGCACCAAATGCGCAAGCAACATATTATATCCCACCCAATGTCCTTACTTGCACGTTAGCCCTCAATATGGGCAAGGGCCAATGGCCGGTCATCGTGCTCTCATTGATGGCAGAGGCAGCCCGCATACACAAGGAAAGCGCCGCCATTAATTTCGAAACATTCAAGAAGTGGAGATGGGTATACGACAGGCTGACCAATGCGATGGTCCTGACAAAGGCCTTCGAGATGAAAAATTCACATGAGGAGGTCAACACCTGGAGCTCTGAGAAGCAGAGGCAGTTCCTTGAAGCGGGGACGCAACATTGTTTGGCCACCTAGTACATGGAACAGCGATGTACTATGGCTTCACCAACGGAGACGAGGAGTTTGACCCTGAGCGGCACATTGATCTGTCGCTCTGCACGATATCTGCCGAGAGGGTTTTTACGAACAAGATAAAGTGGAATTTCCACAATGATTATGTACAGGACATGCAGGAGGATCTAGTCAAGATCCCGATCTCACACACGCATTACAAGATTGACCCAGCCGTGGGCGACAGCGTATGGAAACTGGGCATTAGTAATGTCAGCGAAGCGATCCCCCCTGTCCCAGAGTTCAGTATCGAGACGGTACCTATTGATCCATGGGTATCAAATGATGGTAGCAGTCAGTCATATATTAATACTTCCTAGTGTATAACAATAAGCAGATAATACTGCCTAATAATTGCTCAATAATTTAGCATTTTCATTATTATTGCTATCAGGGTTAAGTTTTGTCTATCAATCTCGTGGAAGTTGGAATAAAAACGCCTTTGTAGTCCGTCTCATTGTGACGCCCACCTTCGAAGTATAAGAATTCTCGCTCCATTTTACTGTCCACCCCGAGTACGAGCCCAAAGGTTTGAGATCTTGCCAGCCGCCTACTGTGTCGCCCAATGCCTTGGCAAGGACACGCATTCCGGTGAATCAGATAGAAAGTCACCCAGCTGAAAAGTCACAAGCGGGACAGATATGAAGATGGGCCAACGCGGCACTTATTTTTCCCCTGGAGGAAAACATAAGTCAAGATCAGATGAACCTTTTGTGGACACAGTCTTAGGAGAAGTTGGCGGAACATATTGGAGAATGAATGAACCATCCATGCGCCAAAGGGATTAGACCCTACGCTTTATGACTGCGCGCATGTCAAGAACGAGACGGAATCCTTGATTGGCATTGCGCAAAAAAGGAAAAAGCTACAACTGTAATCAAAACCGCAAGGCTCGTGGGGAGCCACCGGGTGATGATGGCCATCGCATAAAGTCGTCTCGATACGGGGAAGATGATGTGAAACCAGTTCAGTTCGCGCAATCTCCAAATGTACAGTCGGCAGAAGCGAGTCCCCACAAGCAGCTTCCATTCCCATCAATGACGCAGCGGTTTGCAGCTACACCAGCTGTGAATATTCTTTTCCTCAAAAGTGTCTTTCCGCAAGTTTGACGTCAAAATAACTCAGTGCGCCGCGTCAATCTCGTCATGGTTGGTACCATTGGCCGAATCCTTTTGGGGTGAAGAGTCGTGACGCTCACAGTAGTGATGGACAGGTGCTCCGGGTTCAACGTCCTCCTTTGTCACCTGCGTGTTACCTGAAAGCGGAGAGAGAGGAACAGAGACATGTTTACTTCTTGCCGCTGGAGGTAGATAGTAAATGGACGCAGCAGCCTAGATGTAAGGCGTCGGAAGAGATGCAGTAATTGTTTGAGTATTTGGTGCTCGGCTAGTTGATTGTTTTGATATTATGTTAGGAGTCAATGTCGGTGCTTTTATTAGTGTGCACAATAACTGGCTATTGATTCTCGCCCATGTTGAGGGCATACGGACAAGTAAGGATATATGGCGGGACATGATATATATTGTCACTTCTTTTCAGAGTATACTACTGAATTTCTCGATTTATCTTAGAAAGTAGTCTATTCATAACCACTCTTCCGTTAGGTGTCTCAGTTCTCTTGTCACCCTGAGAGGTTGTCGTTATTGCCAATTGCATCTGCCAAGAAGAAGTCAGCAACATGCAGTAAGTCAGCCACGGAGAGCCAATCATTCCATCATGTCATTCGCCGCTATTTCCTGATCACTTGACATGTAACTCGCGCATTCGTGATATGAGGTAATCCCGGCCAGAGCAACTTTCAGATACTCGTAACTGGTCTGGGTCGAGCCCGACGCCTTCCTTCGTGGAACGCATCATAGGAAGACGTAAGACTGTCATGACGCGTGTGTGTGAGATCGACCAGGCCATTGATTGATACCTAACTCGTGAAAGTCGCGTGAAGTGAACTTGGGACTATATGATGGTTTGCATTACTAGAATAGTCCTCCAACACACACAATTTCGTATATCAATAGACTATCTAACACCGATTTGTCAAATAAATATCAACGCCTGGTAAAAACCACCAATCGCCCCTCTTTATTCTCGCTGGGTTTCCCCAGGAGAATCCTCTCCCCCTCCTAAACTAAACGTGTCGCGGACTTACGTCCGGAGCACTCTAATCTACCAGTCAGACTGTTTATCTCCCATAAGGGTCGCGAGCTTTCGCCCGGAGCACCTCAATCCACCAACTATCCCACTCTCAAGATTGTCGCCAGCTTTCGCCCGGAGCCTAACTTAAGGCCATCCAATTCCTTGTCCGCCACGTCCACGGCGACCACCACGGGGACGGCTACGTCCATAGATTTCCCCCCGAGTCTCAGTTCTTTTCCTCTTGTTAGTGAGCAACTCTGATAGAGTCTTCATTCGCTCACTATCCTGCCCTTGCTCATAATTCTGTTTAGCGCCACCGAGGGTCTCTGTAACCACAATAGGCTCCTCTTGCGGTCCACCAGCCGGCGAGACAAAGTAGAGAGGGCGGGTGCCGCTCTTGTCGAAAGCTAGATCCTTGTCTAACATATCAGGTTCAACCTTGCGACCTTGGAGTTGCCACTCGGTGAACTTGTCGAACTCGCCCCAGCCCACCCCGTTCAAAGGACCGCGTGGGTACGGGATCACGAAACCTGGAGATGTGACAACCAGCTCGCGTTTGGCGGCCTCGACATTGTCCAGATACTTGGGATCTCCCTCCTTCTCCGGTTTATAGAACGAGACGCAGTTTTTCGCCTGTTCTGGGGTTGGCACCAGTTTCCCGCCTTCGATTTTGACAAGCCCATGTGAGCTAGGGATGCCGCCAAACACCCGGGAGTACATCTCGATGGCTCGCGGGAAGAACCTCCCGATGTCTTCATGCGGAGCGTCGGGCGTCAGGACGTCCATGGGCCTTTCGCATCTCCGCGAGTCCCGTGACTCACGCCAATCGAGGCTCGGCTCGATCTGCCTCGCCCTGCCAAACCGGAGAGCCCGACGCTGGATGCCGGTTAGGGTTTCAGGCTGCTACAACATTTGTTAGAGGCAATCTTAGCTAAAACGTAGGGTTTGACGGCTGGAACTAACTGGAGCTGGGAGAGAGTCGCTGGCTTTCGCCGGTTTTTGGATATACTCGGGTGGTGTCTGCAACTTGGTCAGCATGAGCAGGTGGTAGTTGCGATTGAAAGCAGGTTCGCACATCCTGATGGAACTCGGCAGTGAGTTTATTCCCATCGATATTACGTTCATTGAACCAAGAGATGGCCTTTTTGGCCTTGCCATGTTCCCAGAAGTCTACTCCCAGGATCGGGGCACCAGATGTCGGCCAAAACACGGTGGCGGATGTGAAGCCTGCATTTTCCAATGTGGACTCGACCCAAGGTTCTCCGCCGGCCCAGTTAACGCCTGTGAGCGTGATCATGCTACCTCGTTGGATAGCTTGGTTTAGGTCGTTTTCGAATTTGGCCGCGTCCGAGGCGTCGACGTGGAAGATGGTCATCTCTGCAAATTCAAGGTTAGCGCGAAAGAGCAAGCCAGGACCAGGAGAAACCGACAAGAAAGGATTTTGAATAATTTAAATGACAAGTAATCGGAAATTTACTTACTGGCGATTGAATTTAGCGAAGAGGGATGTTTGAAAGGTTGTTTGGTTGAAAATGTGGCGATTTTGGTTCGCTGAAGAGATGGTGATGTAGTTTGCAAATTTCTTGACTGCAGCAGATGTGTGTTTATGTTTACCCAAGTACATACCTAGCTACCTAACAAGTGACTGAGATGAAAATGGTACACCAATATCCTTTCCAGGTAATTCAGGGACCTAATTCCATAATTAATAATACTAAACACAATAAGAAGAGAATAATAAATTATTATATCAATTTAGCTTGATATTGTGTTTATTAGTGGGTTAATTGTTTTGATATTCTGCAATTTGTGCCGATTTTTATGTCATTCGCTTGCCTATTTACGTGTCATATCCCGTAAACATTGAGTACGTACCTCTGATAAGGCCTGCTATCATTGTTGGCAGAAATTGGCGGCAGTTCTCACCTTTCCCTCACCTTTCCTTTAACCCCTCCCGCGCCCACCCGTTCACAAATCACAACAACAACAACAACACCAAAACAACAACCACATTTTCTATCATTTCAAAATCCAACCAAGACCCAAGCCATTTGAAGACAACAACGTTGAGACGAAAATTCTAACAACTTTCACAATGGCCTCCGACGAATCTCCCCATTTCAACGAGTTTTGGAATGCATTCGTGGAACACGATGTTCTCATCGTTTCCGGTGGAACTGGATCTGGAAACACAACTCAGATCCCGCAGTTTGTGGCCTCCATGGCCCAAACACTGAACATCGGTGGCCGCATTGCCTGTACTCAGCCTCGAGATTTGGCCGCAGTCAAGGTAGCCGAACGAGTTGCCCAAGAGGCAGGATGTGATCTAGGTGCCCAAGTTGGGTACCAAATCCATGGCGACGACAAGACATCCGAGGAGACCCGGCTCATGTAAGGCGATGATGATCAGTTTCGAGTTCTACCGATCTTAGCTAACAACAGGCTTGCCATCTAGTTACGTGACCGATGGATCGATGGTTGCCCAGGCCTTCAACGATCGAAATTTCAGCGATTACCACACAGTCTTCATCTACGAGGCCCACGAATGCAACAACAACATCTACCTTTTGATGGCGCTGGTCCGGCGAGCTGTCAAAGCTCGACAAAATTTGGAGCACAATCTCAAGGTTATAGTCATGTCAACTACGATAAGTGTCGACAAACATGCCGAGTACTTTAAAGACTACGCAACTGTGACACAGGTTCACATGCCTGGCGTAACGCACCAAGTTCGCCTTCGCTACCTGGGGGAATCCCCACGACTTACATCAACTGGACATCCCGATATAGATAATATTGTGGAGGAGGCCTGTCGAACCGTGGCGAACCTCGTCCGAAATAAATATCCACCAGGCAATATTTTGGTGTTCATGCCTGGCGTCAGTGAAGTTGAGATGGCATGCCAACTCATCCGAAAGAACATTAGAGAAGTGGAGGTCATTTCTCTTCACTCGGCACAGTCAGAAGGTGCTCAAAACGCAATCTTGAGCTCGTCCACCAACAAGCGCCGCCAATGTATAGTTTCAACGAACATCGCAGAGACGAGTATCACCATCCCTGACATCGTTTATGTCATTGACACCGGGATAGAAAAGGTGAAGCGCTTGATGCCCCGGACAGGCGCTTTTGAGGTTCGCCCACGCCCTATCTCCAAGGCAGTTGCCAATCAACGTGCAGGGCGCTGTGGCCGAACCCGGCCAGGAATCTGTTTTCGGATGTATACGGAACAAGATTTTGAGAGGAATCTGCGTGATCAACCAGATGCTGAGATTGTCCGAGACGATGTTAGCGCGATCTATCTAAAGGCATTGGCATTCGGCTTTACAGCCGCGACTCTACCGTTTATCGACCCCCCTCCCTTTGAAAACCTGGCATATGCCAACGAACTACTCCTTGATCTGTGAGACATTCACTAGCTAGATATTCTTGATCTCCTATGTACGAACAAAGCTAACAAGCGATAGTGGCTACATAAATGACCTGTTTCAGGTTACTAATGCTGGCAAGCGTGCTGCTCAGAGCCCATTTGAGCCCAATTGGAACTACGCCATCGAATTTGCCAAGGTGAAGTATCCTCGCCTCGCTCATCACATTGTGGCTCTTGCTACAATGTGCAGTTCGATGCAATCCATCTTTTTAGCGGCACCAACGAAACTTGTTCCATCGTCCCTTGCGCCCAGGGCAGACCCATTGTCCGATCTCATTACCGAGCTAAATGCTCTGTACGCATTCGAGGCCGAGGAGCCCAAGCGACCAAATGACCGTGAACTCGATCAATGGTGTGACCGTCGATCTCTCAATCGTTTGTTGATGGAGCAGGTCCTCCTCCAACGTGACTCGGCTATTGGAACAATGGAAATCCGGTTTGAAGACGCTCCAGAGGCTCTCAATAGCCAAGACGGAGAGAATATCCGGAAGATTCTCGCGCGAACCTTCTTCCGGAATATCGCATTTCAGAGCCCTTCCTCTAACGGGGAGTTACGATACCACACGATCCATGGAAATTTCGAGGCCTTGGTAGCCCAAGAAAGTATGCTCAGCACTGGGGAACACCCCTGGGTCATGTACGATACCCTCAAGATGGGGAGGAACAACCTCTACATGGAGAGAGTAACGCACATCGAACCCGGGTGGATCGCAGTATGTTTCCCCAAAAACTCTGATTCCAGTATTGCATGATAGGAAACATAGAACTAATACATTGATAGGATCTTCCTTTCTTCCAAGATGACCGCATGAAGAAGAATTACCACGGGAATATCGCACAATGGCGGGTTAAGGAAGCATTGGATAAAATCAGAGCTGCCATTTAGAATTAAAGATGGGAAGGAAGAGCTTGGAGGAGCAAGGAGGAGATGATTCTGGGGAAACCCAGCGACAAATTCGCGGAGGAGTGATCAAACCCAACGACGCTTTGAAGGGGAGGAGGGTGCTTCTGAGGAAACTTGGCGACACATAGAACGGGAAGACACAACCCGGGGAAACCTGGCGACTATTCGCGGAAGAGATCCTGGGGAAACCCAGCGACTCTCAATCCAGTATAGTGAGCCTAAGGTAACCCAGAGAACTTTAGAATGTATATATTTTTGTAATTTAGAAGTAATGGGGCAGGATCTCTCGTGCCTATCTATCAATTCATCAAGTCTGGCCCAAGTTGCATCGCCTTCTATACACAACCCCACCAATTGCTAGTAACTATTATCAAAAGTCTCACTGTGACTGAATGACCTGTAGCATGTTTTTTTCTCTTTCTTTCTTCATCATATAGTAGGTACGAGATGAGAACGCAGACTTTCTTACGAATCCGGCCCCTACCCCCTGTCCTACCACGCACAGCTACTATAACAGTGACATAACGTGTCTCTATAATCTTCGACTCCAGACATAATTAGGGTAGGTAGTGGGATGAGCCAATTGCCTAAGGGTATTCCGAGCACCTGTAGCATCTACGAAGCGGTCACCTTGGTGTTGGGCTATTGGAAGCATGGAACCCTTGCTTAACACGCAATGTCGATGTTGTTTGACGGAAGCAGGTGGTTGTTAGAAAAGCTGGGACTACAAAATCACCTCGGCAGAGTTCGATTTCGAGCTATTGCCTATTGATCCATGGGTAGTATCAAACGACGGTACTCGTATGTATACCAGTGTTTTCCTGCAATGAATGCCGGGACTTGGAACCAAGCCCCCGGATACCGATTGCGGAACTGCACAAGCAGGATACGGTGATCGGGAGGCCGTCCTGAGTGTTCCAAGGTAAGTCTCGTATGAACGCCCGGTATTGGGGACCATATAGGGGAAGATATAATCAATTGGCCATAACTCCTCTCCCTTGGCTCGTCGCATCACTTTATTCTACGTGGGCAGAGATTGACTTTCGACACAATATCAAAACAATAAACCAGCCGAACAACCAAATACTCAAACAATTAGTATGGTAATATTTTGTTTTTCAAATATTATTGTGGCTGTCATTGTCAATCAGGAATACTGGGGGGAGATTGTTCACATGAGAGGTTGAGTGCGAAGTCTGGATAAGGCAAAAATTACCACGTTGACACTTGAAGACCACTTGGTAGCAGTCAGATGTATTGATGAAGCGAAGAAATTGAAATTTTTGGGCAGCTTGATGATCTGGAAGAAAACCATCTCGTGACGTCCAGGAAAATTTATCATACGCGCCTTCTGATGTTCCTTGGGCTCCTCGAACATCCTCTAAAGTTTAAGATTCACTTGGTCCTCCCAGTAATGACATCCGCAATTTTCAATTGCTTATCTAAAAATTGGAATATTGGAAAAGTGGTTGCTTTGTCAGCTGGTAGTCAATGTTGAGTTTGTTCTTGGTGTAGGTTGTTAAATTGTGTATGGGGGGAAGGGTGAGGGAAAGGCGAGAACAGTTTATGGTTTCGTGCCAGCAGTGACAACAGATCTTATCGAAGAACGCGGCCAGAACAAAAATGGCACGCCAAATCTCGTTCCGCACAGAGTAGAGGCCTGATATTTTTATTTAACCATGTATGCTACAACATTTGGATCTAACTCATTGTTACTACTGGAATAGACAAAGTGGACAGCCCTGGGTTGAATCCACATTGAAAGATGCAGGCTTTCAATATGCCACGGTGTACTGGCCAGCAGTCGCGAATCCTGAGATAGCAGTAGCCTTCAACAGAGCTGAAACAGCTGTGAAAGCCATCGCCGCTCTCCACGAAAGCGATGTAGATAGTGGGTTTTTAATCACTGCTCGGTTCCATCAGGATGTGCGTACCTTCTTTCCCAACCACCAATACCACTTGCTCACGCTGACCATCTGCAGACACCACCTATGTATACCGAAAGCCCAGCGAAAGCCAGGGAGCCTCTGGCACCTTCGGTAAGCTGTCTCGCATCATTCCCCTCGTGTTGGTGAACCCCCAATCTAATCATGACATTGCAGGCCCATTCTGCGCCTACCAGTGTTGCCGAAGCACCAACAACTGAGCAGAAATCGCTGCGATCAGTTGTAACAACCCCCAACGTCCCAGAGACAGATCCGGTGAAGACCGGCGACTTCCTCCCAGCTCCGGGCAGTGCCCGCCATCAAATTCAACATTTCAGATAAAATTACCTCTAACACATGTGATAGAAGTCTGATAAACTTGACTTGCCGATGGCACAGTCCGATGTGGTCAACCTGAAGGCCCAGATGGAAAATCTCCAGGTGAAAGCCACCCCTGAAACCCTCACCCGCGCCCAGCATCGCACTCTCCGGTTTGGTAGGGCGAGGCAGCCTCAGAAGTTCGAGTGGCCTGAGTCATGGGCGTACAGCCCTGAGGACCCAACGGCGCACCACATCAACATGATGAGGGGCAGAGAGGCCGACGAAAGGCGTCGCCCTGGGGGGACTGTTTTCAACAAGGAAGGGCCAATCACCCAAATTTACGCCAGGCAGTATTTGCCAGGCAACAGCGACAAAGTTATCGTTGCATTCACCAAGCCGACAAGCGATGAGGACGGCACAACCTTTGCCAAATACGTTGAACTTGACAGCGAGGAGGAGGCCACAGCCCGAGCCGAAGTATACACCCCCTTTGTCGTTGGTGAGCTGCCTATTAAGTTTGTTGGTAGATTAGGGTGATCTGGGCGAAAGCCCGTGACAGATTTAGATAGAAGGAGAGAAGACTTCTCCTGGGGAAACCCAGCGAGAATTAGGAGGGGCGATTGAGGGATTTGATGGATTTGACCAGGGATTGTTTTTGAATTGACAGATTGGCGTTAGATAGTTTGCCGATATACGAAATTGTGTGTGTTGGGGGATTATTCCAGAAGTGTAAACGATCATACCAGTGGTAGAATCGACTCTCCGTGCCTGGCTTACGGCATGTTGCTGACTGCTTTCGTTTTTTCAATTCTCTCGCATATCCATGTTTCGTTAATGTATGGTAGGAGCTTATAACAGTTCCGCTACTCTCCTGTCACCTCCCGTCTTGTGATATTGCCGGACATATGTTATTAGCAACGCCACCCCTCGCAAGAAACGAGCTACTTTTCTTAAAGAGGGATATCGAGAACTTGGCTGAATTTGGCAGAGGAATCGGAAGCTACAGCGAGCAACTTACAGGGTTTCTATTTGCCAGAGAGAACTAGGGCTGAGAGGTACTTGTGGTGAGGTATGCATACGAGAACTCTAGCCTAAGTTGATCTGTAGGGCTCGGAGGAGAGTGGCAGGATGGCTATTCTGATGGGTCCAATTCGCGAGCATTGAGAACGCACTCTACATCGCGTTGACGTATTCTGAACTAATATTAGGACAATGAGGAGGTGAAACAGGTACCAGGGGTCGGCTCGGCTCCGTCCGGAAGGCAATGATAACCGTCATGCACATCGCGATCCCTCTGTGGAGGAAGCTCGGTTCGGCACGCTCGGTTCGGCCAATCGATTTTTGGTGTCTGATAACGAGACGCCTTTGTAGACATACCGTCTCTAAGCCATACGGCGTCTCGTTTACAACAAAAGCAGGGATAGAATCACAGGTGAGGTCAGAGAATTTCCTACAAGACTCATGGTGTATTGTACTTTGTTGCCAGGTGCTAATCGCTGCCAAATATAATACAGCGATTCCTCACCCACTAGTCCAGGTGATTAATTCCCTGCTTGGCCTCCTTTTCTGCGATATACGCTCTCCACCTAGGATTGATCCAATATACAGGGATGCCCAAGAGGAAGATAGCACCAAAGATACCAGCCAGCACGCCAAAAGCCCACTCATAGCCGTGCTTCTCAACCATCGGGGTCAGCCCGTACGTGACGCCAAACGAGATGACATTCTTGGTGCCGACAACGACCACCAACGCGGGACCAGGATGCTTCGGTGCGGCCTCGGAGCCAAAGGTTGTCGAGATGATGAGCACCGCGGTGAAGGAGTACTGGAAAATGGTCCAGCCCAGATACGGCCCCCACCAGGTCGAGCCACCACCCGCCGTAAAGCCGTAGAGAAGGAGCATGGCGGTTCCAATGACGGCGGGAGGGATCAGGGTGATGAGGTGGTCCTCGGGTTTGTGGACGCCCTTGTTGCGCTTCGCAAACCAAAGCACGAATCGGTTCCCAAGAAGGCTGCAGTAGAGCATGCCGAGAAACGCGCCGATGATGCCTCCGATGTTGATGAGCCCGATATCTTTGGCCTGCCAATGGTAGTTTTGCATGAGGACGGCATTATACGTCAATGACATGCCGACGCCGCATCCAAGCGTGATTGAGGAAGTGAGAACTGCGTACAGGATTCCCGGAGAGGTCAGGCTTTGAGCCATGTGAAGCCAGCTCAGAAGGATGACCTGTAGAGGTCTCGGCTGCACTGGGGAAAGCAGACTGAGTTTCTGAATATAAGACTTGCGAGCGATGGGTGTTGCCGAGCTGTCTTCATTGACGCTCATCTTTGGAAGGTCTCGCCCTTCGTTCTGAACTCGTTCCAAGTAGTCCTGGGCCTCGGAGTCCGGGATGATGCGCGTGACGCCAAACTCGTCGGTGAAGACAAGTTGGCCATCGAGGCTGGCCGCTGGACGGGAAAATTGCGTCTCAAAGGCGAAAAAATAGGCAATGACCAGGCCGACGGCCACAGTGATGACGAACACCCAGTAGTACCAGCGCCAACCGAGACTGGCGTTGATGTAAGAGGAGGCAAGGTTTATCGTGGAACTCAAAACATTCTGGGTCATCCAGTAAAGGCCAAAGATCATAGGACGCTCGTGAAGGAATGTAATCTCCGTCAGCATAAGAGGAAGCAGCGATTCCGACGCGCCGGTTGAAATGCCCTGGATGACGCGGGCGGCGAGATGGCCTTCGTAACTGTTCTGGACAGCGGCTGCGATGATCGAGGCGAGAAGTATGACCATGGAAGCTAGGAACACAGGTCGGCGACCGAAGGCGAGGGACAAAGGGAGGATGATGTAGTTTCCTGCAAACAAGTTAGTTTTGAAGAGTTGCAACCCTGATCTGGTACGCACCTAAACCGATACACAGAGTCGGCAAGCTGATCAGCAGAACGATTTGATCGGAACTGTACCCCTGTGGCAGATACATCTCAAACATGACATTGAGAATTGCTCCAAGTCCGCTCGCCAGGGAAAGTCCCATAATTGAAAACCAGACACAACAAACGACGACGCCATATTTCTCCCAAGGTCGGAAATTGAGAGGGTCATTCGGGTCAGACGAAGGTACGGGAATCTTGCGGACAGCTCCGTGTTTGTCCACTAAGAGGGCATTGCCTTCTACATGGTCGTGTTTGCCTGATTGGTGTTGTTGCTGCTGCTGGGCCTCGAGATGCTCGACGCGGGTGACCTGTTCGCCACTGTCCTTTTGTCTGGAAAGAGATGCTGCTACCTGATGATCCATCTGGCCTAAATATGCGTTATTACTCAGACTAGAGGACTTTGTGTGCGGTGACCGGTCATAGTGTTGGACTTCGAGGAAGCGACCCAGGGTTAAGTGAATATATAGAGATGCAGTCCTGGGAAGCCTTCACCATCGGTATCTGCATGTGCTAGAGTTCTCTCCCTCGGGATACATATCACTGCTATCGTGGAATGAGAACTCTATTTGAGGTTGGGTGGCTGCTCGGCGATGTTGATCTTCGGTTCGGGTCGGGATGTCACTCCACTTCCCCGCAAACTGTTGTAACCATGATTAAACACAAGGAATCTGTATAAAGTCATGGGGAAAAAATGAAGAGACTTCCTATTGAACGCAAACTCAAAACAGGTTGCAGTCATTGCTGATGTATTACTCATGGTATCACCAAGTGGTGATGGGGCGTGGCGATAATTATCGATGCGAGTTCCCTTGATTTATTATTCAAACTCTGTAATGCTTCTCTTCTTTATTTTTTCCTGATCCTGGAACCCCTGCATATCTCTTCTATAAACATAGAATAAAAGAATATTCAATTATTGTACCGATGAAGGAATAGATATCAGCTGAGCCATACTATCAATCTTATTGAGGAGTTGAAGACGCTTGCAATAACCCTGGGGGTGAACTCGTACGTGGGCACTGTTGCGCACGAGTGAACAAGTCGCTACAGCTTTTCCGCGCGACTAACGACATTACCGACATATAGATGGAAGTGTACAAGATCTCTGTCTCGCCCATTTAACATACTAGCCAATGGAGGGTCGTGTACGAATAATAATACGAAGGATGCTGGGTCACCAAACCGGATAACGAGCCGCATCCTGTGGCTATGGAGGATTGCCTGCATATTGCATTCTCATCCAAGTTGGCTATTTGGGAATGCAGGTCTATTGAGCATGCTATAACATTAAAAGACAGCGTCCCTGCTTCGATTGTGTAAAAAAAAGTTGCATTCTTGTGATATCATCACGATTGATTCCCTAGTTGGGGCATGAATGCCAAAAAAATGCTTTTCGATGTACCTGGGACTCGAACCCAGAACCTTAAGCTCACTTAATAGGAGGCTTACGCGCTACCTTTTCATCGTGTTAGTGCCACGACTAGTCGGGTTTCATTCTCCGAGGAACAAGCTTACCATTGCGCCAGCACACCATATTGATGTTACAGCGAGAATTTTTAATTTTGCTATATAAACCCTCCCCCAAATCATGAATTTGAAACACCGTTCGAGGTCGAGCCCACCCAACCCTAGAAAATTGACGAGAGCAACGTCGGCGCCATGTGCGTTGATTCACTCTGAGCTTGACACAAGTAATTGGCATTACCCTTGGGCAATATAATCAGAGATGCTTGCTAGCACGGCCGGGCATCAACATCACCAGCGTAGATTCTGGCACAATGTCAAAAACCACGCAATAAGCAATAAATAACACGAGTATAATAAAATTCCACTCCTTGATGATAGAAAGAAGTAATTTTTCAATCTAGACGACTATTTAATATGATCACCTTATTTCAAGGCCAAATATGTATGGAATTCATCGATCTGGCTCGATAGATGGTGCATCACCGCGAACATGGCCTTAGACATGTCAGGCGCGTCCAGCAGAGCAACGGACTCTGTGTTGCAGGAAGAATCCGTATCGGCCGCCATAATAGTGATGATGTGTAAAAGGCGAGCGCGCAGTGTTAAAAATTGGTTGGTAACTTTTCTGAGTATTACTGCTCGGGATGGATGGACGAGGAAGGGAAAAATGGCTCGAGATTGCAACCGCCCATAGGCCAGTTGGTTTGCCGTGATAAACTTTTCTGGGAAATCATGGCATCCCCGTCCAGCCCTCTTTTCTTGACATAATTTGGGAAGGCTGGTTAACACAGACTCATCCAAGGTTTGTTGGCTTCTGACCAGCTAGATAAGCAATAGACATAGTGGCAAAATTCGATTAACCTTTGGAAGTCATTACGATGAGCAAGGCGGCCATCGACGCCGTTACAAGGAAGATCGTCACACAACTATTCCGGATGATGGGCCTAGAGCCAAGCAAATACACCCAGGCATTTGAGGAATCTTCCAACACGCTCAAGACCCCCAAAGACGATGTTGTTTTGGTCGTGGACCTCGATAAATTCCTCACCAAGTATGTACCAAGTAAAGACGATGGTCTTCACAATGGAGCGCATCCTGCCACTACTTGAGATTATTTGGAGAGCCCTTATTTCATTCCTTTATCCTTACACGAGCAGAACATGCCGGGGGTGCTTCAGAAGGTGATTCAGGTGGAGGCCCAACTGGGCGCGATGACGATATACGCCCTTGGCCAACTCTTGTTAGCGAAACTAGATACTCGCAAGCTATAACTGCCTCAAGACAACAGATGAGATGGTGGTTTAGAGTCTCACAGCATCAGGTAAGAACATTATCCAACGACTTGCGTCATTAATTGGCAATAATACGACAATAAGAGATGAATAAGAGAGTTTGTCGCAAGTATAACCGTAGCAACATTTGGATCGGTATTTTTCCGTTGGAGCTCCTCTTGTGGGTATCAAAGTTGGAAATCGACAGATGCACCTAATGAGGTAAGAATGTTAGGTATAAAAGGCTACTGAAATTATACTTTTGCCTTTAACATAAAGTGCATCCCTTTGGATTAACTGACGATCCGAATGAGAGCTTCAGGTGTGGTGAATGTGATGACTTGTGGCTCATCCGGCGCTATCGATACCGTTGTTGGATTGGTGTCTATTGACATTGCCGCTGAAGCAGGAGACCCTTGGTGATGATAGTTGATCGGTTCCATCCTTGTGAGCAGGTGGCGATAGCCGCGGCTCACTTATTACATGGGAAAGGGAAATACGAAGAAGGAACTATCCACCTCGAAGTAGTACATTAATCATCAATTTAACTCCCTGAGATAAATGCCTTTGAGCTAATCAACCAATATAACCACCCCAACGCCCTTGAGTCCGGTATCAATAATCAATATTCCCCATCCATGCCGTACAGAAATATTCAAAGCCGAGGGTACCGGCCCAGTTTCCACTGGTGCATCGCAAATGCTCGAATAAATCTTCTGTCTCGTTTATTGTACAACTTTACCAACAGAGCAATGGCAGTATATATAGAATTAAGAGCCAAGTTTCACTTTGATGTCAGGACCAGTGGTACTCTCCCTCAGACGAAACCTTGAAATCAGATTAGTATTGAAACAATATCAATATTGAACAGGCTCCAACTTACACAGTTTTCAGGGACGCTTCGTCGTAATGCAAATTTCCATCCTTCTTCGTGATGAACTTGCAACTGTACTTTCTGCGGCAATTCTGGCCCTCAGGGCAATGATGGCTGAGCTTACAATCGAAATCCTTGCACTTCACCCCGTTGTTGCAGAGAGAGCCGCGGACCTTCTCCCGATGGACCAGGAGCTCCTCCTCGGTCAGCTCCACGTCGTGCACCTTTTCGCAGTCCTTTGCCCAGCCACATTGGCCATTCAAGTACCACGAGTTGCAGAAGACCTTTTTTTTTTTGTCGGCGGATTCCAGTGCGGTGAACTTCTCATTGTATGAATTCTTGGCTTCCTTGCTGGATTTAACCACCTCGGGGTCTACTCGAGCTCCATGCTTGTTGAAGTTGATGTATTTGTATTTAGCGGACTTTTCTGGCTGGCGGATGGCGGATGGAAAGCCATCGTTGCTTGCCGATGATGCGCGACTGGGTGGGAGCCTGATGGGAAGCCTCTTCACAGGCACAGGCACGGCCGCATTTAGAATTGGAGACCCGACCATCGTCGAGGGGCTTGGAGGGCAAGCCGGGCCCTCTTTAGGCATGATCTCTCGGTCGCTGGCTCGATTCGAACCGACGCGGCTCGCTGCAATCTGAAAGAAAGGGCTGTCTCTGGTTGGCAGAGGCTCCTTTCTGAAGACATCACCGAAACTCAGTTTTTCAAAACCGAGCCACTTGAACAAGTAGGGCGCTGGGGTCGTTTCGACCAGGAAGATGCGCTTCTGGCTGTTGAGATGTTCCTTGAGAACGTGGCTATAGCCCCCGTCATGGCAGCCGACAAAGTAGATTCTCTCGCACCGAGGGTCGGTGCAATAATAATCCAGCATTTCTAAAAAGACCATAGGTTAGCAGTGTAACTTGAAAGCGACGGATGACCAAGGCATCTTACTTTTCATCTTGCAATCTGCGTTCTCTTTGCCGAAACCAACATTGATAAACTCAAACTCAGCACGGCTGTTGGTAAAGTGCTCGAAGAATCTGGAGACCTTCTCCTTACTGTCAACAATGCCGGATTGGTGGATCGCATTCGCCAGATTGTCAAGATCGGCATAAACGCGAGCGAAGACGGGCAGGTCCTCCTTCCCACCTGTCGACTTGAGATGGTCCTTGATGTTCTCATTCAGCCGCCGGCAAGCGTCAGGAGCTCCATGGGCAGGCGTCTCTAGAAACGCTTCATGGAAGATGGCACCATCGCCGTCAATGAGGACCACGACGTAAGAGTTGTTTCTCTATGGACTCTGATTAGTACTTCAAGCTGGAGCGGGGGGTGTTTCTAGACATACGACTCCCTCTTGGTACTCGGCAATCTGCTTGCCCAGTGCCTCGACGCCTTTCTGATAACGAATGCGCAAATTTCTTTGCTCATTCAAATCCAGATTGAGACGGGCCGCCTCCGCTTCAGCTTCCTCAACCCTTTTTACGAGATCCTAGACATGGCGGGAAGAGTCAGTAATGCTAAAGTTAAGCTATAGGTGGCAGCAATTGAGTGGAGTGGGTGGTACCTTCAAGAACTTCTTCTTTTCGTCCTCTTGCTTCAAGATTTTCTGAAGAGAAGGACCCTCCTTCCTCTTCTCGATATACGCATTGTCTCGTGCCTTGGGAGCCATTGTGAGGGATTGAAGCCAAAGGTTGGGCAGTAGAGAGATGTGCTTGGAAACTTGTGCGTGCAGGTTAATGAGTCAGAGCCAGAACGTCAGATATCGGGATAGGAAAGCTTCTGAGGCAAGACTGAGGTTGGGAGGGCCTCTTTTATGGCATAATTCTGTCCACTTCGCTGTAATAGCACCAAGTGCAGAGCACCTCAAGGGATGCGACAACAAAGAAAGTTCTTTGTTCACCTCCACGAACGAGGGCATGCGAGGCCAGTCACCAAAGTATTTTGTCCAAAGGACAATTGCGGCAGTGCATGTAGTAGGCACACACACAGCCATTATCCCCAGAGTCAGACTCTGCACCAGTCAATTTATTGCGAATAATGAGCAGTTGTTCTGCATCCTATCACAAAGCTTGAGAAGACTAAAATTAGTACTTGCACACAGCCGTTAGTGGCACAATAAAGCGCTGGCTTGGGCGGCCTGGACCCGTGGCCTTCTTTCACCAGGCAAACTCTGAATTCGGTCGCTGTAAACTTGGAACTTAACTACATTACGTTGTTGATCTCTAAGGTGGTCATCATTGAGTGGTGTTCCTGTGTGCTAGGTCTGTCGCCCCTTCTTTCACAATGGCATCTCACGCAGTTCAGATGCTATTGAATTGCTAGAACTATGCACTTACGTTACCTGTACCCTAACAGAGGTTACATTCTATCATGCCATCCGATCTGTAGAAGGTATGAGTATACGGAGTACGAATGAACTAATTTACGCCTGTACATTGTTAAGCACCCAATAGTTCGGTACGAATAAACTAATCAAGGCCTTCATGCTTGAACACAAGCTTATCATTGGCGCGACGAGAAGGGCCCAAACAAGGGTGCCAGTTCTCAGCATGTAACAGAACATTCCGTCATTGTTTGATGTTGACTGGGCCACTGACGCACCAATCAGATATATCGGCACCAGCTACTACGTGTTTCAGGTTCAACCGCGCTGTGGAACAAGGGTCTTTCTCTGTCAGCCCAAACTACGGTTGTGGATCTTCCGTTCCAAGATGAGTTGGAATATACGACTGGCGCAAAAACTGAAACAAAACGCCGAAAGCCCATGCCAATACCCTTTCAGAGCAGAAATTTTCGTATTCACTAATGGAGGAGAAATTAGTTGGGAGATTTTGTGAATTCTAGACCCAGAAAGCGTCACCACATGTAATGGCCCCATGGTTCGCGTCGACAATATCCCTGTCCCTGAGCTAGGGAAGGACCCGTTGTATCCAGAGAGCACGTTCCGGCAAGATGTCGAGATGATGGCTCGTGAATAAATAAGAAGCCTTCCGCAGCCTGAATTGACGCTTTTTGTAACTCCCAAGACCATCGTTCTCTATCAGATTCCTTGTTTTGTCCTTCGTTCTCATATTCATTCAAGGCTGGTCCTTCGTTTTATCAAGAAACTTACCAATTGCACAACTATTGTACATTGCCCATTAAAATTCGCACCAACATCATGCGTGCCTTCGCTCTCTCTGCCGCTCTCCTGAGCGGGTTCCTAACCTGCTCGTCTGCACTCTCTGACCTGGATGCATCAGTCTGGAAGAATATCGAGTCCAAGGTGGACTCTAGGACCATCAAACGGCTCTCGAACCGTCCCGTCAAGCGCCAGTCTGGATGGAGCCCGCCATCCGAACTCTCGACACCTCTCACTGAGGTCTGGAGTCACTATGAATCCACCTACAGTGGTGGCCCATTCGCCGAGACCAACTGGGGATGGCACCAGATCATGAAGAACAAGGGGTAAGTATCCGAGATTCTGAATGATTTTGCGGGAGGCTGACCTTCCTCAGTTCTCTCAGCATTTGCGTGCGCTGGGACTCGACTGCAAGCGTCACCGAGGCGCAGAGAACCCAGACTGCAACCAAGTATGCCGAGCAATACGAGAAATGGTTCAAATGGCTGTATGGATTCGACGGATTCCCTTACTCCGCCATCGACGTCAAGATTGTCGGATGGGCCGTCAAGGACAAGAGCCTCCTTCAGGGATCCACGGATGGCATCACTGTGTACACTGACTTGGATTCCGACGGAGTCCCGATGTGCACTGAAGGCCAATTCGACCACTCGCTTTGGCTCACCGACGGACTCGAGGGAGGCTTCGGCTATACCTGGGGTCAGCAGGTCGGCCGTGAATACTTCATGAACAACATTGAGTCCGAAAACATCCACATTCTTCTGCACGAGATGGTAAGATGCTCTTGACTAAAAATGGTATTGATTGACCCGATTTGCTGACGGACTCTATCTGTAGGGCCACACATTTGGTCTTGACGACTGTAAGTTTCTCTCCCCATCTTCGGTATTAACCTATGGCTAACTTGAGATTCTAGTTTATGGTATGGAACAACGAAACCAGAGATTTTCTGCCTTTTCCACTAGCTTACTGACTACTTCTTAGACTGGACCCCAACTGGCGTTACCAACTTCATCATGCTCGCTGGATCTGCTATGGAGATAACCGACTTTGACGGCTGGATGTTCCGCAACTGGTGGTATGAACTCGCTCAGAAGAACAACTGGTCCAGCGGAAGCTCCGACTCGACCGGCTCTCCCTCTTCAGCCAGCTCCGCGGTTGCGACCACGCCTGCAGCTACTGCTCCCGCCGCGACCGCGCCCGCCACGACTGCTGCTCCTTATCCCACTACCACCCCCGGCGGCTCGCCCGCCTCTACCGTTAGGACCAAGACCCGGACCAGAACCAGGAACTCGAGCGGAACTGTCGAGACACCCACTCAGGCTACACCAGTTGTCCCGGCACCTTCCCAGGGAGGCTTCCAGGGCGGCATGGCAGCAAAGAAATGGGGACAATGCGGCGGAATTGGTCATTCGGGAACGACCGAATGTGACGAAGGATTGGAGTGCGTTCAGCAGAATGAGTACTACTTCCAGTGTCTGTAAGCCGGAGAGACCTATTGCCTTGCGCATTCGTGCACACATTGTGTTATTAGTACAGCTTAGTGAAAAGATCAATTGGTGGTATAATAGGCTACCGTTTGCCGAATTCTGTATTGATGCTGTCTGTCAAAGCGAGGACCGTTCAGTAGTAGTACAATCCATCATCAGTGCCGTCTAATTTTCCCTCGGCTTGCAACTTCAGTAAAGCCTCCTTGCACCTCGCCACCATCGCCTTTCCATATTCCGGGCCCAGCGGCGGCGTCGGCTTCTCCATATCCTGTCTCACCCAGGGTAATTTGGGCGAGGTGATGGACCTGGCGATTTCGGTGCGTATCAAGAAGATGGTGGCGTCATCAAATGCTCCTCCGAGGAGGACGGCACGCACACCCGCTGCCACATTTCCTGTGCCGATGCTGCTGCTTGACGATTCGGGAGCCTCTCCTCGGAGAATGAATGGAACCTCCGTGATGACTGCTCCGGGGTTCATGATGAATTGGACCACTTTGGTTTGCCTTGGTCAACATGGTGCTCTGGCACATCCGTTTGTCCGACGCGGCGGTTGAGAGCCCATACCTTCGAACTCGGGTTTCAACCCTTCAATGACTCCTTGGCCAATCTGCTCTGTTTTCCCACAGAGGATGATGGGAATGGGGGTTGAGGCTGCCATGGCTGGGTAACTCTGATAGCATAAAGTCGCGGGGGAAAGGAAGAGAAGATGAGAAGGCGGGAGGATCTGACTTTGGAGTAAAATTTAGCTCATTGGTTGGTTGAGTGTGGAGAGAATGCATCGAGTGTCATGTCAGCAGCTAGCACATTCCATGTGACGACCCTCATCCCAGCTCTATCAACTGAAACAATGCAGGGTCTATCTTCTCAGACTGTCAGCAAAACATGAATGGCATATCTGTTGCCGCCTACGTACGGAACATGGCTGTGAATGATGAGAAATTGAATTCGAGACGCCAATTGCTGGGCCTAAATCTTACCCCTCAACTACTGATCCACCTGGTGGCGGGGTTCTTCAATCATCCACTGCAGGCCAAAGACGCGAAGGCTAAGCTCTGGAACGATGCAAGTCATCCGTCGATTAACGAAGGGGTTTCTGGATAGAAGAAAGGCAGAAACCTCATTCTCGAAATATTATTGGGCCGATCGAGTTTTCAGAAATCGAGCTGGGAATATAACATATTGAAAGAAAGCATTCCCTTCTCATGGTTTTACTCCATATATATGAGCTCACCCAGAGACCACAAATAATTTTCTACAGAATAAGTATGATGGGAAAAGAGCTTACCAAACTTTGCCTTCGTGGTGTTGACTACACTCCTTGTTTGTGGTGTTGTTCTTTGACCCAATTACTTATTTCGCTACGGGACTCCAAGATCTTCCCAGTTGATTGATGGATACGAGAAGAAAGAGTTAACAGTGACAGTTATCTTAAATGAGTAAGTACAAAGGTAAAGTCTGTTTCACAGTGACGCCCGAGTCCCCAGAGCTATTTGAAATGAGTTACAAAGCTAGAAACAAACACTGGAGTTTTGTTTAGAATAGTAGCTGTTAAACCTCAGACTTATGGGATGGGAGTAAGCCCGACCGCTGACAAATTCTGATTACAGTTATCCTGAACTTGATCAGCTCCGGTTCATCTCGGATATTGGGACATAGTCGATCCGACGGAATCACTGAGTTCTATTTATCCCCGTCTTGTTCCCAGGAACAGTAAGTTTTGAGCTGATCGAAATTGAACGAAACAGTGGAATTAGTACTCGATGAAACTTGATGCAAAAGCATTTTGTACGCGGCGTCGTAAGATGAATCGTTGATGATGTTGAAGCCTATTCCATTAATTTGAAAGAGTATGTGTTGGTAGGAAGAATGAAGATGCGTCACTAAAAGGGCGGATGACGACTGCTGATGCAGCCCACTCATGATACCACCCCGCCCTGGCCTTATATCGCCTTCCCCTCCCAGCTTACTTCCAACTGTGCTACTTTCTCAACGTTTAGAGCCTCTTTATGATAGGCCGCATTTACCAATTGCAAGATGGCAACTAAATACTACATCCGCCAGGGTGGATTCTCGGACCTGAAAGCCACGGGTTCTATCTATGAACAGACAATTGGCAGATCGTCTCTTTTTGAGATTCTTTTCCCCGGCCACCAAGCTGAGCCTGAATCCTTCACGAAGTGGGTAACTCGATTGTTTTGGAAGCGGTACTGGTCGCTTGGCTATTCACTCAAGGTTCTGGCTGCCACCGACGAAAATGATGGTTCTGGCCCAAGGCAGACACAGGCAAGCGAGAAGCTGGTAGGCTTCACTTGGTGGGTTCGGCCGGTTGAATCAATGTCTTTTTATGAGCGCTGGATCTCCCCAAGTATGTAATCTGAACCCTCTGCAGATGTTTGCATTTATTACAACCAATCGAATGAGCCTGAAATTACACTTACGGCGATTTGAAAGCTGGAGCTAATATGACTGAGCGAAAGCCGCCTGGGCATGCTATACAATGAGCACGCTCATCAAGTACTTGAACTTGTTTTCCCCAGTCGCGGGTCTCGATTTCGGTCCCTTGGCCGCAACCAACCGCATTTTTGATCCAATAACAGATAGGCTTCGCAACACTCCCCGAAGGCGCAGCGCCTGGTTCCTCTCCGCTATATGTGTTGACCCGAAGTATCAGGGCAAAGGACTTGGAAAAATGCTTCTGCTAAATGGTCTCAGTGAGGCTGATCGCGCAGGCGTTGCGACCTGGATCATCGGGCTAGCGGGAGTAGAAGACTTTTACACTCGCCATGGTTTCGTCGAAGCAGGAAGAGTGAATGTGGAAGATTTTGGGGCTTGGGATGGTGGAAGTGTTATGTTCCGGGAATAGCTATCAAGTTGAACAGAGGCAAAGGGACGTGAACTCTTTGGCGAACCTAAAACAACATTGCTGCAATTATCTACCCGGGGTTTTGCTGAGCCTAGGCTCATTGAGTTGCGGCAATCGAGGGTACCATGGAAGGTCCATAATATTGAGACAGGTTAAGGGCAGGATCTAAAATCTCAGCACACAACATGTTTTGAGCTGCCACTATATTGGGATCTTTTCGTCACTGAATAAATACATAAAGGGATAGGAATGCAGATGTATGACTCGATTTCTAGGCCAATTAGTTAACGTAAGAAGAACAGTAGTCTGTGTGAGGCTCAGCGTACGCGTGTCTCTTGCTGCAATAAAGTGCTAAATCAGGATACGTCATAATGAAGATCTAGTACATCTGACAGAGTTTAAGTAAACTCTGAGCTGAGTTGATGTAGAGAAGATCACGGGCTTATCGGTTCAGGGTCCAATTAAAGCCCACGGACTTGCCAGTGGAGCTCGGATGTAAGCGGCCGCTCTGGTCATGCGCCATGGCCGGACTTAAGCTCATCTGTCTTCAACTAGGCTTTGGAAGGGCCGGAATATGCTTTTACTAACCCAAGAAGAACAGAAAGAAAAGTATAAAGACTATTCATGTTGCAGAGATGATACGATCTTGTCTCTCGTCTCATCCGGTTCAACCCATTTACATAATAACATCTTCACTGAATCTCTATTATAAATATTCAAACGACTTATTTCATTATGTCTAGAGTCTGGTTTGTTACAGCTGCCTCTCGAGGGCTTGGTCGCGAGATTGTCGAGGCTGCATTGGTAGCCGGAGACAACGTCATTGCAACGGCGCGGGATCCTGCCTCACTCGAACAATTCACGAAGAAATATGGATCCGAGCGTGTTCACGCTTTTGCCCTGGACGTGACGGACAGTGGCCAAGTCTTCAGTGTGGTTAAAGATGCCCACAAGGTCTTTGGACGTATCGACATCGTTGTCAACAACGCTGGATTTGCGCAGACAGCATCGCTCGAGGATATGGATGTTGAATCTTTCAAACGTCAAGTTGATACCAACTTCTTTGGAACTGTGTGGGTCACCAAAGCAGTGGTTCCCATTATGAGGCAGCAGGGAAGCGGCCACATCATCCAGATATCCTCTGTTGGCGGCAGGCTGGGAACTCCCGGCATGTCAGGGTACCAGAGCGCTAAATGGGCCGTTGGAGGCTTGACCACTGTTTTGGCTGCCGAGGTGGCCCCCTTTGGAATCAAGACTACGGTTCTCGAGCCCGGTGGCATGAAGACTGACTGGGCTGGTTCTTCGATGGAGCATGGTGTTATGAGCGAACCTTATAAGCAGACCGTCGGCGCTTTTGAGGAGCTCCGAAAAACCTATGAGCCTCACTGGACACCCCCCGAAAAGGTGGCAAACGCCGTCGTTCTCCTGAGCAAGGTTGAAGACCCTCCTCTTCGTCTTCTCGTGTGTCCCGAGACTCCACAGATTGCGAAGGCTGCAGCAGCAAAACTGGCGGAATCTGATGCCAAGTGGGAGAACTTTTCTATAAACCTGACGCTCTGAATCAATCAGGGCAATGTATGCTGATCTTGTTGGAAAATAAAAGTAGTAAAGTGTGTTGGCTGTCCAAAAAATTGTATGTAAGAATCCGTAATTGTAGAGAATAGTTGAAGTGATCATCGGGGCTTGGAATTTGACTCAAGAAGTCTTGCTAGAATCCCTTATAACATGAATACTACTTTGGGGCTTAGAAAGCATCACTTTGAACGATGTGCTGAAATATGAACCTTTTTAGAGAGTTTCATCAGCCGAGTTAGTCAATAAAACCATGTATGTCTATCTAATCAACAAAAGGCTTGGAAGGAGGGCTGAGACGTAGAGTATATGGGTGGTCTATCATCCCTGTTACTATCAAGAGAACAGTTTGTTCACAAAATTCTCTCGAGCTTTAACAATAGGCCGAGACCATACTGCTTGTTTCCAAGATGGGCGTCCGTGATCATATCCTATCTTCTACGTATCATTCAAGGCGAACGTGAACGATGTCCACCCGTCTACAGGAGCTTCATATCTCCTCGCAACACTGTTGGGAGCATGTGGTCTGGTGTCCGGAAATGGGATCAATCCTAGAACATGCGCCATTACCTAGCTAGATGGAAATTGTGAGGGGTCAAGCGTTTGACGCGACAGGCTTCTGAAAAATGAATTTAGGGTGGGAACATACAGGTCTATTTAAATTGATCCTCGATCTACTCATATCTACTCCTTCTTGGATACTGATCCCATCACTTTCCGCGCCTCTTCAACATGCTTTTTTGTATCGTCTTGGATAGCTTCATTATGCAACAACTCCCCCAGCCGCTTTCCCCAGAAATTCCACCTTTGTAGACTCAAAGGGGCAAGATCCCTTCCAGAGAGATCACCTGTTTTCAGTGATTGAGACTCACCCGTAGAGAGCACCTCACCGGAAGTAAATTTTTTCAGAAGAGGCTCACTTTAGTTAATAAGCCACTCAGCAGCAACCCAAACCTGGCAGTCGAGAAGAGGTCAATTGAAGGGTTTTCAAGCGACTCATGAAATTCCCAGCAATCTAGGTCAAGTGGCTTAATAAAGCCATCACCAACAATACGTGAAGCAAAAGAACCAGTGTTTTTCCAGAATTCAAAGAGACTCTGAGGAACGAGTTCGTCATCTTGTTGAACCGGCCCTTTTACAATTAGCATTGGAATAGAAGTTGAAATGAAAGTACGTACTCAGCTCCCAATGTTCAATTAGCCTTGTCTCAAGCCAGGGAGATTATGCCATGTACACTCCTATAACCTCCAATTAGTATCAGTAAATAGAGATAAGAATAAAAAACGGACCGGCTTTTCTTGTTTGGGAACACCTTCTCTCTGATGAATAAGATGAATTGCAAGAAGTAGACACCTTTGCCATTGGTGGCTAGCTGGAATGCGCCAGGCCATCTCAACTAACACAGCCCAGAGGGACATAAAGACACCCTTAGGTGGGACGTCGTTCTCAATCTTGAAGAGGAAGATTGTATCATTCGCAGTCTTAGCGGCTCGATTTTCCACAGAGGCTAGGTACTCAAGAGTACCTTGGATCATGCGGGAAATAGAGCGCTCGAATGCTAAAAGCGTTCTTCAATTGATTACAGAAAATCCATTTTGACTGAGTTTATTGAGTAACTGAGCAAGGCAATTGATGAAATGAGGCTCAGCCAGATTGAAGACATTTCATTGAAACACGCACATATTTACTTAAATATAATATTTGACACAACAACCTGAATGAAGCGAGGCTCGGACAGCGGAAACAGGAGGCGGGGTTTCGAGCCAATAACCGCCCTGACTTCCTATCTGCTCCGTATGTAACCTACCTACCTATTATGGAAATAGGAGACGATCGGTTTCAAGGAATGATTATCTCAAAGATTAGCTGGGAGCTAACGAAAGAGAGGTTAAAAAGTACCTCTTCCGCTCCCATGGCGTGTTCGCGGCCTGTCATTGTTCGACACCACGGCCATCACCGATCATGAGGGCACCCTTTGTCCCGTTGTTAGTTCTCATTACACCTGCAATTGCCCAGGAGCTCTCGCTCGCCCAGCGCGGGGATACCAACTGCACAGATGTCCACATCTTCCTGGCACGCGGTAACAACGAACCCTACCCCGGTCGCCAGTCTAAGCTTGTCGCCGCCATTTGCAACGGGCTGAAAAGCTGCGACTATGAAGATATCGCGTACTACAATCCCTTTGAAGCCCCGTATTGCGAGTCAATAGTAGAAGGCGCTTCAAATGGCATTTCGCAAATAACTGCCTACAATGAGCGGTGCCCCGAATCCAAATTAGTCGTCAGCGGATATTCTCAGGGCGCTCATGTCGTTGGCGATGTCCTGGGTGGCGGCGGAGGAGTATATTTCCAAGGCTGTGTCCAAGCCCCCAACGACGGCTTGGACTTTGAAAAGGCTCCCGGAAACATGAGTAAGTGAGCACAAGGGCCGACCTGAAGTCGACGTTGCTGACTGTTTCGTAGTCCGCGCTGCTCTCCTGTTTGGAAATACCCTTCATACTGCAAACCAGCCTTTCAACTATGAAAGCGGCTCTGGTGGCAATGGCCTCTTCCCGCGGTCTGGAGACAGACTCACTGGCTTCAACAAGTTCGCCAGTGTGCTCCGTGACTATTGTGTTGCCTCGGACCCAATATGTGCTGGCGGTGATATGGTGGCCAATCATCTCAATTATTTCGACATTTATTCGACAAACGCGGCGAACTGGGTTGTTGAAAAGATGGGATTGGAAGATGGGTCTACATCAACTGTCATGAGCACCACCGGCAGTACCGCCAGAAGCAGCACCGATACTAGTAGAAGCAGCAGTACGTCTGAGGCCAGTTCCGCAAGTGCTAGCGCCACATCCTTCTCTGGAACCGCTTCGCAGACGCAAGATACGACGGCTTCAGAGACAGATGACAGCGCTGCTCCTGAAACGCAAGGCACAACCGAGCAGACTTTGCAACCTACGTCATCTCATTCACAAGACAATGCCCCGGAAGCGTCTTCAGATGGTAACAGCTTGTTTTCCTTAAGCAGCATTTCAATGAGATTAATTTCAAGCTTTGTTATATTCACCTTTACATGGTGAAGGGGGGGAGTCTCGGCCGTAAAGCATAAGGAAGTATCTACGGCCAATTTGACTGAGTTTATAATGGCGAGTGTAGTGTTTTGCGGGCGGATATTTCGACGGATAGACGAAGGATATGGAAATTTCGAATAATTAAATGTAGCTCACTTGCAGTGCGAAAGTATTGAGAAGATAACAAACAAGGGCAGAGGTATCGTAAATAAGAAGTAGAGTAGAATGGTGATAGATTCTAGGAAGTCAACTAAATAGCAAAAAGTATGTTCGAGGGTGACAGAAAGTATGCGAAGGAAGAAATCAGAAAGCAAGCAATGGGGGCATGTTCTCATAGTTTATATTGATTGGCTTAAAGTATGAAATTGAGAAACTTGACTACGGGACTTAAATGTACTCTTTCCAGCTATAGAGCCATCCATGATATTCTGATTTAAGGACAGACCACCCCGCCATGTAAAAAGGCCACCAGACTTTGTCTGCCTCATTGAAGGAGTTTATTTAGTGGATGGGCATCGAAGAAGTCTAATATCATAGGAGTGGCATCGAACTTTGCAGGTCTTCCTTTGTTGTCGCTGTTTTTCGATTTCGAAGGCCAGTGGTGTCCAAGTTCTGAGTCGAAGACATGAGTAACCAACCCTTCCTTGTCACCGAAACCATACTTGGTAATATTTGTGGTGGGCGTGTCGGCTGCCAATTGCGTGGTATTACCTTTCACGTCGAGCGCATTGTATCTCACCCATGTCTCTATCCACCAGGGAACACTGGGAAGACACTCTCCGGGCCTTCTAGCGTAATCCCCACGATAATTCGCCGTCACATCCCTGCCGCCATGAAACTCAAGAATAGGAACTTCTGTTCTTCCTGGAGAGCAAGGAATTGGGAACGTATAAGGTTCCACACAAGGCTTAGCATTAGTGTAGAGAAGAGGGGAGACTAGAGCGAAGGCAGCAAAAATTTGTGATAGAGTTGGTTCGCATGTAAGCAATCTTCCGACCAAGCCCGCTCCTTGAGATTTCCCAGCAGCGAATATCCGATTCTTGTCAATGCAATAAAGGTCTTGGACTGCATTGAGAATAGACGTGGTGAATTCAACATCGTTGGCAGTAAAGTTTCTCAGGCCGAGAGCCCAGTAGTGCTGCAACTGCCATCAGTCTTCATTGTTCGAATTGTGGATTAGGAACTTTTACCTTATAACAAGTGCCATGCTGTGCACAGTTTGGCTTAGTCAAACCCTCCGGGTACACGACTAATTTGTCCGTGTTATGCTTAGGGTCGGTAAACTGATCTAATTTGAGCTGTCTTTGTACGTCTCGAGAACCAGCATGATAGGACACAATGAGAGGCGCGGGTTTGTTGATAGAGTATCGTAGGGGTATAGAGACCAAATAACGCCTGTTGTTGATAGAAGCTTCATAAACTCCTCCTGGTTTTTGTCCATTAGAGAGAGCTCTACCACAGCCAGCGGAAGAGCTCTGCGTGGAGACAAGTGCCGCGAGCGCGGATAGAACTATGATTGCAAGGCGAGCCATTTCAGAAGAGGGAACAACGATGTGTGCTCTCTGGGTTCATACAACGCGAGGTAGATTATAAGAAATAGATTATCAAATAGTCTTAACAGGACTGTATAGATAGGCCAATGAGGAACATATATTCTATCGCTGGCCCTTGTTTGTCTCTTTCTCCCTGCGTTTGCAAAGCTAAGACACGCAATGAGACAAAAGACAAACAATTACCGGTTACGACTCATAAAACCGTCGCTCATTACGAAGAGCTGTGGAGGCCTCATGAGCCTGAATGAACATCCCTGTAAAAATTCATCGTTGAAAATTGCATATTAGCATGTTTCGTTTGTTTGAAAGCACGCCACATATGATATGTCTTGGTGGGAGATAGTGTGGTGGCTGTTGATGTTGTGGCTAGATCACCCAATTTCACATTTTCTTCACATTTTCATTTAACAGCTTCAGCGACAAAAGCCAACCCTCGTCATTACAATAATTGAGAATATGTCGTTTTTTTCAATGCGGCTGAGCCTTTTCCTCGCACATGAACTTCTCTGAGGGTTGTGTATTTTGCTTGTAGTGTATCGCATCCAACGAATTGAGGATCGTCGAATATGCGCAGAGAGCCCAGTGTCTCATATGTCCCAACAACCCACCTATTTTCGCCGAAGCCTGCGTGCTCAACATTGGGCGGCTTGTTCCAGACCGTTCAGGCAGAGATATGGCTGGTTGTATGTATGTCTGAGGCGGTGGATAATTATGCTATTGGTCGGTTTTCTTCGCTGCTAGTGCATTTCTGGGTCTCTGCACCCCGAAGCTCTATTTTCCGGTAGCCATCTACAAATATCAGGTATAAGTCTTATTTTGGGCTTCATTTTATTTCAGGACTTGCTGCGTGAGAATCAAAATTGTTTCAAGGCAGTCGAAATTTTGCCATATCCAGTGTGGTAGCCCCAAGAACTTACTTAAAGCATGGCTGCAAACCCATCAATTCTAGAGTCGAAAGGCTTTCGATTTAGAAATTGACCGGGAGGAGAAGCAGCCGCGGAAGGTTTCGGGCTGTCACACGCAGTCATAGTTCCAGCAAACGCGCGAAGAATTATTGTTGGCGGCCAGCTTGGTATTCGAGATGACGGGTCGGTGCCGGAAAATATCGAAGAAGAAGTCAAGCTGGCGTTCGACCATGTCTTAGCAGCTCTCAAGTCGGCCGGTCTCGGAGATGATGCGTTTGAATATGTCTATTCGGTAAGAGCGGTCTGTCCCTTGACGATTTGATTTTAGCACCAGATGGACAGCAGCTTATGATGCGCAGGTCAAAACTTTTGAGCTCAATTACAACGGGAAATCTATCGTTGAACCGGTTGTTTCAATCGCGAGATCGTTTCTGAAGAATACTAAGCCTGCTTGGACTGGTGTTGAGGTTGCCGCCCTGGTTCATCCTGATGTACATTTAGAGATCACCGTGGAAGCATATCTTCTAAATTAAATACAACTGTCAATTTAAGACCTAAATAGTAGTCGAAATACTTATTGTATCAAGATTTCTTTTTGAAAAGCAGACACGTAGAATTTCGCGATTTTTAGGTCCTTGTTCCAACATGTTGTGATATCCGATAGGTCATCACAAACTGACCCGGCGGATTATGGTGAACCACGGAAAGTAGTATCAACTATTTAGCATGCGACGATGAATATCCACAAAATTCGGAAATGACCAGCATACTTTGATATGAGTGTATTGACTTATACTAACTTAAGCAACTACAACTCCCTCGCCCTGGGTATACACTGAATCGGTGGCAAGTATGGAAGCTCCCTCAGTCATGTCCATAGAGTCATAGCTTCCGCCGGCAGGCAACGAAAGTTGTTCAATTGTGCCCTTCTTTGCACTTTTTACATCCTTGGCAAGCTGGTCGTAATGCTTATCCACTTCCTCAAAAACATTGTAGTCGGTAACCCACGGCAGAAGTGGGATAATGAGAGAGCCTGGGTATTGCTCAATGAACTCGGGGGTCCAGTCATTGTTGTGGTAAATATTGCGAGTCGAAATAGAGGCCTGGTGAATGACATGCGACCTGTTGAAACGTATACGTTCAAAAACTTGCAGACCGAGCTCTAGATCACCTTGACATTTCTGCAGGCACATTGCAACAGCGGTGGCGTCTTCGACCGCCTGGCAGGCACCCTGAGCAGAGGTTGGCAAATGGCAGTGAACAGCGTCGCCCATCACGGCGCATCTCTTGAACGGCGAGAGCCAGGTTGTGACGGGGTCTCTCCAAACCAGCTTGTAGTCGATCAGGCGGTCTTTTGGCGTAACCTTGGTGATGCTTCTCCAAACGTCGGGGAACCCTGCCTTGTCGAGATAATGCAGGACGTCTGACTTCTTGGCTTTCTCAGACAAGGACTCTGCAATATCCGATTCATCCAAGTGTGTGAGAACCCAGGCACAGTCCCTTAAATGCATGTTAGAATTTTTAGCCAAATAAATATTGTGTTTGGGCAACTCACTTTCCACCCTTCCAGGTGTAGATGAAACCGTGCATGTCACGGCCAACCCAGCAGCGCACAGTATCCTCACCTCCGTTTACCATCTCGGCAACCAGGGGATCCTTGAGCATTTCGTCCGTGATATTGAAAAAGGCTCTGAAGATGGCATAACCGCTGTTGACTTTTGATTCTTTCAGGCTTAGCAGCTGCTCGCGAGCCATGGATTTCGGCCCATCGCAGGCCAGTACAACATCTCCAAGAATCTTCTCGCCTCCTTCGACGACTACTCCGCGCTCTTGCTCAGAATCAAGGTACTGAACAACGCGTTTGCTAAATTCCATCTAGACACCGATCTCCCGCGCATAGTTATAGACAATCTCGTGGAGTTCTCCACGGTGCCCAGCGTACACGTACTGAAAGTCGGTCCCTTGTGGCCACACATCCCGTCGGAGAGGCTGGTTTGTGGAATTGAAGAACTCCAAAAACTTGGCCTTGTTGACGCCCGCTGCTGCCAATTTGCGACCGACGGCTCCATTGTCCCAGGACTCAAAGATACGACCGGCATTGCGGACAAAGTCAAGAAGATCACCGTGCGAGCTCGCGCCGGGATACGCTTCGACCAGGATAGGATGTAGGCCTCTTAGTTTGCATTCGATGGCTGCGGTGAGGCCGCAAAAGCCAGCACCGACAATGACTACCCGGAGCGGGGAGCTGGAAGCCATGGTAGATATCGGATAAGAGACCTAGGTGCAATGAATTGATCTTTGGCACAAATAGGTTTCAGGCGGTTGGGTTTAGTTGCTGAAGTCTGAGTTGAGGAAGGACCTGATCTTCAATCGCAAGGGCAATTGCCTTGGCGGTTGAAGTCTCTTATCAATATTCAAATTACAGTGCTAACGTTTAGCACAGCCGTAGCTCTCAAGGTCTAACCCATGTTGTAACTGCGCTCGGGGACCGCGGACAGCCGGCCATATTGGAACAAGGCAGCCAATGAGGTATTAATCCTTCCAGAGCTCGGAAATCTCATGACATAAACCGACGATATCATCGATGTGATAGGAATCGAATCCGAATAACGTCTTCACCACCGGCTTCTCAAATTTACTCAGGCCTGTTAATCTCATTGGTATATTGGGTTATTTGTATGTTTCTACGAAGCATTTCCCTCATCTGATATCGCATCTGTGTTCTACCGAGAGCTGGGAAAACTACAGGTAGCCTGAATGAAAAAGCCATTCCTAACTGTGTGCCACCAACTTTTTACGCTTGACTAGATCTGCGGCTTGACGAACGACAGCAGGTTATTAATCCATTTCAAGATCGTATTCCCTCGGCCTTGGTACTCCAGTTCCGCGGCGGACGGCAATGAGATGTGATCTTATCGGAATGCGGGGAAGATAACTTGCCTCAACTAACCTAGAGTTGGATGCCTTTGCTAATAATCCGTCACCTGGTTTATTACCCCTTCCCATGTCTGATCTGTCATCGTTGCCGTAGCTGAGAATTAAATGAGCTTTCTGCTCATTATTACCTTCCTTAAAGCCATTCACCTACCACATCTAAAGCCTTTCAACATATTCCATCTCCTCCTCTCTTTTTAATTTCATCATAAGCCGCATATCATAACCAGACAACCTCAACAGGCTGAGACATAATCTGTCAAGACTGGCAAGATGGCGGGGAGAGCAAGTATTTCCAAGGAGACCGGTTTGGGGAAGGCGGTCAACTCCGATGATAGAGATGCCGAGGTGCTCGAGAACATGGGGATCACACCCTCTGAGATAAGCGGAGTTTCAATGTTTGGTCGCTTCTCTTCATGTCCTTTTGTACCAGTGTGACGTGAGAAGCGGTCTCCTCGGTTGTCGCCCAAGCTCTCACTTCAGGTGGATGCTCCAGCTTCGTCTGGGACTTCGTTGCTGCCGCTGCTGGGGCAATGTTGGTCGTCTCTTGCCACGGAGAATATGCCAGCATGATACCGACAGCAGGGGGTCAGTACCACTACGTCGCCGAGATGTCTCCTATGAAATATCGAAGGATCTTCTCTTGGTACGCCGGCTGGATGACCATGATCGGTTGGGTTCTCTGTGCCACCGCTGGTACTTTTGCTGGTGTGATGCAAATTCAGTCCTGGATCATTCTTTTCAAAGAGGATTACGTGTATGAACGATGGCATACAAGTTTGGTATGTATGATTGGTGGCTTTGGCCCAGCAAACCCAATTTCCTATGAGGACGTTCGTTGACGCAGGTATCAAAGATATTTATGGGGTTCACAACCTACTATTCGATAACAGCCATTTTCCAGCTGAAATATTTACATTATATGATCTTCTTGGCAATGTTTGCCCACATCTTTGGATATCTCGCAACGCCGATTTACTTGTTAGTAAACGTCAAAGAGAAGAACACGGCGACGTACGTGTTTACAGACTTTACGAATCTCAGCGGTTGGGAGAGCCCTGGAGTAAGAAACTATTCCCGTCACACCTGCCGTAAACATAACATCCAATGCTCACAATGTATTAGATTAGTTGGTCAATCGGTCTTTTGACTTCGGCTATTGGATTCGTGAACTGGGACAGTGCCCTCCACATGGCAGAGGAGATGAAGGATGGGTCCAAAGATCTTCCAAGAACAAGTTAGTTTTACTTCTATTTCAGACTATTTGCCAAGTTATCTAATTGCGTGGCATCTTCTAGTCTTGGTTAGTGTTTTTGGCAGCGCGGTTCTTACATTTCCGTGGATCATTGCCTTTGCCTTCTGCATCACTGACATCCAAGGAGTGTTGAGCGGCCCCGTTGGGTTGATTAGCCCAATAGCTCAGTTGTTTTACAATGTGTCGGGAGGAAATCAAGCCGCAACGATAGGCCTTACGCTCTTCCTGCCACTCATGTCATTTTGTGGTACCGGCCAAGCTGTGATATCATCGACATCACGCGTCGTCTGGGCCTTTGCAAGAGATGGTGGCCTCCCTAATGTTCTTGCCAAAGTGGGAGAGCGAACCAAGGTGCCTACAAACGCCATTCTCTTGACTTGGGCCATCAACTGTGCCATCAGTTTGATCTACATCGGTAACGCGACTGCTTACTACGGTATCTCATCAGCCTGTACGGTTGCGCTAGTTATGTCATACGCGTTCCCTCTTTTCATCAATGTCGTTTGGGGCTTTGAGCACTGTGCTATCCCCCGAGGCGCGTATTCTTTAGGTCGATTCCATCGCCCTGTAGCCGCCGTCGCCCTGGCTTGGTGCATCTACCTTACGATTTTCCTCTGCTTTCCCACCTACTATCCGGTATCAAAGGACAACATGAACTACGCTTCGGTCGTGATTATTGGTGGTACTTCTGTGGCTACGATAAATTGGTTCTTGTACGGGAAGTCCCATTACGTGGGTACAATGTCAAGTGTCGAGGGTCATTGATTGAAGGAGACCGGTTTCGGCATTCTAGCTAGAATCATTTGGCTGCTTTCTGTTATGACTCAAACAATTGTGATGCAGACTAAATAGAAATCCATAAATCTCGTTTATTATGCGTTTCTGGTGACAGGAACTTTTGACAAAGGGTGTTGAATACGATAAGCCCAGCTGAAAGCCTTCTCTAACGTTCTCACCTATCGTTTAATTCTGTGTCCTCTGTATAGATGACACACTGATGGGTCACGACCAACAAGGTATCTCGTTTATAATATTGCTCGTCGGCCGTCGCGAATATCAGAGTGACGTCTTCAATATGCAAGATGTGCCCTTTCTGAAACTTGGAAATAGCCGTCTTCAACTTCAGATCGAGACGACACCAAAGATGCAAGGCCGATTCTAAGCTAGAGAATTATCCCAGATACGGAATTTTCCGCATCGTTGTCAGATGTTCACTGGAAGAGGGGAAGAGAAGAGAACCCCTCGCCTTAGCGTCGCTTATCGAGAACGGCGCCCGCGGACTGCGTCATGCGCTACCATCTGGCGGCCGGATCAATATATGTCTTGCGCAGTTTATCGCGAGTCGTTGATTGCATTGCGGGGAATCTGGGGCTAGTGACAGTTGGACCCCTTGATCGATCCAACCGTGGCGATGATGTTACAAATATGCACCCCGCCGGGACCGACATCGACGGAACTGTTGTTCTCTTTCCACACCAACCGAAGTATCCGTCGATATGTCTGTATCTCAAGAATTGCTAAACTTCATCTACGTCTACTGGAAGTGGATGTTTCCATTTGTTGGTGTCGCCTATCTTGTCTCAAATCGCTTCCAAAAAGGCCTGCATCGGATTCCGGGGCCATGGCTCAACAGCTTCTCGACCTTACCACGAATGTGGTCTGTCTACAAAGGGAAGCATCATCTTGAGGATCTTGACCTACACGCTCGATACGGCAAGGTTGTGAGGGTCGCTCCGAATCTTGTTCTGGTGTCTGACACCTCTGAGATCAACCAGATCTACGGCATCAATACGCAATTCATCAAATCACCCTTCTACGATCTATCTGCCGTCTATGATAATGAGGGCCTGGTCCCGGACACTTTTGTGCTCCGCCAAAATAAAGCCCTGCATTCCCGGATGAAGCGCAATGCGGCCAATGCCTACAGTGTAAACGGCCTGATGCAGTTCGAGCCGTGGATCGACCCCGTAATTGAAAAGCTCCTTTCGATCTTTGATCGTCATGCAGCGAGCGGGATGGCATTCGACATGGGGGATATGCTAAAACGCTTTGCTATGGATGCAGTCTGCAGTCTGACGTTCGGAAGCGACTTCAACTATCTGGAAAAGGGCGACGAGATGAAATTTCTGAAATCAATGTCCCTTTTTACCGCTTATATGTCGATTGTAAGTATAAATCCCATCTTCTTATTAAAGGCGGCAAATCCTCAGTCCAACACATTTTCAATGACTAACACGGTGACTTTTACTACAGTTTGGCCATGTAGCTTGGCTTCACCCTATTCTTCTGGGCAATCCCTATATAGCTAGAATCGTTTCTGGCGGTGATTCTTCCAACGATGCCATGCTGGAAATTTCTGGCCATGAATTGGGTAAATTTCGAGAATCTCCTCCAGCGGAAGGCGATGCCATGACATTCCTGAGCCGTCTCGCTCTGAACCAAAGCACAAATCCGAAATTGATCACCGACCGCGAGATCTTGACACACGCGTTTGGAAACATATCCGCGGGTTCCGATACGACTGCAATTGCCATGGGCTCCGACATTTATCATTTGCTTGTGAACCGAGCTGCCTACGATCGTCTCGCAGACGAGATTCGCAGCCAGCTATCTCTACCTGTTGGTTTCCAGGAAGCCAATGCTCTTCCTTATCTGAAAGCGGTCGTGCAAGAGGCAATGCGTATGCATCCATCAGTGGGCCAAGTCCTAGGACGCATAGTTCCTCCTGCAGGGGCGACTGTTGGTGGCTTCAAAATAGGTGCCGGTGCCGAGGTCGGAATGTCTCCTTGGGTATTACATCGTGATCCGGAGGTCTTCCCAGAGCCAGATTCCTTCAAACCAGAGAGATGGATTCTTGGGGAAGGAGTGAGAGACGAGGAGCATCTCAGACAGATGAACCGCTCATTCTTTTCGTTTGGCCACGGGACTCATACATGTACCGGGAAACATATCAGTCTAATGGAGGTGACAAAACTCATTCCTACCCTTCTTTTAAGGTACGATTTAGAGTTGGCTGAAGTTGGACAAACTCTCAAGTTTAACAATTGGTGGTTTACCCAACACCATGACCTCAGGGCCAAAATAACTCGCCGGTAAAACTTTCAAATAAATACGCAGCTGTCAAAAACAGTTATGGTCGTGTATAGAATCGAATAACAGAAGGTTATTCTATTGCCATTTGCCGGTATTGATTGATACTTGCTGCTTTTCTCAACATTCGATCGATATCTGTTATCCATATCATGGGGCGTGTAATTCCAAGTAATCATACCCGGCAAAGTACTAATTTTAGGGCATTGAAAACTATAGTCTTGAACAGGTTTTGAACCCTATCACTTAGTTGTGATAAGTTCAAGAGCTAATTAGATTGGCTAGATAACCCATACTAGTCATAGCTTGCAAAATACATTGATGGAGGTGTCTCGGTATATCTTGCACTGGAGCTTTTTTCTCCCGAAGAGTCCCGTTGATATTTCGTCCCGCTCCAGCCATTAGACCGGTCACCACTCAGCGTTCGCGAGTGCTGTCTCCGTCTCGCCACTTCTTCCGAATCAGGTGCCGAGTGTACAGATTCATAGCTTTGACTTCGTCGGAACCCGCGATCCGTGGCTGGCGTCGATGGTGTCGAGGAATTTCGCACGGCTTTCGGCGAGGCGTTGTAGTATCCCCATTCCCTCTCCCGCGCCTTTCCCCGAGCTGAACTATATCTGACCTCTCTAGCCTCGAAGCTCTTAAGATCGAAACTCCCTGTTCGCCTTCTTGGTTTATCTTGCGATGGCATCTTTTTCTGCCCCGACTTGAAGATGTCGTACATCTGCTGGAGAAATTTTCTTGATGGCTCATGGGTTTTCGGGGGGTCGTGGTAGCGATGCTGCTTCCGGCCGCGATCTCCACGGAGTGCCATGGAGTGGTCCCATAGGAATGCTTGTTCGTAGTCAGGAACCCATCGCTTTACGATAATAGCCGATGAATCATTCTTGCAGACGTTAGCAACGTCTCCCTTTGACTCTAATGGAAGACAAAGCAACATACCTCATCGTACTGCCACGGAATCTCATACGCGTTCAGAGTTCTTTTAGAAACCCACTTCTTTGACATTCTAGTGACTGTTGTCTCCACACCATCAATCACCATCGTCTCCCCGGTGTCGTTGGGAATCTCGTCAATCTGGCCGCCATCTACGCCCGTGTCAGCCAAAGCACCCTTTAAATAATTCAGGCACCAGGCGTTCTTCTCCTTGATTTCCTGCCCTTTCAGCTCCTCATCTTTAGGCAGGGGATTCTCTTCCAAAATAGCGCCAGGGTTGTCGATGCCGTATTTTGACATGTTCTTTTTGAGCCGCTCGAGAAAAGCCAGCTCTATAGCTCGTTTCTCTTTAGCCAGACGTTTTTGATAATCCTCTTCCTGAATTATAGCCTTTTTACGAGACTCTTCCTCGCGAAGCTCCTTAACCGCCCCTCTTCTTAACTCTTCCTCCTCTAGGGATACTTGAGATGCCGCCGCACTAACAACCTTCTGAGAGCTTTGGTATGGTCTTGATAGCTCCGATTTCGGCTTTTGTGGTATTCTTCGACTCTTAGGCCGCCTTTTCGAATTGGCCTTCTGGTCTGACGGTACTTGTGGAGATGTGCTAATATAAGTTGCTGTAGAATCCACATCATTGACTTTGGACAAGAGGTCAGCCTTTTTCAAGGCTAACTTATAAAACCGTACAATTTCTGCGCGAACTTGCAAATAATGTGAGTTGGTAGGGCCGTTGAATTTGTTGAGGCTAAAGTGGTCTACCTCGAGACCGTGCTTCGGATGGCCGTCAAAGGTCGCGCTTGCTGCATCTACTATAAACTCAGTAATATCAGTTCTTCCCACGACCTTTCCAAGTTTCGATGAACGCTGCTCAAAGAAGCACGAAATCTCGGGTCCGCCGTCCGTGCATAGGGTGATGAAGTCATCCGATACGTCGAGGAGACTACCAGTGTCAGACGTCATTGTATCTAACACGCTGGTTTCGAGATGCTTTGACAAGTCGGAAGATGCTGCGATGGCTGCTAGGAGAGCGCTCTCCCGTGTGAAAGACCGCGACCCACGATGGGGGGTTCCAAGAAAGACAACGCCGACTGATGAGTCGAATAACCCTGGATACTTCTCCTGACGCATTTTGGCAAGATTTAGGGCCTAAAAGTTTGTCAGTGAGGGTTCTCCGCTTGAGATGTTCCCGGCATACACGCTCAATCACCAAACCGCCAAAGCAATGCCCGATGAATATGAGTGGTCTTTCCAAGTCTTCCTGTGGCCTTATTAGCGAAGCCCGCCAACGTGACATAATTAACATACCACGCGCATAATATTCAGGCTGAGAAGTAATTTGTATGCAATGGTAGACAGAGATGTTCGAATAGGAGTCTCTCCCATCCAAAGCGAATCATACCCAAACCTCAGAATCCTCGCCTCGGGAACTGCCTGGGGCAGCATGTCTTTGTGCGAGAGCCAATTGATGCTCGACGTCTTCTCTTTCCAAGTAATATCCGGTATCGCGCCAAGACCATGGACGGCGACAATGTCGACGCGACCATCAGGAATTCCCGGGTTCATCACTTCAAGATTGAGCTGCTCCACCGGTACGGCCTGAAGTTTTTTGGTTCGCGGATCTGTGGTAGCATGCGTAGCCTTTTTGCTTGGACCTGGAGGCTGAGAAGGCGCTGGGTTTCGGGGGACATTGGCTTTAGATTTCTCAAATGCCTTGTTCCGCTGCTTGATCTGCTCCTCGATGGATGAGTGTGATAAGGGACCGTCAGACTTGAAGGCCGTTGTGTTGTTGTCAGAAGTAGTCAAATCTTGTTTCTTGGCCTATCCAATGTCAGTAACTAATCAGGGGGAATACGCTGATACAGCGTTACTGAATTATGTACTTCGTCGAATAACTGTAGAGCATACGCAACAAATTCTTGTCTCTCGTCACTTAACGATATGTTTTGTGATGGAGGGCGAACCCGAGATCTCGCACGAAATTGCTTCTGCGTGCTCCTTTCTCTTCTTTGAGGAACCTCCCAAAAGTCTTCCTGGTGGGTGTATATTAAGTCTTCCTGGTTGGCGTATATAAAGTCTTCCTGGTAGGTGTATTTAATGTCTTTACGAGAGTCGGACCTATCGCCGGACTTTGCCTCCCATGGGGCAGCCTTAGAATTAGAAGATGGCGCAGCCTTTGCTCGATGTTCCCGGAATGCCACCATTCTGTCATAGTCTGCTCTCGCTGAATCATTAGACAAGAGCTCAAATGCTTTTTGAACACGCTGAAACTCTTCCATCTGAAATTCCTTGACCTCGGGGTCTAGGAACTTGTCTGGGTGGCATTTGAGGACGAGCTTGCGCCAGGCGGGCTTGATATCGGACATTGATGCATCGGAGGCAACGCCGAGAATCTTATATGGATCCGGCGGTAACAATGCCATGATGCAATTCACTGATGTTATCCGCCAGCGGCAGGTCTGTCTGGCGCTGTAGGCTCCTTATTCGACTGGCCTTCATCTGGTGAGGGGTACCGAGATTTGATAAACTTTGCTACTCGGCTTGAGCGCCGCCCCGGGTAATGTGGGGGAGTTTCGAGTGTGAGTATAGAATGGATCTAGTAGCTTTGTGGGATACTGTTCTATGCAAATAAGGGCGTCGACTGATGGGTTACTTCAGAATGTGTAGATGTTGAGATCAAAGTCAAGCAGTCAACGTAAGGCTGTCAAAGCACAATTGATAGTGTCATCAGCTGACAAGGGTCTGTGTGGGCGGCAGACAGGGATTAGTCCACACAGAGCTCACAAAGGTGAGCTTTCCTCAAGTTCAACGGATTTCACATGATGGTATGGAATCAGCTCGTAAGGCATCCATCTACCAAGAATAATCTAGCATACACCTTCTGGAAGATCAAATGAATCAACCCGAGGCTCGCCTGTCACTGCACTGGCTCCCAAACCACGCTTAGCAAATGCCCTCCAAATCTCACAGGCATTCTCACCGCCCGTCAAAGCTACATCAGCGTCGATGATGGCATCACGAGCTTGTACAAACGACGGATTACACGGTTGGCTGGAAATGGCGAGGTTAGTTCCAATAGTGAGTCGTCTCGGCAGTGGCAAAATAAGATCCTCGAATGCTTCTACTTACAGGGCAAACCCGTCGGTGGTGATTTTAACAGAGAGAAACTTCCCATCGGTGGGCACACCATTAACCATGTCGGGACGGGGATTTGTCGTTCTTGCCGTGCTTATCGATGAGATTCCACAACATTTCATAAAGCATCGTACACCAGACGGTCCCTACTTGGTGGACTCTGTTGAAATCATTGACTGAAGAGTAGGTGTACTCGTTGATCGTCATGTCCGTAGAATAAAGCCTTAATCGGAAGCCTGTTGAGTTATTCAAACCCCAAGCAGACACGGCTTAAGTCGAGCTCCGGTCTGCCTCGGGCTTGACAGTCAAAGCCGCCGCATAAAAGTCGCTCCATCTCTCAGCCATTCCGTCAGGCTCGAAAGAGCTGAGACAATCTCCATTATCAAGTGGCCCCGTCATTCGATCGGACGCTATCGAAACATATCAGCATGATGTAAAATACTTCTGGGACATGGCATATAATTGCTTCCGTGAGTGTACTCATGTATCTATCAGAATTCCCGCGTCAAAGGAACTGTCTCTCATAGGATCGGTTTTGTCGAATGGGTATATCCTCATTTCTGGAGACCTTCCATCGACTTCCTGGAAGAACACACCATTATTGAAGGCGCCATTCTTCTGCACATTGACTGTGACTGCGTCATTTCCCTGACCCCCTTCATCATTGTTATTCATTTGGAAGTTGCCTGCTTCGGGCGTGAAGCCTAATATATAATAGAGGTCGTGAAGCATGTTGGTGGTGTAAAAGGCCTGCGTCACAGCCACTTCGTAAAAGTCCCAAAGTGTCCCTGTATCCGGCACATACGGGAAGATAAAAGACTCGTTAAGACTTGTGGCCGGATGCTGGCCTCCAAGCAAGGTAGGATGCCCCCCCCACCACGACATTGTTTCCAGTAGTATCATAGGTGTTGGTGGTAGCATTGAGAGGGTTATGCCAGCCAAAAGGAGAGGCTTTAGAGTCTTGCGGATCCTCGATCTCTGTTCTAACTTCGTCGGCGGGACTGCCAACACCAAATGGACTAAAACCTCAAGTAAGCATGGGTAAATTTGAAGCCTCATCACCACAGGAATATTACTAGACTTCATAGATCCAGCGATCGACATGGTCGAGAACTGCTATGACTGTTGCTGGTTTGTTTTCGGCATCCACATATGACGAGTACGACATGTCTTCTGCATCCGTGCCGACTTTCCATGTCAGGGCGAGTTGACCGTTCGGTTTGACAATATATACCGGCCTAGGCGTTGGATCTCTTCTCAGACCTCTCACGTTGCGAAAAATATAAGACTGACGAGATTCATCAGTTGGCTCTACCTTTGTGTTTGAAGTAATGTCAACAGGTAGATCCAGGGTTCTTTGAATGACCTCGAGAGCTTCCATGGGAGGGAGGCTAAGAGCTTTTATGGCTTCTGGGCTTGATTCCGGAAAGCTGCCATTGAAAAATGAGTTTCCGAACGAGAAAACTTGACCGTTTTTGTCAATGTTTACATTGAATAGTGCGTTGTCAATCTCAACGTCATGAAATGTTTGCTTGAAGTATACATGGCTGATTCCGTTACTACCGGTATAATGGCCCGGGACGATTTTGAATGTAGCACCGGGAGCAACAGTCTTGACCAATTCAGAGGCTGTTTCCAAGTAGTTGATCTTTTTCAGTCTTTGAAGATTCACAGAGGATTGGCCTTGGCATTAGTGACGTACTCTGTAGAGGTTTGGGTGCGAAGGGCTTCCAGATCAATTGCACCCACGCAGCCAAACAGCTTAGTTGCAAGAATGAGTGTAAGCAGATACATCCTGAAATAAGATAAGGATAGCGCTCAGGAGGTTATCATCTTTCCATAATCTGTCGCTTTATACATTTTACCCCCCAGATCAATCCATCGAATCGACACTGAGGCAAGTGGTATCAGTTTACTTTGCAACCCACCAAACGGGCAGGTAGCTGTGCATGAAGGGCACCTTTCAGCTGTAGGCACATTTCTTTACGCATCTAGAAATTCATACTGATCCTGGGGGTCAGATTACTCTTCTTAGTAGGTAATAAGGTAAAATCAGCCTTCCATCCATCTTGTGTGGGTTGAAGATGATAACTATGAGTGGCCAGAACCCGAGTCTTAGTTGATGCATAGACGTGAATGCGACTATGCTATGAAACGTTACTGGGAGTTTAAAGAGCAAGTCCCCGCATCACCAGAGCTTAATCAATTGACCCCGTTTATCTGCCCTATGCTGTAATGCCAGTTATGCCAACTGGTTTCAAACGAGGGAGGGCCGCTCCGGGAGTTTTTATTCTGGAACCAGGCCAATAGAATGATTCAATCTCTTCTATTAATAGATAATAGCCTAGAAATATGAAGAAGAAAATCGATCCCCGATTTACCGCACATTTTGTCCCTCATGTGCCCCATCTGTTCCTCACGCATCAAGATTTACTTTTATTCCGAGAGCAGTGCGGAACAGGTAGTATGGCTAAGCCTTATCACATTCAGGAATTTCAACCTTTTAGGCAGAATCATTATCTTCCAACCGTTCTTTTACCTCAACATCCCGATCGTGTAGATATCGCATCACCAGAACAGTGACGGCAGCTGCAGCACCGAAACCGGCTGTGATGTAGTTACCAGTGACGATGTACGGCTGTTGGCTCGTCGGGAAGGTAAAAATGGGGACCCAGGCTGTGAAAATGTATGCAAAGGCATTCATCTATACCGCTCGTCAGTGGGGGCTCAAAATAAGTGGGAAGGAGGACAAACCATAGCGGAGATGTACGCCCGTTTCTCTGGGTCGTCTCTGTTGACCTCGTTCACCCAGGTCCAGCTAAGGCCAGCTGCTGTGCTACCCAGAGAGGTAAGATCTAGTCACGGGCAAGTCAGCTATGGTTCATCATGTATCTATTGAAATCACTTACAGTAGATGGCCCAACGTGTTCCTCTGTTTGGTGGGTGAACAGGCGTTGCGGCCAGCGCGGTAGGGAAAATAATAGCCATGATGCATGCAAATAGCATGCCGGGCCATCTGGCCGATCTTGGTAAACTGTCCGAGATCCAGGAATTGATAAGAGTCGCGAAAATGGTAATGATATTTATCTAGGTGATATTAGCCAAGATTTTGTTTCATGCAAAGAGGAAACTGACACCAAGAGGGATGATGTTGATCTCAGCGACGGAAAACACAGGCGGTTCCCCTTTGACGTTGTAACTCTTTACCCAGAAGATCACTTGAACGGTTAGTACTTCGATGCCAGAATGCCTGAGTAGGATAACTTACTAGATGCGCCGGCTTGACCAAACTGAGCGAGGAGGGCAAAGAAGAGGGGAACTTTACTTTGTTAGCCATTGCCCATTTTTAGTCGAACTTGAATTACTTACAGAGGTAGACGTGCCAAGTCGCATGCCAGCGCTTGATATCTTGCCATTTGAACAGGCCAGTACGAACTTTCGCTTCAGTGGGCATACGAGCACGGGCCAAATCAACTTCTTTTTGCGTGAAGATCCTAAGGGGGGGGTTTAGTAATGTTATGGCTTATGGAAATCACAAGACTTACCAATTAGGCTTTGCTCGGCTGGGAAGCTGGGGCATTGCGACAGCTGTCCAGACTGCACAAGGAAACGAAACACATCCGCATACGCTGCAATTGTTAGTACTGTGCTTGCTAAATGCCAAGAGCTACTCACATGAACATCCATCGCCACCCAGGAAGACCATGAACTCCATTCAGTCCGCTATATACCGCTGCCATCAGGAAGCCCGAAAACAGGGGTCCGACTCCAGTGAATACTTGGATCAAGGTATTGCGTCGAGCTAGTTCGTGAGGTTTATAGTAGCTTGAACACACGTAGATGACAGCTGGAAAGTGGCCAGACTCAAACAACCCAACACTGCAGGAATTAGCAACTTCCGGGGTGAGCGGGGGCCAGAGAGACATACAAGAAGCGGAAGACGTAGATCTGGTTCACGTCCTTGGCGCCGGCAGTTGCAAAGGTGAAAACGGTCCATCCAAATTCAAGAAAGGCGATGTATAAAGGGGCGTTGACCTAATGTCTTGTTAGATTACGACCTGCAAGAAGGAACAAGCAACTTACTCGGGTAAGAATAAGATTCGATGGAATCTGTCCAAATACATATGCTGCGCTCCAAATTGCGTTGGCATAATTGAGCTCGTTTCCGTAAAGGGACAGATCTTCCTTCATGCCACTGTCTGTACGGTCTGTTAGCTGAATTCAGACTCTACACCCAAGACAGTCACTTACTAAAGGCGTTCGTGATGTTGGCTTGGTCAAGATAACGGCACATGACACCCAGAGCTGAGGCCGATATAAGCGTTAGGTCCAGCTTGGTGAGAAATTGGGCTTCTTCCTTGGGAACATCGAGCGCTGCGGCTGTCAGTCAAAGTACCTCCATTTTTATGTACTGTAGAGCTTACAAGACCAGAGATAAGACCTCCATGACCGTTTAGATTCGACATATCCCGAATCCTCTACGTCCAGAGGCCGTGTCTTCGACCCAGGGCCGTTGCCATCGCTTTCGCTAACGACGACGACGCTTTTCACGTCTTTCTCATACGGCTGTGACATTTTGACTTGGGCCTGATCACCTCCTGTTGGGGCCTTTCTCTCTACTGCGGATATACGGCATTCTTAAATAAAACTCAAAGCCCTACCCGACGACTTACAAACGCAACAATGTGGAATGGTGTCGCCTTCGGCGGGGCCCATGGCGACATCGAGGGGCGGCGCTGGGATTAGACAATAACCTGATCACGTCGAGTGCGCTAATTGTATCCCAACTCCACTCCTCGCCTTGCAACATAGGCTGTCTACCAATCTCGGTTGAGAGGGAGATAACAGACGGCGCAGAATCTTCGGATCGGGCCACCAGCTGAAAACCGTCCTGTGTCCGATGACATGCTTACAAAACGTGTTGTTAACGCTATTCGATCGGAAGACTGCGCGGCTCTCCCCAAGCCTCACTTTAGCCTGCTCTAGCAGCGATATCTATTGATTCTCGGCATTTAGCGCCGTTACAGATGGCAACATATCAGTCGTGTATTGTGAATATCCCAAGGGTTTGGTTCCAGATGCAGTCCAGGCGGAAGAAATGTACGTGACACGGGGAGATCCCAGTTTAACGGCTCCAGGTTCTGGGCTTTATGCTTGACCGTCCGAAACCGGGACCCACTGCAACTTCGTGTCCACGGTATATCAGACCTCTTAAAGCTTCATACAACGTTAATAGCGGTGTATCCTTATCAATAGTTGCTGATGCAAGAAGCAGTTCGTGCTCAGTCCCCCTGTCGCGGCTAAGGCGGGCCAGTAAGTCTTAATTTTTCGCTTTACAACAGTGTTGTTTCGTGGTGGAACCGACACAATCTCTAGATTAATTTTGTACTGTCAATTCGAGCTGGATCCCAGTATCACCCATGTTAAACAGTCACAGTATTATCCCATAGGATGGGAAATGGCTAGTATTCCATCGCGTCACTCGGTTCCCTTGGAGGAACTTCCATCAAAATCAAAAGCAAACGAACCCTCTATTTTTCACATGAATTAGGCAGGTAACCGGACAAATGTTCTTTTCCATTTGAGTGATGGCGAATAATTTGCCACCCAGAAAAGAGCGCTATTGCATTTTAATGCGTTACTTGTGACGCTGAGGCTCTACGTCCACCGAGTCTAGATTATCGGTTCATGGCATCATTCATCATAAGGCTAGAGCACCTACGGCAAATTCCGGATGATAAGATGTACAACTGGGTTGATATATCCTGTTAGTGGTCTTCTTGTGTACCAACGCGGTTACCATCCTTCTCTCCGGTGGTGGTTGAACCTGCTGCAAAATCGTCAGCCAGACTCATGAAAAGAACTTATACTTCATTCCGCCTACAAAACGAGAGGTCAATCAACGTGTAGTATTTTTTTCCCCTTTGCAAACTTCAATGCGACTCAAGCTTAGCTCCTTCCACATCAAAACCGCAGACCTTGCTGTAGGAGTCCCTGATATGTCGAACCTGCAACAGTCATCTCGCCAGATCAATGTTTGGCATTGCTTCATCAACTGAGGCCAAAGGATACTTTGGTCCTTGGAGACTGTACCTCAATTTCCCATTCCTGAACATCCTTCAAAGCTGGGGCGTCAATGTAAGCAAACATGGCAGTACACGCGTCAGAGTCACCAAAAGTGCGATAATGCATGCGCACTGGGGTCGGTCAGTCAACTTGAGACTATCGATTTCGGAGGAGTCTGGTATTCTAGGAGCCGGGTTATTCTCGTTAATCGGTGTCTATTTCTCACCCTATCGGTGTTCTTCTCCATATACATTTTGTGATAGGAGTAGATGTTGGCAAAGTGATCACCGTGGAGTCTGTTTCTGGTCAACTGAGAACACTGGGGTAAGGACTTCCTTTTGCCTAGTGAAGCAATCATTACGCTGTTTACAGGCATCCAAAATTTGGTCAACTCGGACCATTTGCAGAATACTGCATCGCTTGTAACGGGAGCGTTCTGATTCTCATTCTCTTTAGATCCTAAAGGAGGTCTCTAACACAATTGAACCAACGAAATGTGACAAAATGTGACAAAGTCAACCGGGCACCCTCCCAGTCTCAACATCCAGCTCTATAAGTCAAAGCGACGGACGGTAAACTAGCAGCAATGATACTTCCCCGGGGAGCTTTAGCGATAGTACATCCAAGACAATGTGAGCCGTTCAAGAAATAGAGAGGCTGCGAGCGAGAAGTAGCAAATTGCGACACAACCAACCATCTAATCGCATTGTCTCCGATGATATAAACTGTCGTCTCCTCACCACCTTCTGCAGGGGGGGCGAAGCCTGCAAAATGCGCTTGAATTCTCTTATTCTTCTCTGTCGCGTTGCATCTCTGGTAGCACACAACACCCGGGACCGGGCGCTTTGCCATTCCGACTGGCGATCTCTGGCTGATGAAACCAGATCCCTTCTTCAATGTTGGCGTGTCTGACTCCTTGGTATCGAAAGTTAGATTTGTCCACCCATCCTTTGGACTACCTGGTAGGTCATCTAGGACAGGTTGTGCGCTACCCAAGGTGGAAAAGAATCCAGCCCTTTCCGCACGACGAGGCTGATTGATTCCCATTACGAGTCCCATGATGTAGCCGCTCTCCACAACCGGCTTTGATGATGCTCGAGGAGGGTGAGGCCAATCTAGTACTAGAAATCCCGGGCCGATTCCGAAGTTTTCGCCGCGAAGCACGCCGTGGACGGTATCTCTATAACTAAGCTTGGTAGCAGTGACCGGTTCATATCTATTAGTCTTCCCTCTCTCGCACGACAACGTTTCTTGCAGAAGGCTCATTAAAAGCTGGTCCCAGTTAAGAAGATATGGGTCTTTGATCCTCATCGATGTCCCCTTCAGTCCAAAAGTCGGAAGAATGGAGCAATAAAATAGGAAATCCTCCTCAGCAAACGTATCCATGTCGATTAAACCAAGCTCTTTGAGATCAAAACAAGTTTTTCCGTTGATCAATTGTACCGCGGAGATAGATCTTCCACGGATCGTGTACGTGTATATCGTGGCTCTTCGCAAGGCCTCCTTGTTTCTACGAAGACCATGTCTCGTGACAACCTTCTCGCAGATGAGATTTCCACAACAGTTGCAATTTTGTGCCGAAGACCGAGTGCAGGGCTTGCGCATGAGTTTGAGGATATCTTTAGGATTCACAGCTTGGTCGAGAGCTTTGGAACGAAGCACGACAAGTCGGTTCTCGTTAAATATAGGAATCATCCCCTGGCAAATCACAGGCCATAGTGAATGTGCAACGACCGACGCCATATGCGCCGGCTTCTGACCACCCAGCTCCCGAACGAGACCTGCGCGGTGTGGGAAAGTCTTGTTCGGCATCTTCGCGTTGGGGAGAGTGCCAGGCTCGACGCTGATGACCGGGTATCCCGATAGGCAGCAGCACTTGGTTGCATACTCAAAGCAAACCAAACAAGCCAGCTCGAATTTCCAGATAGATGGGTCTAAGAAATCAGTGCGATCATCCTCTACACGGTTCCTTATTGATTGTCCGCCTTTGCCCAGCAGGTACAAGGCAGTCTCTGGAATGACGTGTAAGCTCTGAGCAATGGCAACCGACGCTGCTTCCATTGTTGTTCTGCGAGAACCAGAATTTGATTCCTCATAGTCCGGTGGTGGTTCGTCCGCGAATAAGTGCCCGTGTGAAGTCTCCGAGGTGATCCCTCCCCTTGCTTGGTACGGTGGTGGAAGATCACCTGGGTCGTCAGCGGAGCCACCGTTAACAGGCGTGGATGCAGATGCTTGGGATGGGGGCCCGGCAAATGCTCTACTCGACGCCATATCGACCAGAATATCCACTCTTAATACAAGTATAGGAATATAACTTGTGGATGAAATCAGTATCGGATTATAAATTGAGGGTTTTTTGGAGGAACAACCTCGTGCGCCAAAGTTGGTTGATAACGAAACACAAGAACCAAGATCCCTGTATTCAGCTTTGGGGCTGTGTAAAATCAAAGTCTTGGCTTAGGCATACTGCCATACACACGTCTCTTTGGTCGGGCGTACGTGGAGAGTCGATCAGTTCTTCGGTGCAGATCGATCAGATCGGGGAGGGAAGGAAAGTAAATGCTTAAAGGGACGATAAATAGCACAACCTTCAATTGCTTGCTCTAAACCTGCCACGAGTCACTTACACACACCAGATCAGGTGATAAGCCATCTACTGGACCAATCGTAATTAATAGATTATATCTTAATCAAAGTTCGAGTTTAAAGTTAAAACAGCAATGAAAGAGGCTACATCCAATATTTTAGCACAATGACTATGAAAGGCAAAAATAAGTTTCATCAGCCCAGAGCTGCAGCCATTCAAGCAGAAAACTCTATAAAGCTTCATACATCAATAGACCCTATGACTTCGCATCGATTACAGTGATAAGAGCTATAATATTTATTCACCACTGATATAGGTACTTATCAAATGTCTCTTTTTCGTCTACTATACAGCTACTACTAAATGAAGGGAGACAGGTGTAGGGTACCTAGCTTATAGAATGTGGATGATTTTCGATTATTAGTTAAAGAACCATGGCTCCGGCGAGCGCTACCGGGAAGGGACATAAAGGGCAGAAATGTGTTCCCTCCAATGGGCGACACGCGCTTGAGCACGGGCTTCCCTGATGTACATAACTTGGTTTGGAAGATGACCGCCGTAAAGAAGGGTTGGGTGAATGAGCGAGTAGCCTCCTTGACTTATACTATTCCGAGGGTCACCCTATTTCACTGGCAAATGCTTAGTAAAGCTACTACAACCAGAGAAAGTAGCTAAGGCTTTTAAAATCATCTTGAACGCTCGTAGAGAAGAGGAGACACTGGTAAAGGACAGCGAAAGCTTCGACAGGCTTGGGCAGGTTGTGCGTATGAACGAGGGTCAGTTTCAGGTCCACATCGGCCACATCTCCGGTCGCAACGAACTACTTAGATGGCTCGCACTTCGTAGAATATACGCGGAGATTTGTTCCCAGAGTCCGATTGTCCCATGCATGGATTCAGGTCGGGGGCGAAACGGCTCGACTCCAGATTTGGTAGAATGCCTTTCTTTCCTGGTCCTTGGTACCGAAGGGTTCGCATTAGTTGACTCGCATCCATTTGAATCTCATCTGGGCCCCCGGAAGGAGGGTAGGGGTAGGCTAAGCGGATGTGCAGGGAGGTACCGGCACATTCCCCTTGACCGACATTAAATCACCGTATACGTCTAACGTAAGCTTGTACCGAATACTGGTCAGGCCGTTGAGATGCGGCAGGTAGCCGTTAGCGCACCCATGCTGGAAAAGGACATATGTGACGAGAACCCCAAGATCGAGAATGGTAGCTTAACATTGAGCCCTTGATGATACACGGGGAGGCTGGCAGTTGGGCCGGCCGACGATCCTTGCCAAACGGCCCAAAGACGGATCCTGCCGCACTATGTACAAATTACATAGAACTAGCAAGGGCGGCAAACATGGGACCCCGGCCAAGGGCGGGTCAGAAGTTTCTGAATCTGCCAACCTCTCCTTCGACTAATAGCCAACAGCCAATGATCAAAGTACAGTAACATGCGTGGCAGTCTAGGATGTCACTGCAGCCCAAGTGGCAGGCAAACCACACACACTCACGTACTTCGTGACTCGCGAAGTGATCGTCGCTGTTATTTCCTACAGGCGGTGAGAAAGTTTGGGTACAAAGTGAAAAACAGCAATGGAGGAGGCCAGGCCCGACATCTCGGCACAATGAATACAGTTATTTTCTACAGAGACTTCCATTTCAATGTTGGTACCAAAGCCCACTACAATGCCCACTAATTTTGGCATAGAACACCATAGGTCATTTGGAACCGAGTCATTCATGTCAGTAATTGAACGAGAGTAGGCTTTCCCACAAAAGGGGTCTTGCCCACCACCCAAAGAGATGTGTGCACATAGCGCCTTGACGATCTCCGAGACCAAATTTCCCAAACAGAAGAGGGCTAGTTTGAGATTCTTTCCACAACGGAAGCAACGGTTTGAACCTTGACGCCTCCCGTTGTAGCGTCTCCAGTGATAGGCATTGAGGTTCAAACCGTTGGATGCGTTGGATCTTGCCCCTTCTAGAAGACGGCACATCCTAGTCGGATGTCGCTGTAATATTCGAGGTCCGCTTCCAGGGGCTTGTGAAGGGTTTTCTTGTCTTTTCGTAATAAACAGCGCCATCGCTCTATGTATGCTAAACTGTGTTGCTTTATTGCTCTCCTTGGAAATTTTGTAATCATTTGTTTCTTTCAGACTACTTTGTTGTGCTGCAACCGTTGGTTTACTTGGTCTCTAAGCCATGGCTGGCTTCCTGGTTCCTGACCACTATGTCGTGGTAGAGCCTCCCCTTACCGACCTGTTGGTCGCCAGCATCATTTGGGGGTTCACTCTGGCAGTGGGGATCTTTTCTGGCCACAAAGCGATAAAACAGACTTGGGCGCAATGGAAACGATCAGGTCGCGCAAAGCCATATATCTTCATGGTTTGGTCAGAATGGATTGCCTCTACAGTAATCGGGTGCTTGGCTTGGTTGTTTCTATGCGGATACATTGCGCCGAGGTACGTCAACACCAGCCCTGTGAATTTTGAAAGCTCACTTTGACTGACAAGATGTTGTGTAGCTTTTGGATTTACTTTGCGTTTCGTGCGAATAACCCCTTTCGATGACCCGAAGAACAGAATTCAGCTGACAGGCTCCAACAGTTTGCCTCTGGGTTGTGCAGATTCAATGCATCTGCGGCATCATCATCAACCGAATCTCCCTCCTCATGGTCGACCGAAGAAATGCAACCAAGATTCGTTGGGGCACAGCCATTGTTCTGGGCCTCATCAACATTAGCGTCTTTGTCATTTGGATACCCGCGCAACTGCAAATATCTCAAAGATGGATTGACATCAACCATATCTGGGATCGCATAGAGAAAGGCTTATTCTTGCTGATTGATGCGGCGCTTCACGTCTACTTCATCTATCTCATCCGAGTCAAATTGGTTGCGAACGGCCTCGAAAAATACATTCCTTTGTTGCGATTTAATATCGCCATGGTCTTCGTCTCTATGAGTCTTGATATCATCCTTATTGGCACCATGTCCATCGGCAATGGTTTCATGTAAGTTACATTTATCGAAACATGAAGAATTTGGAATCTAACAGTCATAGCTATGTTCAATTCCATCCTCTCATATACATGCTTAAGCTGCATATCGAAATGAACATCTCTTCCTTGATCGTGCGGGTTGTGATGGCAACCGGCGACAAGAGCTCGTACAGGAACGAGTACCAGCAGGGCACTGAGCTACAGTCCAAGTCCAAGGGCGGCAACACAAATGGAGTTGGAGCTGGAGCTTCCAACCGAACTGGAGGAGGCGGTATGGAATCCTTGTTCTCGTCTACAGGGAGAAACGAAGTGCACATCGATGCTGATGGACAGGCTACGGGCAAGAAGAACGCTCCCCGGGGTATCACAAGGGTTATACAAACGCAGGTCACTGTTGCATCGAGACATGACCAGGATGATGCAAGCTCGGAGTCATCCATGCGGCAACTGAAGGGTAGTACCCAGCATTACCACGACACCCTTTCTTAAGCCAAAAGCGTTCCAGGTAGCTCTGGACCCGCAAGTGGTTTTTATCGTGCGGCAACTATCAGCGTTCATGTATCAATAATTAGACTATTTAACTGCATACAGGACCAAGTCATCTAATAGCCCTCACTTGCAGCAAGTAGGGTATCCTTGGCTGGTCTGTAAAGCGGAGCGAGCATCAGTCGGAAGACGAGCAGTGTTAGGTTTAGCTTAACTTGACACATCACAAACGCCTCTCAACATGGTTCGCAAGGGGTAAAAGATACTAGACTATGATTAGCTGTAGCTCGAGACGCGTACTGGCGGGCGAGTCAGGAGATCGGCGTAGTGCATTTCCTGTGGTGGCAACCAAGAAGAAGTTTTCGTTGAGCAACGCGATACCCGGCGAGTCAGCTACCCTTGTCAACGACTGCCTGCACCCATGCACGGCAGTTAGCGATACTGTAGTATTACCTGCCGTGTCGAGACTGGCGCCACTTGATACCTCGGAATTCTAATGCATGGCCGGACTGAGAACATGGGTGAACCAACAGTCTTGTAGTCTGCTGACCAGTGACTGGGCTGCACTACGTGCGATGACCGTTGGCCACTCCATTATTCATTTCGGGTACTGGTCCGTCCCCGCCCGTGTACCTCTACTTATCTGTACTTAGTCTGACGGCTGATCGTTGGGAGATGAGAGGGGATAATATCCACAGAGATTTCACTGTTCTTGCTCGTTCCGATAGTGCGGGGGGCGTCTGCAAACTGACGCCTTCGGGCAGCAAGCTGCAAGACAAACGAAAACAATGTGGGACCGACCGGTCAACAGGCCAGGAAGGATTGGCGCACTGCAGCTGAGTGCTGCGGAGTATATCCCTCCAACGCAGGCATTGGATTCCTATAAGAAGAGCCCATCACGGAGGAACCATTGCTACCGAAACCTCAGACAAGCGCCGCAGAATCTCAAGTCCTGAACCCGATTCCAAGCAAACCATCAACTAACCGCCATGGGGCTCTACACTAAGCTCGCCAAAGAGATCGATGAGGTCGACGTCATCATTGCTGGAGGTACGTTGGCCTATCCTTGCTCTCCATGCCACGAACAGACGCTCTGACATCTACCACGCTCATAGGCGGCACGGCGGCATGTGTCGTTGCTGGACGACTAGCTGAAGCTGACCCTGGCCTGTCAATTCTGCTCATTGAACAGGGTCAGGATAATCGTGGCGTTCAGAACATTGAGAATCCCGTCTTCTTTCTGGATCACCTGCTGCCCACTGCCACCACAACCCTGTTTTACAAGGGCAACAAGGCAGAACAATTAGCAGGCCGCGAAGCAATTGTTCCCAGCGGTGGAACTCTTGGCGGAGGTTCGTCCATCAACTTTATGATGTATACTCGCGCCCAGGGAGTAGACTTTGATTCTTGGAAAACGCCTGGATGGTCCGCCGATGAGATGCTCCCCTTTCTGAAGAAGGTATTGTACTTGATCATTTTGCCCTTTGAGCTAGAGCCAATGCTAATTAATTACCCCCACCTCACAGCTTGAAACATACCATGGCCGTGGTAACCCTGAAGATCACGGCTCGAATGGGCCAGTCCAAGTCTCGGACGGCACGTTCCGTTCCAAGGGTTCTGAAAGCGACTTCATTAAAGCTGCAACCGAGGTCGGCTGGCCTGAGATCACAGATCTCCAGAACTTGAAGGCTAACAACGGTGTGGAGCGCTGGCTGCGGTACGTTTCCAAGGACGGCAGACGGCAAGACACTGCCACCGCGTATGTCCATGACAAGATTGACAACAGCAAATATCCCAATTTCCATGTTCTCACCGAGTCCAAAGTTGTTCGCATCCTGCTTGACGAAAACAAGCGAGCTGTTGGTGTCGAGTACACCCCCAACTCTGCTTTCCAGCCCGTAACTGGCCCTACTCAGCATCCCAAATTAACGGTCAAGGCCCGAAAGCTAGTCGTGGTCTCATGTGGTGCCTTAGGTACACCGCCAGTGCTGGAGAGATCTGGTCTTGGTGACCCCAAAGTTCTCCAAAAGGCTGGTGTTGATGTCAAGGTCGACTTGCCCGGCGTAGGCCATGAATATCAGGATCACCAGCTTATCCTGTATCCTTACAAGACGTCACTTGGTCCCAACGAGACTATTGACAGGGTTCTTAGAAACCCTCATAAACGCCAAGAGATGATCGACTCAAAGGATCCAATCCTGGGTTGGAACTCCATCGACATTTCCTCCAAGCTTCGACCTACAGAAGCTGAGGTTGCTGCTCTTGGCCCCGAGTTCACGAATGCGTGGGATAGGGATTTCAAGAACGCTCCCACGCGACCTCTGATGCTAATGGGTCTTGTTTCTTGGTAAGAACAACGCTGTCATAGATATTAATGTAAGCACAACTGACTTTTCCAAAGCTTCCTAGGTGACCCTTCGACAGTACCAGAGGAGCAGTATGTGACCGTCGGTAACTATACTGCTTACCCGTACTCTCGAGGACATATGCACATCACAGGTCCCGAAGTCAACGACGAGCTGGACTTTGACGTGGGATACCTCAACGACAAAGACGACATCGACTTGAAGAAGCAGTTGTGGGCTTACAAGAAGTCCCGTGAGATCATGCGCCGGACCGCAATGTACCGAGGCGAGCTCGCGGCCGGTCACCCAGCATGGCCTGAAGGCTCCAAGGCTGCGTCGGCGGACATTACCGAAGCCCTGGCCAACGTCAAGGATGTCGAGTACTCTGCCGAGGATGACAAGGCAATTGAACTATGGATCCGACAAAATGTGGGAACTACATGGCACTCGATTGCTACCTGCAAGATGGCTCCTCGTGAGGAGAACGGCGTGGTGGATGAGCGTCTGAATGTCTGGGGCACCAAGGGATTGAAGCTGGCGGACTTGAGTATTCCCCCGCAGAATGTTGGCGCAAACACGAACAACACGGCCATTGTCGTCGGTGAGAAGGCTGCGGATATCATCATCAAGGATCTTGGCCTCGGGAAATAATGGAATGGATAGATTAATTTGGCCGTCCGATTTTCAATGGGCCACACTTGAGGCGAGCGCTGTTAAGGGCAAAAATACATATGCTTTTAATCACCAACTCCCTATTCTAAAATGTCTAAACCCGCTCTTTTCTAGTCACTAATCTCATATCTGCTGTGTTCCCTCAGCCAGTCGCCAAATCTCCAGAAGCACCAAGGGATTGGCACCAACAGCACAGTGAAAATGCCCAGCAAGGATGTCGACCAGCCGGCACCGAGCCCTTCGGCCATACGTAGCGCAAACAAGGGAAATGCGAAACTGAGAATATACCGACTGAGCTGCACTGCTCCCGATGCTGAAGCCCCGTATAGGGGTCCATAGGAATCTAGCATAAAAAGATTGACGCCAGCATAAACCAGCATGCAGCTCAGCATGCTTAATCCCTGGAACAGGATTGGCACGATCCAGTGGACCCGGTACTGGACCGTCCATGCCACTGCGAACAAGCTGGGCGGCAGTAGAATGCTGCCCGCCATAGAGGATAGGAGTCGATACTTGGGCGGGAACTTCTCAGCTGCCGAATGAGTTTGACGCCAGGCTAGGAACCGCTTTTGATAGATGAAAGTATCGATTAGGGTGAAAGGTAGACAGGCAGTCAAGGTGCCTATCGTCATGCCAAGGTAAGAGAGTGACTCGCTCGTCTTATCAAAGTCGTAGTATGTCCTCATCATCCAAGGCACAGTGATGACAAACGCGTAGAGCAGGCCGAAGTTGAACCCATTGTACAGACTGACAAAGGTCACAATGGGCTCGGTTAATAACATGTGAATTGGCCGTTGAATCAGCGTGGTGAAGAAGTGGCGCACAGCAGTTCCAACCGAGACTCGCTGCGACGATGAGTCTTCGAGGCCTAGACGAATAGCCCTTCTCTGAAGGATTACTTTCTTGTAGGTCTCTTTAGTGAAAAGAATAGGGATATAAGCGGCGGTTGCAACCATGATCGCCGTCCACTGCGTCCATCGCCAGCCCTTGGCCACCACGACAAATCCGCCGATAAGAGGGGCCAATGTGGCCGTGAAGGAAGGGATGGAATAGTAAATGCCAAGAACAAGCCCTCGGCGGAGATCGGGCGTGTAGTCGAGCATGGTGGCTGAAGCGTTGCTAATATTCGACGAGGCAAACATACCAGCAAAGAACCGACATATGTTGAGCGCATCAATACTTTTTGCAAACCCAGATCCTATCATGAAGAAGATAAAAACAGGAGTAGTGATGACGAACACGGTCTTTCTACCATATGTTTCGGACAGTGGAGCGCCAATGATTGGACCGAAGGCCAGACCGAGGTTGTAGAGGGAGAGAGGCAACACGGCAACTTCGTAGGACAGATCAAACTCTGCCCTCACATAATTCTGGGCCGGTGCGTATATTGCGCCTGCAAATACGCTCACCAATGCCAAAACTGTGACCGTTACGGTTGTGAACATGCGGAGAGCCAAAGGGAAGTTGCGTGGATTTTCTGGATCTGAAGGGCCGTCCCAGTCAAGGAGCGTCTCTCGCCGCTCTGTAGGCAGTGTAGGAACCTGGGCATGATCCTCTCGTGACTTGGGCATTTTCGTAGCTTGCGGGAGCCAATCAACCTCCTGTCATCTGGCGATAGATGTGCACATGGTCAGGAATCAGCAATTGCCCAGCTTTATGAATGTTTCCACCTCCAACTCCTTGCGCCGATAGTGGAGATACCATCTCCAATTAATTGCCCTGAGGGCCAATCGAAAATCAACGATCGCTAGTAGATATCCCCTAACACTCGGCAAAGCGTTTATTCCCACCGAAATCCGGGGATCTGCAATTCGGAGGTTTGCCTCCTCGCCGAACGCGGCATGCCATGAGATATCATCATGGCTGAATTCGGTAAATTCATAAAATGAGTACTCCTCTTGTCTTAGTCTCGATATAATTAGACATTCCAATACGAGGGAATATTTTGACTGCGACGCGTCTGTGATGGATGCTCGGACATGACATCATCAAAGTGTAGTTTCCTTGGTACTAGTTAATTCTCTTTCATCCATCCATCTATCCTCCGAAGAAATGCCCTTCTGGAAATAGACTAGAAGCTCAAAGGCTGCAGTCTATTAACTGCTACTCACGGCCCGAACAAATGGGATTTCTTTGTTTGTAAGCGCAGGACGAGGCGCCAACGTTACCAGTTGTTTGGAGAGACTGGGCATTGTCATCTAGGCATCTTGCAATTGACTTGGATTTAACAATAAGATGCACGGAGATAGTTTTCTTATTGATGATAGAGAAACTTTTGGTATTTTGCTTTGTGAGGTTTGGGGAAATAATCATTGTGCGAGCATTGCTAGAGAGAGCCTTGACTACAAGTTCTAATTGCGAGTCGACCTGCGGTATGGTGTTCCTGCTGCAGGCTATCCTATACTAAGGTACATTGGTAAGTTGGTACCTTCATTTGGGCGTACGCGAAGATGAATATTAAGCGTGTCATGTAGAAGAAAATTGGAAGGTGATTTCTCATGCGCCCAACAAGCGCTGACTACCCTAGAATGAGGATGATCATGCCCAGTCCTACAGCTACCATCCATGCTTTTTCCGGCTTTGTCCGTCTCTGCTATTTATTTGATACCTGTACGAGGCTTTCGGGGTCTTTTAACCGAAACTAAAAAGTCAATCAAGGTGTTAGAGGATTTGAACTGACTTGTAAGTGAAAAACCACACATGAAGCCCCTCTGGCAGTATAAGAACAAATATTCGGTCTACTCTATCATATTTTGGAGCATTCTTGAGGAAATTCTATCTACTTGATTGGACTACCGAGGAATAATAATAATACTGAGGGTTATTATTCGTTGAAGAAAACAAAGGAATTTGAAATTAGATGATCTGACATGATGACTCTTGAAATGCCACTTGCCCCGATACTACCGAGCTTCTGCCGACCGAGGATGAAGCAAATGATCTTTTCTGTAATGTGCGCGAATAACGGCCAGTCGTGACCGGCGCACAGGATGGTGCCTTTTCCCTATTACATAACCTTCATTAAAACACTCGCGCCAACGTCTGAATTACCAGGCGAGAATTCCCCCATATGGCTCCCCGGATGGGGAGTCATGTGCGGGTGAAATTCCTGCAGCGGTCGGAGAAAACGGAGTTTTGGGTTGCATCTGGGGCCCCAGACCCGTTTTCCTGGATTGCGACCCTACAATTGGTCGGAAGGATGCCGAGGATAACTGAGTCGTGTCGGACTCATCAGAGTTTTCTCCGACCTCGACTCTTACCCACTTGATATGATCCTGGAGAACCCGGATTTGTGAGCCGACAGTGCCTCGTCGCCCCTTATCGATTTGGAGGGAGACGAACGGGGATCATTTCAAGTTCTGGGATGTCTGTAATAAGCGTGGGAATTGAAGAAATGGAAGACGAACAGCTCTCAGGGTCGACCCCTCCGCCTAAGATAAGGAAGAAGAGGATCCCAGTAAGTGGTTTTGAGACGAAGACTGCGTATTAGTGTTGGCTGACGGGAGAGCGTGATATAGAAAGCTTGTGGATCATGTCGACAATCCAAAGTCAGTCCATCAATCTTGATACATGGGTATGGCTCTTAAGAACAGCAACCTAACACTCCTGTCAGGTCAAATGCGATGGTCAAAGGCCATGCTCACGGTATGTAGCTCCGAGATGTGCCCTGAATGTGAAAGTTACTAACTTCCCTGAAGATGTCGAAGCCTGAAGAAGGTTTGTGTGTTCACTGAACCTCCAAAAGATGAACAGGAACGGTGTGTTGGCTTTATTACTATCATCTTCTCGAACAGTGCTGATCATACGTCGATATAGAAAGATAGAGAACCTCGAAAAGGAATTAGTTGCCTTAAGAGCTCAGATTCAGGTGTATCAGCAAACAACGGAAGTGCAACATGATACAGCTTTCAGCATTCCGGGACCCAGCAGCGCCCCTCCCTTCGATGTTCCGGTGCCTCAGATGCAACCTCCCGGAGGATCTCTTTTGGCGTCTTCAGGCGCATTCAGTACTACACGCTCCCCTGTTGAGTTCAACCGATCGCAGTTGCAGCAGAATAATAGCTCGCCGAGCACGACGTTTCAGTCAAGTGCCACCTCTACGGGGAAGCGAAAGAGGTCCCATTTTGAAATAGAACCCATTGTAGCGCCCGATTTTGCTAGCATGGGCCTAATTTCAATGGAGGAGGCAGAATCATACTTTGCAACTTTCTTTCAAGGTTGCGACCAATATGTCCCAGTCTTTGACCCAAGGTTCGACTCTATGCATGGCATTCGAAGTCGAAGTGGGCTTTTATTTAGCTCCATCTGTGCTGCCGGCTGCAGAATCCTCAAAGGAACGGATTCAAATGCGTGGCATTTACTAAATTTTCATATCAAAAGAGTTCTTAATGCTGTCCTTGCCACTCCAGCCAAAGCCACGTTGGAAACTGTGCAAGCCCTTCTCGTAAGGGCCTGCTTTGCGTCAGAAAGGTCACTCCTAGTTACGTTGGGCATTCGGCTCGCCATCGACCTCGGTTTACCAGAGGCTTACGAAGAATTAAGCACCCGATTTGTGTCACGAACATCGTGGAGTGGTGTTGGTGAAACACCGTTGGATACCACAGAGGATGACGCGATTCTCATGCGAAAAGCTCGGACTTGGCTCCATCTGATCGTTCTGAGCCATATGCTGCACGTCGACGCGAGCGACCTTCTTACTTTGAAATTCCGTGGAGCCGTTCGGCGATGTAGAGTTCTGCTTGAGAGCCCATATTCAACGGCACTCGACCTACATTTATTTTCCCAGGTTGAGCTGAATGTTCTCCGATCATCAACATACGCAACTCTATCCGGCTGCTCCAGTCTACCAGATGAGGATCTCATGGACGTGATCCGGGATGCAAAAATTGACATTGACGTCTGGTTCAATGACTGGATGCGGATCGTTGAGCGCTCCCATTCCAATAAGCGTTGGCTGGCGCTCCATCTTCGTGTACAACGCTGTTGGGCCGACACGATGGCTTTCTGCCGCGCGGTTCGTGTCTCTGGGGTTGAAAACGTCGACGCAATGTCTCCCACGCAGCGGAATATCCTCCTCATGGCGAAGGATTCTCTAAACCAACATTTGAGCATCATGATCGAAGAGCCGCGCGAGTATCTGCACAACCTAAAATTCGCAATGGACTTCGTGTGGGCCAAATGTGCATTCTGCTTCTTACTGCTTCTTAAGCTGTCTATGCTCCTGATTGAAGATGATGAGGAGCAGAGCAGGACTCTCGTTCTACAGGGCAAGATGCTGCTCTCTGAGCTGCACAAAGCAGGCGGAACCTCCAATGGCGGACGGAGTAACACGAGCCGGTTATACATTCAATTGATCCAAACGGGACTGGAGAAATTCAGCCGGACAGTTCTTCACGAGAACCTATCGCACTCCCAGACTGGAACTAGCACGCCAAGCAGGCAGAGGAACGGGAGTGGAGGTAGTAGCGGCGGGGATACGAGTGTTGACTCGGCTGGCCATAATGAGCTCGAGTCCTTCGTGCCGGAGCAATTCGTCTTTGAATGGGACTTCCCGGGCCTGACTCTCTTCTCCAGCCCTACAACCGAGGCAGGATGGCTCGATGATTTCTTGAGAGGATCTCTAATTGGCGGTGAAGACTTATATGGGCTTAGATGGTCCTCAATTGATGTTGGCCCGGAATATTAAAGTTTCTATCAATACATGGCACAAGCATGAAGGAATGATTAATGAGATGTGTAAGACAAAAGCTTGGGTTAACCTAAACAGCTAGAAAATTGAAATATTTTCTCTTTCAGGCGACGCAGTGGACTACCTTCGTCGAAGAGGATAACGATTGTATATGTGTAACCGAAAAGTCTTTGCCGAAGCTCCATTGAGAGCACCACCGTATCATCTACCATGCCCATGAATCCCCTTCTAAGGTCCATAGAGTGTTAACTTGATAGGGTTCCTGTGCAGTAAAGAAATCATCATCTGCTTTCAGCCGAGAGCTATGATGCGCGCCGAGTCGGTAGAAACTGAACCCATCCAAGGTCTCACGTCGCGTTTTTCTGAAGCCGAAGAACAGAGCAAGGAGTATTGAGCCTACTGCCCAAATGGCGAATGGTATGACCGCCGCTAAGGCGGGGACCTCCCCTTTGGTTATAATCTTGCTCTTGACAGATTATGATAGATTTGGGTGTATCCAGCTCCCCTCGAATCCATACTTGCCATTATACATCAAATATAATGCCTCAGTTCCGTATGCCAGCATGGCAGACTGCTGTAGTTCTTGGGTGGTAATGAATCCTCCATACACCATGGAGTTAGAAAAAGCTAACATAGTACGGGAATTGATGGAAGAAAAGAGGTCTACGTAGTTTGTGGATAAAATCTCTGCTACTGTGTCTCCTAGCTTTGCTGTGTCGGGAACGCGCTCTTCGAAGGAGCTGAAAGTAGAAGTTCTTGGGTCGAGATTGGCAGCTCCAAATCTCGACACTGCCAAGCATTGCAGTCCAATCGGAGGCGCGAGCTCCATGGTTCGGTTCAACAAATGAGGAAGCACATCTGTTATATTCCCCGAGTCAAGGTATACTGTGTTCTTGCCTGGCTGGTCAAAGTAGGTATTGTTGATGTTCCATGATCCGTTGGCTGACCTTTCAAACGGGGATTCCATATCTTGAATCACAGGATCGAGCTTGTTTTTGAAATTGGTAATCTCTGACTCGTTATATGAAGTCGGGATCCTTAGCTGCCATAGGACATACTCGATTATATCCCATTGTGAGGCAGCCTCCGGATCAAAATTCCTCGGCGCTTCATATGACGTAGCTTCTCGAGATGCGACCTCCACGTATCCATGCACGTTATGAGAAGACCTTGTGAGTCTGAGGTATTGCTTCACGTATTGTTTCGCTGATGGGCCCCTCTTAGAGAGAAGAGTGAACTGTGACGCTTTCTCAATAATCGAGCAGTTGTAGGATACTCGGAAGCCCGAGGCCCTCCCGGAGACAGGGGTTCTTCCTTGGGGTGCAAGGAACATATCCGGTAGCCCATCATCAATTGGTAACGTGTTTGGAACACTCTGAAGGCCCTTGTATCTGCCCCGGTCAATATGGCCAGCAGTATAAATAATTCCAATGCCGGGAAGAGTTGCGGGCGACCCGACTTTCCATGCTGCTTCAATGAGGGAGGAATGCCACCGCCAGTCCTCACGAGAAAGTACATCTTCCCCTGTTCGGCCGACTACATCAGGCCTTGAATTCGTCTTCACATAACCATCGGAGAGTTCCATAGTTATTCCTGAGAGCGGGAGACCAATATAAAACGAAAGGCTGAGGAGGCTGAGCAAGTACCATAGCTTATGGGTTTTTACAGATCTAAAAACTCTTCCCATGCCCTCAACCCAGTTGGATGGATAGAAGATGCCCCATCCAAGGGACATGAAGACTCCATGCCAGCCGGTATAGCCTTTTCTTTCATCTCCACTATTGACAAAGCGTGTGAAGGAAAGCCCCCACCCTCCCGGGTCACTCCATGTGCTCCCACTATGGTTTAGCAGTCCGACCATATTATGAGAACGGAAACACCTGGATTGAAGGGCGGCACACCCGGCTCCAACAAGACCATACTTAGACCATTCAAGGGCAAAAACACCGACGACGAACTAAGAATAGAAGATCCACCGTTCGCCGGAGATGCCGTATTTGACAGCATCATCTCGATCTTTGCGAATGAATAAATGCCAGATGAAACAGTAATATCCCACCACAAGCAATGGGACCAGAAGGAGTATGAGAGAGCGTTTGATATGCAGGAGTTTGGGAGGCAGCTGGTGTGTTTCAATTGTGCTATCCCTCGGGTTCTTGTTTTCCTGACTAGGGAGAAGGTGTTGTAGACTGTCCTCGGCCGAATTTGATGACATTTTAGCATCGAAAAATGGCAATGGATGATGAATAAGGTGTAATGATAAGAGTCTGGGGCAGGAAAAGAGAATTTGCAGAATGCAGAGTTGCATGGAATATTACTACTGCAACAAGCCGAATCAAGATTCATCCGAGCCTTACCACGCATCATCTGCCGCAAAAATAAAACTTTGCTAACCAAAACTTGCTATTCTCGTTTTTCGAATCCTAACTAATGCACACAATGCAAAGAAATGCCTCATGCGGGTATAGCTTGTGATATGAATAGGATTCCGGTTGTCTTACATCGGGGATGTTGATCGGTCTATTTGGGAGGAGGCTGATTCTATGAGCATTGGGTTGGTTGGTAACTTATCACTTATAAGTCATTAGTGAGCAGCTGAACAACCATCATATGATACGTCTAGTGATATTGATGATAAGCTCGACAGCCTTATTCTGGCGAGGACCTAACTGGTACTCTCCGCGGAAAGTATTCTCGCGGCCCGTACGCCGAGAGATGAATATTAGGTTTTGAGTTAATTTTCGCAACCATCAACGGAGCAACTTCGAAGGCAGTATAAATTCAACAGAGGTAGGAAAAAACCACATGTGTACGATGGGGTAGTACGAAGCAAAGGATCGACAAGCAGCCAGGCTTTGGCTTTGCATGCTGACCACCCGATCCTACGATGCAGAGTAAGCCGCCACCATTCGTAAACGCAATCTTTACTGACCGGTTGAGGATCTATTAGAAGAATGACTTTACGGTTGACCATTCGAAGCCACCGACGGAGATTGTCATGTTGTGGTTGGGAAAAACACTGCATTTGCGCATTCCATCACAAGCCCACACATCAGCAACCAAAGGCGCCTTTGCTAATTGAAAATTGTATCTAAACAGTCGCTGGCCTACGCTCTGGTGAGCGACTAGTATGTTCCAAATCTCTTCCCTTTGCCGCAGACATAGAATCTTGTCCTAAATATCGATGCACTGAAGGGCCAAGCAGTGAACCACGTGCCGTCAAAAGACTCCGCGACAGCATAGGCTGTAGCAGGCTCACCTTGGTCACCTAAGTCGTGATGCTGTCAGCCGGAGGAACAAACAGTGGCAATAAAGTCGCCATGACGCCTTCTGGCGACTCCGACGGCCGATAAGGATTTGGGTCTTGTTTTCACCACCCTGCGGCACGATGACCATACCGTCGGATAGGGCTGCGCTCCATTTTAAAGACCCCGCTTCCACCAAAGGATGGGCCATACATGATGCAAGGGAGATAGATGCTCTCAGTAGGATTTCATTTGGCCCAGGACAAAGGGACTAACCAACTGCTTATGCTCTGGCCAGGCTTCCAGAAGCCATCTGTCGATGCCTGTGTGGCTGCCCAAAAGGAAGGAGACGAAAAGCAACGGCCGAGGGGGTGATACAGTACGGAGACAGCACAGACCGAACCGGTGGGTTGGTCGTAGCTGGTGTAAGCCGTAGCACCACTTGGGGTTTATCGGCCCGTGATGTTTTGCTCCCTTCGCATGATGAGTTTCCCTTTAGGGACACTGTGATCTACGCAAATACGACTATTGAGCGCCTTCACCTGATTGCCAAACCCAAAACGATCCAGCCTTCAGAATACGAACCTCCGTACCGGGGCGTCTACCAATCCGCAGTGAGAGTTGTCTCTGAAACATGTTAGATCGCTTTAGGTGCTGGTGCAGGGGTCTTGAGCTGACAACTCCGCCCATTGTCCACGATGGCGTTTCACCATCCCCCAAGATCTCTTGACCTCATAAGTAAAGCAGAAATTCTCTCATGAAAAGTAAATTGGATGGTTCCTCCGTAATCTTAGGGAATAGCAATGTTCAACCACATCGTGAAGATCGCCTCCGGGGTGGGCCGGGCCGTCACTGACAAGCCGAGCGGTTCGCTCCCCGCCACGCCGTACAAGAATTCGATAGGCGACAGGCGATTTCGATTGTGCAGGATTCAGAAAGACCCCTCAGAGAGAGGCGGGTTCTCCCTCGCTGTCCGCGAGTTCGACTTGGACTCGCCTCCAACGTATTGCGCTGTGTCGTATACGTGGGCATCGGCCGACTTGGATAATCTGGGGACGGATAGACCCGGCGCTGAAGAGCGCATAATTCCCATTCTGGTCAATCAGATTCGCGTCAGAATCACCCAAAACCTTTTCGATTTCCTTCAGCAATGCGTGCAGTCAAAGTGGTTTCACGCTAGTCATAAACCAGAAAAGGGAGAGGTAGCCCACGATACCAGTCTTTTCGTTGTCAATTATTTATGGATCGATGCCGTCTCCATCAACCAGGACAGCACGGAGGACAGGATCCGGCATAGGTCAATCATGGGAGAAATCTATTTGAAATCTGCTCCAGTACCGATATGGCTAGGGAAAGAAGTCCCCAATCCTTACGTCAGATGGGTGCTGGAAGAGTTTATACCAGCCTTCAACAAGGCATTCCCACAGCCTGGCAGTCTCAAAGGCAAGGACCCAATGTGCACTGATCCAGTATTCACTGAACTTCTGGGGCAGGCTGCCTGTCGTCGGTGGCGCGATGCCTGGATTCCTTTCATGGAATTTCTTGGGAAGAAGCGTTGGTTTCGACGAGGATGGGCAGTCCAGGAGGTCATTATCCAATCCCTCACGAAGAACGGCGAATCTTTTCTTCTCTTTGGATACTACTCCGCTTCTTGGCTACACTTGAGGATCTTCCTGTCACTTCTCCACTTAGATGACTGGAATCCAGCCCTGGTCTCTGAGCTGCATCTACACGGCTTTACTAGTATAGCAAACCGCACACGTGATCTTTTTGGGTCCGTGGCCAACATCACCGCCGTGCGAAACAGCGTCCTCAGGTTCAGAAAGGCGGAGAGAGCAAGGAAGTCGTTTGAAAGACGGCCGAGTGTCAGCACCAAAGATTCAGTTGAATTAGATCCTTACGACCAGACCGAGCAGCAAAGGGCCTATACAGCTGCATTCCGCGTTCTTCAGATCATGATGAGTTTTAAATTTTCCGACCACCGAGATAATGTTTACGTTTCATTCGACATTCTTAATTTCCTGGCGGGCGACGGGCTACAACTTCAGCTCGAGACAGACTACAACAGCTCAGTAGTAGATGTTTACACAAGCATCTCCTGGCATTTTCTCAGTCACATGTCTTCTCTGGAGGTCCTCACCAGGGCCACTAATACTTCCATGCAGCCTCGTATACCAGGACTTCCATCCTGGGTTCCAGACTTCTCGAAGAGGATCACCGCAAACTTCTTTCAAACGGCCAGGACCAAAGCCGCCGTCAACAACCGAGGCCGCCCGCCTCGGTTTGATGCATCCAACATGCCTCTTCGACGACCAATATTGCAAGGGCCTACCCGCTTATCTATTGCTGGAACAAGGCTGGATAAACTTGCCAATTGTAGTCCTTGTTTAGCTAGGGCTAGTAAAGGCGGCTGGGATTATAGTTGGATGATCCGTGCCTGCAAGCGGCTCGGCTCAGCGTTGTATCAACCTACTGGCGAACCAATCGACGAGGCCTTTACTCGAACGCTTCTAGTGGACTCTATACCGAAGCTATTCTCTTTGGAAAAATGTTCCGACGCGTTTCAGAGATTTTGGCTACACATTTTTGTGACAACGTGCCGTTCACAGCCCCCTTTGCAAAATGCGATCCTAGAATCACTCCGTAGTATGGGTGATCAGCTGCAGCTGGCAAAGTGGTTGCCGGACACCGCGGCATTCTCAAATGCTATCGAGAAACGGACAAAGAAGACTAGTGAAGCCAGCCTCGGCCAGCTTTTTGGTATGGCGGATAGACTTTGGAGTGCTAGAGTATGCTTCTGTACAAACAACAATTACATCGGCATAGGCAACTTCAGAGCTGAGGTAGGTGACGAGGTGTGGTTACTTGAAGGTGGGAGAACGCCCTTCATTCTCCGGCGGCGGTCTAAAGAAAGTGAGTATCAGCTCATTGGAGAGGCCTATTTGCATGGTTTCATGTATGGGGAAGGAATGACGCAAGAAAGGAGAAGCAATTTAGAGTCTGTAGTAATAGCATAATTAGCTGTTGGTGCACATCTATTCTCTAATTAATCTTTGTGACGATTTTTGTTGTCTCTTTGCAATGGTCTGGGTAGATGGAGGAAAAACAAACAAAATATCATCTTCTAAGCTCAGGCAGACCAACATTTCCCTTCTCACATGAGCTTTCGAGATCTATCATCGATTATTTAGCGATTTCACAGCCTAGGTTAAGAACCGACTCTTAACCTCGTGCTTCTGAAGTCATTCTGCTCTGGTGTGAAGGTGTGAAAACCTCACAGGTGCCAATATTTTTCATCAGGCAGGGAATTGCCCGGTAGTATAGATGGTCCGAGAAGCAAGTCGATATGCTTTTGATTGGACAGGTGATATTACGAATATTCTCTGTGGATCCGATCATGGATGACGAGGAAGCTTTTCTGAAATTGTTGGTTGACCCTGGTTCGACCTGTTTTCCCCCGCCTCAGACCATTTTCAACCTGCAAAAAAACCTGTGTATTTTGTACTCTACCACTGAATATGGTCGGCATTCCCCGAAAACCGTACTGCCAGCCCTGCAAACGCAGGAGAGTAAAAGTGTGATCTCCAATTCAACTCAATGGCTTCGAGAATGCATGTTACTGACCCACCAATTTGCTATTAGTGCGATGAAAAATGGCCTCAATGTTCAGCATGCAAGCGCGCAGGGCTGGAGTGCCCAGGTCCAGACAATCTGACGAAGTTTGTCCTCAACAACTGCCACAAAGTCACCCAAGACAATGGAGAATATCCGACATCCCTTCCCGGGGGTGGCAAATTATCGACGACTGTGGCTTCATCGTCTGATAGAAGACTGGCATTGGCCAACAGAACCACAGCCAGCTCTGCGGGGGAGACAAGAAATGGCCCATCCTTTCGTTCATTTCGATTCTTGAATCCCACAACTCAGTCCTCCTTGATGACTATAAGTGATAAGCTCTCATTTCGCTTGGTCTCCTTAATGGGGCCAAATAATGAGGAACCCATGAAGATTAGATTAAAAATCTTTAGTCAAATTCCTCGTCGTTTAAGTTCAAGCATCTGTCTTCAAGATGCAGTTGCATACTGGTGCAGTTCTTGGGTCGATTACCAAAGAGGGTTGAAGCAGATGAGCCCTACCACGTGGCAGAATCACGGAAGGCTGCTCCGCAGTCTCCAAAAGGCAATCCAGGGACCAGAAGCATTGAGTGTTGAAACCTTGGCCGCGGCGACAATTTTATACCAGACCGGAGAGCTATTGAGCTACGAACAGCACAAACCAAGCAAAAGGCCTCAAGCTCGTGGTATTACGACCTTGACTCGAGAAAGAGGGTTGCCAAACCCCGACGATCCGCTAGATGCTATGCTGGCATTTGAGAACCGAACCATTGTTGTACGTCGGAGCGCCACGTCAGGTACATCTAGGTGACGTGCCACATAATTAACTTTTTTGTCGCAGGAAAGTTTGGCTCTCTGGTTTCCAAAAGATACAGAGTTCTACTTCACCGATACCTACAAACAGAACATGCAAAGGGTGGTGGAAAGCGTTCTAGGGGAGCAACCTGAATTGGGACAGCTGACCGCTAAATGCGCCTCGCGTTTCATAGAGTGGGTAAAGAATCTGCGACAAATCAAATTGAGTGCAGATTCTTGCAACAAAATGGCCAGGGCAATGAAAGAAGAACTATACGAGTGTCTTTCTGCCTTGGAGGCAAGTTTTCCGGACTACTGGACAGGTATACAGGAAGAATACGGCAACTTTACAGAAATCGCCGACCACGAATTTTTCCTCGGAAAGAGATATCATGTTGAAAACAGTTTGTCATTTCACTGCTTAACGGACGCGTTTATGTGTCAAATATTGATAGCTCGGATGATCGCCATGCTCCTGAGGACGTACAATGAGCCGCTGGATATAGGACTGGAAACGAGGTACAGGCAACTCTGCGTTCAGTATTGGATGTTCATCCCCTTCTTGAAAACGGAAGACCCAATTAAACTCAATGTCATGCCCGTTATCTTCGGTCTAACACTGGAAGCTGCCACGAGCGAGGAGATAAGTCACGTTATTGATATTATCCAATACATTGACGGGTTCCGGCATGAGTTGGGGCAAACCAAGGAGCAAGTGGCTAACGAGGTGATAAGACGGGCCAAACTCACAGCAAATTTTGATGATGAGAGCGAGAAGGAATTGGTACAAAAGTGCTCTGCGGCTTTTTCAGGAGACACATAATTAGGAAGGCGCGACGCACAACTGGACTGGCAAAATCGCAGAGATTTTACTTGAAGGGTGGAACAAAGAAATTTATCAAGATCATTTTGGTGAACAAGAAATCTCTTGTATAGGAAGAAGGGTACGCTGATTAGTCGACTAATTGCCTATGGTAATCCTTTTGATACCTACCATTTCTCAAAGAAATGATATTGTTCACATAAACCCTCTGAGTCTACTCTCAGAAGCAGCGTCCGCCACAATCCTCGATAATTCATTACCAGACCTGTCATACTTCATCGCTAGGTATTGCAGCCAGTGATCGCCTTCGAATTGTCCAAAGGTAACTGGCCTCTCTATGTCTGTTGGTCTTCCTTTACTCCTGGTAGGACGAGGAAAAAAGAAAGCAGCAAACTCCAAATATGCCAGCGAAAGGATATCCTCCGATTGTCGTCTGCGTGGTCAAAGTGATAGCGGCAAACCCGAAGCTCAAACCTAATCGGCCAAATCTCGCGGGGTAGCCTTGTAATCATTAGTAAGAGGCGGCCCTATCTCCTCAAGTCAGATTAATTCCCCATGTTACATTGAGCTCGCCATTCATAGTGTCAATTGCGACCATTTGAGCCAATGATGGCCCTTAAACATATCCCCAGAGTAGTAGTGATCGGCCATTATTCGATAACAACCATCATCTTGGTCCATCGATGACAGCAATGAACATCAACGCAAGCTACAGGGGAGTTGACATAATTGCAGGGCCGGTTATATATGTGTGACGGACTACTCTTAGCCGAGAAATGTGTTTTTTACCTTCTTCTATCAAAGCTCGTGCCGGCATACTCTTTCCCACCATGTCAGACTCAAACATAGAGAAAGTGGCACCAGAAAGCCAACCTTCAGATGGAGTCGAAATCCTCGAAAATGTCAATGAAGGGGCGAGCAAAGACTTCGAAAAATCACTGCTTAGAAAGATAGATGGACAATTACTCCCAGCAGTAGGAATCCTCTATCTACTGTCCTTTCTCGACCGTTCCAATGGTTCGTTGACTCTATCCACATCTTGTTTACGATTGTGCTAACATGAAGATCAAGTGGGCAATGCAAGGCTTGAAGGGCTAGTCGATGATATAGGCATAAGTGTGTGAAGCGATCCACTGGGAGCAAACTCATGCTAACAGACATGTCTAGCTGGAAATCAGTATTTAACCGGTCTCACTGTTTACTTCATTGGATACGTTATTTTTGAGGTTCGCTGCTCTTCCACGTCTGTTTATCCCTCAATGAAACTAATATCAAAGGGAAGATACCATGCAATATCATACTCAAGCGCACTACGCCACAAATATGGCTCCCGACCCTGACATTGGCGTGGGGAGTGGTGGCAACACTTATGGGTCTGGTACATAACCTGCCTGGGTTTCTGATATCTCGTTTCTTCCTTGGAGTCACCGAAAGTGGCCTATTTCCAGGAGTTGTCTTTTATTTCTCGATGTGGTACCAACGACGAGAACGACAATTCAGGATCTCACTGTTCTTCAGCGCAGCCTCACTAGCAGGCGCCTTTGGTGGCATCTTAGCATATGTAAGTCTACAAATTGGAGAACAGTTGTGTCCTGCTTAGATTATGAAAGAGCACTCACATATTTCAGGGTATTGGGCGTATGAGGGGTGTGGTCTGGGACAATGGCTGGCGCTGGATTTTCATCCTTGAAGGCATCGCCACCGTTCTCATCTCCATTGCTGCGTATTGGTTTATTCAAAATTATCCCGACACAGCCAAGTTCATTACAGACGAAGAAAGAAAATTCATCCATTCTCGCCTAGCTGCAGACAGTGATGCGACACACCAGGAGAAGTTTGAGTGGGCGCAAGTTGTAGAAGCTCTCAAGGATGTCAAATGCTGGCTGTATGGTCTTGGGTTTCACACCATGAGTCTGCCTCTTTACACATTTTCACTATTTTTAGTGAGTTTAAAGAACTATTGACAGTATCAACTCTTGGCTGACTTGGCGCATAGCCCACCATTATCAAGAACCTTGGGTACTCAGCTGCCATCGCCCAACTTCTCACGATCCCACCATACGCATTTGGCTTTGTTACCACCCTAACGGTTGCTACACTCAGTGAACGTCTCAATCAGCGCGCCATTTTCATTGCGGGTTCTGCCCTCTTTGCCGCGATCGGATATTCTCTTCTCCTCGGAAACGCCGACCCAGTGGCTAAACCAGGTATCTCCTACGCAGGTACCTTTTTTGCGGCTGGCGGGATCTATCCTGCCACAGCCCTGGTTCTGTCCTGGCCTGCTATAAATGTATCAGGACAGACTAAACGTGCAGTGGGAAATGCAATGCAGATTACGATCGGAAATCTCGGCGCAGTACTCGGAACCCAGCTTTACAGAGCCAACGATGGGCCACGATATATTGTTGGTCACTCATTTGCTCTTGGATATCTTCTTGCCAATGTGGTTGTCTGTACAATTCTCTGGAAGATCCTTAAGAGGGAAAACAAAAAGAGAGAGGGTTTAGCGGAAGAGGTCCAAGCGATTGGGTTGTTGAGCGATTGGCCTGGAGACTCCGATCCCCGATGGAGGTTCCAGTATTAGTTGGCGCAGGCCGTCTGCCGTAGCTTTGACTTTACTTGAACACATCCTTGAAGGTAACTGGTACAAGCGCTCTACCATCGACCAAAGAGCGAGCTGTCTTCTGCAGGTTCAGGATTTACCCATCCTGAAGGGTCTATACTTTGTATCACAATGAGAAAGACCAGACATCTAGATAACGTAACTTAGACTTATTCAGATTCTCTCATTAGTACCGTAACCAAGAGTTCAGATTTGGAAAAGAGTTGCCCCTAAAGGATAACCTATCTTGCTCACATTTAAAGTCAAGTGAAGTTCCAGATTGGACGGTTACTCCCTGGCCTCTGCTTGCTTGAACCAATCTTTGGGGGTTTGAGATATATAAACTGGATGGGTTGGCATATAAAGCCCCAACTTGCCGAGAGGCTTTGGCACAGAGCACATATCTAAAATCCTTCCCTGAGGGTATATTTTGTTGTCAAGCAGAGCCATAATGATGGTGGAGTAGTTTCCTCGAGAAGTGGTTTAATGTTGAACTTTGCCTAGAACCCTTCAGACACGGGGCTTCTCTTTGTTCAGCGTGAAGGCCTTTACCGCCAACTTGTAAGAAGATCGTGAAATTTTTGTCTCAACTATGAGCCAGTTGTAGTGGCAGTCTGATTAGGACAAGTCACAATAGGTGGAGAAGCGGTAATCCGAATACGGCGAAAAAAGAAGCGAACGCTAGCACGAGGAACACGGACGCTACATTTTGACTCACCCATTTTTCCATGATGACGAAGTACAACCCGTGAATAGCCCTTGTTATATAAGCAAAGACAACGTTAGTCGGATGCCCTGGAACACGCGGCTGGTGACATCTGCCAAACGCGTCTTGAGTCTTCACGCGTCATGCTCAGTCCAGGCACAACATCACAGCCCTCAACACTATGCAGGCCCTAATCGACGAGTACCTCAACGAGGCAAGGGAAGATGGTGTACAGATCAGCGGTGTCACGCCGCGGGTTATTAGTGGCCGGGGCATTGGCATGGTGGCTACCCGTCGGCTCGAGGTATGATGATCATGCGCACGTCCAACGAGACTTTGCTAAGAGGTCAACAGAAAGACGAAGCGATCATGACCATTCCCACAGAAGCCATCCGCAGCCTCCACACTATTCCTCACGATATATCAATGAAGCTTCCCCCCGATATGTCGATACATGGCCTACTTGCAGCTGAAGTAGCCCTTCATAATAATGCCTCGCACACTTGGTCTCAAATAATACCCACTTGGGAGGATTTTCAGAATACAGTTCCATTATTATGGCCAGAGGCGCTTCAAGAGCTTCTTCCAGCAGAAGCAAAGTCCCTTCTTATTAAGCAAAAGGCTAAATATGAGGCTGATTGGGAGGCTTTCCAAATCGGATTCCCGAAACAAGACCGCCAAAGTTACCTTTACGCCTGGTTTCTTGTCGGCACGCGAACATTCTTTTTTGACTCGCCAGAGATGACGTTGTATCCTTTGCATGATCGATTATCGCTACTACCTGTAGCAGATCTATTCAATCATAGCGCCACTGGTTGCGAAGTCTCGTTTCAAGATGAAGGTTATACGATAACGACAGATCGTCATTACGACGCGGGTGAGGAGATATTTACCTCCTACGGGGATCATACAAATGATTTTCTACTAGCTGAGTACGGTTTTGTCCTGGAACACAATCCATGGGACAAGATCTGTCTTGATGATCTGATCATTCCCAAGTTAAGCGCCACGCAGATTTCTGCATTGAAGGAAAGGGGATACTCGGGAGAATTCATGCTTCACGATGGATCAAAGAAGAACGATGCTATTTTCATCGCATTGCGGGTTCTTTGTTCCGACGTCTTCAATTGGCAGAAATTCGAGGACGGCGACGAGGACATGGGTAACTCTCTTGCAAAGGGAATCGCGCTGTTACCCGAATTGTTAAATGAATACAGAGATAGAATTGCGGAGGCAAAAACCAAGATTCGCAAGCTTCCAGACGGTAAAGAGGCCCAAAAGTCTTTGCTTTGGAAACGATGGGAACAAATCGAGACAATCGTCGAGGGGCTTGTTGAGACGCAATGGTGAAAAAGGATCCCCATGTACGTACTTCTAGCCAATCCTAAGATAAGACGCATTTACGGTCTACACTTCACACTAGGGAGTAATATATGCAGTTCTAGCCATTCGATTGGAAACAGAGCAGACGCAGAGATGAATGGACAGGTTTAAATACAGCATACATGGACGGATATGAGTCATCGGCGAACTCACTCCTTTAGCATACAAATCATGTGGACGAAATTGCGTATTAATTATCCACGTGCCTGTTGAGCCGCCTTCGGGGATAACTATAATAACTACTTACTTGGCTATTCAATGTATCTCATACCATGATCGACGGCGTGTTCCCCTTACTCCAGCTATAGAAACCCTTGCCTGCAGCGTCCTGGGTGTTTTGAGCATCCTTGAAGCAAAACATGGAGATAGTGGTTTTCTCGTCAATCTAGTCAAGCACCAACCAAATGTAGAACATACTTGCAAGCGGGGAGTGCATGTTTAAGCTATGGGAGATCAGTGATATACCATATGGTCCGTCGTGTCATAAGTGTGCATAACCCACGGCGCAAGGCCTTGTAGTCCTGGACGGGTGAGTTGGCGCGTATGAGCCATTGCGACCTTGACATCGGAAAGGGAGCATTGACTTTATTCACCATTTATCTCTGGAATAGGTCTAAATTATACGCTTCTGTTGCGTACAGCTTTAGGTTGAATCCCACGAAGCTCTTAGCCTTGAATGGAAGCCAGGATTACAAACCTCTAACTCCCCGAATCTATTTGCTTACATGCGGAGACATTAATGTGCCCCGTGTCCGGAGCATTCACCTATAAAAGGCCTTCGGGGCCCCAGGCACAGGTCTCAAAACTCTTCCTTTTCACCTGCAGACCACCTCTCGTTAAACAAACTTAAGAAGCCTTTGGGCCTTCACTTTATACAATATGACGGTTCCAAAACCACTCATCGCCATTGTTCCGGGAGCGCTGCACCGACCGAACGCATACTCCAAATTCTTGCAGCTTCTCGAGCAGCGGGGATTTGAGGTCCTCACACCACCACTTGCAGTGGCCAGTGACTCGGAGACTCTTGACAAGGAGTTGACATATGTTGACGACGTCAAGAATATTCACGCCCAGCTGCTTCCTCTGCTCGACCAAGGCAGGAAGGCCATCATTCTCTCCCACAGCTACGGTGGTTTGCCCGCCGTTGCCAGTATCGAGGGCCAGACATACGAGGAGCGTGCCGCTCGAGGTCTTCCGGGCGGCATCATATCTTATGTAGCTGCCTGCGCAGTTGTATATCCTGTTCGAAACAAGAGTTTGATGGGAGATGATACTGAGTTCCAGCCAACGCCCTATCATCGTATCAAGGTCAGCGCCCGTCATGCCCAGTTCTTCCTACCTACACACAACATCACATCTTGTTACACTTTAATGATATCACTTTCTAAAATAACATAGGACGGCATCGTGACAGTAACAGACGAAGCCCGCGCCCTTTGGTATAGCGATCTACCTGAGGAGGAAGGCAAAGAGGCATTTGGCGCACTACTCAAGGGGCAGACCTGGAAAAGCTTCACCGTTTTCCCACGCTATGTCGAGAGTGACCTCAAGATTCCGAAGACATATCTGCTTTGTGAAGACGATCAGGCCATCCCAGCGTCCTGGCAAGAATTGTTGATCAAGAATGGGAGCTTTGACACAGTGCACCGGTTGAAATCCGGTCATGCACCGTTCAGAAAGGTTCCCGAGGAGGTTGCTAAGATACTTGAGGAGGTGTGGAAGAACAACGCATAGATCGATTCTTTATGTGTTCCACCCCCTATTATTCAGTATCCTGTTCTTGAGATCCAAGAGAGGAGAGACGGAGGAGATAATGATCGATGGTGATCTCGGGTAGCCGGAGTCCAGATCACAGACCCCTGAAACAGATCCACTGCTAAACGCGCATGATGTCCCTTATTCGGGCATAGCGTTTGTTTACTGCGCGATCTTTGTCTATTTACGGATTCGGCTGAGCTTCTAACGGAGTGATGAGTCTCTCCTAAGCTGACCGCGAATTTGCTTTCAAAAGTGTCCCTTTGCCACCCATCTCCTTGTGCTACCAGCGTCCATGCCCCCCCCGTAAACAACTACACATATCCGCAGCCTCTTTCATCTCCTTGGCTCTTTGAATCGCGTTGCAGAAACTTTCTCCTCTCATTTTCTTCATAAAGTTCGAAGCCCTTTTGAAATAAGGGGTTGTGTAATGCCCCATTGACAATGGTTGGGGTTCCTAGCCGGGCTGGTGCATGCCATACCTGCAGATCGCGGAAGAAAGGAGTCAGTATGAAGTTATCCCGTTAGCCGTGAAAGAGGGTCTAAGAAGAAATGCAGTGTGACAGGCGTCGCCCGACCTGCGCGCAATGTGAGCGCTCAGGGATGGTGTGCGGCGGATACTGGCAACGGCACTCGTTTATAAACAGCACTGTCCAGGATACCACGAACAGTGGAGATGAGGGTTTCTCGCATATGAGGTATTCAAAAGCTAAATATGTTGAGGCGGCCAACAGACGTTTGGCCGAGCGAGACATGTCGGACTCGAAACTGCTTAATGGTACAGTGTATGAACTCAAGTATGTTGATGTGTTCTGGGAGATGTACCTCCCAGATAGCCGCAACTTTACATCTGAGGCCCGTCAGTACTCTATAGCTGGCTGGGCGTTGCTTGCCCAGAAATGGGTCCATTATGACGGAGCCCTCAAATTGGCATTGGGTGCCATCAGCTTGAATACCATTGGCCAAGAACTGGGAAAGGAATGGATGATACACGAGGGTAGGAAGCTTTATGGCGCTGCACTTCAAGGCATGGCGTCTTCTGTGAAGAATCTTCACAGAAAGAATCAGAATGCCATCATAATGACTTCAAGAATACTCTCGTTATTCGAGGTGAGCTACATACATCTCAATGGAAATGCCAGTCGTCTAATGAGCGCCCCAATCCGGAGTTTTAGGTTTTATTTGGTGACGGCGACCTAGCAAAGCGTTATCGAGACTGGTCGGGACATGTGTCCGGAGAAGAAGCCATCATGATGCTTACGAAACCGGAAAACTATATCAACAGAGATGCTCATGACCTCTTATGTGACGGGCGCCTACGCTCGGTATTTTTGATCTTGACATGGTGATTGACCTTCAACATTGGCTAATAATACCCAGGTATTCCAGAGTACATTCGCAAGAAAAAAGTGCCTTTTCAATGATCATGCTTGGAAGACTGTACCGTGGTGGCGCATTCGGAAGACAGAGAAAGACAAACTGATAGACATAATCCTCGAGGTTCCAGAACTCCTCGAGAGCCTCGATAACACTATATCAACCTATGATGGTGAGCAACACATTGTATATATGCAAACATTGGCAGCAAGTTTGCTTCGGTGTGAAGAACGGCTCAAAATCTGGCATAAACAGGCTAGCCAGCAGCTCATGATCGGGGAGGAGGCCCAAGACGCTACAGGATTGGCGGCATCTCACCTTATGTCCATTTACTGGGCATACCGGGTGTTGATACGAGGAGTTTTAGAAAACCATCAGTTCTATCAAGAGATCCCAGCATCAGCCGTAAGCCTGTCGGAAATGCGAGACAACATCTTGCGTCGAACAGAGCGCTTTAGCAGTGCAAAGTCTGGTTGGTTTGGAAAGCAGATCATAGGCTTTCCGGTTGGGGTCGCCATGAGATTCGCTCCACCAGCAAAGACTGGGGAATACCCTGCTATCTGTGAGACAGTATCCGCCCGACTGTCTTAGGTAACACACAGGCTCAGCTAGTGAGTGCACTTCTAGCGACATCGAGCTTCTGACCGGTTTGGACCGTTCGAGACCCAATAAGAAACACTGGAACACGAGGATGAAATAGATCACTACGGACATATCATGGGATACATATCTGTCGGATTTGTCGGCCCTGAAGTGGGCCGAAGGGTGAAGCTATCAGCAAGGATGAATTTTCCCCCTTCAAGCTAGTGATCGAGGAGAGGAATGGAGCCAAAATATTACCTCCGTTGTCCATTCTCTCGTTTTTGTTTTCGTAAGCAAATTTGTTACGCCTGTACTGCACTTTGATGTTCCACAATTCTAACCAACCTTTACTAAGATGAAGGCTCGCTCCATAGTTCATGAGATATTACGTCCAAGAACCTTACTATATTATACAGATACGGTACCTAGGTATTTAGTAGATGATGACTGAAACTATGTCCGTACTCCGGTGTATGGAAACTCGGCGAATATTCATTTGTATACTACAGCTTAACGAAGAAAGACTGTAGATTTGTGGACAAATTACTAGACATAGCGCCTCTGCCCTTACTAAAAATATCAATTTATTCGTTAGGGTCAGTCATGTCTTGAACACAGTCAGCCATTGTGTTTGGCGTTGTGCCGCAACATGATTCTTGTACGTCATCGAAGCAACAACGACGGCGGTGGAACCATGAGCTTGAAAGTGCCAAGGAATAGCGACGCAATGGCCTGCAAAGTAAAGAATCCTAGGATTCAGCCAAGAGAGGAGCGTGGCTGTTTGTCTTCGATAAACATTCTAGGACGAAATGGTGCAAAACAGCATCTTTCGCGATTCACGAGAACGCCAACTGCACGATGAAAACCACAACGTACGTGTATTTGTATGCCTATTGACATGTAATAGTTCGAGACACAGAAGGTAGTGACGTAGTGTTGGCACTTGGACGGACTTGTCTGCCCGGTCGAATTCTTGGCATTCGGTGGCGTGGTAGATTCACATGATTCACGAGGTGCAAACGGAAATGCCCGTGTAGAAAGTTACTTGTCAACTTCCGTTATTGGATTGGATATGCAGAAGCTTCCAATACTTGGCTGGGAGGTCCGCCGGACAGGGCGAGGGTGTACATAAGCCGTGGCAAGACTCCGACATCGAGGGAGCACGCGGCCGTCCCATAGATTTATTGAATCCGACATAGTTGAAGAAAATTCCGAAAGAGGGTAGCACATGCGTAAAATGAGAGCTGGCTCCGATCCAGAAGCATGATATAAGACCGATGATTGGCCCCACGTCACATTTCAGCTTATGCGTGGCACTGAATTTGGGATCACAACCTGCCTTGGTACCTAGTCTTTCAGCTGGAGAAGGGTAGCCATCTGCTAGGCCTATTCATCCCTAATAGGAAAAGAATTATACGACCCGGCTTAAAGAAAACCGCCAGCTGATTCTCCACGAGTACTAGAGCTACACAAACTCTATTATATATATCAGTCGCCGCTACGCATCAAAACCAAATCATTTCAGCCAATCTGTTTACTTGGCACTGGTGTTTTACAATATTCACAATGGCCTCCTCAGTGTACACTCTGAACAGCGGAGATGTGAAGGAAGAGAGGGATAGGCTTGACTGGCAATACGACATCTTTAAAGCGATCTTCGAGGGCAAGTTACTCCCCGTTGATTTGGAGACTCAGCTAGAATCGGCTGATTCACTCGCGATTGCCGACGTTGCAACCGGAACAGGCGTCTGGCTTCGGGATCTGGCGCGTCAGCTACCCAGCTCGGCTCGCCTAGATGGTTACGACTACGATACCTCTAAATTCCCTGCTGAAGATACCGTCGCTTCAAACATCAATTTTCACTTTGCCGACGCTTTGCAGCCATTTCCTGACCATTTACACGGTATTTATGACCTGGTCCACATCCGCCTCATGATGTATTCTTTCCGGCAAGACGAATTGCAACTCGCCACAAAAAACGTCAGAGATTTACTCAAGCCGGGAGGCTGGATAGTGTGGGAAGATACCGGCTATAATTCGTGGACCTCGCTTCCCATGGGTCCAAATTTTGCAAATTTTCTTGGACTTGATTTCAGATACGCAACACACGTCGGCCGAGACACGTTGTAAGTGCAGAACTCGAACACGCTTCGAGACATGAACGACTAACAGCCCTGCAGAATGCCCCTCCATTTAAAATCGCTATTTGAGCAAGAGGGCTTTGTCAACTGCAGCGAGAATATATTCAGCATGTTCAAGGTAGGTGGAGGAAAAGAGACAGGGGGCATGGTCACTATTCGCGTGGCTCGTCAATCACTGATGGGGATGATCGAAAAGGGGGGGTTTGAGGCCATTCAAACTGAGAATGATGTCGAGAAGACTATCCATGGGCTTCTCGCGGAGCTCAATCAGGGTCATCGGATGGGGATGGCAATGTCGCGCATCGTTGGCCAAAGACCCAAGCAGGAGTAAATCAGGATGCTTGCTAGGCTTGCTTTGTCAAACATCGGATGAGAGGTTCGTGAAAGAAATTATATGACATTAGGAGTTAGTAGGATAGCATCACAGCAGCATGAATTTACAGCATTCGGCTTTGCGAACGTCGGAAATCCGCCATGTGATGCTGAACAATCACCCCAACGACTGTTCATCTCTTACCATTTTATGAGAACAGGATAAGATAAAAGAGGAAAAGAAAGCGAGAGAACAAGGGAAAGAAGAACAGAAAATGAGGATTTAATACAACTGGGGTATTCGCCATATTCACTTTGCGTAATTAGTTACGGTGTCTGAAGACTAGTGTATATGAGGGAGGAAGCATATCAACTACGATGGGAGACAGACACAAAATCAGCAGTTAACTTCGTTCAAATGAAATTATCTCCCACACCAAGTGCATGTACTCTATGGAGAAACATGGTATATGGCCCTGAACGTAAGTCCCTCTGCCAATGGGATGGCATTTAAGGCTTTCATATCCCGTTGGGGTTTTCCACGAGCTCTTCATGGTGCAAGCTGATGGGCAAGGAGGTGGTACTTAAATAACGATATGGCCATCAAACTTGGATCTTCCTCACAGTACTGAAGTTAGCCAAGACAGAGCGAGTGGTGAGTGTGATGGATTTGGCTATTTTGTCGGTGGGATTTTGAAGCGCAGTGCCGACTTCCCATCAGATCAAGTCCACGCCTGGTCTAATCAAGGATCTCAGCCCGGCGAATGAGTAGCAGTTAACTCATGATTTATACCCCCCGCCCCAATGAAGGGAGGACCAACAATACTCTAATTATCGTCAGCGCTACTGTTGGAGACGTTTCAACACTCGTCATAGCTGTTCCCGTCATCTGACTTATATATCGAAAGTACTTCAGGCAGCGTGTACTGTGATCTGAAGACCCTAAAATGATGAAAATCCAGCTCTTGCAAGAGGGCCTATGTCGACTGTGGAAGGGGCTAAATCCGACCCATCATCATCCTCTGGATACAGACTCTAACTCTGCTCCCGGTTACCCGGAGGCGGTTGAGGCATCAGAGTTTGAATGCTCTGAATCTTGGGCGCAGTTGCAAAATCGTTGCACTCAAGAACCAGAAAGCAGTGGAAATCTGACTTAATATATTAATCATCACATAGGTTGACCATGAATCTCGAGTGTCCTCTTGAATGTCCATGACAGGCGCGTCCGTTAAGACTTATGCGTCCACTTCAAGAGCTAGGGACAAAGAAACTATCGATATTGGCCCCAAATCGGGGTTGTCACTAATTGCATGAAAAGGCATAGCATATCAGCAGTATGGGTATTGTTGCGACGTCGAGGGTGAGGATCTGGATAGACAAATTGGCTATAGCGTCTGTGGATTTCGTTCACATGAGAAGGGCCAAGAGGGCCGTATCTATTTGTCTTCGGGATACACAGCAGAGTTTATAAATAATTCACTTCCTCCCAAATGGGCCTAGCACGTCCGAGTCATTTCGTGGTGTGACTTTTAGTTCCAGGCCTTTATCGAGGGTGGGAGGAGTCGTCGGGCCGGTATGCGTCACGTCAAGATTAAAGCAAGAGGTGTGTCTAATAGCCCTAGACATCCAATGAAACAGTATCTCAGACCTCTCAGACCCCTCTTTCAGCCCATCCTTTGTGAATTGTCTCCTCAACCCCCCTAATTTCATGTGAGACCAGGATGTCGGTACCAGAGGCTCGAGCGTAGCAGCTTGTGGCTGCGCTAACGGGTGCGGTTCAGGTGTAGAGCAAAAGCAAAGCTCATTCGATCTGCACCACTATAAGGTCAGACGTGACCCCAACCTGAATCAGATTTTTTCGATGTTGTATTTCCTTCTGTTGTTCCCTAGGTCCCGCTAGCTCGCGTCGCCCTTCAATTACTTGCTGCAGCTCCATCCCCTCCGACAACCATCGCCCTTCCAGTGGATTTACGTCGTTCTATCTATGTCAAACCGGGCGGTATGCTCGATCCACCCGACGGAGCAGGCCGGACTCTTCGCGACATTTCGATTGCCTTTCTGGTGCTGACATGGGTTGTTGTTATCCTTCGCATGTCGGTGCGTATCTCGAGGAAATGTGTTGGTGCAGATGACTGGTCTATGGTCGGGGGGTTGGTATGTCTGCCCTCCTGAATCGTGTTTGGTATTCAATTGACAGTGCTCAAGGCTCTTTTCTCAGTTGTCTGTGCTACGACCATTATGTCGGCATACAATGGTATAGGGGCATATGATAACCAGACATCGCCAGAAACGAAACAGGAGGGACGGAAGGTATGTTTCTATTGCCAGAGCTGCATGCCATATAGCGATATCTGACGGTGAACAGTGGTTTTTCCTCTTCCAAGTCTTCTACTGCGCCAACACCGTTCCGATCAAATCTTCTATTTGCATCATGCTGATACGACTCACTCCGTTCGCCGTCTACCGTTATATCTTATACGGCGTCATCATCTTTAGCACCATCTCCGCATTTGCTAGCATTGTTGGGATCGTGGCCCTGTGCACTCCAGTAGCCAGAACATGGAATCTTAACCTGCCGGGTCACTGTGGTCCGCCAGAAGTTCTTACGAGATTGGGATATTTCATCTCCGCCTCATGCATCGTGTCCGATTGGTCGTGTGCCGTCATGCCCATATTCATCCTTTGGAACAGTCAAATGAGATGGTTGATGAAGATTTCGGTTGGAGTTGTCCTGGCACTGGGTGTTTTGTATGTTCATATATCCATCGTTAAATACCTTGTACTAATATTTCCTCTTTCCGACAGAGCCAGCACTGGAAATCTTGTACGCTTCCAGTATGTCATCGCATACGAAAATACAACCAACTATTATTACGGGATCGCAAATATCGCAATCTGGTCGATCGTCGAATCGGGAACCGGCATCATTGCTGGATCGACACCTGCATTGGCGCCCTTGATCAAGCATATACCGATTATTGGTAGGGGATTTATTATAACTCCCGAGGGTGGCCAACAGGCTACTCAGAGAAGGTGGCGGCTACGACACATTACCAACCCTTTCCCTACGAGTTTTAAAACAGAAGATCAATCTCGGCCACAGCGGACTTAATAATCAAAGCGGCCAAACCGTGACGACATCGGGAAATAGTAATGTAGCGGCCAGGTGATACCTCCAGAAGAACAAGATGCAAATTTGATAGACTATTGCTACGGATATTTCGACCAGGCCGATACCCAGGCAGCGGGAATCCTAATATAACCATCCAACTTCGTTCATTGTATACTAAGGTACTTACTTCTATACGCCCTTTATCTTATGTGCCTTGCTAGCAGTGATATTGCCAAATGCCTTGGCAGACATATGGACATGGACACTCAAGATCGGCGCAATGCTGTCGCCATATTTGTCCGGGCCTGATCAAGTTGGGTTTCGGAAAGAACGTCCGCTCAATATAAAGCGCTACGCTTATGAACAATATAAAATCGTGTGAGAATATAAACGCGATCTAGAGAGTCCTAGAGCGAATCCGGGCCTAATTGGACTCCAGATGACATCTGCCTAGGAATAGCAGCCCTGCATCGAGGAACATATAGTTCGAGAAACCCATTATTTCACAGCTTAGAAACACGAGGGCCTTTGTATGACCATTCACGCCTCATTCATGGCGAATTTTGTCTTGGTGTACTCGCAGCGTCGTAAACATCATACTCTGATATCCCATCAGCGCTACTCATGCCTTGAACGATCCACCAGACACGGCATCTCATATACCCAGTGTCAGAGCCAATTCTACTACACCAGCAAAAACGGAGCGCGCTCGCACTGATTACGGTGCTTAATTGACTATATAGCCTGTCACTGACACCAACACCCAGAAACGATTGTTTAGTTGACCAACTGGTTAGCGGTGGTGCCTCAAACTGCACGAACCCTAATTTCGCCCTCACTGTCTTCGATGAGCCCAAAGCCGTGCACTGGTGTGCATTTCTCCATCTTCTCCCCCAACCAAGAACCAGTACTTTTGCAGAAACCATCCCTTCGGCTCCCAGCTACGAGGGTCCCATGGAACTTCCATCTCCATGCCTCGTCTTGCCGTGCCTTCTTGGTCTGCAGGCGAACCTCCCCAGCATACCAAACCCTCGGCATCCATGTCATGACACATCATCTCCTCGCAAAATAGAGGGGGGTCACATGCCAATGCGGTCACAGCCCTCTCCCGAAATTCACGAAAGGGGATAATGTCGAGGTAAGGATGGTGTGCATGTTTCAGCTGCGCATCACAAGGTGCCAAACCCGGCGGTACACGAGCCGTAAACCGATCGCGAGCGGCTTCAAGTTGATCCTGTGGATATCCCTTTCCATGGTCAATGCTGAACGGCGAAAGACCGTCGTCCTTGAGAACTTCACAGTTGAAGAGACCGATGGCCTCCGAGTTTGCAAGAATAGCTTGGTAGAAGTTGGAGTGGATGACTCTGATTAGATTCACTCTTGGGTCGGGCAGGGAAGAGTGGCAAGCTAGAGTATTCTTAAGCTTGGCCTCAAATATCCGGACTTCTCTCTTTATTCGAATTAGTAGTCTTAGAGAGTCAGGAGATTCAATGTGATCCACTGATGAAAATGGGATGGATTGAAATAGTTGCTGGGATTCAGTGCTTTTGCCAATCTCATCGTCAGCCTCAACTAGTAGTGTACTCAATATCTGGCGTTTTTGAGACCAGGGCAAGCGTTGGATGATACCAAGAACAGTAGATACTTGATCAGCTGTCGGATATTCGTCGGGAACTGAATTTTTTGATGGGCTATTTTGCTGTCCGCCTTGGATATTTTCGTTTAGAGATGGAGCAGGCATTCTAAGTATTGAGGACGGTGGCTGTTGGATGAATGAGGGTTCTAACGTTTCGGAGAGCGAGGCCCAGGACGAATATGGTGCGATTTGATCGGTGCCTGCCTCAAACAAAGCTCTTTCAGTTGATGGGAATGGGAAATGCTGGACGACGTGATTTTCACATGTTTCAAAGCTATCAACGCCCCCATCGAGGTGTCCTAGTCCGAAATCAGGGACTGCCACATTTTGGAGAGTACTGATACTAGGCTCGGCAGTAGTTGCAATTGTTTTCGTATAATCTGAACAGAAGTCCGACTTCGGCGTAGATGATTGATTTTCAGCCGTCTCTGGATAATCAAGGAGTTGGTTGAGTAGAGAGAGCCGCTGCTTTCTCCTAAGCCCTGTAAGGAGAGCTCTGCTTAGCAACTCATTCCTAGCACCAATAGTAGTCTCTGTGACGGTATTACTCACGGTACCTTTGAGCTGAAACCCGGTTTTGCTCCTTCCGAATCTCGCTATTGGGTCTTTTCCCCAGAGTGGCTGCGTGATCCAGCCTCTTCGGACTTGTTGATGATGCTGATGGTGATGGCGGGGCTGACACCTGGTCCAAAGCCGTCATCTTCTGTGAATTTATGCTCATTTCGGTTCACTTCATGGAATTATCTTCCGACTATTGCACTGGGAGGTTGCATCCACTGGGCTGTAATAGTTGGAATTACTGGCCTGGTGCCATGACCGGAAGGGAGAGTGGGTGAAGTTCTCTTCGGGGATTATGGCGATTATCCACGAGTTAAGTCCGAAGTGATGACTTCCTTTCATCACTGGTATGGCTGGCTTGAATTTACCCCGGTTGCCCGACATTACCTAGATTTGAATAAGCTATGTACGGGATGTTGCTTTTATTCGCACTTCGCTATACAGTTTCAACATCCAGCATGCTGCTGGTAACGCAGCCACGAAGTATACGATCGATCCAAATTCAATTGACCCTGCTTCCATCAAGTCAACCTTTTTCTCGTCCGCATTTGCAGGCATTGGCGTTGGTATGCATGCTGACGCCAGCCAGAGCTACTTTTCTTCTGCTGACGCCAGCACCGTCATCCAAGTCACATCATGAAGCTACGCCCGTGTAGCTTGCCATCCCGTGGCGCAAATTGCCATGGCCAGAATCTGGATGGAAAAGGAGTATAAATAAAGGGATGGAGGAGTTTTTTAATTGAAAACAAACCTTAGAAACCATTCAATATCATCATTAGAGTACGGAACAGTTGACCTCTCACTCTACAGCCAGTTTGTGAACAGAACCAAAATGGCCAAGGAAACCTCAAATAGCCGCGTCGCATGGGAGCATATCGTGCGAGAGAAAGACAAAGTCGGCGATGCGTACTACAAAACCTCCGACTCTGTCGCAGAAGAACTGCACAATGAGATGGTTGGAAAGGCAGGTATGTTCCATTGAGATTCTAGAGCCTTCGTGAATTTTATCGTTTACCACGCTCACAAACCATCCAGTCATTATCACAGGAGTAACTTCAGGCAGTCTTGGAGCCGACGCATCAAGGGTCATTGCTGCCCACGAGCCAAAGTTGCTCATTTTAGCCTCCAGGTCAGAGTCCGCCATCGCCAAAACGATCGAAGAAATCAAGCCCACCGCCTCTGCCGGAACAATGATCGAGCCGTTGATCATCGATCTTAGCGATCAGCTCTCTGTGCGAGCAGCGGCCAAGAAGGTTCTCAAGTTGACCCCGGTGGTCGATGTCTTGATCAATAGTGCAGCCCTCATGATGATCCATAAGTACACCACAAATGCCGACGGTGTAGAGATGCATCTTGCAATCAACCATCTAGGCCACTTCCTGTTCACCAACCTCATCATGTCGGCACTCCTGAAGTCGGACGGCCCAGGCCGTGTCGTCAACATCTCCGCGGCAGCTCACCGCATCGAACCTTTCCGTTTCAACGACTACAACTTTGGCGAGGGAGAGGCTTACGATCCAACTTTGGGCTATGCTCAGTCAAAGTGTGCTAATCTTCTCTTCACTCTTGGTCTAGCACAAAGGCTTGGACATAAAAAGCTCTTGAGCTATGGCGTCGATCCCGGCGGCTCGATTACCAACTTATTCCACCGCGCTCCGAAAGAGGAGATGCTTAAACACGGTTGGCTTCTAGAGAATGGTGACCCAAGCCCTGCCTTGCTGGGAGGTTTGAAGTCTGTTCAACAATCGGTCGCCAGCTACATTGTGGCTGCATACAGCCCAGATATCAAAGGTTAGTAGGAGAAGCGTTAAAAAGGTCTTGTTCTAATTATCAGCTAACATTATCATGTGCAGACAGAAACGGGTGCACCATCACTGGTGGCATGATTGATGACACCGTGGCCGAGCATGCTAAAGATCCGGAGGCAGCAGAGCAGTTATGGAATCTCAGTGAGAATTTGGTTGGACAAAATTTTAACTACTGAAGCAAATCATGGTCAGAATTAGATTACGGTGGACTGGCAGTCGTGTAACTCTTATCCCCTATTTGCCTACCGAACTCCGGTTCTCGACATAAACCCCGAGCACACATAGGATTATTAGTTGCGTTTTAGTCTAGTCCAAAATGGCACCCAAAGTTATTCCTACTACCCTTTTCAAATAAATCTAGCTTCTGACCTTTCTTCCGGGATTTCCCAGGTGGATTGTGCACAACGCGTAGGGTGGTTGCCAGTAACAGAGTGTATCTAAGTCAAGAGCAGCATCCCTGATATTTTATTGCGTACTACTGCGTCTGTGCATACGTAAAAGCATTTATCCTCAGCTAGAGAGAAACCCTTGAAAATACTACCGAGAGAGTAGTCTACATGCGAGTTATAACAGCGAGATGTCATAGTATCACAAGTCAGCCAAGATTGTCTATATTAACGAAGAACATGAGCACATGGTATACTCTTCTTGCTCAGATAGCTCAAGGAATTATCAAGGAATTATTATTAAATTTTATCTTCGTCACAATAATATATAACGGCTATGAAGCTGGCTTGAGGGCATACATCTTAACTGGAAATAGCCTTCTCGTGGGCGTTTCTGGAAATCCGCGTTGCATGTCCGATTTGATCAGCTTCAAACCAGCCCGTTCAAACAGTCGAAGAAATGTACCATCTTCCCTATTAAGTTATTAGCTTGGCAGTTCTCTCTTGGAATCTAATCCATTCGCCACCTGCTACTGGACATGGAAGGATCGCCTTACCTGACCAGACTACTGTCCGTTGCATCAAACATGTCAGCACCAGCAGTGCTTTGATTTTCCTTGACAACAATGACACCAGAGTTCGGCGTCAAGACGCTTTTGCAAAGCTCCAGATACTCCACCATCTGGTCATCTGTAACGTGACCCAGGCACCATTGCGTCCAAATTAAGTCGTATGTAACACCCTCGGGGGGTTGCCAGGCTTGCACGCCGACGTTGAATATGTGCCGCACACCGGCCTTATCTTTCAAAGGATCTGTAAATTTAGACACGGGCTCGATGATGTCGACTTGCTCGGCGACATGGAGGAGCAATCCTTCGGTGATTCTGCCAATCCTGCGTAGTGACCTGTCAGTACAGATTGGGTGAGTTCTGCCCAAGCTTATGAAGCATTGTTGGGGAGAGATCCCTGGAAAGGATCATTGACCGGGGACGGAGGCGACACTCACCCAGCGCCAGCATCCAGGGCCGTCGCGACCAGATTCCGGCCGCGCTTAGCACCGATACCCAGCCTTGCAAGAAAGGTCCGGGACCCTTGCAGGTCGATCCTAGATACGGAAGCAAAGCCGGCAACCCCAAGCACACCGCCGAGCATGCCGTTATCAGAGGCTTCGGTCTCTTGCCAATACTTGACTCCCGCCTGTGAGTTGATCATTTGATCTGCGGGGCCGGATTGAGCCATTTTTAGCTCCCAAAAGTGCGGTTTCGGCTTCTGCTGTGACCTTGGCTGCAGAGTGTTTTATGTAAATGAATACGCGCCGTTATAGGCTGGTGACAGCGATTGGTGGATATGTTGAGGCTGGACCTGGTGGTTGGTCAACGCATGAGCTTATGGTGAATGCAACGACGAAGAAAACGAGGGGGCTCCCTGTCCATTTACGAGTTGACTCTGACCGAAGATCAGGCTCCCAAACGAAAGTCCAGCAAAGCGGACAGGAGGCAGGGGACTCGGTTCCGGAGATGGGCAGTGGTGTCTTGGGCAAAGCTGAGCAGAATTTGTGGGCAGATTTTTGCCTGGTCGAATCATTAGTCATACGCGAATCCACTTTCTGGACGCCTTTTCTCTGCCTCTTACTGCCACCGTTAATAAGGTCTTTGGTGATATTACGCTGCACCACCTGCATACGTGTATATTACCACGGTACAATCTGGACTGGTTCGGTGGCGCACAACAAAGGATTCAATCTTGTTCCGTCATCTTCCCTGTCCGGGATAGCTCTGATCAGGATTGAAGCCACTGACTGCGCCTTGGGGATTGTTTACTACTGCTACATGTTGTCTTAACACGCTCACCGGCGCTTCCAGATTTGAGTAGTACATGGATACGCGTATGGATCCTCACCGCAATTGCAACCCTCTTGAAGTTCGCGCGCGCATAAGCCCTTGCATAATGGTTGGTTCGCATGCAGGGGAAAAGGCGTCGATTCTCTGGTTTGCGGTGCACTGCCCCCAATTGATGCTACGTGGCAGCCATGTGCACTGCACGTCGGAGCTTTGCTGCGAACTCGCACACAGCTGATGAACCCAATTTCATAAGATCTGAATCTGCATTTCAGCTACATTGACCCTACTTTTGTGTTGTTGTGATGGCCCGTGCTTGATCGCCCAAGCAGATAACGTTGCAGACTTGATCAGATCCAGGCACATTGGTCAAACAAGCCCGATGATCATCTGATTTGCCTACCTTCTTAACTACACTTGTACTATGTCGGCGGCAATCTGCACAGTGAATCCTTCAGGCCAAATACTGGCCCCTGCGCTTCCCGCTGCAAGCTGCAGGCTGATGTGATCATACATGTAAAGACGCATTGTGTGCACGTCGAAAGGATTTTGGAACTTGTGTTCACATCCAATTCCCAGGAAGAGCTACGGCTTTCAGTTGCTTCGTAGGTTGAACTCCGGTGGTAGTTTGTAGTGAAACTTCTATTCAACACTGACAAAAAGAACACGCACTACCATTAGATTAAGCCTTCCATCATCTTCCATAGTAATTTGACGTCGTGATAGTTGTAACAGTATCGACCCTGATTCTATCTTCGACCGTCGGCTCGGGGCTGTATGACACGAGATATTCATCCTTCAATATCTCCCCGCTGCTCCCTCGATGTCCCCTCACCTCCGTCTTCACGCCGGGCGGTGCGGTGTACCCTAATTCTAGCCCCAGCTGTTCTTGGCTCTCTCCGGGCTGATCTCTGTTTTTCGATCTGAAGTAAGGTTGTCGGCTTCGGCTTTCATTAAAAGTTCGCTCTCGTGTCCTGCCGCCTGATTTCCCCTCGTCGGTCTTGCCATACGCGCTCGCCGCATTGCTAACCCAGGGCATCACCTGTTTCATCAAGGCCCCCATCGCCGGGAGGCAGGCGACAATGATCGTGACGGACAATTCCAACCCACTCCACATCAGAATATCTTCGTAGTCCCATGTCGGATTGTACGTGCGGCCGAAGGCGGCAATGTAAGGCACTCGGACGCATGAGGTGACAGTAATGAAAACTCCCAGTCCAAGCATGACCATAACGCCCCATTTTGTCCTTGTATCCATCTTAAGGTGCCAAACTGGTACAAGAGGCAGCACGACGACGAACAGATCCTGCGCTATGTTGAAGCCGGCCGCGACGAATGTCACGACGTGCATGTCGAAACATTTTCCGCCGTAGTACGGTAGGAGCCATCCTTCCCACATCAGGCTAATCGGCTTGCATTGAAAGATTGTGATAAAGGTGATGACGATGGTCGGGATAGCAATCAAGGCCATTCCGATATATACGAGGCGCCGGAATTGTTTTTCGGGAAAGATTCGTAGGTAGAAACATAGAACCGAGATTTTCGATAACCCGAGGAGGGTTGGGTAGAAGGTCTGAACGATATAAACTCGCTAGAATGTAGTAGGTGGTAAGTTATATGGCTCAACAAGATAGATGCACTGTCATTTTGGTTCCCTACCTTGAAAGCTTGGGTGACGGTCTCATAATCTAAAAACCACATATCGATGCCAAATGCCATATAGGCCGCTGAAAGATAGCACAAGTTAGGTGAGAAGCTTATAATCAAGGATGCAGTTCTCCGTACTATATTTCCCCAAAGGCAGGAAGGCGGTGTAGAGAATCTACAGGAGTTTGTTAGTGTTTCCCCGTCCCATAAAACACCGGCCATAGACATACCGCAACAGCCAACATCACCCAGTCATCTGCAGCGAATCGACGATAAGCCCATCTTGAATATAGCCGAATCCAAGCAATGAACCAAGCTGGAACATCGACCGCCGAAATATATAGGATGTTGTTTCTTCGGGATCGGTAAGGACGTTGGCACGCATCAGCCTCGATTCGGCTAACCTCTATCCATGTCAAGCCAGGTTAGTTCTCGATGTTACTCGTTCCGATATTCGTTGTGTTGCTGTTGGTTCGTACCCAATGAGTCCCTGGCATTACACTTCTGGACGACACATTGCTGAGCAGTAAGATGGAACTCGGAATCTGAGCAGAGGCAAGTTGGATCCGTCTCCCAGGTACAGCTGGCCGTCGTCAAGGACGCAACGAAGCATGTATTCTGTTAGTTGTCAGCAACACAATTTGGCTTATAAATTCATAGTACGCCCAGGGAACATTGAATACGAGCAACGACAGAGTGAATCGAAAGAAAGGCAATCATACTCCGCATTTTGGAACCTTCTGCAATGCCTCGAGGACGCTAATCTCGGCTCTAACAATGGATATGCAGACTAGAAGGACGGCAAGCCAAAAGGCTAGCTTGCTCGAATGCGCCATGAGGCCACGAGGAACAACTAATCACTGAAACCTCCGAAGAAGAGAGGGGGGAAGCGAAACGAAGAAGACCAACAAGAGAGACGACTATTAAAGATGGGTAGATGCCCCTTCTCTTATCATCCATTCACCTTGTGCCGTATGCAGGTGTACTCCATTCGGAATGGGCTTCCATCATGCAATGCGAATACACTATTCATCGAAAATCAGGCTAGGGTATGCAGTCACTCTGCAGCTAGGTCAGGGTTTCATGAATATCCTGTAAATATCGCCTTGGCATTCAACAGGGGTGACGGAACGCACTGGTCCCAACCCCGTCTTACGATGATCCCTGTGCTCTCCTGTGTGTCTGCCCCGTGAATAAGCTCAGCACCAACAGGGGCGGCTCCCGTCAGGAAGCTGAGTAGACCCCGGCCAGTCGGTCTAGAGGAGCTCATCGTTTGGAGAGGCGAGGAAAGGCACAGTTGCATCGTCGGAGGTGAGGGCTTTATTAAATTGCATATCGCTGCGACTATTTCCCCTCAGACCTTGAAGGTGCTTTCTCCACTCTGCGTTCTTTATTACATAGCACCTCCAATGTGGGCATGCCCGGATAGAGGAACCCCTGATTCTGTTGTTGTTGGTAGGTCTTTCGTCGCAGTGGGCCGTTGGTCGCTTCTCCCCAAATGCTACTTTCCAATCTCCAATCATGCAAGTTTTGGAAAGTTCTCCCAACCGAGAAAGTGTCACAGAACCAGTTCCATGAGGGGTCAATCAATAAAGACGTGCTTGAATATTGACATGGGTTGTTGGCATCTAGGTCTGGCATTGGCCACTTTTTATCATGAACGGGGACATCTCCAACTTGATGGTGACTCAAAGTTCCAACACACATATTGGGGTAGTCTTGCCGACTAAATGCAACGTATACGTAATGAAAAGAAATAGGAGAACGCATTATTATTGTTGGCGCCATATATCAGCCCCTGAGTGCCTACAATATTTTAACAGAGCCGCCTTGGCTTCTTTTCCAGGAAGCCAGCTCCGTCACAAGCATTTAGCCGAAAAATTTCTACACGTTCTTATGAGAATGCTTGCGCGGCCCTCCATGCTTTGCTAGGCCAGTGGACTAGCTAGGCGCCATGTCAGTGGAAATGTTCTCGTTAAAATAATTCATACTGACAGCTCCAAGGTCGGCCATGTAAGATCAATCAGAGTCTTTTTTCTACCTTATTCCTTGTTTGATTCGGTGAACATTCCTAGGACCCTTTACCTAAAGATACCTGCTCTAGAGACTAGGTCTTCCTTGGGTGGCATGAGACCTTGTTCAACTACTCGAGAAAGCTCAGTTCTGATAATAACCCTGGCTGTGACCCTGATTCTGGTTATAATTCTGGCCAGAGTGTTGGTTGTATTCTTGGCCATGTTGAGAGCCTTGGTGTTGCTGATATCCTTGGTTCTGGCCATATCCCTGGTTTTGATTATACCCTTGGTTTTGCCCGTAGTTTTGGTTCTGGCTGTATCCTTGGTTCTGTTCGTAGTTCTGATTATGATTGTATCCTTGACTTTGTCCATAGCCCTGGTTCTGACCGTGGCCTTGATTCTGTCCGTAGCTCTGGCCCTGTCCGTAGCCTTGGTTCTGGCCATAGCTCTGGTTCTGCTGATATTCCTGGTTGTAACTCTGGTTGCTGCCCTGGTTGCGATAGCCACCTGACTCGCCCGTTGGTCGTTGGCTGTGATCGGGGCGCTGTTCTTGGTACGACTGCTGCTCTGGGCGCCCGTAATCTTGGCTGTGCTGATGGTGGCTAGGTCTTGAGTCCTGCTGTCCACCATATCCTTGTTGGCTATGTTGCTGCTGTCCAGAAGGGCGAGAGTCATGGCCTCCTCCCTGGGTATCAGGTCGGTTTCCAGCACCAAGCTGAGTACCTGGTGCTGGCGCACCCACGCTGACACCTTCGTTGCCGATATCATCAGGCACAGAAATCTTAACCTTGGGCAAGTACTTCTGAACCTTCTGTTCGACAATGTTCTGTACGAATACCCAGCTTTCACGCTCGAACTTGCGATGCCCTCCGTTCACCACTCCGAGAATGCTGCCTCGGAGAGTTTCTTGCACCTTTCGTACCAGATCGCGAATCTTCTTCACAAGCTTGGACTTGATGTCATCTCCAAAGCCACGGTCAGCTTGGGGACTGGCATCACGATCAAGCTCTGAGCCGAACGGGTTGCCGCCGAGGATTTTCTCAAGTGGGCGCTGGAACTGATCAGGAAGCAGTTCGAACAGCTGCTTCTCAATAGCACCGAGTATCTTACGGAACTCCAGACGCACTTCTCGGTGGACCTTGGCAAGTCCAGTGCTGAGCTTATCGCTAATAATCTTGGAGAAGCCACGGCTACCCTCCCCTTCTTCGCCATCACGATCGCGGCTGTTCTCGTCGTCGCCGAATCCTCTCGAAGACCCTTCATCGCGACTCTTGTTACCGCCAAACAAACCCCCGAATCCTTTGACCAAGTCTTTGACCTGATCCTCAATCTCCCCTTTGAAACCATCACCGAGATCGCGGCTGCTTGTGTTGCCCCGGAGCCAGCGCTTGAGATGGTCTAGTGCGATTTTGGTAAACTGCTCCGCGATGGAAGAATGCTGCTCTCTGAGCTTCTCGCTAACCCTCTCCTTGATCTCGGGGCTGATGAGACGGGCTTTTTCCTCTGGGTTGCGTGCAGTGTCCTTAAGGGTGTCGGCAAAAACGCCGAGGAGGCCATCGAGCTTGAACCCGCTGTCGCCAGATCCTTTGTTCTCATGTTTGTCAAGAGCTTGAACGGCGTCGATGGCAGCAGAGAGGAAACCGCGAGCTCCCTTCGAAAAAGAATCCGCGTCCTCTAATCCACGAGACTGGGTGTCGCTTCCACCAGACCCGGCACTGCCTTCGGTGAGCTGAAACAGCTCGCGCAGATCATCGTTGGCCTCATCGGCGACATTCTTGAAGTTGCGCGTCAAGCTGGCAATCTCGTCGGCGAATGGCAGTGACTGGCCACCGTAGCCGTCAGGAACCTGCTCAGACAGGCTCCAAGGGCTCCTGGAGCTGCCTGACTGGTCGCCTCCCTTATCCTTGTTGAAGAGCGAGCGGAACGCATCGACAACCTGGTCCTCCAAGCTGTCTATGGTTTTCTGCTGGAACGTCTCGAGCTCAGACGCGACGCGTGGCTGGATCTGAGGGGCGAGCGAGTCGATGTACTCGTCCACCTTGACCATCAACACATCGGGCAGGCCCCTCGAAGACATGGTTGGCTGCAGCGATGGTAGGCGAGAAGGACGTTATGATCGGGATTTCGTTTAGTCAGCGGTCTGGCTCCAACCTTATCAAGACGGATCGATGAGCAGATAGAGACAGCCCTGGTTAAGACAAGGAGCAGAGAAGAGTTTGGCTGCGTGGATTAATGAGGGGTCCAGCTACTGACGTCAGCCCCGCACGCATAAACAAACAGTCAATCAGAGGCTGTGAGACGCGAATCACGGTGCTCCACTGCTTGGCTTGACACTGCCGAATCAAGTCTTATAGAGGCGCATGATTACTGATTGAGCTACTTCATGTATAAATTAGGAAACATGTTTCTCTTGGTGTCACTCTTTTCTGTTGAAGGGGGCACCTTTCCCCTACTGATCGAGATCATTCATCAAAACTTGAGTTTAGAGTCTTGCTGGGTAGGTCCTGATCGATTGACCATCAACCAAGTATTATAACTGAATGCCGACCGTTTTGTACATCCCAATTCTATCTTCTTTTAATATCTTTTAAGTACTTATTGTCTTCCCATTTTCTTTCTTAATGCTGGTATTAATTCTCTATCCTGTGCCAGCGGGTGTATTTTGTATAGAGCTAAAGATTCCAGTGCCCCGTCAATTCTATCTGGAATCCAAAATTCCGAGAGCCTTCACATTTATTCTGCAAGAAGCATGCGAGTTCCTAATATGGGCCCGTATAGGCCTCTTCGTCACTTACTTCCAGCTCGAGCTAGCCTTCACCAGATCAATTGTTTGCAGAGCAGTTTGTTGTCCTCATTCAATTCCGACAATCAAGAGAGCAGATTACGGTAAATACCGATTATCAAGAACAACAATCCTTGAAATAGTGATTGTCAGCAACCTTTTCCAGATAAAAGAAAAAAGAGTGCAAGAAAGGGAAAGAGGGGTCCGCGAGTTGACCACCCAGGTCAAACCAACACATACATCAGCGATCAAAGCGAAGCCAAGAGATGACCCCAAAATTGATTATCAAAACTTACTCTATAGGAGGCAAGGCAGAAGGCAAAATGAAAGAGTAGCCAAGTCCGAGGCTGCTCAATCTTCAAGTATCACATTGGGGTCACTACAGTAGACGATCGCGAGAAGAATGCGCAAAGATGTCGACTCATAATACCACCTGCCCATCTACCAGTTGGTAACACATAGCAAGGGATGTAGTCAGTAACACTTACATACCACCATACTCGTGACATTACCTAGGTATATAAAACTAAAATAGGGAACTCAAGGACAATTTCGATTTATGGGATTTTGGTGTATTTACGTAATTAATGGAGAGTAGGTAACTACTGGGAGACTTTTTGGGCAGATATATTCATCCCATTCTGTTCGCTAAGAGATCAAGACCGATACCGGCCCGGTCGGAACAGATGTAACTTCCCATAAGGGTCTCGTCTGCGTAGGCCTGCCATGCCATTAGCCCCGAGAATGGTGCAATTGAGAAGCGCGTAATATGGCTAATGGAAATTGTCGATGGCGCCCTATGCGGTCGGGTGGGTGCCCCTAAAAATCACCTAATGAGGCCAGTCTCAGAAGCTGAATAATGTCCACGATGCCAGTTCCATTATCCCACCTGGCCCCATTCGATTGGGTGGATACCGAGTTCGTGATAATCGTGCTGGATTGCGAACGCCGATGCGAGGGGTATATCATGTAAATGCGATCTGTATCCGCCTAGGAAGATCCGATCTTCAAGGTAGCCGTCAGAAAAACAGCTCCGAATCTCTTTTCAGCAAACCAGCGACCAAATCATGACAGTGAACGGCAACGCGACCCAGAACGGGCACCTTGCCCGGGCTACGGTTCTCGAGATTCAGCAAAGAAGAGCCGAAGCCGGTAAATTGCTCTCAGGGATAGGATCTGTGGGGGATAGCTCTCGGTTCCGAGGACCGGTATGACCTTGACCAAGCGCGATTTACAACGCATAATGTTAATAGATCTGTAGCAAACTGGTAAACCCCTAGCCAAAAGTTTCGCACGTAAGTTTGGAATCTATTCATTTCACCTAAATTACAGCCAGCTTACCAAGATTTCAAACTAGACTATCTAAGCTCCGAAACCAAGCTCCGCAAGCCTTCCAGGCTCAAGGAAGCTGGGCGTCTTCTCAAGGGCAAGCCAGACATCATCTCCGTTGCGGGTGGCTTACCCCCAAGCGAAAACTTTCCTATTGAGAATATCACTTTCAACTTCAAGAATCCTAACTTGGAAGAAACAAATGGGTCACTGTCCGGAGACCAGTCTCACCTTTCCGCGACTCTCGGGAAGTACGACACCAAGGATGGGGGCGCTGACTACGACTTGTCAATTGCACTGAATTACAGCCAAACCACCGGCGGCCCGCAGCTAACACGATTCCTTACGGAACACAGCGAGCTCGTATTGCACCCTCCCTATGCAGACTGGAAGATTCTCCTGACTACCGGAAGTACCGGTACGTTTGAGACTCTCGTCAGAGCGTATCTAGACAAGGAGAGGCGTGATTCTGTCCTGACAGAAGCATACAACTACTCAACTGTCTTGGAAACAATGCGGCCTCAAGGAATCAAGGTTTTCGGTGTTTCCGCTGACGATGATGGCCTTTCACCTTCCAATTTTGATGAGATTTTGTCTTCATGGGATGAAACCGCTCGAGGCGCGAGAAAGCCTCATATTCTATACATTATCCCCACTGGCCAGAACCCCACAGGTTCTACGCAAAGCATCGAGCGCCGTCGCGAGGTATACGCCGTTGCCCAGAAGCATGACGTTCTCATCATTGAGGATGATCCTTACTACTTCTTACAGCTGGGACCTTATGAAAAGGGTGGAAGCGTCGCAGAGGAGCCTAAAACTCCCGAAGAGTTCATCGCGAGCCTTGTTCCTTCCTACGTTAGTATTGACATAGATGGAAGGGTGATTCGAATCGATTCAGCTTCGAAAGTGCTCGCCCCCGGCTCTCGCTTGGGGTGGGTAATTGGCAGTGAAGAAATCCTGCAGAATTATATCCGAGTAGCAGAACTTTCTAACCAAGTTACCAACGGATTCTCTCAAATTATTGTGTGGAAGCTGCTTGAGACTTGGGGCCACGAGGGGTACTTCAAGTGGCTCGCTAAGATTCGAAAGGATTACACCCTACGGCGAAACGTTTTGCTAGATGTTCTAGACAATCATCTGCCAAAGGATCTCGTTAGCTGGATTCCACCTTCTGGTGGCATGTTTGTATGACACACCCTAACCTCTTTTTCTTCTTTTCCTTTTGACTAATCTGTATCGTAGGTCTGGCTCAAGCTTGATCATAGCCGTCACCCCGACTTTCGTAAGCGCTCGCTCGAGGAAATCGAGCAAGAAATCTTTGAAGAGGCCGTCAACCAAGGAGTTCTCTTCGCGCGAGGATCATGGTTCCGTGCCGAACCCGACACTCCGGTGGAAAACATTTTCTTCCGACTGAGTTTTTCCACTGCGACTAAGGAACAATTGACGAAGGCCGTCCAGAGATTGAGTGCTGCTATACATAAGTCTTTTGGTTTGTAGATCGAAAAATCCAATGAGGGCTTTGATCTTTGTTTGGCAGACACTGAGACAGAAAATTGCATCAACGTACAACATTGAGATAAAATAAACCCTCAGAATAGAGCATTTAGCTTTACATTTCCCATCATGAAATCACCGAGTGACTAAGTCTCAATTGTCGGTTCCCTCCCTAAGTAAACACATACCGCTTTTAACATCATATTCGGTTCAAGGCATCCCGCCGTCCCGACTCGTGAAGTTTTGCCCAGTAATACATGAACAAGCATGGGCAAACCGCAGCTCTAATTTATATAAGGAGATCATTCGATTTCGCCGATACAACTTCACAAGTACTTGGATGGCCTCTCAAGCCGCTACTCATTTCTATCAGAACTATTCTTGTCCGCGTGTTGAATCTAAATTAGATCTATATTCTCTAGGTCAAAATGAGGGCTGGGAAAGATCCTACGGGAGCTCAACTTCAATCAAGCTCTCAACGCCTCTTCCTCCGCTCCAGATTTTGACAATCTTCAAGCCAGCGGCCCGCTCGATCAAATCATACCAATCAGCTTCAGTGCGCTCCTTGGCGCTGAAGAGCATCAACATGGTCATATCCAGTGCTGAGGACTCCCACCAAGCGCCCGTAGAAGGGATAACGTTCTCGTTGATGAGCAGCTTACTATACCCAGGCTTCATGGCTGCCTTGACGCGAGACAGAATGCTCTCACAAACACTGTCTGGCCAGTCGTGGAGGCAGCTGTGCAGGTAGTATGCTCGGGCACCTGATCATAGATTTCGAGGTTAGTCACGTCGACTTGAGAAAGGGAAAAGTCGGATAGTACCTTTAACTGGCTGCTCAGTATGAAAATCGTACTCCATGGGGGTGATTCTTGGGTTCAGATCTTTTATCTCTGTGATGACGGCTGGTAGATCCTGCAAAATCAACTTCCCTGGCGCCTCCCCATGGTACTTAGTAAACTCTTCCAGGTCATGGCCGACACTGCCGCCAATATCAACCAGTAAAACCGGGTCTTCGCTCGTGTCCAGCCCATCGATGAGTCTTTCCTTGACTGGAAAGAATCCAGGTGCCATCCACGGAAGACGACCCTGTCGGTAGCCGCGCATGTGATTGTTGAAGTGCTGCCCATACCCAAGTCCCTGGAGATACGCAAACAGATCTTTGTCTGTGTTGTGCGCATATTGAAGACTTGTGTCGTGAGCGTCAGTTGGGTTCTTCCAACCACGCTTGCGGTTGAATTCATGGAACTTGAGTTGCCCGCCACCGCTGCTAGATGGTCTGCTCACGATGTTAGCTCCTTATCACAAGACACATTGTGTGCAAATCTGTTGTTCATACAACGCAATGTAAGCGTCACCAATGATGTCCAAGCTTAGAGACTTGGTGAAGTTGGTAGGCTTGTATTCATCAGGTCCAGTTTCTGCGATAAACCCGCATGCTGCTAAGTGGCGGAGCAGTCTCGCTTTGTCCTCGTCAGCCTATTATCTCATGGCTAGTCATTTCTTGTGCTCACCCAAAAGAAGAGCGTCAACGCCGACTTGGGAGGCAAGCTCTTGGACGCTTTGCGGCCTGTCTCCATTGCGAGCAATCTGTTTCCACAGGCCACAGTCCACGCCCCAGCTAATTGCCCCTGTAGCACCAGTCTAAGTATAGATCTCAAGATTAGCCTCGTTTCATGGGCAATATCCATGGTAATAGCCAAAATGGTAAAGAGGGAGACAGGAAGGGCGAAAAAAAAGGAGAATTGATGCCAGGAGAGTATGTTGCTAGGATCAAAACGGACCTCTGCCCAAATATGCTTAATACTCGTCTCTCTAGGCGTTTCAAGTGAGAGCATCAAATCTCGCGCTTTGATGCTCAGATCCTGTCGTAGAGTGTCATCCTTACCACCCCCTGCTGTCAGTGCGTCAATCCCAGCAGCAAGCTGCTTAACCAGGTCAGATGTAGCCTGGAGGTTCATCGCAGTCGTCGCTACAGATACGTCCACTGGGGACTCGCTTACTCCATTGGGTGCCATCTTGTGGAAGGTGATCAAGCAGAATGGGCTCGTTGGTCTGTTGGAAGCTTTTGGAAAGATTTGAGGTAATCAAATTCTCAAAATCTACGAGGCAGCTTACAGCCATATACTATGAATAATTCATCATAATCTAGACTCCACGTGCCAACAACGTCAATCATTTCCCCGGGTGGCCTCTCGCATCACTCACATCAGCCAACCCACGTTCTGATGATCGGTAATCTATTACTCAGAGGCCTCAACTATGATAGGGCCTATTCCCAACTACTTTTGCAGGGCAACGCCAACTGGGACCAACATCGCATCCTCCCTACACTTTTGTTGTGGTAAAGACGTCGCCAAGGACGAAGGAATGCAGTTGGGCCAACTCAGTAGGCTTGTTGGCTACTGCCTGTCAGTGTTGGATGTGAGGATCACGATCCCTGCCTAGATGACGAAAGCTTAGGTCGCGGGGATTTTTGCCGTGGACCAATAATCCGGGTCATTGACCAATTTCTTCTAAACCCCAATTTAGTAGGGCTCTTAAAATCTTACGCGATTAGCGAGCTCCAACGTTGGCCTCGTCAACACCACCGATCGACTCTTTCAGGTACGACCATCGACCCGATCTCCGGTAGATGACTGTGATTGATGGGTGCCTATGTACGACATGCCGAGCTCTAAAGTCAGAGGTCATGAGGGTGACAGAAATTGCGGTCAATTTCTCAAAGTAAGGAGCAAGGGCCCACGGATACCAGAAGTGAGTACCCAGCAGTGACAGTTCAGACCAAAAACCCCGGTCTTTGGCACACAACCCTGGACCGTAAGCCCGTTTGCCGTTACATTCACTGTCACTCTGCCTCGTGACATTAAATTGATGGGGAGGGTTACATTGCGTGCTTCAATGTTGCGTTCGATCGTTCAGCTCATTCAAATATTTGATATAGGCTCTTTTGTGCATGTCGTTAAATCCTGCTTTTTGATACGACACATACGATCAGGGCATGCGAGGAATACAGAACGACACGTCAATCTGCCTTACCACGCTGTGATATAGGACCAGGGTGTCCCGGGGTCTTGGATGGTTCAAGTGAGATCGTCGCTTACCTAGACCAACAATCCCAACTCCTGACCCTGTCAAAGAGGGGAAACGTTGGAACTATCACCCACGGCTTACTGAGATAAGAACCCCATTATGCCGAGCCCCGTACACATCGTTATTCAATGCGCCCCTCTCGGATCGTGGCTCGGTGAGTTATGCTGCATTTGGCGGAGTTATGACATTCAACTCTCGCCCATCCCCCGCTCGCGTCTCTCCTCATTCTAACAAAATTGAGGCTCTTCTCCTCTTTCTCTCTCGCCCTAGAGAGGTCCGGTGTTGATCAAAATTTCTCGCCGACATGTCCGCCACGTCTCTCGATGGACCGCCATCAGGCACCCCGGAGTATGATGCCTGGGCAGCGCAAGACAAAGGCCCCTCAATATCCATCACTTGCTGGCTCTTCATTTCACTGGCAGCTGTTTTCGTTTTCGCGCGACTGTTCGTAAGGCTGCGCGTGTACAAGAAGCTTATGCCAGATGATTACTGGTGTCTTGCAGGATTGGTACGTACACTCTCGACCCTCTCGACATCCCAACAAGCTCGTCATTCCTCTAACATCCGCCCATAGGTCTGCGGCTTCCTCTCAACTACATTTTCCCAGTTAGCTGTTGACAATGGAAATGGAAAACATTACCAGCTGCTCTCCGACGAGCGGCAAGAAAAGGTTATCCTTTGGACGATAGTGGCATTCTGCCCTGGCGTCTTATGCTTTGGCTTCCCAAAACTAGCCGTCGCACATCTCCTGATCAAATTGATGAACCCTGGAAAATACCATCGGTGGTTCCTTTGGGGAATGGTTATATGGTGTCTCCTCACTCTCTTCGCCACTATCGGCACACTACTGGGACAATGCCAGCCGGCGAATTCGCAATGGAACTTCGACATCAAGGGTACATGTGTGCCAAAGCATCACATTGTGAACTTCAGTCTTTACGCAGGAGGTAGGATAGATTCTACGTTACACGCGCCCCGCGTCTATGAAGCTAACCACCTATGCTGCAGCCTACTCTGCATTCGTCGACATTTACCTTGCTGTCTATCCGGCCATCGTACTCTTCCAGTTGCAACTCAAGCTTAAAAAGAAGATTGCACTCTCCGTCGCTCTCGGCATTGGCTGTGTGTACGTGTGGATACCTCGTGTTCCTTTCAAAATGCCAACATGGACAAGAAGTACTGACAAACATCCAGCTCCGGTGCTGTCGCCCTATATAAAACGACGAGAATTCCCAAAGGTCTCGCCAGCCCTGACTTCTCATGTAGGTCTTCTTAGCCCGCGACATATTTGAGCACGAACTAACTCCCTATCAGATGAAAGTTCAGATTTAGTCATTTGGACAGTGTAAGTCATGTCATTCCATTATCACCGCTTAATATTATAGTATAGATACAGTATTAGTAACATCCGTTTCCAGTATCGAAGGTTCCACCATCATCATGGCTTGCACCATTCCGGTCCTGTCACCACTAATGGACATGATATTTGGCCACAACCCGTTCAGTTCGTCGAGGCGTAAGACGAGCTCCTACGAAGCATACAAGATGCAGCCGAGGAGTGGCCTTGGGACCACCGATACTCGCGGGCGGCAGTCGAAGCCTCCTACGCAGTACGATCTCGAGAAAACGGCGTTCGATGATCGCGATGGCAGCCAGGAGATAATCATCAGTGGACGCAGTAATGAGCCGAGTTCCTCCGATCGATACCCTCTCCAAAACTTTTCTCGACCGTCTGGCAGCACGCCGCCGGAGGGACACATCATGCGGACCGACGAAATTGAGGTGTCGTACGATAGGCAGGCCGTGCATGGTCGATCGAGGATTTGAAATGGAAAAGAATAAAAAAATCAGGAAAAGTAAATAAGTCGACAAACCAAGAATATAATACTTAATTAATACAATACTATTGTAGATGACCACGTTAGCTCTCAAGGACTCATAACTGTGCCAACTACACTGCAGGGCGGTGTTCCATGACAACAAAGATGTTGTAAAAGTTTAACATTGATACCTTGGGTGAGCTTAAGAAATCCCCAAGCATATTCACGACGTTTATTCATACAATACTCGGATCAAGAAATGTGTGCGTAAGTGGTTATACAGAGTTCTCTAAATGCATGTCTAAGCTGACAGCCGGCGATACTTAGTAGCCATGTATCGCCCAAGAAGGCAAAATTCTGATAATTCGGTGCACCAAGAGTTGGCTCTCTCTCTAACACCCATTTCTTTATAAACTATCTTGAACGAGAACGTAATCTGCTAAATGCCGGTCAAGGTCTCCTGGGTGCATTTGATACGGTTTCTCTAGAAGGACATCGTAGAAGTTTAAGTCATCCAACAAGGATCTTATTAGATTAACATTAATGAAACCATTTATCCAATTCCTTTAAGTCCAGGTTCAGAAGCAAAAAGTAGTTGTACTTTAAAAATTTCCTTGCCCGAAAGAACGACTGGACTCAGATTTCCAAACCGAAAATAACCGTTATCACAATGCTTACTTTGGCAATTCTGTATAACCAGAAGTTTACAGCATTCGTCTCCTCAGTATCACAAAAACGCCTATACTATTGGCTTAGGATATGAGCATCAAGTTGTAAGAGCCAAAGCAGTCATAGTTGCCGACTTGGGTTGGAGTTCTATGTTACTTCCTGGACGGTGCAGGGTATGTGTCACCGGCTGTCGAGAGTTGAACTACAGCATTCTCTAGCTGCTGACTAATAAAAGGACTGGCTGATTCTTGGCTGAAATCCCTCGTCTTCGTTGCTTATTGCAATTGATCTTCCTTTCTTAGAAGCCAGTAGGCTTTACTTGCACCTCTCTTTGAAAAATATGCGATTAATCAATGCACACACGCTAGCAGTGGAGGAGTTCTTTGGCGCAAGTATCCCAAAATACGCCATCCTATCTCACACATGGGGCTCTGAAGAGATCCTCCTGGCGGATTGGACGGAAATTGAAGCGGCTTCCAAAGAGCTGGGTGCTGAGCTTGCCCCGGCTAAGGCTGGATATGCAAAGATTAAGAATGCCCTAAAGCAGGCAATACGAGATGGCCTGGACTATCTTTGGGTGGACACAAACTGTATTGATAAGCCCAATTGGAGCGAACTGGCCGAGGCCATCAATTCCATGTTCGCCTGGTATCGAGATGCAGTGGTCTGCTATGCATATCTAGAAGATCTCAACGAGTTCTCGGTTCCGCCCACGAGGCGGGAGCTTCAAGACTGTCGTTGGTTCACCAGAGGTTGGACTCTGCAGGAACTCTTAGCTCCCGACAAGGTCAACTTCTATTCCGGTGATTGGACCTTTCTTGGGTCTAAAAATGACCTGGCCGATACGATTAAAGACATTACTGGAATCCCAAAATCTTTCATCACCGGTCGCCACAGCATATACAGAGCAAGTTTAGCTCAGAGGATATCTTGGGTAGCAAGACGCATTACGACGAGGCCCGAGGATATCGCATATTGTATGCTCGGGATCCTCGACGTCAATATGCCCCTGATTTACGGGGAGGGATACAAAGCTTTCATCCGACTCCAAGAAGAAATCATTAAATCATCTGCAGACGAGAGTCTATTTTGCTGGACCTTTGACAACACCGTGCCCATAGACTGGGTCAGTGTTCTAGCCCCTTCACCGATTGTGTTTCGAGACTCCAGTAACTTTGAACCTTACCGACTGTTTCGGGGACGGGTATCTTCCTATTCCGTGACAAATCAGGGTCTATCTATCAATCTCCCACTGATAGAGGTAAAGGACGGATTTTTGGGTCTTCTAAACGTGCTATCACTCACACGTGGCGCCGGGGCCGTCGCGATATTTCTTCAGGGCGACCTTACCAGCGGGGTTCTGACGAGAGCCAGGTCGCCAGGCGCGCCGATCAGGCTTCCCGGGAGTATGGCTGTATTATCCAGTTATCTAATGCCAGTCGAGCATACCAGAGAACATATATTTATTCGATCCAAAATCGGTTTAATCAAGCCTCTCACAACACATCCACAACCAGTCCAGCCCACCACTCCTACCAACATCCGCCAAGAGAGTCGGTACCAAGTATTGCTCTTAACCGAAGGGAGGCTCTTTGTTTCTGCCAACACCTTTCCTCATGGGCGGCTTTCGAGTGGATGTGTTTTGAATATCCAACCTTCCGATACCGCACCCTCTGATAGTGTTCTCGTCCAGCTTAATTATTACTCTGGTCCAAGTACTCTGCTGCTATTTCGAGCATCCCTTCAAGCCGACAGAAATACATGCATGTGGTTTTGCAAGGTCCTGGATTCGTACGAGGGAGACATCACTTCACTGTCGGAAACTCAACTGGACGCAATGTCTCGTGGCAACCAAAGCACTGAACAACTTTCCGATGATAGTAGAGAGGATGTCAAAATACAAATGGGTGAGGAGTTTGATGCAGGGGTGAACTGCCAGATGCGAGTTGCACATATCTCTGTTCGTTCGGAAGCCTCTAGAAACCCAACTGGTATTAACTTTGATTTGGGATTTTCCCGCCTCAGCTCTGGTAATATCTGGCAATATGCTAGAAATATCTTGGATAAGGACAATGCATAGGCGTGATGGTGTCCATATTACATGCAAACTTGTTTCCATCATAGCAGCTTTTGTGAGGGTCCCCGAGCTCAATCCTTTTCAAGTTTCATTAACAAAATCCCCATCCCCTCCTGATTAGGAGCCAGATCTCGAATAAGGGCTCATAATATCTAGCTACCGCCTCTGAGGCTTGCTTTCACCCTGCAACTTGTCGCAGTTTGGCAATATCAGCGTATTGGCATGCCATTACCTAGCAAGCGCGAGGTATTTGCAGGAACCGTGCCGAGCTCTGCTGAACCTGTTAGCTTCAGGATGTTCCTACTTCTTGTCCCATGCAATGATGGGCACTTTTAAGTAGCGCACCTTACTAGAGATGAGGTTTCAATCCAGCTATTCGCTGTGGCTTGGCTAAATTCGATCAGCGACGACGGGCCGTCGTCAACTTATCGAATCATTCTCACATCACGATCATGATTTCGTAAGTCCGACGAACAAAATAATAGGCATTGGTTTGATATATTTTGGTCATCTTCTGCCCATTTGTTTCTACCTTACTGGGTTGAGTAGGTTATTTTTCGATAGGCTGCCCGGGTTGCAAGAGGCATAGGATCTACGTCTGCCTCTGGGCGGTTTCTGTCGTGTTCTTCTATAGCTGAATTATCCAGTTGTCCAAAGCAGGGAGATCTTGCACAACCTCTTTGAGGTGTGAGGCGACTTGTTGGAGTATTTTCGAGAGGCCTAGGACAGAATCATTCCATGCAGATGCCTTCATCCTATACCGTCGAGATCGAACGATCAAATTTCAAGTATAAATTAAAACAAGGCTGCGGCCCCTACCGATAGACATTGAATTGCTATCAAATACCATTCACCTGATAAGCTGCGCCAGGGATAAAACCATGAATCACGCAAGAGCTCGATGCAATTGGTGCGCTACATCACATCGGAACACACAACTTAACTGCCGCTAAACAGGAGAGACTCCACCCGGCACTGATGCGGGAATGCCGGACGTACGGCTTGCGTCAGGCTCACCTAGGAGGTTAAATCGCGTGGATGGTAGGTCTCGGCAACTGAATGTAGCCAACAGGCCGTTGTGGGCCGAAGCCGCGATGGGAATTGTATCATCCGCAATCTTTCCACCCTGCAGAAAGGACGCATGATCCCCAAGATTGAATGCGTGGTCTGTTAACCTGGAGAGACACAAGAGAGAAAGTCTTTTGCTTTCTCAAGTAACTCATGATCAGAGTTCAAATCCCATGCGTTATTCGCCTATTTATGAATCAACAATCAAGGCAATAATGTTCATCCCAGCCTCTTCTTATGCGTACAGACTATCACCTTCCATATTGGATTAGATGGGTGCAGACGATCAGGGGCAATGTCACTGACTCAAAAAGTGTCGTCTCCGACCCTATCAAATCTCCCTGGTCGCGTGCACCTCGTATCCTGAGCCCTGGCAGCATGTTTATCACTCTATTTGCGACCAAAGGTCAATTATTTAGGCGTTTCCCGTTTCCACATATATTGCATCATGATAGATTGGGGCAGGTGGGCAAAGCTATCCTGGTTATAATTACCAGGATCTATGCGGCCATCAACCTAGTGGGGGTACACGTAGGAATGTTTAAATACTGTCCCTCAATCCTGCTTTCGTAGGGAATCCATTCATCAATAAGTATTGCTTTCTAGTGGTTCTATAGCATTGTGAATTCTTGAAATGCGATTCTCACAAACTCTTCTTCAGGCCATCACTGCCTTCGCTGCTGGAGCCTCGGCTCTTCCAGCAAGCACTAGCGGCGAGACCAAAAAGTACCTTGTTAAACTAAAGTCATCCCTGGACGCTGATCTTACAGCACACACTCAATGGGTGTCAGAAGTCCACTCGCGCAGCCTCTCTCGTCGAGGTGGGGAGACTACTGGAGTTGAGAAGCAATTCAGTTTCCCAGGCTACCAAGGATACGCTGGGTCTTTCGATGAAGAGACCTTGGAAGCTATCAGGGCCAGTCCAGAGGTAAGTTAAAAAAGTTCAATTGAGATTTAGAATGCCAGACAACGCTGACATTAAATCCAGGTCGCAGAGGTCGAGCCTGAGCTTATTGTCTCAACTCTGGAAACCATTTCCCAAGAAAATGCGCCATGGGCTCTGTCTATAATCTCCAATGCCAACCCTCCATCCTCAAGCTCGGCTTACCATTACGACTCTAGTGCTGGAGAAGGGTCATTCATCTATGTTTTTGACTCTGGTATCCTACTGGACCATGCTGAGTTCGGAGGACGGGCAGTGGCAGGATATACAGGCAGCGACCCAACTGACCTGGAGCACGGCACAGGCGTCGCCAGCATGGCCGGTGGTGCAACCTTCGGAGTAGCTAAGAAAGCTACCCTCGTTAACGTACAAGTTATGGGAAGCGCGAGTGGTTCGACAACCACGATCGTTGATGGCATGACCTGGACAGTGAACGACATCGTCTCCAAGAACCGGGTTGGAAAATCCGTCATCAACATGTCCCTGTCCACACCCACAACCTCCAAGGTGCTGAATGACGCGGTTCAGGCTGCCATCGACAATGGTATCCCCGTTGTGGCAGCAGCCGGAAACTCAAATGAGGACTCCGTCAATACTTCCCCAGCCAACCAGCCCAACGCAATCGCCGTCGCTGCCTGTAACAAGAATTACCAGCGGTGGGCACACTCAAATTGGGGATCCGTGGTAGATATATTTGCTCCTGGACAGGAGGTGACCGTCGCATCTGCCACTGGCACCAACGCGTCCCGACTCAGCAGTGGCACATCCGAGGCGGCTCCTGTTGTTGCTGGAGTGGCGGCATACTTGCTGGCTCTCGAGGGTCCGCGCACGCCTGCCGAAATTAAGACCAGGCTGGAGGAGCTGGCAATCAAGGACAAAATCACAGACACGAAAGAAGTCCCCAACCTTCTTTTGTATAACGGTATTGGAAAGTAAGGGGCGGTTTTCGGGTGATCAACTATTGCTACGGCTTTGTAAATACTCTCCCTTGCTGATTTAAGTACGCTTCCAATTCATTTAAATGAGACATTAGAGCTACCAGAACATTATCTGAGGGTAGTAAAGCAATAGTCCTCCTGTATGTCTTTAGCCAAGGTGCAGTCTAGATTATGAAGCGCTGGACATCGCTACGGCGAAGTAGCGCGGTAATATGAGACCCTCTTTTCGGTTACTTCCCGTTCTTTAAAAGTAATAAGAAGAACCCCCCAAGCTCGCCGGTAGTTCTCATCTGGTTCCAATAGCCCATAGAATCTCTCCAACATTCATTCTGAATGAATCATGTCATCTGAATATATTACTGAAACGAAAAGAGGCCACCCCAACCGGACCATAAATCTCTGGCCGTGATATCTATAGGCTTTCAGAGCCAGTAAGATGACTTGTTGGATAGAATCCCTTTGCAAGAGGATCAGGGGCACATCTCCTTTAATCAGGCGCAGAAAGCCAAGAACAACGGCGTGTTAAAATGCGACGACGAAGCGAGACATGGCTGCGAAATGTTTTTGCGAGTCTTGACCGATAAAGTCCAAATGGTTTGCGGTCTTCGGCAGTTCATGGTATCTTGCCCCTACTACCTTGATTCCATTTGCAATAAATTTTCTGCCGCCGTGGTCGGAGCTACCGATACGATACTCGTTATCAATCAAGGTACCAAGCAGAAACCTCAACTAGCCCAGCCCGGTATAGAGGCAAATAAATTGGCAGTTCTTCAAGTCGTCTACCAAATATTGCAATCGACCCCATATGTAGCGACCGACAAGACTTGAGCGCTGCTAGAGAGCCTTCATATATTCAAGCTGAGTTTCTACAAGGGAATTGGCAGTTCTTAGAAGCTGACGCCCAAGCATCTAATTGAAGGCTCCGCTGAGCCCATTCATAATAGCTCCACCGTCAAACAAGGCCATCCAGACCATGATTTTGCAGGAAAAGAGGGGTGGGGGCAGGTTCTTACATGCGCTCTCGGTTGTAAGCTAGAGTCTGACATCTTGTTCAAGCTCCTCTTCTACAGACTGTGCATCGCTTAAGCTAGACCCCTCATGTAGCTGTATGGGATGAAGCTGCCCGTAGCCAACGATCCGACCCCCTGGAGGTGTGCACTCAAGCCAACTTCCCAACCATCACCGAACTTGAGCTCGTAGATGATCGTACGCCAGGGTGCAACAAGGATACGCTCAAGTCCAATCACTTCACACCATTTCTGGCCGCCTACAGTGCATCTGACCGTAGGTCGGACCATCAAGGGAGCCTGGGAATTGTGACAGCGGTCACTCTGAAGTCTGCTGTGATTCCAAAGAGGCGAGTGTCGCTGTGCTAAATTTCTCAAGCATTTCCGACGCTGCATCTGCTGCCGGTAAGCTGATTCAATCAGGAATTGCCATAGAAGACATAGAATTGATGGGTGTTGTTCAAATGAATATCGCAAATCAGCATAAAAGCCAAATAATACGTGTGATGGAATAGGAAAGACACTCTTTGGATAATGTTGCCGATCAAGCCAGAAGGATACTTGAGATGGCCTACGATGTAGCGATGGTAATATCACGGCTGGCAGAAAGTATCAACCTATCAAAAACGGAGCGGAAAGAGCTTCATGTCTTCTCTAGTGTTGTTAAAAGAATTTGGAACATGGTAATCCCCACAAAGCCCTGATGCACAATCCCAGAAGCATGAACAGCAAGCCGCAGTGCAGCGAGCCGTCAAAAATGATGTTAAGGGCTCTAGAGATAGAGCGGACTGGTGAGCATGCAATTGGCATCGGCAAGAAGGTAAGCCAATTATGTTCCTCTATGATAGCTGCTCGGAGTGGAGAAGACCAAGAACGAACCTCAAGCCGTCCGCCCGATAATTGAGACGTCGTCCCTCAACACAATTGAATAAGTCGCAAAGGTTAAGCGTGTACCAAGCTCACAATTGGGGAGAAGTCTCTGTGGAGATATGCGAATCACATCATCAGCACATCAGGTTGCAGCTTGGCATTTTCCGCAGGTGCTGTTCCTGAATTGATCGCCAGGGTTCCAAAAAGCTGACGAGGCCCTTGTTCTCGATGAGACGCGGGGTTGTAGAATAGGCCCAGAATGGGACGGATCCCTGCGAGGGTCTGCCAAGTAGCCGCTCGTTTCCATTTTGAAGCTTGACACACGTTTTATACCATATTATGCATATTTCAATGCTTCTGAGTAGGGGTTGTAACAGAATAACTACCCACCTATCTACCAAAGAAACAGGGCGGGTATGGGTGAGCTAATAACTATGATGGCTGGTGTGAGTTACCGGATTTCCGAACACGCCCCGAGCAGTCCGTCTATCTACCCTATACCATCAATGCTCTCTCGCCATCTTTTGAATATGCATGCATCTACTTAGTCTGAAATGGCAAGCAAGAATACAATCCATCAATTGGTTGTGCAAGAAAACAGAATATTGATTTTCTTATCAGGATGGCGGTGTGGTAACGTCTATGATGCGTTGTCTCTCCTGGTGCTTACACCAACAGTAGTAATACGAGGCATCTCAACACCAATTCAGCGGACTAGTGAAACTACACCACAGCTACGAGCTGAACCAACTAGATCAAGACAAGACATATGATAAGAGACGCCGAGCAGCCGCCCTTGCAGGCAATTCTGCGTCAAAATGCGAGACCTCTGTAAGAATGCGGTTACGCGCACCGAGATGAGCAGCCTCTCCGCCAAGAGATCCAATGAACGACCAAGAATGAGGATGACGAGAGCCAAGGCCAGGCCTCTGGCGCTACCACACCGCGCAAAGGCCCTCCCTGGAGATAAAAAAATTCGTGTTCCTGGCGCCAGTAGATGGACCGGACCAGCTTGGCAGCGAGGGAGAGGGAAAATGGGTGGGGATCGCGGGTTGTGGGCGGGGTGGGAGCATAATGGACTTTCCGTCTGGATCTCGAGATGATGCGACGGGAGGAATGGCCCAGGGAGCGAAGATGCCAAGGTGCGTCGGGCAGTGCAGCGTATCACGTTAGATTAGGAAAGGCACACGGCGCATCGCACGCATGTTTGGACGACCGAAGCCGCGACAGGCCACGTCTCGGATTGCGCTCTCGCTGTCGCTGCGCCTGTTCCTGTTACGGGACTGCGGCACATGCCAAGCAGCCCCCAGGGTCCTGGCCAAGCAAAAAGAGGGGAGCCGAGGGACCGACCGTAGCGCTTAGTGAAGTCGCTGTCATGCTTTACACGCACTGGAATGAGGCGCCAAGGGATGAACACGAGGGCCATACGAGCATTGGCAGAGAAAAAAAAAAATTGCATTGGGGTATTCAGATAAGAGAAAAAAAGCAAGCAAGAAATGCATCGAGTCGGTGACGGGATGCCAAGCACCTGTCGGTGAAGAAGAGAACTAACACAGTCCCCCGATTTGTCCACCCCATATCGCTCAGAAATGACCAGAACCCCGAAAATCGCATGAACCCAAAAACTCCATAGGGTGTACATATCCTCATGTCCATCATCCCATATAGATCACCAAAAAAAACAAGAAAAGCAGCTCGTGAAGCGAGAGTGGGTAGCAAAATACACAGAAAGACGTAACGCTTTTTCAATGATCATCATAAGTCGTAGCGCTGTGAACCCAGCACAGCATCTTGGAGGTGCAAGACATTGCGGTACCGTCGAGGTACCTCTTGATGCCTGAAAATCATCCCGAATCCCGGCAAGTCCGGGATACCATCAGATGCGAGAGGCGGAAAACGCAAGGAAATGTCGGAGCATAGGGGTCTAGAGAAAATGAACCAGAATTCGCTTGGCATCATTTTTTGTCTCTCTCTCTTTCGGTTTGTTCTATTGGTTTGGCTGCCGATTCAACCGGCTCGGCCGCTCTATACGCAGACCTTGTCGATGACGTTGTCGGTCTGGACGACGACGCACTTGCCTGAGACAATGTCGGGCATGGTGTCGTCGGGGCAGTGGCACTTCTTGCCCTTTGCCTCCAGGGGCTGCTGGCGTCTCGAGACGGGGCAGATCTGGTCGACAGTCTTGCCCTTTGCGCTGGTGCACTTCCTCGTGAAGGAGTCGGGGTTGGTGCCCTCGGGGCAGTAGCAGCCGCGGTCGAGGACGGTCGGCGAGCTGGTCTTGGTGACGGGGAGGGCGGCGGAGAGGCCGACGAGGGCGAGTGCGACAAAGGATTGGAAGCGCATCTTGTGTGTAAATGGTAGAAGTCGTTTTATCGTAGGAAAAAAGAGGAGGCGGGGTTGAGTATATGTAGTGTTGGGAAGAGCAGAAGTAGGCTCGTCGATCTAGTCTTTTTTTGGTGTATAGAGGCGAAACCTGTCGTCATATATATTTTCCGGTCTTTTTTGTTTTTGTTCGTCGTTGATTTTTTGTTTAATTTCTTGGTATAAAGTATGGACGGGAGAAAGGAAAAGGAAGGAAAGTGTCTTGTTGCGATGTGGATTTGGTGGTCCGAAAGGATGGGACGGATTGACTGATATACGTGTTTCACCGCCAAGTCAGTCACAGCGAGGATCGGTCGAGAAAGGCAGGCAGCGGACGAAACAGGCTGCGGGCGGGTAGAGTTACAGGTGGGCAGGGTCGCACCACCAACAGTTGCAGTGTCAGTCGAGTGGGATGTAACAGGCAGGCGGAGACCCGGTCCTTAGTAAGGCAGGGTAATGTAGGGATCGAACTCGAGGGCAGATGGGATGATCACAGGTCTGAGGACAGATGCGTTTCAAAGGGGACGGCGCTCTTTATCATGCGCAGTCCTGGGGTTTAATTAATGGTGCTACGAGAAGGCTGATGTGTGCTGACCGCGCCTTTTGTCAAGCCAAGCCAAGCCAGCAGAACAGACTCGGATGGCGGGCTCCCTTGGGTCTTGGCTGGTGGGCTTTGGGGCTTGGAACGGGTCCCATTGCCGTATGACAGCGCCAAGAGACTGAGCCTTATTGTCGCGGACGGACCCCTCGGACCTGGGCTTGACGGACATACGTATGACCCGGCTCTCTCAAGGTCTCAAGGGAGGAGGAGGATTGCTGCGCGTGAGGGCGAGAGCTAGCGCAAACCTAGACCCCCAGATATTGGGCAGCTGCTCAATGGTTCTAGTGATCTAGCCTTCGCTAAAGCCGTCACTCGCAGCAGTCACTCCAGCCCTGGACCCCACATGCATCGGTGCCTGAGGGCGCGGCCACTATTGGCAGGGAACCCCGCTAAATTTAGCCCCTACCACGCAGCGCTGCACACCAAAGATCTTGGCCTGATCCGTCGATTCCAGGCCTCCTCCTCCGTTCCTCGTCGATGGCGATCGCTGCTATAATAATCGCCGCTGTGAATCCTCTGCTGCTGTGTTATTTGTAGATGTCACACTGCCGTCGTGCACCAGTGGTCGTCATCACCGCGTCGTGTAAACAACACGGTGATGCGGCTCACATTCCATCCCATGCCCGCCGTCCCAGCGTCATCGTCATCGTCATTTTAATCTCGCGCACAGCCTCATCATGGCTATTTGCTGCAGGGGCAGCAATGTGGCCGTCAGCCGCACCTGTCTGGACCCTTTTCCCGCCCTCGGGCTCCGATGGGCTGGGCTGGACCCGGCTAGCCACGATAACAGCTGCATGTTTCCTATCAACTATTAAACCTCGATCCCGACGGCATCGTCGCTACTTGTCTATTGTGCATACTATTGCGCGGCCAATCTAGATCCATTGTCCACTGCATTGTACAGTGAGACATGCATTTGCGCTCTCGACCCCAACAAAACCGAAGCTGGACGATCCCGCGATCTTAGCAGAAGCACCTTTTTCTTAGAGCTGCTGCGCCACACAACGCACCTTTCAATGAGAGCTGAAATGCCATCCCCCGCAAATTGCCCAGGGGAAATGTCTTCCCCCGTCGTGAATCATCGCTAGCTCATAGTGGCACGGCCGGGCTGACTGACAGCGCGCGGCGCTTTGAGCAAAAAGACAAAGACCCATCCCTGAGGCCATTGAGAGTTCGCTAAGTCTGACTCACTATCGCCAATAACACACGATAATATACAATAAACCCCACGGCATGCGTATGCACAATTAAACGCCTCTCCTCTTATCTCAGCACAGACAAATCTTCCCCGGTTCCCCCCCCCAGCTCGCTGCCTGGGCGTCGCTCACGACACCATCGTGTTGCCAATCTCTTGCTCGTACCGCGCACGCGCCTCATTGACCTTCTGCCTGGTCTCCCATGCCGCGCGCCGAGACACCGGATACTGCTGGCCGCAGTCGTCATCGTCATCCTCCCCTTCCGAGGCCCCGCCGCCCTTGATCGAGTCCAGCTCCGAGTTGATGAGTAGCCACAGCTCCTCGGGCAGGCGCCTGAACCAGGGGATATCTCGGATGTGCGCGCGCCAGTAGTCGCGCGACTGAGGAGGCACCGTGGCGGTCGATAGCCTGCTCGGCCGCCGGGGATCGATCAGCGCCATCGTGAGGATCCCGCAGCTCGAGGGCACGCCCTTGACCCAGAACCTGTGCTGCACGCTGGCAGGGAAGACGAGCAGTCTGCCCTGGGCGAGCCGAACGGATCCCAGCAGCTCGACGGCGCTGGGCTTCTCGGGGTCCATGTCGGGGTAGTCCCCTTCGAGGGAGTCGTACGGGCTGACCTCGACCTCGTTGTATAGCTCGTTGAATGCTCTGATTGTCACGTTGTCGTTTCCGCCGATGAACCTCGAGGAGGGATGCTTGTTGCATGCGTCCAGGACGTCCGGTGACGTATCCTGCTTCAATTGGATGCGGACCTCGGAGCCTTGCGACTCATCCGCGTCGTAGCAGTAGATAGCCACGGTGACGACGTCCTCTGAGAAAGGCGCCGGTCGTCGCCATTCACCCCTACTGTAGTTGACACTATATCTAAGCTTGTCGTCGTCCTGCATGTAGACTGCATCGCCCGCGATGTTGTCCATGCGGAACACCACCTGCAAGCTATCTTCCTCGCCCATCCGGGCAGCCTTGAAGTCCTCCCGCTGCTCCTGATTTAGAACCGCAATGTTTGGATGCAACCGCCCTCCGCTGTCTGCAGAGCGCAGCCGCGACATGTATCCGCTCATGAAAGCCTTGTCCGGCACGATCCGCCTGCAGTCCTCAAAGCTCCCAAGCACCCTCTGCCACTGCGGTATCACAGCATCCAGCACCCTCTCCAGCGCATCGTACATGCCCCCGACGCTCGGGTGCAGCCCATTCACGTAGCTCGCAATCTGCGCCGTCCCGTCCGCCCGGAACTGCACCTCCGAGGGGAGCACCCGGAAATCCAGCGGTATCTTCTCCCCGTATGTCCCGAGCAAGGCGTCCGTCGTCCGCTCGTCGCCCATTCCCATCCACTGCCAGCACCGCTCCAGGTCGATGCGGCCCTCCCCTTCCCCGAGCGTCCTCGTCCTCCCGCGCACCGCGGGGAACATGAAGGGGTCCAGCACAGCCCTCGACCCCCACCACTCGCGGTCGTCCGCGTCGTCCGTCAGGAAGCACGAGACATCCCAGGGCGCGCCGCTCGCCTCCGCCTGCTGGCCCGCCAGTCTACTTAGTGACTGCCGCAGCACCTCGGGGACGAGCGAGTCGGACTGGAGCACCTCGAACTCGGCGTCGAGGACCGCGCAGACGCCTCTGTACGCGGACTGGATCGTTTTGCGCTTCAGGTCGCGGAGGGCCTGGGTGTGGGTAACTTGTTAGCGAGCATGATCGGCAACGCCATCGTCGTCATCCGACTCCATCCAACTAGGAGGAGAGGAAACAAGGACGCAGAGAGCAAAAAAATAGACTCACGGCCAAGAAAAGCTTCTCTGTGTATCTCTGGGTCTCTGCCGGCTCGAAGACCACGTCGTGCAGCCCAAACTGCCGGCGGAGGGCGCGCACGCCGTCCTCGGTCAGCAGCAGCTCCCGCCCGCCTGGTTGGTCGAGCACGTCGACGACGAACTGGAGCATCTGCTTCTCGTGCCTCGTCACGCCCCGGCTGGCCCACGGACCCTTGGGCTGTTCTGGGAACGGCGCCATCGTCTGTATTTTCTTCGGGTTTCCTTTCTTTCCTTCTTTTCTTAATCCCCTCGTTCTGTTTTGTAGGCTCGTTTTGGAGGATTGGATGTTCCTCCACTTTTGCGCATGCGTCTGCCCCTGTCCAATGTGACACTGGCGTCTCGGTTGTGAGGAAATAAAAACAGAACCGCTTGCGAGTGAAGAACAGAAGAAAATGAGGTTTATGAGTGATTATGTGATTGTGTCTCAGGATGCGCAACTTATGCACCTGGGACGCGGACTGAGCAGCCGGGTGCTCATAATATACCAGGAAATGATCTCGTTGCGGCCCCAGACGATGATCCTTGGTGGGGGCAAGGTGAAGCACTACGTCAGCTCCGTTTTAGCACTGCACATGAGGTGCCCAGTGGGTGGATTGGGGGACACGCACGACACAGCCACGTATGCGGAGGGTGGGAAAGGTGATGTGAAGTGCAGTGATGTGGTTTGCAGAGGCTGCCGGGGAGGAGAAAGGTTCCGTAGCATTACGAGAGAGTCGGAGGTCATAAACGGCTTGGACATGACACGACGATGCTCGTGGTCCGAGTGGCTGGGCGGCATTCACATATTCCTTAGATGACTTGACCGACGTCCAGGACGCAGGGAGGACAGCTCCGTAGTCAGTTTCATTTCCCAAGCGATAGCGAAATGCCGGTCGAATCAACAAAGAAAGCGCCGAGCCGGCAGAATCATGTTTTTTCGCTGATCCTAGACTCTTGTTCAGTGGAGGCGCCCCCAATCAGTCCTAGCGAGGGCCATGTGTCAAGAGCCATGATCCCCGATGAGGATAGCTCCCGGGACGCGACAGCACGCAGGCATAGCCAAGTGTCGCCTGGGCGAATGGGAGCCGGCCAGAATGACACAAGCATTTGCAGGGCCCTCGCCTCACTCTTTCTCTCCTCCGATTCCTCCGACAGGGTAAAGCTTGAATGCGTTTGGGGCCGGTGGATATCTGGCTGTGAGACTTGACAGAAGCAGACAGAATGGATCAAGGGACCCGAGTGGAGCCTGATTGATAACTTGGTTTGATTATCTGATGTGATAATCACCTCGGAGCACCGATGTTACCTCTGCTACGACACTATGATCCACCGACCATGCCGGACCAGTTCTCTTCGGGCATGAATCGCATGATGGATTAATCCTCTGCCTTTTGAGCTATTAAGGTTCCAGTCCTTTCGTAGTCTCGAATGGCCCCTGAAAAGAGGCGGTCAGCGTCTGCAGCCCCGAAGGCACTGAGGGCCGTGGCTGGCCAGTAGAATCAAGGTTATTGTCATCCATGACATGAACTATTTCCCCACCCGTGCACAAGAATCCCATCGCTGCTTTTCGAGGAAAGTTTGGAGGAGCCATGGCACACTAACCGGTGGGCTTTAGATTTGATCCGTCTATCATCCATGCGGGCTATGAGCGGTGTTGCGTATTACTCCTGCAGAGTGCCGCGTGAACATTTGGGGTCTGGTGTGAGAGCCCCATGTCGCAACAGCAGGATGGATGGATCCAAAAAGCGACTGTTTCGTACCAGGGTCTTGGCCGAGATTTAGTCACGATGGCCTTAATAATGAATAACTCCTTATCAAATGTGTTGGGAAATCCTTTCAAATTCCCCCGGACATATGCAATATTTTGCATGACCTGGTGGCATTTTCCAGCCTCTGTGGGAGAAGATAGCCTACGACACGGATGTTAAGCATACTGCTTAAGTTTCAAACCAAAAAATAGAGTATTAGGTATTCATGTATGGCAGGAACGTGAATATAGAAGATAATTTACGAAACTGAGCAAGCGCGACTTTATTGTGTTGAAGAAAGAGGGTGGTGCCGAAGAGTTTACAGCTTATTCTCGTCCATCAATGGCCGATCCCAGCTCGCTCTACATTGATCATGGCAAGATAACACACGTGGGCTGGGCTGAACTGAGGCGAGTTAGCTTAGAGACGGTTCAAGAAGGTAAATAGGGAGAACCAAGCAGAACCGTAGGAAGAAGTCACCCTCTTTCAGATGGCCCAAGACTGGTATGCTGGATCCTCATTGGTAAGGAGCAATTGGATGGTCAATGAGCTTGATCCAGCTTCTCCGCTCTTAAAGGGTTCCCAGCTTCAGCCGCATCAGAATTCAATTCGATTGGGGTTGGTCCGCGGGACTAGCATGCAGAGATCATCCCAGTAATTTTGTCTGCTCGTAGACCGAAGTCTCAGCCGAGAGGGATGGGACGTAGCAGCATCATTCCTGTCAACTCAAACAGACCATTTTGTTATTTCGGTTGTCCGGTGGTCGGGGAGAGTGATTCTAGACTTGTCTGATACCGAAGGTCTTTGAGATTTGTTCGTTGACTTTCTGTGCTCTCCACCTGTAACTGCTAAGGTTGATTTTGGAGACGCGGCTCGCTCCACCTACACTCGGTATCACCAATCATATAGAAGGAACAATGGCTTAAAATCAGACTTGGCAAATCTTGAGTCGGGCCAAGTGGTGAGTCAGGGCCTCCTGGTATCCCAAGAAAAGCCTGTGTAAAGCAGCTAGATCTCGCAAGTAGAATACCCATGCACCTTCCCCCCTCGAATCAAAGTCTTCTTTTAAGAATGCGCACCTTTGAAAGATAAGGCTTTCCATCCTTTTGAGGCTGAATGATCACATAATAAAGGTAATGAATCCATGAACTAATTGATCCAATGAAATTGAGCTTATGAGGGCAAGCCCTAAGGTCGTATGACTTCGGGATCTCGATCTTTATCTTGGCCCTCGGCATAAGGTGCTTCTTCCTGTTTTCTTCGATGAGGGTTGATGTTCTTCCCTCTATAATAAAGTAGATTTGATGAGTAAAAGGAGGGGAGAACCTAGCTCGGTCGCCTTTCTAGTAGCTGCCAGTCACTGAGCAAAGCTAGGCCGCCGTAATCTTATGACTTAGGTGCAGCATCTTCATTTTTTGAGCATTCCTGGACTCATCGTTGTTAGTCTTACCTACTTGATAAGAGCCTTTGTTTCATCTTGAAGGCGCTGTAAATCAGCGCGTGGGCCGCGACGAAGCTCCCGGTTCAAGTTGCGATTGGGAAGAATGGTAACTCGTTTCTAGTAAGTTGGGCGCTCAATTCTGGTTTCGAATACGAGAACGTCTACTAAGCGGACGAGTATATTTTAGTCACGCCCAAAGGTTTGGATGATATCATATTACGCTACATGGAATGAAGAATAGGCTCTTTGGTTGCCGATCTGGAATGATTTGCGCCGGGTTTTATGCTAACTGGATGAGCACCGTGGGGATGGGCCCCTGGTTACCCCCAGGGCTTGGACTCAAGTGATCGACACTCTTCGTATTTTGTCGGCAGCGTCCAAATACAGTAGAACCTCGCTCGTCTTGCCCTTTGAACACTCATTCATAGACCTGGAAAGAGCCTTGTAGGAACGAAAACTGAGGCACGGACTCGTATTGTTCAGACATCTCGGCGTTACCTGTAAGACCTAATGGCTATCCTCAACTTTTGTCGGCCGGCAACAAAGCCACGGTGAGCTGACTATAGTTCGTGCATATGGTATAAGTATCTCGGGCTTGCCTGAGTTAAAATGTAGGATTCTTCAGTCCAGTCCCAACAAAATCAAAGTGTTCACTACATTTGAACCATTAACATCCGCTACTTTAAACCACCCGTTTCATTCAAGCCAACGCCAACCGCAACAATGAAGTTCAACGTCAGCATCGCTCTTCTTGCCACTGCCGGCTCTGCCGCCGCTACATTCAAGCTCAAGACCGTCAGCGCCAATGGCGAGATCAACGGCAAAACTTTCAACGCTGCCCAGAGCAAGATATTTACCAATTTGCAGAACCAGAACGCCCGCTGCCAGTCCGGCACCCAAGATGACGCTACCTTCCAACTCCGCGATGGCAAGCTCATTCTCTATGCGACCAGGTCTGCGCCTCAGCAGGTTTACGCCCAAACTATTACTGCCGGTACGTTCTAGCTTTCCCCTCTGATAAACGACTATGTAACCTTTATTCTAACCATTCTATAGAGCAAGGCAAGATGGGCTACGTCCGCCCCGGACAAGGCCTTCCACCCGGCAGTCAGCTTACTGGCTGGGCCGTTGATGGGTCTGGCCACCTCAAGATCAGCGGCGTTGGCTTCGTCGCTTGCCCCGGAGCTGGCCAGGGAGCTTGGACCATTTATGCCGATGTTGGTCATCACGATGACTGTTTGAAGATCCAAGTTGAGGCTGTTGACGAACCAAAGCCTCTGAGCTGCTACTATACCGAGGTTGGGAATTAGGGCTTGCATGAATTCCTTGTTCAAATGAGGACAGGAGATCGAAGAATTGTTGGAATTGTCTCCTAGATACTTAGACAGATGATAGATTTCACTTTAAATCGTTAGAATATGCCGTTTCTCTTTTCATCACACCCCGGATATAGCAACAAAGAAAAGGTCGAGTTGTCGTGCCATTCGAATTGCTCTGCTCGACTTTAGTGATCCACATAGTTCGGAGTGAAACAAAAGAAAAGGAACCTTTAAAGCATGGCTAAACCTCATTTTCCATTTTGAATACTCAAATAGGCATAATCACAAAGGGGCCGGCGATATTAGGCACAGTGCAATAAGTAGAGTATTTTGCTTACCGCCGATGTAACCCCTGTCATCTCGTATATTAAAAGCCAAGTAATCAAAGTGATTGGCAGAGATACGAAAGAATCCCTCAAAATTTCGGTATCCGGCATGTCCTAAGCCGTGGGGGATGCCATCAAGAGGAACTATTCGCAAGGACCCTGGCAGGTTGGCCCGTATTGCCCGTATGCGTTACAACCTTTACCAGGAGACAGTTTCGAGAGCTTGAATACGATATGTTTATCGGCTGATTTCGCTCGAATGCCATAGCCTATCTAAAGTTAGAGTCGTATTGGCGAACTCATCCCCGTGCCGGGATCAGCGCATCCATTGTGATGCTGCATCACTATTGAATGAGAGGTTCTGAAGACCTTATATACGGAATATTCCCCGGTATCCAGATGGAAACTTTTGGTTGTCCTCACATGAGTTCTCATAGAAACCAAAGTACCATTGTTCACCTCTTCTTTCCCCATGAAAGCTTTAACCACTGGTCAGGTCATTCTCCTTGTAGCTCAAGCCGCTGCTGCGTTGGGCTTGCCAGAGATGATTCATTCTCGTGATAGTCTGGGAATCAATATCGTCGGCGGAGATGAAGCCCCACTAGGGGAGTTTCCTTGTATGATAAGTCTGTCGATGAGCGACGGGCATCATTGCGGAGGCGTGCTGTTAAATGCATATACGGTTATTACTGCGGCTCATTGTGTCCTGAACACTTTGACTAGCGCTATCAAAATTCGTGCAGGGAGCCTGGTAAGTTAAAGAAATTTGCCCGCTTGAGCTTGACACTGCTTCTTCGTTGATATTCCCTTTTGCTTCCTTTGATGAGAGAGTCGTCATTGGGCTAATGCGATATCTCAGAACTGGGCCTCTGGTGGAATCCAGGTCAACATTTCTTCTTATGCTGTCCGCCCCTCTTTCAACTTGGAAACAGCTGATAATGATCTGGCCATGGTGCACCTGGCAGACCCAATTCTGGAAGCGGAATCTATTGGGTATGCTACTTTGCCATCGCAGGGCTCGGACCCGGTCGATGGTTCTTTGACTACTGTGATTGGATGGTAAAGATATCCCAAAATCTTGTCGCTGATGAAATCAAATATATACTGACTGGATTAATAGGGGTTATGTGGAGGAGAATGGGTCTGGACGATCAGATGTGCTACGCAAAGTCTCGATCCCAGTTGTTTCTCGAGACAAATGCCAGGTGGCATATTTAAATTCGAATATCACGGAGAACATGTTCTGTGCCGGCACAGGTGGTAAAGGGTCTTGTGACTACGATAGTGGAGGTCCTGTCATTGATCAAGCCACAGGGGAAGTGGTTGGCCTTGTGTCCTGGGGCAATGGCTGTGCCAGGTCTGACTACCCCGGCGTATATGTTAGGGTTGGTAATTACGTGGATTACATCACTAGTTCTTGGCGGAATCCTTGAGTGATCGAGAAGCAGACAGAAAGAGGCTTCGAAGATCGTTTACTAGAGAAAAAATCATGCCATGATCCAAAATATCCTAGCCGGAACGACCAAAATAGTCCAGCTAGTGTAAAGAGGCGAATAAATAATACGATATGATATGTAAAATCCTACCAAGTTTTAAAGTGTTAAAAGAAAACTACTGGTTTATTTAAAGCTTTCCAGTGTAGCTCTAAGGTCCATAATGAACGTAAGGAACCCAGTACATGGGGGATTCCTCCACAGGGTCAATATCGCGGTTTCCATTCTCACTCACAGACGAGTGGGCAGGGATAAATGATTCTGAAATGTCACCATCATGTTGGCTTCTTGCACGAAAATCATTTCTCTTCACCCAATCTTCTCTGAGGGATCGACTGGCATGATGCAAAGCTTCACTCACTGACGAGCTGCGCATGCCATGGTCCAAAATCCGTCGATACACGCCAACACTCATGTGAACGCACGTCTCATCATTGACCTGCCACAGGGTCCCAATAACGTGAGGAAATCCTGCAAATTGAAAGGAGCTCATCAAATGGATAGTTTCATCTTGTAAGTGGTACTGTGATACTTCTCCTGTTCCGCACGCTGAGAGATACGCCAGGAGCGGTTGCGACCCAGAGATATCAGCTTCGTAAAAGTCACCCACGATCAGTGGTTTTTCTCTCCAGTCTTGGAGCAAGATAGCACAGCGGATAAGATCGTACGTTTCTGTTCGACCGTGACCAGCAAAGTGGAAAATGTCGCAATGACTTAACGCCTGGAGGACGTCTTCTCGTAATGGCTTCGGTTTGTTCACGGACAGCCCAGCTGTGTTACAAAGACCTTCGATTTCTGTTGCTTCTTGTGTGGTGAAGGGGAGGTTTGATAAACCTGGAGTATTCTCCATCGCGACGAGGACGACTTGGTTTGGATTAGGCATCCCTTCACTCCGTGAAATCCTTGCACCTGCCTGAGCGAGTGACGTTAAAGAAGTGCTGTAAGACGACATGACACGATCGAGAACAGTGGCGCCTGAGTTTGAGCTGTGGTATCCAGCTGCATGTATTGGAAACCCAGCAAAGGGTCCCGTAGGAACCCACCAAATGTGAGGCCAATTTTCATCCGAGGGCGTGGAAGTAAATCCCAGAGCGTCGAGGATGGGTCTGGCCGTTGTTGTCCACATCCACTCCAGAAGCTCATGATCACGAATCTTTTTCTGTGCCATCTGAAAAGCATCGGTGGCACGAAGGTCAGGCAGGTGCAAAGTGTGCAACTGGGGCTTCTCAATGATGATCGCGTCACAGCGATCAACTGCAATGTTGAGTACAACAATAGGGCCGTGTTCGGCCATGTTCATCAACTGTTCTTCAGAGAAAATTGCATATGGAGAAGTTCCCAGAACTGTATTGATTTCACCTAGCACTGCATCCAGTCTCTCCGCCATTTCATAGCGACCTTCACTGTCTTTCGGGTCAGATAAAATTTGTTTGGAGAGCGGCCCAGCAAGCTCAGTGTACTCTTGTACAAGCCTGGGGTGCGAATCCTTCACTTGAGAAAGATCATGACGCATCTCTTGCATTGACTGTGTGATTATGCCACGCCCAAGCTCCAGGAGGCTAATGACTCTGTATATCGGCTCTTCAACTCGGATGGCAGCAGCAGCAGCCATTGATGCCACCCCACTGACCGTAAAGAGCAATCTCTGTTTATCTGAGTATTCGGCTGACCGGTGAAACAAATGTGGTGCCAATACCAACATTTGCACGAAAGTCTCATAAGATTCCCTCCATTTTCCCGCTTTTGCATACCCGTTGGCGAGCTTGTATCCCACATCAAATAGAGAGAGGGTTGAGATCCACTGTAACTTGAACGCTTCACGATAACACTTCAAAGCGGTATTGAGATCGTCGTCGTGTTTGGATATCTTATATTTCCAAAAGTACCCTTCTCCAGCGTCGTAGAGGAGCGTGTATCTGGATGGATAATTTGTCTTGCACATGCTCAGCGCTTCTTCATATTTCTCGATGCCTCTTTCAAAATCCTCGGGAGAATTTTCGAGTTCGTACCGATAGAGGTAGTTTGTGGCAAGGCTATTGAGTACGTTGCTGTGAAACTCTGAATTTCCTTTGATCTTTCTGACTACCTCCTCTTGATGCTTGATTGCCAGATGGAGATATCTTTTCCCATCGGATAGAATGCCCTGTGAATCTGTTTCATCAGAAGAGGTATCATCGGCAATCTGAGCTCCCGAGAGGTCATATAAACTGGTATAAATCACACTCAGCTCATAGAGTATTCGTAAATGCGTCTCCTCATCTTCATGAGGAGTGTTAACAAGACTCTCATACATCTTAACAGCGAGCTCCAGATTTTCTTCAAAGCTCGTCCTTTCATAGCTGCGGTAATAAACCCAACCGACAGATCGGCTCAGCTTATTCCACCCTAAATATTGGGGCGTTGCGAGCATGTAAGCTTCCTCAAGGCAATCCAGCGATCGTTCCAAGTCGATGAGAGTGTGAATGACGCTATATCGATCAAAGTAGCTTTCTCCAAGCTGATGAATATGTATCAAATACTCTGGATCATCCTTTTGCAGTGTCGCCAAGGCTGATACATGGGCCTTGATTGATTCTTCAACGTCGTCTGTGTGCCGGATACTGAAAAAGGGATCAAAGAATGCTTGCGGTATGTGGCCCTGTGACTTTTTATTGTCGTCGTTACTTTCATCGCAACCCTGTGCTGTTTGGGCGGGTGAACTTCTGCGAGATGGGTTTTTGCTGGTCGGAGGGCGCTGCCTGCGCTGAAAATGTGAAGGTTGGCTGAAGCAATGTCCCATTGCGGCGAGTAATCGTACCAAAATTAATTATCTAGGAAGACTTTGAGATTGCCTTTTCAATGGTAAACAAGCATTTCCGGGACTACATACTATTAGAAACGCTGAGAAGAGGGGGGGACAAGTTCTTACTTTGGGGTAAGAAATGAAAATAGGTATTTTTATCTTTTTTTTTCTATCACGTGGGAGAAAGCTGCAGATGAGCCGCATTTGCTTGAAATATGAATGCAACCATTATGGTGGGTATGCCACGAAAGGCGATAGACTGTTAAATTTTTAAAATCCCTTTAAAATACAGGTCATTTATTTCGTCGAGTGAAGTCTTCAGTAATGGATCAAATTTGATAATCAGATTGGGATGTACTGCCCAATGTATTTATCTGTCTTTTCTCCTAAACAAAAGAAGAGAATTCTAAACGACTCAATGAATATGCTGTGTCCATATTGACCTGTTTCGGCCATTGGCAGTTACGGCCGGAGATAGATATATTAATATAAAAGGGCTTTAGATGTTAATGTATAGGAAGCAAGTATCTGTTTGCTTTTTTGTTACCATGTGATAAATGGTTTGCATGAAAAAGAAATATTTTTCTCCGCGTTTTAGTCCGGTATTAAGCAGGACGTCGTATGATTTCAATCACCCCGGACAGCTGATAGAAATTTCACTGTTGGCATTCGTATGAGAGTGAACAGGAACTCACGTACTGCCTAACATAAGACTGAAGAGCCGGGGCGCCTCTGTACTTGAGAAACAGGGGAAACGCCTCTCTTTGTCTTAATCTCTCTGTAGAGCCTTATTTTATAAGACTCTTGAGCTTTCCAACTGCCCTCCTGACTCGTTTACTCGCAGAATATCTATGTTTTTGTGTATCTTGCTGAGGTGGCAACTGTTCCTGTGACGGTGTTACTTCTTGTGACAGTGGTGCCTCTTGTAGAGTTGCTATTTCCTGCAATGATGCTACTTCCTGATTCTCCTTTGACCATTTGGGAAAACCATGTTCCTTTACGAAATCGATTGGGTATGATAGTTCTCTGAAACTATCGACCAATGAATCGAAGGGAAAATCCAGCTGCATATTTAGGATCGCACCATGTGTGAGGAGTGACTTGAAAGCGTCGTATACCGCGTTGTCCGTTCGAAGCTTCCCAGATTTCGAGCTCATAAGAGATAAGCTATCGAGGAAAGTGTCTAGGGCCGTAGATCCTGTTGGGTCAAGAATATTGGGATCGGCTCCTGACACTAATAGTTTGTTCACCAGTTCAGGCGGGCTTCTATGGAGCAGCGGACTTTTGCCGCTTGGGGGATTGTTTCCCACACGTCCCAAACCGTCGTCATCCCCGAGTCCTTTTAGAGCTTCTAAGACAAAGGCAACACAATTTTCCCGATCCATCCCATTGAGTTTAGTATTTGGAGACAGAGGTGTAGACGCATCGGTTAGTAGCTTATCTTTATCGGTTCTTATAGACCCATACATAGAGGCTGTCAGAGGCGTAGACTTAGGGGCGGGATCCGACTTGCTGCCCTTCTGCCAGATCCTTTGGAAGAGATCCAGAATCCCATCCCAATCTCTTCCAACTCTATAGCCGTTCTTCACAATGACGGAAGTCATTTGGATTGCTTCTATCGGCTTAGAAAAGTTTCTTTCGAGGGAACGAACCATTGCAGGGAGAAGGCCGCTGTCCCACTGGGCAATTGCGTCCACATTCTCTCGTAGAATGTCTCTCACCAGTAGGCGAAGTCCAATCGCAATTGCAAACATGAGCAAGGGCCAACCCAGTATAACCGGACCACTAGCAAAGATACTGTGCTGGCTTATTCCGGTTGTTCTCTCTGCTTCCTTGGCATGGAAAACGAGCTCCGTCTCGTCTTGGTAGGAAAATACGATGCTGCTCTTCGCTTTATTGTTCGTCATTTCCTGGTTGCGCCATTCATTTTGATAAAAATACCAGATGCATAGGAAAGAATGACCATTCTTAATTGTTGTCTTCCCACGAAGCCCGAGTAATGAATGCCGAAACTGTGGTCGCTCAACAAATTCATAAACCGTCTGATGCATAAGTTGAAGGTAACGGAATTCTCCATCATCTAAAAGTTCGATGAGCCCACCGGAAATCGTTTTGATATTCTGAATCCTCAATTCCTTCACGGACGCATCCTCCTGCATCTCCTTCTTGAATATTCTCGCCGCTTCTTTGGCAGTTGTCGCCCGCGACAGAGCCAATATCTCGAGAGCATCTAACGTAAGGACTTTCCCACGGGAACGAATCAATGACTCTAATAGTACGTATGTTTCCCATCGATATATGTCTGGGAGTCGCTCAATGATAGCATCGTAGAAGTCATCTAGTTGATCAGGAAGCCTCTTTAACTTCTCACGTAACTTGGGGCCCAAGATTTGGCTGTCGGTACTGTCAGACAAAGATACAGCGAGGACCAACTCTTGTAAAACCAGCTTGACCCAAAGGAAGACTCCCTGAGACCGCCGGACAATGTCCTCTGTGAGCTCTAGAAGAGCTTCCTCTCCAGGTGTCCCCGGGGTTATGAAGTTGAGCATGTATTGGCGTATGTCATTTTCCGTATGTTTGTGAATCTCAAAGCCAGGGCATGACTTGAATTCATCCTGAAAGATTTTCCATGGTCTGCTGGAGAAAAGAATTTTGACGCGTGTGCGGGATGTGGTGTTGACCAGCTGCTTCAGAAAGTCTGCGATAAACTCTGTCGGTCCATCATACTCGTCAAGAGCATCGAAGAGGAAGAAGATATCGACATCCATTTTGTCTTGCAGCATCACAGCCTTCAAACAGTCCTTGAGCAATCTCTGAGTCCAAGCGCCTGCGGGTATTTCAAAGTTTTCCACGTCGGAATCTAGATCCTGCGATTTGGACGCCTTCTTCCTCTCTTCGCGTAGCTTCCAGCGTGCCACTAATTTTGGGAAAGTGGCCTCTACAATTTCTTTGAAGAAAACGCAAGTCTTTGGCTGCGCCACCAGTATTTGGCTTAGGACACTCCTAAGGAGACCTTCGAATGATTTCTGGGCAAGAGTACCTCGATGATGGAAAAAGAAGTTCGCAATCACCTTGTTCTCGCTCGCCTCCCATGAGTCGAGCAGCTGGGCAACCCTGTCATCGTTCCAGACGAACTTCAACATGGTAGATTTTCCCGAACCGGGCTTGCCACTTATCCAGAAAATCCCTTCTCCCTTCAAGAGCCACGACGACAACCCAATGGAGGGATCCTGAAAGGCCCAGTCGAAGGTATGATCCGCGTTTTTGTCGATCTGCTCTAGTCTCTCGTTCCTTTTGGGTGCCGCGAAAGATTTTAGTAGAACTATTGCATCGTTAGCAAGCAAAGCCCCAGGTTGAAGCTCTTTTAAGTGTAAATGTACCTGCACTAAACCAGGAGACGTCATCTGCCAGGTCTTTTGGGGCTGCCACTTTCAGATCTATGATTAATCCATGAGCAGCCCGATTATTCGATTGTTGTGTTGTGCCGTTTTTGCCTTTCTCGTCTACCGGACTGTTTTGGACGATTTCCTGGATCCTCAAAGCCAGTATTTGTATTTCACGGTCGCTCGATTTGAATTTAACCATGTTGGAATGGTCGTGGTTAATCTGGAGAGAATATCCGAGATGAAAAGGGTACCGTCCTCCTGTGGCCGACTCTGGCGACACCATGACGCTCCCTGGGCCTGATCTGCTCCAATTCCCATTAGAATGCTAAATGTTTGTTAGCCTCGGGGACATGACGCAAACAGGGAAATCGAAGCGAGATCATGGAAAGAAATTCTCTTACTAGGAGGGTGGGCGTCTGTTCAGTTTCATATGCCCATATAAGTACCATATCTCGAACGTATGAGATACCTTCAAACTGCTTTTCCAGTGCTGGTATATAGTCTGACCGGTTTGAAAGGTTATCAACGAGGGCTCTGTTGGGCTGCTCGCCCAGCATCTGACAGATATCTGACACTTCCATTCCCATGCTAGGCACCCCGAAGAGGACCCCTCCCTTGATGCCACTGATTATTTGTCTCTCTATTTCCCCACTGCCAGCCAGCATAACCATTGCCTGTTTCAGTATCACACCGCCCAAGCTATGAGCCAAAAACAGCAGTGATTTGGGCGATTGGGAACCCCAGCCTCCCGCCCTGAGTTCATTGATGAAAGATAGCGCCAGGTCTGGAATAACTTGGAATGATTTACTACCAGCGAGCCTGCTGTCGTATCCGTACAAGATAAACCTCACTCCAGGGAGCCTGGCTGGCAATGAGTCTCGAATCCACATAAAGGATCTTTGGCCTCGTGGTTGCCATGATCCTATTGGATGACTGGCCAGCCCAGAAATCACAATGCAGCTTGTTCCCAGTTAGAAAAATCTCGATACCTGTTGGCCTTATTCATGGAAGTGATTTACTCATCAGTGTGAAGGGTTTCTTCCACTTCATTCAATGGCGTTAAACCATAAAAGTGGGTATCAAGAACTACAGGGCGGACAAGACCAGCGGCAGGAAAAACCCATTCGGTGCTGGTTTGATCCTGGCTTATCGTCGCAGGTACAGTTTTGAGTGTCAAAGTTGCCGTCTTCGTTGGGGTAAGGGCCCAGGGCTCGATGGTAGTTGCCAGCGAGCCAAGCTGAACATCGTCAAGAGTGATGTCCGGTATGCACCGAGCGAGAAGTTCCAGAGCCCCCAGGCGATCTACGTGCCCCGGCAAGTTCGTTGCCCTGTACACTTTGGACATCTCTCTCGAGAATTCAAGCCCAATGTCATACTGTTAAGATGTGGCGACCGAACTTGACTGGTGGGCGCAGTCGAGGTTACGTGGTGGAATAGGGGGTGGCGTTGAGCTGAGCTGATCGGCGTAAATGGAAAATCCCTCGACATAATAATAAGCAGCTTATTAGTCATCCATGAAGTTCATCTACCCCGGTCATCACCGCGTGGAAAACAAAGGTATTGGCAATACCGCTGGCGATCCAAAACTGCAAAGGAAAGTCTGAGACTGGCGTGTTATCGAGTGGGTTCATTTTAACTTATGCTTCGCTCGCATGTCATTCTCCATTTTGACGGCAACCGGTTGCGGGCCGACCCGTACATTAAGGGGACCGTTTAAAGGCCAACGGTTGACACCTTATCCGTCATTACTTACCAGCCAATGGAATCAAGAAGGAATAATGAGGTTCAGGTGCGATTGTAGTCGATAGTTTATCAGATCATCTAAACTTATTGAGACGGGACGTAATATCGCGACTTACTGCCTAGCTGAGGAGCTATAGGGTGCATAACTAACTACCTTTCGCATTTATATAAGGTACCAACCCATACCGAGTGAGAAGCTAAATTATGTTCAACTGAATAAAATCCTAGTCACTGAGCGGTTGTGATCCACAACTCAATTCTGCCATGAGCCTTGGCAATGGTGGATCTGCTTGGGAATCTGCGGCTTCCAAATGGGCTTGCCAGTATTTTCTGGCATATTCAACCAACATATCAATACCACCAGAGCGTGCAAGGTCTTGATCAGTGGACTCACAAAGATTTCTCTCTGAATTTGCCGGAATATTAAGAGACAAATAGCGAAGACAAACTGCAGCTGCAAGGCCATTTGCCGAACTGATTTGGCGAGTTTCGTAATACACCGTTAGTTCATTCAGGGTATTGTTATTCTTGAGATAGTGCCCAATGTATTCGGTGACCGTGAAGTGAATTGGGTATAAAACTTTGCTCTTGCCGCGTAACGAGATCAAAGAACCGCACACGGATAAAATAGTGGCCTCGGGGTCTCCGGACGGATACCGGGAGGGTCGATACCCATCCTCACGGTCAGCAGAAGGCAAAATGGTGAGTAGGTGAAATAGCTCAGCAGTCTTTAAAGGCCGACGTGCAACATCGACCCAGAAAAGTATTTTATGAGCAAGTAACCTGCGAGACTGTGGGAGTTGATTGATAGTATTCATGATACGGTCATAGTGCTCTGACAAGCTGGCCGGGAGTTTGGATTCACTTAAGCAGCGCATCAACTCCTCATTTGTCGTTTGGTCTTTAATATGTTGCACCATGAGCTTGACCCATAGGAACATCCCATTTGACATGGAGAGGCGGTTCCGTATTAGAGCCACGGTCTGGGGTTCAACCTCCCTTTTCATGCTCTCCGTTTCTGACAGGATATATCGTTCTATATCCTCCTTTGTCATCGCTGGCTTTATCTCCAACGAAATCGATTTTACATAGGATACCTGCTTACCATAATGGCATTGGCGTGTGGTAACAAGTATCTTGTGACGATGGGGAATTGATTGTAGGACTCTTGCAAACTCTTCACGTTCTATGCACTCATCGAATGCGTCGAATGTAAGATATAAGGGAGGTAAAATATCCAAAAAGAAGAAGAATAATTCTTCTACTTCTGTTTTAGAAGCCTGATGGTTGCCGCTTCTGGAATAGATTTCGATTAAATATTCTCCAGTTTCCCTTGAGATTTTGGACAGCTGAGAAGTCCATGACCTTAGAAGAGAGGATAATTGCACCCGCTCTCGGTCTGCGCCACAAAAGAAGAAAAATGTACAAGCTCTATGTGAGCTTGAATACAGATAATCAAGTATCTTGGTATACAATGTTGACTTTCCACAACCTGGAGGCCCCTTGATCCAGAGTAATCGAGTGTTGTCATCTGAGATCCACTGGAAAAATTCTGGTCTCGAGAGGATCCATTCACACGTGCCTTGAGCAACGGAGATTGAATCCTTTGCCTCATGACACTGTCGAGCGTTCAGCCATCTATTCGCCTTGTCCAGCGAATCCTTAGCCTGTATACGCCTCACTTCGGCCCTTGTCCGAGCCTCTTCTTGCAAATGCGCCACGTTGGCTTCGCGCTCAACCAGCTCGCTCTGATCACTGATATGAGATACGCATTCACCGAACCTTTGCTCCAAAGGCTTCCAGAAGACACAAAACACTAGCCGAAACGTCGATTTTTCAGCAAAAGCCCGGACCGACGCAAGAAGGTTGATGATATCGACGTATATGGAAAGTATGGCGATTTGAATTGGTTCATGTTTAGGGAATAGATGTTCGTAAACTAAAAACCTTGGTAAGGATTGCCCGATGCGTTGTAGCAGGGCTAGGATCTGTTTGAAGCACGCTCTGTAGCCTCTCGTGATCTGAGTATCATTAGATGGTGGCCGGAGCGATCTGAATTCTGACAGACACCAAGTTTCACCTACCTGGAAGATGATACGGATAGAAACCCATATTGGTGAGAGCATGTCTGCCGCAATACTCATAGATCTTCCAAGGCACTCAATAATAGCTAGGAGAGGATCTATATGTTCACAAAAGACATGGAACTTGTTCAAATGAACCTGTTGAAGCATAGATGATTGAAAATCCAACAGGATGTCATTAGGTTTACACTTCCCATACTCTTCTTGCTCAGCTGGAGAGAGTAAGTTTTGTGAGCAGTCCACAGCATTCTTCCATAAATTGGAGCTCATGTTTTACTTTCTCAATGTCCATTAATTACTGATTGGGATGCGGTGTCGACAGAAAGACTTCGTGATATGGTATAGGCGCTGATGAAACCAGATGATCCGTTGATTGAGATAAGCCCAAGCGGGGGAGCAAACACGCGCATCCGGTTAGGCATTTTGCAAGGCGCAGCACATTCTCATAATTGCATATTCTGAACTTGAGCGCCACTGAGGCTGAGATAAGAAATCCCAAATGGGTATGCCGAAACATCAAATAGATAAGGAGGCATTGATTCATTCTGTTTGTCACCACAGTGATTAATCACTTGGTGTTCGCTCGATATACTTTTTACATCAGGTCCAAACTCTTGTCGTTTGCGAAATTGGGTCGTTTCGATAAGCTTACTGGTAATTCGGCTCACTCTCTCGATTTGGGCTAGATGAATGCTAACACAATTGAAGGATATGGCCAAATCAAGCTGAAGGTGAGGGCAGACTCTCAGACTATTCCGAGTAGCCATTTTAGGTAATATCGCCTTGGTCACCTGTCAGGAAGCTGGTCGACCTCGATGGATCAGCTGAGTGAGAGTGCCAACTGATTTCCGGGAGATATCAACGATTGCCGTTACGACTCCCTTGAAAGGGCCTTGACGACGAAAGTTCCGCCGACGTTACACTAAATGGGATTGTCATCCAGGGGTGATATTGCCGGCAGTAGTGTTCTGACAGACTTTCATCTATGTTAGAGAAGCGGTGGATTACGATGAATTGAGAAATATAAAAGGTGGCCATCTTGTTCATTTGATAACGAGTAACTCAATCAGACTTGATCCTGACACCATAAGAATTTCTCCAGAAATGTCTACCTCAACTAAAGGAATTGATGAAGACGCAAAAAAAGTCGTAGACCTTTTCCGCGATGTTTTCGGTTTCATCCTGGTTTTAGAGCTGGCTCGTTCATGTATATCGTGTTTCCCTTCGACAACATCGCTGACGCACAAAAATTCAAGTCCATGCCAAAGGCATTTTACTTCAAGGAACATTTAGGCCCACACCCGAAGCATCCTCTCTCTCGACAGCACCACACTTCCGCCGCCATTCAACATCTGTGATCGCTAGGCTTTCGAATTCCGGCGGAGTCCCTACCCAGCTGGACGCTGATCCGGCCAACAACCAAAACGGGCTGGCGTTGCGTTTCCTCCTCAGCTCATTTCCACGTCGTGAAAAGACGGACATTGCGACTGTCTCTACTCCATTCTTCCCAGCTGGGAATGTACCAGACGGTGTTGGATTCTTTCGTGCGCTGGCCACATACAAGGTGGAGGAGTTTATTCGCACTCACCCCGCCGCTGCTGCGTTCATCAACGCACCGAAGCCGTTCCCGGCCAGCTTTGCAACGCAGCAGTTCTTCAGCATCAATGCGTTCAAGTTTGTCGGAAAGGATCATAAGGAGACATATATCCGATACCGCATCATGCCAAAAGATGGAGTCTTCCATCTAGACGAAAAGGAGGCAGCCTCTAAGCCACCCAACTACCTTTGTGACGAGCTGGTGAAAAAGCTCGAGACTGGCCCGATCGAGTATGAGCTTTTGGCTCAGATTGCCGAGGCTGGCGATGTGACCGATGACTGCACGGTGCATTGGCCGGAGACACGTAAGCTGGTAAAGCTGGGGGTAGTGAGTCTCGAGTCCATCCTGCCGGACAGTGATGAGGAACAGAAGAACCTTCAGTTTTTTGATCCTGTCCCGAGGGTTGAAGGCATCGAGACTTCTGGCGACCCGCTCATTGACCTTCGCTCAGTTGCTTACCGGTTTAGCGGAGCGGATAGACGAGCTGCTTAAAGTGAGTATCCTTCCTGTTCTGCCTCTAGCATGGTAATACCTAAAGATCACGCTACACACAATGTGTGTCAACGTGTGGCTAGGGTGTTGATTACGCCACTAGGTAGTAGAGAAATAAAAGTCATTGGAACACGATGCGAAGTATATTTATGTATTTAACGGGTTTATGGCTAGGCTTTGTCTGAACCATTCGATGGAGAGACAGGATTTTACTCAGCAGATGAGATAGGGGATAGTGTTTTGCTTGGTGAGGAGTTACGCTACACATCTTGCAAAGAGAAAAAGTTAACACAACTTCATCGACAGACATGTATGCGCATCACTCTACACACAAGTCGCTTAGTTTCAACCCCTCCACTTTATGGACATCAACCGAGAAGACCAGGCTCACTGGTTCACTATTTAAGAGGTCTTAGCGGCTAAATAAATTATATATTCTATAACCCGTGTAGTATATACATGAAATAGATACATTGCCCTTTCTCAATCGAAGCCGAATTGAGCTCGTCAAGGCTTCTTTGTGATGTTGTCGCCAAGCTTATCGGACATGGTTCTGCAATTGTTCCCCCGCGACTTAACGCAGCCGCTAAGAATATTATATCTGCCGCCACTTTGACGGTTGGGATCACCAGTCAAAATTTTACCGGCTTCCTTGAGGACATTGTCGGGGTTCTTGTACTGATCATGAACCTCGCCTAGAAATTCGCTCCCCGACTGATAGGCTGCGTGGTGCGGATTCCAGTTATGGGCCTCAACGTAAGCACCTTTCTTGGAGTAGATTGGCGGCAATCCGGGCTTTGTACCCATCACGCCGTCGACTAGGTTAGGATCTGTTGCTTTGGCTTTGGAGTCCCCCTTTTTCGAGCCAATATGGAGGTCAAACCTCTTACCAGAAGCCTTGTAATGTTCAATGTTGCCGATATTCTGCTTCGAGTAGTCAACAACCGCAACATTTTGATGCCCAAAGAGTCCAGTGCTCTTTTGTTTGATCGCGTACGAATGACCCGGCTCGAGCTTGGCTCCCTTTTGTTGGGCCAGTTGCTCAAGTTTTCTGGCACCGGGGTTTTTGTGTACGTTGGGGGGCTTTGGCTTGGGAGCCTGGGTGGCCTTCCTTTTGCCAGTGGGCTTCTCTTGACCAGCAATTTGTTTTTGGCCAGCAGGTTGTCTTTGGCCGGCAGGCTGCCTTTGACCGGCGGGTTGCCTTTGACCTGCGGCCAGCCCTTGACCGGGCCTTCTTAAACCCACAGGTTTGTTGTTAGGGGTCGCACCTCCTTGCGCAGCGGGCGCTGCTGGACCGACAGTAGGTTTCGGGGCCGCAGGTTTTGCGGTTGGGCCAGGTTTCTGGGGATTGGAAGCTTTCTTGGTAGGTGCTGGCTTTTTGCACGATTTCCCTCCCGAAAAGAGACCTCTCTTAAAAGCGCATGCGTCTTGCTTTCCTTGGGATTGCTTAGTCCCAACGTTCCCCTTGTGAGCTGTTGTTGTTTTCGAAGCAGTCTTCTTAGCCGCGGGGCTCTTCTTCTTTGGGGAGGCGGGCTTCTTTGGGGTAGAAGCCTTCTTAGTACCAGTCTTGGGTTTAGATGCAGCTTTCTTGGGAGCTGCCGCCTTTTTAGGAGCAACAGCTTTCTTGGGAACAGAAGCCTTCTTAGGGGTAGCTTTCTTAGCAGCAGCTTTGGGCTTGGGAGCAACTTTCTTGGAGGCAGTCTTCTTGGGAACAGCCTTCTTGGGAACAGCCTTCTTAGGAGTAGCAACCTTCTTAGGAGTAGTTGCTTTCTTGGGGGCAGCTTTTTTGGGAGTAGAAGCAGCCTTCTTAGGAGCAGCAGCTTTCTTAGGCGCAGGAGCCTTCTTGGGCGCGGTAGTCTTCTTGGCAGTAGCGGGCTTCTTATTACCAGGTTTCGTTTGAGCATTGACCTTCTTGGGGGAAGTAGCTTTAGCTGCAGCGCGCTGGACTAGTATCGCTTCGACATTCCGCCTGGACAGCAATGGCTTGGGCTGCCTTTCAAAGACACCTTCGTATTCTACCTCACCCCTCGAGGCTAATTCCGGGACATAATCCAGGCCACGTTGGTCCAAATTGTAAGGCTCTTCTGCTTGGGCCAACGAAAGGGCGAAAAGAAGGGAAGGAAAATATAATCTCATGATTCAAGTCAACCGCCAGCGGGCAACAGGAATCAAGGGCGAGCTGCGAAACGTAGTAGTAAAACACAAAAGAGAAAAGAAAAAGAAAAGAGAGGCCAGAGAATAGAAGCAGAAGACGAGTGGAAGAAATTAATTCTGGAAATTGCAACAATAAAAAGAGGAAGTAGTTAAATTTGCGCCCAGAAATCGCAAAGCAGCCAACCATAGGATTGAGTTCCTCATAATTGCTTGTCCGTTAAATCGTCTGGAAATAGCAGCGTGAAGCCCCTCTACGCCAAAATATCAGCCAGTATTGTGGCTATTGATAGCAGGGAGGTAATGGAACATGCGCAGGCCGTAGTCCTGGGACCCTTAGCACGGCATTTGGTGCGTGTGATACCGGATCGAGCCATGACTCGCGGCATTATGGATGAACCTCCTGCCAAGGATGAACTGTTAGGTGGGGATCATCACCTGAAATAGAGCCTGCAACCAAGACTAAGGGCCTCGAAGCTGAGCTTAGCAGGGGTAGCGTAGCCATGGTCTCACCGCAGCATCCACTGGTCAACGTTGTATCTCTCCAGCTTCCAGTTTCAGGTTAGTACTGATGCCCACCGTTCACACTCGCTCTTCCATGGTCCATCCAGCTCGCGTGACCACCAACAACAGTCACTAACCTACACCCAAGCCAAATTCTATACACACGTCCGCGCAGGTGCTTGGTTTGGAGGATATTCTCTGTTCCACGTAAATAATGCAATTAGTCAAAAGTTCTCTGCAAGAATGTAAGAGAAGACATAGCCCACAAAATCTCCTTTTCTGGCCCAAAATGGCCAGGGATTCAAGTCACATTATCAGAATGAAACCCTCACCCTTGAATTTCTTCATACCTCAGCTGATATTCTTTATAGTGTGTTGGGGGAAAAACGAACAACACCACAGTCGTTAGCAAGCTTGAAATGCAGACTGCCAACCACACCAAAATCTAACAACCTTCCACAACAGCTATGAAAAGGAGGTTTTGAGTTGTGTGTGTATTCTCATTTGATCAAATGGTTCACGTTTATAGCTAGTCAATTGACCTATCGTAGCCGCCGTAACGTTGCAAAAGACGCATCTTTCATAAGAAGGGATTTTCAAAAGTGAAAATAAGAAGGGGTAAAAAGGATGTCTTTTTCTACGGATGCTGAAAAATAGCTAATTTATCTAACCCGGCCAAATTGACAAGTGGGCCCCGACTCAATAGGCTTGACCCATTAGTGACTGAAGCCATATCTGCTTATGAATGTCCTCTAAGAGGATGGCTTTAGGACTCTCTTGATTAGGCATATCGATGCTATCTCGCTAGGCTTTGGATACCCCTGATTGGTCGAGGAAAAGCTGGAGACAGCCCAAGTAGAGTTACAGAAGGAGGATGAGATCTCAGTCAACATACATATGAAGTGGCTAGATGGTGAAGAGTGGCTAGATGATGAAGAGTGGGGAGAAGAAGATTATAGTATGTAAACTATCAATGATAGCATCGATGTGCTCTTTAGTGTGTTGATAGATCCTAAAAGCTTGATGATAGGTAAAACCGTAAACTGGACTCAGTGGAGGAGAGTCTAGATATAGTCTCATAACGATGTCCAAGGTCAATATGGGATTAGAAGGAATAGTCTGGTAACGAAGCCGTCGCTGAAGTATCTTCCAGTTGCTCCTTAGTTCTCCTGACTCTGTGCTGTCATTCCATTGGCGTGCATCGGATCACCCGTTGCCTCAAACTCGCGCACATCGAATATGTTGCATTGTAGTATCGTAGACACAAATTCCTGCTCTCTTGCTTGGGCTAGACAATACGCCTTCTCAACCAAGGAATATCGATAAATAAAACAACTTATCTTCCTAGGTGTGATTGGATCATATTACTTGAATCCAAGGTACCTCTAGACAGGGTCGGGCAATGGTTGACTATTGAGCTTGCTGCTATGGATCGAAAGGGCAGGCGTGAAACTCTTTCTCTTAATAAATAAACTGAACACACTTATATTTTTAAGAATGTTTATTTGATTTTCGCATCAGACTAATTGTGGCCACACATGCGCCATCCCATGGATATTTTGGGGTTTAACACACCTCGACTAACTGGAATAGCAAGCAATCAATGACGATTGAGCTTTGAGGCACCATCCCTGGCTAGACTCTTGCCTTGAAGCTAGCCTTTAAGACCTTTTAGGACAATGCAGACTGATTTTGTAGGTTAGAATGGGCCCTAGAAAATGCCGTATTCGCGACCGCTGCCGGATCATGCAAAATGTCAACCTCGAAACCGAGTTCACCTGGCATGTGATATGCGGACATTGATTTCTATTTGAGCATAGTATGAAAGGAGATATTGATCACCCCTAGTCGAACCCACATGCCTGATCTTAGCTGCCTATATCTTCAGCGGTATCTCTCTCCTTTTTCTCGCTGGGCTTATCACTAACGGCCTCTCGGCTCTTCACAGGACTTCCCTCAAGCTAGCTAGATCGTTAGATGTTTTCCTCGTGATAGTGCAACATCAAGAGTTACTCACCCCAGCTAGGATCGTCTTATCGCCAGGAATTACCATTTCGAAGGTTTCGCCAATCACGCCGTACTCGTAATAGCCAAGCCGCGAAATTGGGTTCGTCTTTGCGACGTCGACTTTCCCATCCGTCAATACAGATTCGTCAATGTGAACGCCCACAACACGTCCTATGACGAGGTCAACAGTCCCGAATGGCGGGTTTCCCGGGATCTGAATTGTTTGGACGTATTCACATTCGAACCGCACCGGCGAGGCAGCCACCATGGGAACCGGAGTTTTGAGGCTTTGCGACCATGTCTTCTGCAGTCCGGCCCTTTCAAACTCGTCCACCTCGGGTGCAAGCATTTCGGCTGTCTTATTGACTTCTTCACGCAAAGCATAGGTTGCGATCTGCCAGCAGAAAACTTTGGTTGCCTGTATGTTGCTCACTGTATCTTTTCTTCCACCCCCCAAAGAATTATTGGCACTGAAGATCACCATTGGTGGATCATAAGTGACGTTGGTGAATTGGCTGAAGGGTGCAAGATTGTGTTTCCCATCTGCAGATACTGTTGAGATCCATCCTATGGGCCGAGGGACAACACAAGCCTGTTTTTAGCGTCAGCTGGTGGAAGTCATTCACCTATCTCAAGAGATTTTAATGCCAACCTTGAAAGGATCATACGCAAGGCCGTGATTATTTTCTTCTGTCGTGTAAAACATTTTTTTACTCTCGATAAGGTTTTCAACAAATCTGATGAGGTATCATAGAACCAGGGCAAGTAATATTCCCCCTGTGCCTTTTAAACGGCCTAACAGTCCCATATTTACCCCTCTTCATCGAGTTCCGATTATCCGTAACTTCAAGCCTAAGATACTGCCATACAAATTGCTCTGTTATCTTGTCATTCCCCCTCTATGTAGTTTACTTTGACGCCATGGGGGATAAATGCTACGCGTCATTGTATCGCTCCTTGGAACCGTGCAGGCGTCATATGACATTTACAGGAGAAAACTAACAAAGACATGGATCTCTCGGCCGTCTCTCACTCCGAACTCATTGCAGGGATAACGAAGTGTTGCTTACTTTGAGACCCAGTAGTGCTGACTGCCGACAGGGATACATAGTTGAGTTCCGCTTACTTTGATGCTAACCCGCTGGCAGGGGTTCTCTACCAACCACCACCTCTCGGGATCGCAGGTTCTTCTTGCATCCATAATTTATCTAATCTAGTCCTGGTAGTTGAACTACGAGATCGCTGGCCCCTAACTAAACTTTTCGTGCGCTCATAATTGAGTTATTGCGACTGTGTTCCGAAACTCCTCAATCAGCAAGTTCATATTCGTTCCTCTTTAGGAAACACAACTCCGATGCCTCATGCTTTGAGTGAATCATGAGCGAAATCCTTTCCGGGAATGTGAAACATTGCTTTGCTGAAAATGGAAGGCTCTAGCGGTTGAAGCAATGTTAATGGGTCGATTATTGCCGCCGCCGCTGATCGTGGTCAGCTTGTGTCGGTGAGCCGCCCCAAGCGGGTGACGAATGAAGTAGGCCAGGGATCATAACACTGCTAGATCCACAATAGCGATACCGCTTCAGCTACAACGGCAATTCCCGGTAGATGGCCATAAACCACAGCAGGGTTTGCTCACGTTATTGCCACATTGGGTAGAAAATGACATCGGCAGTTGGCTTTACTAGCTGCAGACCCAGGGACGAGCGGCGTATGAAGGATTACGCCGAGGCATGCATTTGGGTGTTGGTGACATTTGGGGCTATATGTGTTTTCAGAACACTTAGTGATAGAACTATTGAAGCACAGTAAATGGCCTCTGCAACAATGTGTCGTGTCTATGGCTGCTCTGATGCCAGATAACGGTAGAATGTTTGCATTTCGTTGGCTAACTTGTCCTAAATAGATATTAAATATATATAGAAAGACAGACGAGGTTGATATTGAACAATTATAGGTACAATAAATACCCAAAATCAAAATCCGATCACTCTCTTCTTAATGAGGGCTCCTCAGAACAGGGCTATAAAGGCCTGGGTTACTAGGGGATCATAACTAGTTAGAAGTCTTGCCATGATAAAAGGATACCATTGCATATATCGGTCACTTTACACATGAATACTTAACGATTCGTTGCTGGTTGCTTTAGGCTCATGACAATACTGTTAAGCCAAAGCACCATCCTTAGTCGCCCGCTTTGCAAGGATCTGCCCCTTGGAGACCCGTTCTCTTAATCCACAAAGCTCAGAACCATGTTTCACATCCCATAGAACGAAGGATAAATAGCGCCAGCAACGCAGCCCCGATCTGATCATTCAAACACATCACCACCGGTTCCCCCTAACCTTATCTCGTACAAAAGCCTACGTTTCAAAATGGCGGCAAAAACTTCCCTCCGTATCATCATCGTCGGTGCTGGCCCTGTTGGGCTTGCTCTGGCAACAGGACTTGCAAAGGACGGCCACTCTGTCACTGTACTGGAGCGACAGTCCTCATTGCAAGTTACTGGTGGGCCTATCTATGTCCAACCGCCTGCCATTAGAGTACTAGAGAGCTTCGGGTTGGGCGATGCCGTTCAGTCTATAGGAGTAGCCGGTCCGTCCATCATCTGGTCCTATAAGGACACCAGCGAGCCACTGCTTGTGAGCCCACATCGCCCCAACCACACCCCTCTCAGTACCGATCGACAAACCGTACAAAAGGTCGGCTATGAGGGCGCTGTAGCTGCAGGCGCAACAGTCTTGTTCGGAAAGACAGTGGCGAGCCTCGAGAACGAGACCACTCCGACTGTCCGAACGGAGGATGGAGGGGAGTACAGTGCTGATTTGATTGTTGGCGCTGATGGCATCAAGTCTAAGATTCGAAGACTGCTATTTCCAGACCTGAACATGGATGCAATACCGACAAATGAGGTCATTTTCCACTCCGATGTTGCCTTGGATGAGTTGCGTGCCGATACCCGCCTGACTAGGATGTTCGAGCATCCAGGAAGCTGCCACTTCACCTTTGGACCAGGTCGGGTCAATGTGTTGTTGATAGAGCCCGTGGCCGAGGGGAAAACCGCGGCATATAATGTTGTGTCAAACTATGGTGCGCCCCCAACCGATAGAAACGCAAGCTGGTATAATCCAGCAGAGCCATCGGAACTACGTGAACTGTTCAACGACTTCTCGGCCCGAGACCGCGCATATTTAGAGCATGTCAAAAGCTGCAACGTTTGGCGCATTGGAACAGCACCGCAGACGCCTTCGTGGCGGAGTTCAAACGGGAGGGTGCTACTTATCGGCGACGCGGCGCATGCCATGGTGCCTCATGCGGCTCAGGGCGTCAGTCAAGGCATCGAAAGCACCGGCGTTCTAACCCACCTTCTTCGGCTAGCTCGACCAGATCACCGAGATGATGTGCCTGCTCTAACTGAAGGGTTTGAGAAGCTGAGACGCCCGAGAGTCGAGAAGATTGCCAATTTAAGCCAGAATAACTTACAAGTCCGTGTGCTGCCCGATGGTCCTGCACAGGAGGGACGAGATGCCGCCCTCAGAAAGATGGGGCAAATGCCCGCAATCGAGTGGGATAAGATTGAAATGGACATGAACGCGGACAGTAACTCGCCTCAGTTTACGAAGTGGCTCACAGCTTATGATATCCCTCTTGAGGTACCTTTCACTGTCCCCGAGTGCACTATGAAATGCTAACAAGTGCTTCTAGGTTGAGCGATTCGTGGAATCAGATCTTGTGGATATCTCGAGTTCCTGATTCGGGTGCGGTGTCATCTTCGATACTTGCCGATATTTGGTAGATGTTTTCAGGGTTGTTGTCTTGCCTGCGAGACTTTCTGTACATATTCAAAACTAGCAGTCAAACCCTCAATGTTCCAAAAACAGACAACGACAGTGGAAAATCATCTTTAGATTAATTCACCATCGGTTCTCGTTCATAAAATCCAGCCGTCCAATAGCCATGATGCTTCAGATAATCCCCCTGATTGTGAGGTACTAGCTGTCGTTGCTCCTCATGAATCTAGCGTTTCATAGCTCCCTCTAATGATCTCGTACATGCTCAAGCATAGAGTCCCCCACGTGGTCCTAGCCTCAGGATAGCAGAGCTTATTTTTTTGTTTCGTATTCCTTGTGTTGGGATGTTGGGTCTAGCATCTTCGATTGCTGCTTTTTACTTTGTACTCGAACTCTCATCTGTATACGTATCTACCGTGTAAACTGAACGAGGATAGGTCCATAGGAGGAATTCTGAGATTGCACATGTGTATTGGCCGCGCGTGAAGTGTTCATGTCTCTTTTTTCATGCCCAGTCACCCACTCTCATTTGGCTTCAATGATTCGCTCGCCATAATTACGCTGCCGCCTTGTCTGCCTTGGCTGCCTAGAGATGTGTAGCAAGATGGTAAGCATTTAGGCTGACATGTGCCGGCCGTTGCCTGCTGGTTAGTGCCCTCGCGCCCCTCATTCTCATATCCACTATTACGGGCGATGCTGCGATGGCACAAAAGTCCATTGCTTTCATCACGAGACGTCCATCGAGCGCTTCCTCCCCAAAGTCATCTCTCAGATCAGAGGATCACATCGTTTTCTAGCAGGCGCGGCCTTATTCCTAGAAAAAGGTACGATTATCTATCGCCGACTTAATTATCCTCGCTCACCCTGAAATGTCGAATCCAAATGACTATGCCGTCGGATGGATCTGTGGAATTGGTACCGACTATGTTGCTGCACGATCGTTCCTAGATGAGGTTCATCCCGCGCCTCGCTCTGTAGATGAACACGACGGTAATCGTTACACTCTGGGGAAAATAGCCGGGCATTTTGTTGTGCTCGCGGTCTCGCCTGATGTTGAATATGGGAGTACCTCTGCTGCGCGTGTGGCTGAAGATATGCTAAATACGTTTCCCAACATCAAAATTGGGTTGTTGGTTGGTATCGGCGGTGGTGCACCAAGCCAGAGCAACGATATCCGCCTTGGTGATGTCGTCGTCGGCTCTCCCCAGGACAGCAACGGCGGTGTTGTGTATTTTGAAAATGAACAAAGCATCCAAGACCGGGCCCTCCGACTCACCGGCCGCTTGAACGACCCGCCGATGATCCTGCAGACAGCTTTGCATAGGCTGGACGCCGCAAGGGGCGATGGCGAGAGCTATAAACTTGAGCAGGCCATTGACGATGCCCTCAAGAAGAAGCCAGCCAGGCTCCAAGAAAACTACCTACGTCCAAGTCCAAGCCGGGATCAGCTATACCGAAGCCAGGTCATTTATCCGTTAGATGATAATCACAAATGCCCAGAGATATTCAGCGATCACCCATCACATCTTGTAAGGAGGGCGAGTCGGTCTGGAAGCCAAGAAGGAATCGCTGTGCATTACGGCCTAATCGCATCGGCAGAGAGTGTAATGAAGGATGCAGCAGCTCGCGACAAGTTTGCCGACGAAACGGGAGTGCTATGTTTCGAGACGGGAGTTACGGGCATGCCGAGCCGTTTCCCTTGCCTAGCTATCCGTGGCATATGCGACTACTCAGATAGCCACGGAAACAAGGAGTGGCGAGGCTATGCCGCCATGGCTGCTGCTGCTTTCACAAAGGATCTCCTACGCCAATTCACCCCAAATGAGATCGAAGAGGAGCCAAAAATCCTTGAACTGGGTCTCTTTAAGATGGCCGATGGACAAGAAGACACCGTAATGGGTGGTACAGAGACTGAAGAAGGCATTTTGACGCCCAAATTATCTGAAAAAGACGAGCAATGTCTTCAATTACTCGGCCCCGCGACCAACAGCACCGATAGTTCCTACCATTGGCATAAGAACTGGGTAGGCCAAGCGGCCGCAAACACTTGCCGGTGGTTGCTTAAGCATGAAGAATTTGACAAATGGCTGAGACAGACGTCTGGCCCGCTGCTCATCACAGGGAACCCCGGCTCAGGAAAATCCGTGCTGGCTAAATACCTGATAGACTGGGGCCTACCTCAATCACCAACAGAAACAATTTGCTATTTCTTCTTCAATAGCCAGGACCAGAAAACGTTGAAGCAGGCACTTCGTGCCGTGCTCCATCAGCTTTTCCTCAAAAAGCCATGCTTGATACAGCATGCTGTTAAAGTCCTTCAAGAGAGCGGCACATTTTTTGCCAACTCGACTTCATCGCTATGGAATCTCCTCCGCGCTGTTACAAGCGACCCCCAAGCGGGATCTGTCATCATAGTCTTTGATGCTCTGAATGATTGCGATGCATTAGATTTCGAGGACTTAGTGGAAGAAATCCAAGTCCAGTTTCGGGACAAGCAATCGGGAGGCAAACAATTGAAATACCTTCTTATGAGTCGTCCATCTGATAGCGTCATGCCGTATGTCGAAAGGGCGACATCAAAACACGCCCATATATCTCTAGAGACGGAACATGATGCAATCCACCAAGAGCTAGATTCTTTGATTTCACTCCAAGTTGATAAGCTATCGGATAAAAAGATGCTTTCGGGCGAAACGAAAAATTCCATCAAAGAAAGAGTCACTTCCAATGAGAACAAAACCTACCTGTGGATAGATCTCATTTTTGACTATCTGGCAACCGAAGACTTCGATGAACCATCTAGCAGCAGCCATTCCTCGCTAGCAATCCTTCCTAAAACTGTCGAGGAAGTCTACGAGAAGGTTCTGCACAGGTCGAAGGAATCCAAAATAGTACAGAAAGCTCTGAGCATTGTTCTAGCCTCAGACCAGTTGATGTCGGTCTCAGAGATGAACGTCGCATTGAACATGGGCTATGAAGTGAAATCGATTTGCGACCTCATCTTGGAAACCGAGGGCGAGTTCAAGTCAAACCTCCTCTCTCTAGCAGGGCTATTTCTTACCATTCGCCATAACAAGGTTTCTTTTCGCCACAAAACTGCTCGCGAGTTTCTTGTCAGGGGCAAGGAGTCATCCCCGTCGACTGAAGGTGAGCCTGTCCGGTATCGTTCAATTTCTCTGCCTCACGAAAATGAGACCATGGCAGAGATATGCGTACAATACCTAAACTTGTTGCCTTTTGGTGAGGGGGCCGATATACCAGCCAGACTTGCCTTACTGGATTACTCGGCTAGAAACTGGCTCAAATTCTTCCGCCGGGCTAAGATACCGGATGGCCACCCCATTCTACCACTAGCAGCCAGGCTCTGTGACTCAAGCTTGGAGCTCTTTCCCATTTGGCTCAAAGTGAGCCAGGAGAGGGGTATACTCAGGACCATGACAAATGCAACGGGTCTCCTTGTGGCATCTCACTTGGGCCTGGCCCCAGTTGTGAAGTTGTTTCTCGACCAGCCGCATGATATCGAAGAACGAGATAAGCACTACAATCTCACGCCGCTTCAGTGGGCAGCTTCATCTGACAGCCACGACACCGTCAAATTGTTGATCGAGAAGGGAGCTAACCTTGAGGCCAAGAACAATTCCAAGGAAACAGCACTAGCTTTGGCTGCCAGACATGGGCGCACGGGCATCGCGAAACTGCTGCTCGAAAAGGGCGCATGCTTCGACGTTGAGGATAAAGGAAGCATGTCTCCGCTTCTGATTGCGGCCATGAACAGGCATACCGAGATCGCCAGGCATTTACTTGACCTGGGGGCTAAACTCGGGGACAAAGATATGCAGAAATCATTATGCCGGGCGGCGGAGTTTGGACCAACGTCCATGGTAGAATTACTGCTTGAAAGAGGTGGCGACATCGAAACAAAGAACAAAGAGGGCTGCTCTTTGTTAATTTTGGCAGCGAAAAATGGGCATGAGGATACTGTGAAGTTTCTTGTGGAGAAGTCTGCCAAGATTGAGGAAACAGACGAGCTAGGCAGGACCGCTTTATCATGGGCTGCGGAAGATGGAAACCTCGAGACGGTTGAATATCTCCTCGAAAAAGGCGCTGACTCTGGTTCGGCCGATCTTGGTGGCGGGACGGCTCTGTTGTGGGCTGCCGGCAAAGGACGTGTAGATGCTATGAAGTGTCTTTTCGAGAAATCCTCCGCTGTGATCAATTCTACAGCTCACGGTGGGCAAAATGCTTTTTTGTTGGCTGCTTCAGCTGGCCAGGTAAAGTCCATGGAGTATCTGCTTGGCATTTCTAATGACATGCTAGGCTCGGTGGATGTGCTGGGAAGGAATGCTCTATTGTTTGCTGCCATGGGCGGCCATGTCGACGCTGTGAAATACTTGTTGGAACAAGCCGATACTCTGGTTGGCTCAATTGACAACAGTGGAAGAAATGCCCTATCGTGGGCGGCCGAGAATGGGCAAAAGGACCTCATACAACATCTTCTTGAGAAAGACGTCAACGTTGAGTCTGCAGATTTGGCTGGAAGGTCTGCTCTATCGTGGGCAGCCGAGGCTGGACAGATCGATATTGTTGAATATCTTCTTGAGAAGGGTGCTGAAGCCAAGTCTGTAGATAGCAGTGGTCGGACGGCCCTATCATGGGCGGCTGGGAGAGGACGCACATCTACACTCATCTACCTCGTCAGCATGGGTCTCTCAATCGGTGCGACGGACAATGATGGCCGGACGGCTCTTTCATGGGCTTCGGGGAATGGCTATGAAAGCACTGTTAAATATATCCTCGGCAGGGGCGAGAAGATTGATTCGACTGATAATACAGGCCGGACTGTCCTTTCCTGGGCCGCCGCAAGTGGACACGAAAGCCTCGTCAGCTATCTTCTCGGCAAAGGTGCTGAGGCTGACTCCGCAGATGGAGCCGGGCGGACAGTTCTGTCATGGGCTGCAGGTCACGGACATACCAATGTTGTCAAAATGCTTCAGGCAGCTGGAGCCAACATTAATTCGGTAGACCAGCGCGGCTGGACGCCGTTGTGGTATGCCGTGGCGGGAGGACACGAAGATGCTGTTGTTCATCTCACGATGGATGGCTCCGATATCAAATGGTTAGATCAAGAGGGCCAGTCGCTTCTGAAACAGGCGCTTTTGGGATGCAGTGAGGGTGTCGCGCAGCAACTCCTTCGAAAGGGGGCCAGCGTTGACACTCTGTCCAAGCCTGGCCGTAGTCTGCTCTCTGAGGCTTCTGAAGAGGGGAATGCGGACATTGTCCGCTTTCTATTGGAAAATGGAGCGAATATGGAATTCAAGGATCAAAGTGGCAGGACACCTTTGTCTCTAGCTTCAGGAGGAGGACGTCAAGACGTTGTTCAGCTCCTTCTCACAAAGGGTGCCAATACAGAGCTGGCAGATCACCAGGGCCGGACGCCATTATCATGGGCCTGTTGGAAGGGGCACCAACCGGTCGTGCAACTACTAGTTGACAGCGGCGCCGACAAAGATGCATCTGATGACCAGGGCCGAACTGCTCTATGGTATGCCGAATTCAGTAGTTTTGGTGAGGAAGGACCAATTGCAAGAATACTTCGAGATGGTGCCAATGGTATATAGCATTATGAAAAGCTTTCGTTTCTTCCGTTTGGACCAGTCTATCAATCTGAGAATACGTACAAATAAAAGATCATTATTGGGAACTATGTCTTGATGGATTCTTAATTCATCTCAATTTTCATGACATTGAAGTGCCAAATGATAGGACCCTCCGGACTGTGTTGATTCCTCAATAATATTGGGTTCAGCTGAGACCGTCGCCTCCATTTTGCAGGGGCCAGACTTGTCTACGCTGGGCTAATCCTCGTATTAGCATCAAGGAATTGCAGCCTGGCCAAGAAGAGAGAATGCCATCCCAGCGGATGACTTGCTCATTTAGGGTGTTAGGCACATTATGCCTCTCATGTGATCATGGGTAGACATGGAGTAGTTGCTGACTTTGCAACCCAAAGCCTGGCGCAGCCAGCAAAAATCAATAACTAGGCATGGCAATCCTACCTGCCAAGACTCTCTCAAGGCTTGCTACGCCGCAAGGGCTGATCGCTAGGCTCTAGTAAAGAAGATAAAAGAAGACAAGAGCCACTTGACCTTCAGAAAGTAACCAAACATAGTCCATTTCTTAAGGATGCCCCAAACACAAGAAAAGTGCGGCCCAGCGCTGGGAATTGAACTCGACGGGGACAGAACATTGTACTGGCCAGGCGACATTATAACTGGACATGTTTATCGACAGGCTCCGACCGTTTGTCCAACAGCGATCGTCAGGATTACGCTCCATGGACGAGCCAAAGCAAAGAGTGTTGTGACTGGGTACCAAAACAGCGAATTTCGCGGAGAATTCACGCTCATTGACGGTCCAAAAACTATGAAGACTTTATTTAGTGGGCCGATTCATATTGCTGCTGATGGCGGGGCACAAGACAAATGGCCCTTCTCCGTCCCCATATCGCCTCGTGTCGAGATTGGAGGAGACAGATACTGCACGGAGAGCTTCCTATCTATTGAACCCTCCTCAGTCGCACAGGATGAACTGCCTCCTAGTTTCGAGGTAACATGGAAAAGCGGCTTTGATGAAGCCTTTGTGGAGTATTATCTTGAAGCTAGTTTGAGGCTAGATGCGAAAGGTTCCAAAGGAACTTACGGATCCTACGTTTTAATCCAGGATCATCTATTACGAGCAACAACCTAAAAAGACATGACACAGAGTTGACCGTCTCTTCCTTCCATCTTGAGCCCAGCCTAAAGAATGCCAAGCTATCCAGATCCCAGAAGGTGAAGAAGGTGTTCGGCACTCCTTCGGTGCCGTCATTGACTTTCAAAGTGGAGGTTGGTGCACCCACAGTCATCCAAGCAGATGATCCGAATCCTTTCCGATTTTCCTTGAGGGCCGCCTTAATGGGACCAGTCCATCAAGAACCTGCGTGACGTGCCGCAGGCGTTGCAGCTTAAGAGCCTGCACATCAATATTTGGACCATTGTGGAGGTGAAAACTGAACAACGGCGGCCAGTGGGAGGCGGCGAAGTTGGTTGGTGATTTGCCACCAGCCTGGACACAAATAAAGCTCTCAAATCTCTCTCCTCTCCCATTGAACTAGAATACACCAATGACAGCCCCACGATCGATGTCGGCAAGATGTTCAAGCTTGGCATCCCACTATATTTTACACGTCCGGCAGACAGTTTATGGGATGAGTTCGTGCGCCCTGGGGTCGTTGCGTACAATATCAGGATAACCAACCAGCTCAGATGGGAGATGGAGTTCAAGATAGCTGGAGAAATTGCAAAGGTCGATGGGAAAGGGGATCTCGAGGTGCTGTGGCCTCCGCGTGAAGCGTTTTTGCGCCCTCCGATTGGTATTCCAGCGGGCAGCGATCAATCTTGAGTGGCACCTCCCATCGAGAACGACAACCCCCCAACCTTTAGGGAAGTGCAAGAGGAGGATCGGCAGGCAGGGAGATAGCCAATGACAAGTTAACGTAGGAGAGAAGTCTTAGTCTCCAAGTTATATTTACTTAGTTATTGACATAATCCTTTTGAACTATAAAATTTGTGAAGCTGAGTGAAACACGTCAAGTAGGTCAGCCTGATGTCTGGCATCTTTTGTTGTTTTAACTTTCTATCGAACTCTCTCCGGTAGGTCGGCCTGATAATGCGATGTGCATGAGAGAAATGAGCAGCGGCTGAGTAAAATCCTACTTCGAGCTCTAGAAGCATGCTCTTTTTGGAAACCCAAATTTAGCCCTTACGTTCAAGCGACTTCAATTTGCAAAATAGTTGAACAGAGGAGTGCAAAAACCTGACTGCCATGCGTTGTGTAAAATTATGATTGATGTTCCCAAGCCATTCCCGCTGTTACTTCTATGGGACATATAACAATACTCAATTTTCCATTGTCTTGAGTTGTTGGCTCTGGCATCTTTCATTGCTGTTGAAATTTGTACCCTCTCTCTTGCGTATACCAATACTCACGAACATGGCCACACAAACTTAGCGGATCTCTCTAGCCCGCTGGATGTCATCCTCCGAGTATCCATTGTGCACTTCTCGAAGATAGTCATCAAACTTCTGCACCTCACCCATGACGACCTGTAAGTGGTTGTACTGCAATGGCTGTTGACGGTACAGCGCGAGTTGTCGAGCGGTGGAAAGGGCATTGCGGATGTCTCTTCCGTTGAGAGCTGGCCGAGATAGCTCTTCAAGATTCTTATTCAAATCATCGACGTCGATCCCATACCCGACCTTTGTGTGTCTCTGTGACTCAGTCAACCCAGTCTCCAAGGTTTTTTGGAACTCGTCTAAATGCCCAATGAAATTCTTCCAGATCTCTCGTCGCTGGTGTTGGTCAAGGTTTTTGTAGTGTAGACTGAGCTGGATACGTGATTTAAATGCCTCATCGAAAGTTCCCACACGGTTGGTAGTCAGAATCAATATACCTGCGAGCTATTAGCAATAGCACTCTCGAAATGAATACGGGTTCTCTCTTACCGTTATAATATTCGAGGACCCGCAGGAAGACTATTGCTATTAGTATACTCAAGCCCCTTTAGTGAGACATGTAGCCTACCTGAAACGAGAGCATTCCTCTCCAAAGTCAGCAGAGATCGTTGCTCTAGAAACACATCTGCTTCATCCAGAAGGACCACTAGAAGACGTTAAACAAAACTTCTTAGGAGGGGAAGAGGAGCTACACACCACATTTCCAGGTAGTTCCAAGCAGTAGAACACTTGCTAAGTACTAGTTACTGTCAGTATCAATTGAAGTGGAGGCTAAGTAATTACAATACCTACCTTCTCAACCTGTTCTGCTTTTGTCCCTATATCACCACATGTGACTCTATAAAGCGGTCGCTGGGCGATCTCGGCCACACTTTAAATGGTCAGTTAAGGGCTACAAAAGCCGGGTAAAGAGGAGGAAAAACCTTTCTGCCGTAAGTGTTTTGCCTGTTCCAGGACCACTGAAAATGCTGATTAGCAGTCTGACATGCCGGAATGATCAACATTATCATTACCCGTGAAGTAGCATAAACAACCCGCTTCCTTTGCCTTCGATCAGATCAGTTTTAGACTGTACGCTTATCTGATTGCTGATTACTGCGCGAATGAGCTCCTTTGTCTCTTTATTGATTACAATATATTCGAAAGCTTTCTTATTCCAGCACACATCTTCCAGATGCTGCACCTCGAGTTTTACTGATATGGGTTAGCATTGATGAGACAACGATGTCAGAAAAGGTATCTTGTGATTTCTTACCCCATTCTTTATTTTGCATATTGAAACCAATAATGTGGACTGGAAGACACAAATAAAATTGGTCACCTAGCGGTGGTTCATCTTGCTCCATGTTCTCTTTCCCGAGATCATCCCGCAAATCGGATGCCTGACTTGGATGCAGGCGTTTATAAGTTTCCATATCTATCATGTACCGTGAAGACTCGGCCTGAAATTGATTAGCTAGGGGGCGAGGAAGTTAGATCGCATTACGGATTTCTTACCGAAGAGTGGACTTCGCTTTCACGATTCATCTTGGATGAGACGTAGTTCCGATAGCGGCATTTCCAAAAGAATTTGCCCCGGGCTCGGAGGGTGGCGAGTACCTCAGGTCTTGCAAATCTCTTGGGATAAAATTCCAGGGACTTGATATCAAAAGCATCCGTCTCTGATGGCAATGCAAATACCGGGAGATCGGTCAGGGCTCGCTGAAACTTGCCATCAAATGTCCAAGACCAGACTTTGATCTTAGTCTGAGCGCTTCCTTTTGTCCTTGTAGTATCTGAAACCTCGAATCCTTGGAGTTTCAATTGAGGCTTTAGATCGGGATTTGAAACAATCATCTCACAAGGAGGCTGCAATTTCATTAGTACGACGGGCCTCAAGCGGGCGTTTCTTGGAACACATACGTATAAATAGCGAAGGTATTTGGCTGTGATTTTGTCTCTTGACATCAATTTGTCCACAAGGTTCCATTCGCCAGACATTCTAGTTTCAACATAGTCCTTGAAAGCGGATAAGTAGGGAATGTACTCCCGGTCGATATGCTCCATTGCCTCCTTGATATTTTGGCGACTGTGAAACCACCATAAGTAAGGATATGTGATTTTGTCAGGATCATTGTCGGAGACCTCATCGGCCTTCTGGTTCTTCTTCTTGTGGGCGGGTGTCATAAATTGAGGATGCTGAGAATCGCTCCACGCCCGGTTTGCAAGCATTGACAGGGCATCTATCATGGCGTCAGACACAAATGCAATTGACTCATCTTTTAATAATGGCGAATAAACATCAAAGTCTTCATTGTTTTTGTCGTGCTGCTTCATCTTAGGCACAGGGTCGCCACAACACTCGAAATCCTTGTATACGATGAACGCGATATCCTTGTTGCGTTCCAGGTGGAGCTCCAAGTTGGTGATAGCCACTCGACCTAATAGGTGTATGCCATCTTGAGCCGTTTCGCCAGCGTTGTGCAGCTCTCTGTATAAAGTGGAGGATAATCTGGACGACTTCGTACAGTGTACGGTATAGAGAATCTCTGCGCGGGGTGGGCCAGCAGCTCCTTGTGACTCGTAACGGAGCCTTGCATCTTTAAGCTCCTGCAGCGATGCCTCTAGATGATCTAGAATCTCTCCATCAGAAACTTCTGTTGAGAATTCCAGAATACGGCACAGCTCAGCTCGCCAGTCAATAGTAGTGATGCGCTGATGAGGGAGATTTCGTTCCCGAGAATCGCGCGGTAGGGCACGCGATTTATGTCTCTCAGTTACAATTCCTTCTCTTGATCTGATCTCGTTATCGTCATAACTGTTGCTTGAGTAGCCGTCATCATGCCCTTCACGTCGCCTCGAGCGTGGTCCATCATAGTATGCCTGGCGTTCGGGAGAGCCTTGTGGGCGCCTGTGATATGGAATCGGGTATCGTTTCATGAGGAAAACGGCCCGACCTCGAGTTGGAAATCGAAGCAGAGATCGCGGAAAGTGTCGTTTTGTGATCCGGGTATGGTGTGCCTAGGAGTTGGGAGGGAGTGTTCAAGGCTTGGACTGCTCAGCGTGGCGCAGGCTGAGCAATTTTGGCCTGGCCGCAGCACCGAGAATATCACGAGGATCTTATCCTTGCCTGGCCCTCAAACGGGTCCCTTAAGTAGTCAGCAAGGCAACTCTCCTCTGCAATATGCTTACTAAGAGGATGCGCGATGTGTCGGATACCCATGCTACCTAGGTCCCCGCAAATCCTGATAAATACCATCGATTTCCCTCTAACTGTATAGCTTCTCATTGCAGGTGTAAAGAATCAAGCAAAGAATGACGTGTTCCGTTGGGTTGAAGGAAACGAACTTGCTCAACCAACTCAGAGCGCAATCAGAATATGCTGCCCGCAAAGAGAGCCTTCAGGCGACAGGCATCACATCTCTTGGTCAACTGGATGAGGTTTACTTTTCAGCAGTGGGGGAACTTCGCCGGATCTTAGAGTGTGAGTAGCGACATAAAGTGGGAGCGTTTTTTCTCATATAACTATTGTGCTGACGGATTCCCTATTACTCGGCAGCCCAGGTGAACGATTCGGGCACGGGAGAGCCACACTGGACAGCCGTGCGATTAGAGGACACATCATTATTATGGAAGATCGCTGCCTTTTGCAAACCATACGTTGGGTTTTTGGATCCTCGTTTCTTAAGGGAGCATGTCAAATATATCAGTAGTGTCCGGCTTGATCCCGTCGAAGCTTATCGCGATGATATCTGGGCGCACCCTCAACTTTCATCTTGGATTGGGGCTGGGAAGTCTTCCATCCTCTTGCTGCAAGGGAACCATGACTCCAGAGGTCGGTCTGGAATATTCGGTGCTGAACTTGCGGATCATACCGTGGGGAGAAAAAAGCCTGTCGCTTACATGGTTTACAAGCCAATGCTGCCTGGCAGTTGCCATCCTCTATTCCCGATAGAGGAGGCTGAAGTATTGAGACACTTAGCGATCCAAGCGTTACAGACGGTAGCCGATTGTACATCAGTCCAGGTGCTCACTGATCTAGTTGAGTCGTTTAGCCAGGCTAAGACATGTGCAGACTGGTTCAAAGTTATTTGCGATGTCTTCTATCTGGTCTCCGAGCTATATGTTATTATTGACCTTGGGATCCACGCTAGTTCTGCGGATGCTGCCAATGCATGGCCATCCAAATTTCACGCCATTTTAGAAGATGTGTCGGCCATTTCACCTGAGACGATCATCCGAATTATGATCATTTCTTGCTGTCCTCTGGATGTGCCTCAAGGTTCGGTCAATATCTCAAAAATCGACATTCGGAGGCCCAATATACACCCGGACCTTATACGGAACCGCCGCTCGGATGAGGTCAGAATTCCACCATCATTGTGGGAGACTTATCAACCCTCTAAGGCTCAAGTAACTGAGATGGAAGCCCCAAAAAGTCACGATGAGAATTTGGCAGCGGTTGATGTTCATCCACCAAATAGTTCGGCGGATGGAAATTCAGTCCAAAATAACCGTATCGACAAGAGCACAGCTGTCTCGGTGGTGAAGAGCTACATGCATAAACCAGCACATGCCTGCGAGTTTGCAACTGCCATCTTTTGTGCGCTTCCTATTGAAGCGGATGCCGTCCTATCAGTCTTTGATGTTCACTGGAATGACTTTGACTATCCCAAGGCACCAGGGGATCACAATTGCTATTCCGTCGGGGCGATTGGACGTCACAAAGTTGTTCTCGTGCACATCTCAGGCATGGGCAAAAGTAAAGCTGCCACAGCATCGTCCCAATGTCGTGTTACTTTCACTGGCATTAAACTTTCGTTGCTCGTTGGCATCTGCGGCGGAGTACCAGCTGGTCCAGGGAGCGAGGGTGAACGGCTCCTTGGAGACGTGGTGATAAGCGAGGGGTTGGTTCAGTATGACTTTAGCCCTAGATTCATTGAACCGAAATCTATGATCCAGCAAAGTTTGTTAAAACTGGATCCAGAGGTTGGCGGTTTCCTGACCAAAATAAAAACGGCCAAATATGGCGCGTTGCTCTTGGAAAACACACACGACTACTTAAGTGCCTTACAATCTCATCCAGACCAACATGGACAGTTGCAATACTCCTACCCAGGTATCGAGAACGACTGTCTATACCAACCATCCTACTTGCACAAGCATCATGAAGAGAGCCAGTGCCCTTTGTGGGAAGATGGTTGCGGAACACTGGGTGGTGTATGCAAAGCAGCGATGAACTCAAACTGCGATTCGTTAGGGTGTGAGAGCCATCAACTAGTACAGCGACAGAGAACCCAGAATCATGAAAAACAGAGCCAAGGAGGAAACCTTTCGATCCACATCGGAAAATTAGCCTCCGGAGATACAGTGATGAAAGCCGCAGAAGAACGCGATAGGATTGCCCTTGAGGAAAAGGTCATCGCGTTTGAGATGGAGGGAGCAGGGCTTTGGGACCATGGCCCATGTATGATCATCAAGAGCATATGTGACTATGCGGACTGTCACAAATCGAAAAAGTGGCAATCTTATGCCGCAGCGACCGCTGCTGCATGTACAAAAGGCATCCTGGAGCAGTGGAATTGATCACTTGGAAGGGCCAGCAAGGCCTAATTTATTCGTTTCTTTGCAAAACAAGTTTATCTTGGATCGCACTTCAGGCCGCAGTTGGATCGTCTTAGTATCCTAGGCTTGATTGTAACAATCTGATATAGACATGATTAAAGATCATCATATGGCAATCATCCTGCCTTGTGATCCGCCCAGGGCTGTTTTGTCTGTTATTTAGGCGCGGCTACAGATACATTCTAAGAATAGATAAAGCACGCTTCGGGTTGGCCTTGGTCCATAAGATTTTGACATGATAACTAACAAATAGTTCAATCAAAAGAAACTAGTTTACGCTGCGAAAATACTCCCCGTGAATTATTTCGGGCGAGTTTCTGTTTATATTTAGAATAGTTGATGGATAAAACTACATTACATATGTCTTGTCTAAGCTCTGGCGACCTCCTCTTTCCTCTTCTTAGTGATCTTAGCGGAATGAATATTGCGCTGACACTGTTCTGACACCATTCTCCCCCCACAACATGCTGCTACCTTGGTAGTCACCCGTGCTTTACAGAACGGTGAACAATAGTACTTGAAAGCTAAATAAATTCAAACTTCTTAGACTAGGTAAGACTAGAGGCCCTTCACTGTACGCCGATTACCATAGTACGGCTGAATGAGAAGAGGTCCTCCTAAGTCCCTGCTCTCTCCATTGACTGGCACACTAAATATCTGCTGTATCTTGTGGACAGCTTGATACGTCACTGGGGCCGTTTAATCTGAAAGAAAGGTTCTCATGCAGATATATTTGCATGCACTCAAATGCATGGGGCTGCCGTGCGCAGCTAAGATCCAGCACAGAAAAATGTCTAGCTCCAGGGTAAGTAAATCAAAAGAAGTTCGGTCTTCCGTCATTCCCGAATTTGAACTTGGCTCATTTCCCCTCACATGAACGAATCCCCTAGCAACCAAAACCATGCTTCCACGATGAAGAATGCGATTGCTGTCTTGTCTCCCATTGAAAAGCTACCTACGGAAATCATTCAGCACATTGCCGAGCTATGCACGTGGGACTCGGCTGCTCCGGTTAACGGCCGCCCTTCAGAGAAGGATGCATGGCGCTATCGTCTGAGCAATGGTGAATCATGCCCGGCGACTTATGCGCGATGTCATGCGTATTTGGCCCGGGCTAGCTCTCATCTCTACGATGTTCTTAACAAGGGATTGTACACACGGAATCTGGCTCGCGACCCAGGACATCTTTCCTGTATCCGCTGGGCGGTGATAAATAACCGCCTCGAGACTCTCCAGCGAGCCCATCAATATGATGGTGATTTGTCTAGGTACAAGCACGATCCTATCACCGATTTCATACATGTCGCTGATGGGGTTTATCACTTCGTCCGAGTCAACAATGTCAAGGTCCCATTAAAATACCTGGAGGGACTGGCAACCCCTCTTGTTGATGCTGTCCGCAATGGATTCAGCGATATTTTTGCGTTCCTCCTACGTTCAGGAGCGGATGTTAACATATCATGCGAACCTGAGGGGGATTGTAGGTTCAATAGTGGAAGCAAGGCATACATTTATCCACTACATTTGGCTCTTGCACACGGCCACACTGAGTACGCGGAGGCACTTGTACACCATGGGGCGTATATGAGTGCTCATGGGATCTCTGCGATCTTTGAAGTTCATGAGAAACAGCTTCATGATGTATTGGGCGTTCTACTTCAGAGGACTGATCCGATATCCATGACTGGAAAATTACATTTTGCAGCAAAAACACAAAATTTGGGTCTTCTCAAAGAAATCATCCATTGTCCCGGATTGGATATTAATGCCAGAGACTGGTACATGAAGTGCGCTCTTTGCCTCGCTGTGGAATGCCGAAGATGATTTGAATGTCATCAGATTGCTTCTGCAACACCCAGACATCCGCTGCTCACTGCCTGACGAGGATACTTTTATAACACCCTTTCATATAGCAGCCACAAGGGGACGGTTAGACATTATCCAACTTCTCATGCCAATGCCTGGGGCTGAGGATATACACCGCGGGGATAACGCCTAGAGCCTTTTACACTTGGCTGCACGGCGATCTAATGCGGAGATATTTGATTTCTTCCTCAGCCAACCTGATGTAGATATCCCCGAGGAACGTCTTGGATTGGGCTCCCTTCTACACACAGCCTGTAAGGGCGAGGACGATGTTAAATCCAGAGATTTTGTTCAGCACATGATCGACAATGGCATCCCTCTTGAGACAACGTACTTGACCGTAAATTCTACAATCTATCATGGCAACATCCGGACAGCTATAAAGATTCTACCTCATGTGCCGGACGCCCACTTGACTCTTCCTTATGAAGCTGCCTTTCCTCGCCGGTTCCTAGGCCCGACCACACCGCTTCATTATACTCTCATGGAACCGTACCCTGATCAGACATTATTAGTCAAAGAGCTCCTCGCGCGGGGAGTGGATGTTGATGCGTTCACCTGTTCTGACACTCAGAGAAGGCGACTTCTGGGGTGGGGAGGCACCGCTTTGTTTTTTTGCCACTGCCTTCGCCCGAAACATTGACTGCATGAGACTCCTTATTGATGCGGGAGCCGACCTCAATGTCCTGGTCCATGGTCAAGAGCCCATAGTTCAGGACTTTCCGGCACGTCCTGGGTACAAACCTTCCATGTCATTGTTGGCAGGTGTGTTGACTTATGTATGGCGCGATCGAGAAGGCGTTGTGGAGTGCCGCATTCAACATCCAGCACGGAGAGAGGTGCCCTTAGAGGAGAACATGTCGGGCTTAACAGACCGAGTATTGCTCCTCCTCAAGCACGGCGCACAATTGGGCAAAGTGAACGTTTGTCCGTCGGCGTTGAAACTCATTTGTCTGGAGGCGCAGCAGAGCTCATCTTTAACATTTTTACAGTGGATCATATCGAACGCAACATCAAGGAACGTGGATAGGAAACATGTGGACGATTTGATCAGAGAATTTCAGTCACGCGAGGGGAATCCGATGTCAAGCGATATTCGGGAGGCTCTTGTGGGCTTTGGAAACACGTTGAAATAGAGAAACTTGGCACCTTTTCCATTCAACTTCTAATTCGAAATTCTTTGCTTTGCCGTAAGCTAGGCATGTGATGTCTAGTAATCAAGCTGTATGACTGGCTTCGTAGAATAAAACGGCTAGCTTCAATACTTTTATGTACGGGCACCAACTAAGGCATCGGGTAAAGAAAGGAAACACTTTGATCCCTACCTACCGTATTGTCGAAGTAATGTCGAAGTGCCACACGTGAGGACTTCTACCGGTGTGTTTGTGATCAGAATGCCACCCGTACAGCTGATCATCATCTTGTTTTTCCTTCCACTTGGGTCGTTTACTATTTCTACGTAACTTTTGGTCATGATACTGGACTGTGCTCTGTTCCCACCTAAGCGCTCTGTCAGTGCCTGCCTTTCTGAGGCCCACCTTGCTCTCACAACGCGCCCAGGATCGCACCCCGGACTATTGTAGGAATATGAGTAGGATTAATAGTGTTAAATAAGTTGAAGCTTGTCAATAATGCAAGAGATAATTTCAATTGCGGTGTATTTAAGGGACTAGGTTGGGTCAGCTCTGGGTTATTAGCAACCCGCCTTCACCAAATGGGTTTCTTACCACAATAGGAAATTTTCGGAAAGTCTTTGTAATTCCCTTGATTATCAATTGACGAGCCCTAAAATGCAGCCTCCTGGCAGTATAAAGCCAACTGGGCCGACGCCTCAAACTCGATTATTCTTTCAACAATCATTCCATCTTCATTTAATTAAATTACTTGCCGAAAACCATCAGGTTACCTCGTTACTCTCTACACCAAAGTCCACACCAACTAGTACAAAATGTCGACTCCACTCCCCGGCGCTGTTCGCATTGTCTCTGGCAACGTATTGCCTCTCCCTGCTGGGTTCAATGAGCCTATCGTGAAGACTACGAAAGACACTGTTGAGACACTGCCGACATATGGAGGCCAATACAGGCGGGCTTTCATTGGAAAGCATGCTTTCCCAGCTACCAATGACGGCGAGTGAGTGTTGCTGGATCTAGCTTCGGCGACGTTGTTCCTCAGCTGACATCTTGAACTAGGCATATTGCTGACACTGACCCTGACGTACCGGTTGTGAACCCCGGCGGTGTCCGCATCTATTATTTGGATTTGTCTCCTGGATTTGTCAGCCCCATGGTGCGTTTGTCTGAATGGAAAGGGTAAAACCAAGTGCTGACACTAAGAAATAGCACCGCACTACGTCGGTTGACTACCTCACTGTCCAGAAGGGCAAGCCCATCTTAGTCACACCTAATGGTCCTTTCAATGTCGTCGACGGTAAGGCAGACTACACTGAAACCATCGAAACCGTCTGCAATGAAGGAGAGACCGTTGTTCAGCGAGGCCAATTTCACGCGTAAGTCGTGCGAGGAATGCTTTGATCGCGACATGATTGGCTAACTGAACTTTAGATGGAAGAACGACACCGAGGAGTGGATCCGTATCCTCGTTGTAGCCATTGAGGCCCAAACGCAAGAAGTCAAGGTTGGCGACGAGACCAAGAGGCTTGAGGAGATTTGGCTGTAAAATAGAGTGCTCCTGAGGTACGATGGCTTTTTATACACATATATACAGTTGTATATCATGGGAGAGGGAAAAACGCAGGCACCAAAAATTACAGCGATAGTGTGGTCTGAAGAATAGGTCTATCCTATAAGCTAGACTTGTTCTCATGAGTGCCTGTCATCTTAAATCATTCCTAACACACTGGCATCTTTGCTATACTCCTTAAAAAGAAGTCCGCAATGAAAAATGTATGTTAGATAGACTGGGAAAGCGAGAGGCACGATATGCTAGCCAGCGGCTGGAGAGCAACGCTTTACAAGCCCTGGTTGATATGAGTTTTACAAAGAACAAGAAGACAAAAATTTCAGCTGAGCCTCACGTGGATGACAAGTGGTACGTTTAAGCACTGCCGCAAAAAGATAACCATGTATCAATAGTTGGAGGAGTCTAGCAAGCTGATTTGCTATAGGTCGTTAAGGTGGTTCAGCTGAAGCCTCGTCTTAGTTCCAGTGTAGGAAAATTGGTGGTCGAGACTCCGCATGTTGCCAATCACTACGAACTAGGCGAGCTTGCCAAGCATCCCGCCACCACGCTATTTCATCAGCTGAAAGAGGTTGTTGATTATCTCAATAGCTCATCCCAACAGGGGAAATGAAATCTCAGCTAGGATGCTGGGTTGTTCACCACTGAGGGAGATTTAACTGCCTGCATTCCCAAGTTTATCGCCGGGAACGCCTGTCATGTAATTTCATGTGCGTTGAGGCTTTATAGTTCTTGACGTTAATCGATTGATGTCAATCGACCAGATCTTATCTTTTTAATAGCCCTCGTACATTAATTGCTTTGAAGATTCCACCATGTCGGGATTGGGTGACCATTTTAGTCACTGTGTGCTGCCTTCAGGGGTCGGAACTAAGTCGCGGGTGGAAGACTGCAATACGCAGCTGCTTGATTGTTAGCCATTTTGCATCCATCGCTTCCCACATTGTGCTGGGGATCCGACCGGTGCGAAATAAGATCCGCTTCTGGGATAGATTCTACCTCAACAGCTCTCCAAAGCTCGCTGGGCCATGGACCCCCTGGGGTTCTCTGGCATCTGTGGCGTTCAACGTCGTCCAAGCTGTTGCTATGGCCTTGCTTCTGCGTTGGGGAGGGCTTGACATCAGTATTGGCGCGGTTACACTGCTGTATCTGACACGGCCCCGCGTGGGCTGGGTTGTCGTTATGCTCTCCTCTTTTCTCTACGAATCTCTCACCGATACAGCCACGGACATTTTGTTTCAGGAGTGCATTCAAGGTCTTATTGCCGTGCCCAGCGCTGTTGCGTCGCTGAGCGTTACAGGACTGGGCCAGATTCCTGACGGATGCAATCGTACGGAGTCGTCGACAGCTCACTCCTACCTTTACGAGGCAGGCAGCTTTCTCATGGGCGGCAGTACGGGACTGATCGTGTCGGCGGCTTTTTTTCTCGGTATCGCGATCGCCATGATATGGACTCGCAAATTTCTCCGTCGTTATTTCGGTCTAATGGCCGTGGTGCCTTGTATAGGTGCCTTTATCTCTGCGTGGTTGCTCTGGATTGGTAAGCTTCTCGAAAAAGAAAACGTGAAAATGACCCTTGCGTTGAAGTTGCTACTGACTTTGGCATCTAGGTATTGCGTATGCTACATACGATGGCCATTTTTGCCCATCTAACTCTGTTCTGGGACCAATGTCAGCCGTTACTCTTGCTGTTCCGATAATTACCGCCGTCGTCAGAAGCTGGATCGGGTACCCTGGCAGTAATTACAAGTAGGCTGACTGGTATAATGCTTGAGCTGTCCTTGATGGACATGGTCGGAGTCTTGAAAGGCTCACGGTCCTTTTTTTCAACTTACACACAAGCACCCTGTCCAACATGACGGATAAGTGTAGCATTTTTAATATATCAAATCTTGCGAAGATCAATTTTCCTGCCTCACAGGAAGTACTCTGTGAACGATAGGTGACTGCTGAAAGTCTCTACCTGTCCCAATATTGGTTCGCAGGCAAGCGACTCATCCCCAGTTTTTTATAAGGAAAGATGCACTTCCAATAGAAAATTTGCGAATAAATAGTGTCGATATTTGTGGATTTTTTGATGATTGCAAAGGAAAATTGGATGTTTAACTACGTATATTTGTGGCATGTTCCTTCTCAAACAGCAATTGTATCTGTAGTTGACTCCTTCTTGTGCGCTGGCATCCAAGGCAATGGTGGCCACTCCCCGGGGTTAAAGGCGCACGAAAAATCGTGGAATCCTGAACCAACAGTCAACTCACTGGGAGGATGATCCGCATCCTTCGTCTCTGATGGGAGAATGATGACTGCCATGGAATTCGGGGGAACCTGCAGCTTGAGTGCAAATTTCCCGTCGTTGAACACCCAGTGAACTTTGATCAGGCCGTAAGGGCCGTCGAAAGAAGCCTCAGCACTCGTCAGATTGCCACCTGGGATAGGTCTGACCCGGAAGGTTTTCCATCCAGGCTCCAACGGACTTATGCCAGCTACCGTGCCGTGCAACCAGTCCGCAACGGCACCAAGTGCGTAGTGGTTGAAGCTCGTCATCTCTCCAGGATTGATGGTGCCATCAGGCAACATGCTGTCCCAACGCTCCCAGATAGTCGTGGCTCCCATGCTCACCGGGTACATCCAGCTGGGACAGGTCTTCTCCAGCAGCATGCGGTACGCAAGTTGCGTTGCTCCCGATGCCGTCAGTGCGTGTGTGATGATGGGAGTACCGGCAAATCCTGTTGCGATGTGGAAATGCGAGGAGCGTACAAGCCTGTTCAAAGAGGCTCTCCCCACCGCCAACTGCTCTTTGTCCTTGTAGAGTCCATGCTGGATAGCAAGCGCAACCCCAGTCTGAGAGTTGGACATCAGATTTCCCTTGGGACTAATGTATTTGTCCTGGAAGGTGACTCGGTGTGCTGCCGCATCCTCTGCATACTTGGCAGCGAGGTCTTTTTTGCCTAGAATGCCGCACACCTGGGAGAAGACATCCGTGACACGGACGAGATAAGCATCTGCTACTAAGACTGGATCGGTGCGTCCGTCGCCAGGAAACTCGGGAGGTGCACGAGGATCAAGCCAGTCTCCAAGTTGCCAACGATCGCTATTCCACAAACCATCCGGCCCACGGTGGATTCCCTTGTCGATCCAGGTCTGCATGCTTTCAAAATGACGCTCAAGGAGCTCAATATCGCCGCTGTATCTGTAAAGTACCTCGGGGGTGAGTACAGTGACGTCGTCCCAGATGGCTTGAGGCATGTGCGGCCAGTTCTTGGGAAGTATATCAGGGCACACAAGCGGCGGTATGCCGCCTCTACCCTCCCCCATCTGCTCCGAGACGACATCCTGAAGCCAGTCACTCAACATACCGGTCACATCGTACAGGAAGCTAGCCGAAGGACAGAAGACTTGCAAATCGCCTAGTTGTAAAATGTAGAGTCAGTCTATGTAAAAAAAAAATATACCATTGGAAATCAGGGGCTTGGGGGAGGAAACGAACCTGTCCAGCCCAGGCGCTCATCTCGCTGAGGGCAGTCGGTAGGAATCGAAAGAAAATTGCTTCTCATAGACCAGACGACGTTCTTGTGAAGTTGATTGACTGACTTGTTGGAGCAGTTGAAATGTCCACGCCTCTGCAGATCAGTGTGTAAGACCTGGGCGACAAAGTCATCCTTGGAAGGTAGCTCTCCCGGCCAGTTATCGATCTGGACATATCTGAAGCCATGGAACGTAAATCGAGGAGTCCAGTTCTGGATCTCCTTTCCGGCGGAGATGACAGTGTCTGTGGCTTTGGCGATTCGCAGGGGACGCGTGCCTAGCTCTCCGTGCTCCATGACTTCGGCGTGCTTGAAAATGACACTCTCTCCATCAGGCAGGGAGATGCTCTTGACCAGAAGCTTTCCGACAAGATTTTGCCCAAAATCGATGATAGCCTTGCCGCTGTTGCTACGGAATACGTCAACCGGAGTGACAGTTTCAGTCACTCGTACTGGTGGTGCCTTGGCAAAGAAGAGACTACCCTTCGGAGGAGGTATGGTTTTGGTTGGACTGAGAGAGTCAGAGCTACCAAGGCCTACCGATTTCCAATTGTCTTTCTCACTTCTAGCATCGTAAGTTTCTCCGTCGTATATCTCGCTTTGTTTAATAGCGCTGGGTGTACATTTCCATGAATCGTCAGTCGTCAAGGTCCATGCCGACCCGTCTGAGTCTTCCGACTTGGAGTGAACCTCTATTTGCCCTATAACAGCTAGCTCATCGCCACCGTAGATAAATCGTGTCCCGCCATTGAATCCGAGTCGGCCGTAATACCAGCCTTCTGCGACTTCGATGCAGACCGTATTTAGCTTACCAGGCTCCAGTAGAGACGTAATGTCAAGAGCTCGGTAGGGAATACGATGTTGGTAGCAGGTCCAGCCAGGAGCCATAAACTCGTCGCCGGCTTGTTGTCCGTTGATATAAACATCGAAAACTCCCAACGCTGAGATGTAGATACGAGCTTTGGAAACGGGGTCGGATGGCACGTCGAATGTTTTGTAGAATCGTAGGGGCTGGAGCGATCCGTTCGAATTCGGCTGAGGCTTGGATGAAGAAGCAATCCACTGGGCGGACCAGTCATGCTTGTTTAGCAAAACTGTTTCGATGGACGCAGTGTCAGACCATTCTGTCCATAGAGAGTCGTTTCTAGACTTGTTTGAGGTGCCCTGAGAGCGGACACGGATCAATGCGGATTCTCGGGATTTGAGGGCACCCCTGGGCCATGGCACCAGGATTGAGGCGCTACTCTCGACATGGAACACTTCTGGCTTATTTTCGGTGGGTGAGCATATCTCAATTTCGTATGCATTTTGTTCCCACCCGGGAGCGGTGCTTTGGTCATAGGCGAATTTCCATGAAATTCTTGGCTCGGCGCTTCCTGAGAAGAACTGGTCTTCTCGCAAGTGCTCGAATGTTGGTTTGGTAAGGCTTGGAGGTGTAGAATCCATGGTCCCGCTAGTATGGTCATATGATGGTTGAGCTAAAAACCGGAAGATAGAGATAGAAACCTCACCAACCGCAATACAATCTGGAGCGATGGAGAGATTAGGCGGCGCTCTTTTCAACCCAGCTTGAGCTGAAGTAAGTGGCCCCCGTACGAACCCACCATAAGTCAAAAAAGCCTCAGTTTCGGTGTAGTACAAGCCGAGAGTTGCTGGAGTTAATCTGGAGGTAGGTGAATTCGAAGACGCAGTTTCTTCGGGAATATCTCGTAACGCTGATGATATTCACTCCGCAACCTAAGCCAAACAGACGAATGAGCTTGCGACCCCCACTTCCATCGTCCACTTTCTGATTACTCGTGAGGGGGACTAAGGTGGAGATACACGACCAGTTTGTGGTTCTGATTGGTAATTCTCATGCGGATTGCCTCATCAGCTGCTCCAGAGATGATTAGCTGGATTAAGTTCGGATTTAGAGACTTCCCCGGACAGAAACAGAGAAACGGGACTAGGAGACTGGATCCCCAGCCAGCATCTCCACTGCTATCACCCCATGTCCAGAAAAAAATCAACGGTAGTGGCTCTGAGAAGGTGAAAGAGGGGCCAAATGTGAATCAATATACGACCCAAGAACGTTAAGGATCGAGTTTAATTTTCTCTCCCGGCTCAATCTTACAACGAAGACCAGGATCAAGGTTGGACATGCGTCGATCGCGTCGGTTGTTTTTGTCCCGGTTGTCTTCCTCTTCCCAGCCAGTTGGTTCTTGAGGTTCCGCTTTCTCCTCAATGCTTCCCCGGATATATTGAGCGGGGCCCCTCTGTGCCTCCCTTCGTTCTCCACGAGCCTAGCAACAAAAATCAAGTTTATTGCACTGGTCGAGGAAAGGTACCACGAGTAGTTTGAGCCTCCATTGAGCTATCCGACAAGATGGTACGACTAATTGTAATTGGCATTGCGCTGGTGGTAGCTATGGGAGGGTTCGTTTATGGCTTTGACTCTGGAATTATCGCGACAACTCTCGGCCAATCTAGTTTTAAGAGTTACTTCTACGGACCGACACTTGTCAACACGTCACTCTCTGGTAGGTGTACTTGTTTCGAACTACTTGTTTCCATTTACTAGCTAACCTCGTTTCTGTTGTTTCTTCTCAAAGGCGCTATTGTATCGGTTTACAATGCCGGCCAGGCTATCGGTGGGCTGACCAGTGGTTTCCTTGCGGACAAATTCAGTAGAAAATACGCCATGTCTGCTATGGCTTTCCTTTGTAAGTCTCGTTGTCTACTAAACGAAATCCATCGGCTTACCCAATGACGTCATAGCAATTATTGGAGCTATCCTTCAAACCGCTTCTGTCCATGTCGCCATGATGATTGTAGGTCGCCTGTTGGCTGGCATTGGATGTGGCAGTCTCCTCTCAGTCGTACCAGTTTACCTTGCCGAAGCATCGCAGCCCGATAGTCGAGGATTTCTCGTCGGCCTTCATGGGATGATGATTGCCATTGGTTTCGGTGTAGCGAACTGGGTTGGCTTTGGAGGGTCTTATGCTTCTTCACATGCCCAGTGGCGCATTCCGCTGGCAATGCAGATCCCCGTTCCCATCTTCATGATGGTCGGCTGCATTTATATTCCATTCTCTCCCCGGTGGCGTAGGTTTACATTCTTCGAAAATATCCGCATCCATTTTGTTCCTAGTCTTAACGATTGATGCAGTGGTTCAACAAGATCGTATCGAAGAAGCCGAAAAAGGTGTGTGTTACTTCCAACATTCCTACAGCAGAACGCTAATCCTCAATTCGCCGCAGTCCTTCACAAACTCCATGGCATCGAAAACGAGAGTCTTGCTAGTCAGGAACTCATCCAAATCCGAGAGCAGCTTGGCTTTGAGCGTAGCCAAGGAAGCGCTTCCTGGTCCTTCGCCCTCAAGAAGATGTTTTCTAAACAGTACCTCCGCCGAACCGCCACCGCGACGTTCATCGTAGCCATGGGCCAGCTCAGCGGCTCGCAGGTTATACAAAACTTCCAAAGCATATTCTACGAGACCGTCGGCTTTACCGGCAAAACGTCTCTTCTTATCAGCGGTATATACGGCATGATGGGGATCATTGGCCAAATTATCTACCTGACGGTTGTGGCAGACCGTTGGCCTCGTGTCAGAACACTCTGGATTGGCTCCGTGCTCTTGAGTGTTATGATTGCTGTCTGCATGGCCTTGAGTGCGCAATATGGCTCGAAAGATTCGCAAAATGAGAATGGCGCGCGTGGTGCCATTGCCATGATCTTTTTGTACTCTGCGCTGTACGCTGTCTTTTTCAACGCCATGGTCTGGGTTGTGCCCTCGGAGCTCTTCCCCTTCTTCTTGCGTTCCAAAGGTCTCGCTTTTGCCGTTTTTACGAAGTCGGTTATTGCAATTGCGCTGTCTCAAATCACTCCTATCGCCATTAAGAATGTCAGCTGGAGGTGAGTTAATCATTGTTACTTTTCAGGACAAACTAACATCAGGTAGATATTACAGCTTGTATATCGCCACGAACTTGACGGCGGGCCTCATTTATTTCTTTTTCCTCCCAGAGACAGTAAGTTTACATAATGTTTCCAGCGATTCTTTGTATTTCAGTAAATAGCTAAGCGTTGCATTACTGTAGTCCGGGAAGTCTCTTGAAGAGATCGCTGAGCTGTTCGGTGACACTCTTGCGACTGAACAGATCGGCTCTATCAACGTTAAAGAAAAGATGAAGGCCATGGAAGAACAAGACGGCGAACATGCTCATGTTGAGGCTACAAAGAAAGCTTAAATATTCCAATGGAATCGGCAAGAAAATTCGAGGAATACAACAAGCGAGGTGGACTATTCGACGAACTAGCTCCATTGACTTAGCCCATGCTGAAGATTCCCAGAATTGCATTAAATTTGATAGAGTTAATCCGATCAAACGTTACTGGGCTCATGATTCTTGATCAATCAAACCCCAAGATAATATTGTCGGTGGTTAAAAGATTATCAAGCATTTGCTTGTAAAATGCTCCTAAACATCCCGTAGCATGCTTGGCATGGCAGTGTTTATTCACCGAGATATAATATGTCTCATATTTAATTCATAGATAAGTTGAATTAAGGCCAAGAAACATACAGATGAGCCGTGTGAATGTTGCAAATGCCCTCACTTCACATACGTCGGCTATCGCGACATGCCACATACAGATGGTACTTGGTATCAAACCTCACAGACATCCTCGCTACTCTTCCCAGTTGTCAAGTCGTTTCCATCCGAATCGCAATTGTAATATGTCGGTCCGAAAATAACGCCATCACCTGAAGTCCAACCGGGACATTCGCAAGTGTGCGACCTGGTGCCAGCCGCCACACCCGCGGGGACGGCAATAATGATGACGAGCAGCAGAAGGAGGCAAATCCCAACAATCCACTGCTTCTTGCGTGACCATGTTCGAGGTTTGGTGAAGAAGCGACGCACACGCTGTTTGAAGGGCGGTTTTGCAGGGGCTTTGTCTGCATTGCCCCAGGTCTGGGTTGGTGGGACTACACCTCCCCAGGCTTCCCGGTCGCTGTCGATATTGTAAAGATCGGGATAGCTGGGCGGATGTTCAATCACATTTTCTTTTGGGTAATCCATTTTGACGGAATGCCACTGAATGGCTGATCAAGTTTGCCTATTGCAAGGGGCAGTCATTCTTCGAGATTCGATTCAGTGTTAAATATTTTGGATTTCAGGATCCGCGGCACATATATGTAATCTGAATTTAGCTTACAGCTTGTATCAAGCCATGAAACCAGTTTTGGTGATATTCCACTCTAACGCCACAGACTGGAAACAGATGATTCTCCAAAAGTAGTTAAGTAGCTATCTAAAAAGTATGTAATTAAGAACTGTCTACGCGTAATGCTCACGCGTCTATCCAATGACCATGGAATGAAATGCCCGGCTCTAAACCTACAAATCAGCTAAGAACTCGTTCCATCCAATCGTAGAATAGAGGGCTGAGCTGTGAAGGTTGCAAAACATAATTCCAGGCTGTGCCGTTAGTTCCGTAGTAAACAACTGGGGCGAACTCCCGGGAACTCGGATGCAAAGTCCAAAGGGACAGAAAGTTTGTCAACCCGAACCATCCGAAGACTAACATCGAGAAGGCAAATGATGTTGGTGGAATAGAACTCACCATACAATACACTTAGGAGGCCAACGAATATCAGAGATGCTGGTATTCGAAGTGGTGGCGGATAATTTGTGAGTATATGCCGGATTAGAAATTGTTCTTGCCGCCTTTATGCTTCCACGAAGCCTCTTTTTCAACGGCAATCTTGTGCATACAAGACTAAACTCAATAAGGCTTTTCAATATCAAACGAGGGTAAACAATGCAGCGAATACTACAGACAGTCGCGTTCTGACAAAGCTTGTGGAGGATGTCCCTCTGGGGATACATTTGATCTTCTGTGAAAGATATACTGTGACGTAATGTACACCGGCAGGCTGTACGTTATTTTAAAACGAGCCAACATATGGATTATAGTTGAACTGTTCACACGCATCGTCGATCTTCTTCTCACTTGTACCTCCAAGTAGATCAGCCCCCCCACGCTTCACCCTAAAATCTTGAGCACCAACTCCCATTGTGAAGTTAAACGTATGAATACCAGCCTCGGCATTAACCGTAACTGGGGAGTTGCTTCCGCTCGTGACTTTAAGTTCGCCTGCTTCGGTCAGCATTGTTGTCACAAACACCACGTCGGCGAGAAGCTCTTTCCCACGCGGTGCGCCCAATGTGTCGGCGCTACACGCGGCATCCTTCGGGTGTGGGCGGAACCAGTAAATAAGCTGGTCGGACTCGACGGTGGGCGTAGCTGCGCCAGCCTTGTAGGCGGCAATATATGGCTTCATCAAAGATCTCCATGCGTCATGGGGGAATCCTGAAGCCCAAGCAGAAGACCCATCATCACTATGATTTGGCTGGCTCCCACTAAATTTTCTGTCAGGGACTTACTTGGGTACATATATATAGGAATGATAAGTACTTACGAGATGTAGTGGCTCTCTCCGAAGTCTGATCGATAAATCAGTCCCGGATCGTAACAAACAAGGGATGTATACATCACATACCGTTCCAGCTAATGATTTCAACTAGCTCAGGCTTCATCTCCAGCATCTGTTCCCATCGATGAGTGGGCTGCTCCTCGCAAATAAATACCCAGTTTTTGGTATTGAAGTGCGTGAAAAACCACGGTGAGACAGCTGTAAACCTGTCAACCAAAGGCTCATTAAGTTTGTCATTGGTTGTTCAAGCACTTACGGGCCATGTATGGCTTCTCCCCGAGGCCTTGAAGAAATCTATCATCCCAAATTGTCGTCATTGGCCCTGGAATCACGCTGTTTCCTCCGTCGGTTGCCCACGCATACCACGAAAATGCTCCATCCAATCCTGTGTTCGCGTGTGGGATCCACGCAGGGTCCTGGATCATTGGAAGAGCAGTGATCTTACTATTTGGTAGCGCGTTCTTGACGGCATTCCAGTCCATGTTGTCGCCCACGAATGTACTCACGATAGCGCCATCGTTGTAGTATGCCTGCGCTGCGTGTGAGCTGTAGTTCCCCACCATCTCCGTGATCAACTGCGTATCGCCGGTAGACCAATACGCAAAATCAAAAGAGATGAACATTTTGAACTCGAGCTCTTCTGCCGCCGCGTACGCGAGGGCCAGCTGCTTAGGAGTGTAGGCATCGACACGTGGGGGCGCACAATTCAGTGCGAAACCATCGATGCCGATTTCTTTAGCCTGGTTGATGTCTACTTTCCAGTCTTCCAGAGTATAGTTCTCAACAATGCCAACCTATTCTCAATCGTTAGCGTCAGAAGGCCAACCTTGAGAAAACCGTGTGTCCTGACCATAAAGTGCGCGTACACAGGTTTCTGTGCCTGAACAACAGAAACCGCCCCGATGGCCAAAATCCCGGCGAGAAGAGCTCTTGAGGTTTGAAACATGTTGGTAGGTCATACAAGAAATGAGTGATTTCGAAGCGCTGAACTGATCGGGTCTACTCAAGGCGTGGCGAGAAGCCAACAAATGCGAGCTATTTTATGCTCCAAGTATCGTAACATCGTAACATTGTAAAGTGTAGGCCATCGGGCCTTTTTCTTATTTATCCTGGGGAACGTTGCAAGTTCGCTGTGCATTACGATGTTTGTGTGTGCACTACCTACCCGAAACAGACATCCTCACGGCTGCGACGCGTGACAATCCTTTATGCAGAGAGCAATTTGCGGGGAGATGCACCTGTAACGTCATGACCGTAGACTGATCGGCAAGTGCAATCCGCTTTGGAGAAACTACGACGATAAAGGAACCCAAAATAGCAAGTGATGGTCAATGAATCGCCAACTTCAGCCAAATCACCCCTCAGGACTGAAACATGTCGTATCCTGACCACTCAACTTGCAGCTAGACGATAATTGTGATGCATATTAGCTTGGCAAAAACCTACTGAACGTGACTTCGGACTGCAATCGACTAATACATCAGGCGAGTTTTGTGAGTCCAATCAAGGACATCATGGAGTCGAGTTTAGTAACTTCCGGGTATGAATCCCTATCTTGAACAGCGTAAACTCAACTACGGCACTTTACATGCCATGTGTATGTATCTTTTATAGAATTTTTGCTATATATTTGTTACTAGGTGCAAGACATTGGATTCTGAGATGAATCCGAGGTAGCCTTTGAACGTGTGAACTGGCATACGCTGTTAATGGGAAACTGCCTCGGCATGAGTCTTACCACACCTTGGTGGCCTATAATACGACTCTGCCTTCTCATTCAGTTGCTAGGATATTCTAAATGATACCACTTAGACCTTCCCCAAATAGCGTGAACATGAGAAATGCCGCTTACATACACGATTCACACAACCTGGCCTCAAGACTATGAACTCCAAATCCAGTCGAGTCCTCCACCTTCCCGTCAATACAACCTATTCACGCCGAGATACCTCTCAGCTTCGAGTGCCAAGCCTAAACATGGCTGACGTCTCATTGTAGGCACAAGGACGGCGGAACCCTGATATGGGCGGGTTCCTCAATCACCGTCTTTCTCCTTCCACTAGGGTGAAGCATATGCATGCAGCATTACTGACGTAAGGCAAAACGAGCGGGGTTGAAGCGCTCCTTTCTATATGGCGTCTCTCGTATCCGCTTAGCTATGTGCTAGGGCACGACGCCCGTTTCTAGTTGGCAGGAACCTCAGATCTCTCCATAAGAGGCCGCAGGGGCTTTCAAAACGAGACTTGAAGATGATTTCGCTTGGATGAATCTGTTCAACAGATGAAGCTGGTGCGTCGCTGTGATGTGGGTGCGAGGTAAATACATCGATATGGAAAACACTCGAGCCAGTTGGCTACATGGCGCGAAAGTCGGACCATTCTGCCCTACAGCAGTCATCGGACGCGTTGCAAGCGGAATCAAATAATACAGACATCTAAAAAGTAGAAGTTTTTCCTGAAATATCTAGTCAGACCTTCTCTTTGTCAGTTCTTCTCTTTTCAGGCTTAAACAAGCAATCTTCTTTGCAGCCTAGCAACTCTCCCCTACACTCTATCGATATTACCCGCTACCTTTGCCTGATGTCAATCGACCAAGATCCAAATCTTTGTTTGAGCATGACTAAAATGAGACGTAACTTCGCCCAATTATTGTTTACTTTTAGGTTTGATAAGAACAGAGATCGTGGCAGCCTGAGCTGCTCCTCCTCTTTTTCTTTCTCCTCCTCTGCGCGTTGGTTCTCTACCATGTAGAAGGAACTACGTCAAGTTGAATTTCATAGCAGATGATCAACCGCATGTGGGCTACGAGTAGCTTTCTTTACGAGGGGCTGTAGCCGAGGACTAAGTATTAGGATGACTGCTCAAATGAATGAATGGTGGGTTGCATAATAGCTGGTACCTACTGGACAAATACCAGCTCTCTAAATAACCGGATAATTTTAATTTCAATGTTTCCTATTTTTTTTCAACCGCCGTAACTTAACCTACCTGAAAAACAAGTCTGGGTGATGCACAAGATCTCACAAAAAATGTTGATCATTCGGTGTTTTGCGGCTATGGGCCCTGCCAAAATAGGGAACACTGCTCAGCGGCATCCGCTGAATGCTGAGTCTCGTGTAACATTGGCCATTTGTCAGCACCTGTCTAATGGAAGGGGATGAGGCTGGTAATGCCAGGATTTGAATGGCATTCAACCGGCCGGCTTCGGTACTTAGCCGCACGAAGAACGGCATCCGCGGGCACTGTGCTGGAACGGGGTAATTAGACGAGCCGAGCGTTGTGCATATACGAGCGGCGAGGTTCAGCCTATAAACCAAGTCAACGCGCTATTATCTTCATTCATGCTCATGCTCATTGCCATCTTCACTCTTCTACTCATATCCATTCGCACTCAGGTCACAATTAAGCGTTGCTTTACAAGCCGAACTCTCCAATGCCTGAGATCACCTTGTATCTTGCCAATGGAGCCTGCTCCCTGGCAGCACATCTCCTCTTAGAGGAAATTGGCATCCCCTACAAGACGGTCGTCATGAAGATGGGCCCCAGTGGCTGGATTGCTGTTGACGGCAGCATCGACACAGATGAGTATCGTCGTACAATTCATCACGCCGGCCAGGTCCCAGCCCTCAAAGTCGACAACGAAATCATAACCGAGAATCCTGCCATACTGAGCTTTATTGCGACACTGAACCCGGAGAGAAAGCTGACTGGAAAGACGGCCTTGGAAAATGCTCGCACTGCGGAATGGTTGGCATGGATTTCCGGCACCCTACACGGAAACGCATTTGGCCTGATGTTCCGCCCTAGTCGTTTTTGCGATAACGAAGCAGAGCATGACAAGATCAAACAGAAGGGCCGAGAGCGAGTTCTGGCTGCGTATGGGATCATTGACAAGGCGCTGGAGAAGAAGGACTTCCCAGTCGGCGAGGCAGAGACTGTCGTTGATTACTTCACGGTTCCTTTTTGGCATTGGGGCGGTAGGGTTGGTCTTGATTTGTCATCTTTCCCCAACTATACCAAGTTGGTCAAGAGAATAGAGGCAAAGGAGTCAGCCAAGCGTGTTCTAGAAGATGAGTCAGTGAAACCTGCACAGTAGCAAGTCTCAAGCCGACCTAAAGGAATCAAATTTCGTCTCGTGAATACACATACTGCTCCCTGAACAGTGCAATGCCGTTTGAACCCTTACTGTTTCAACTATGATTCTAAAAGTTTATAGGACTGACCAAAAGATTGGTACATGAACGCTCCGAATAAAACGAATATGTCACGAGTAGTGCCTGTATGAGATCCCTTCGTAGTATCTTTTTCTATAAATTTCTTAGCTCGCAGCCGTTTTTTATTCAGTTTCTCCACCTCTGAATACCATTTCACAACTGAGGTAAAAATCATTTATCTATCAATTGCCAATTATACCCTCTTTTGCAATACCATCTATGTGAGCCATCATGGAGAATGCACCCGGCGTAACAGATACTTAGAATAGTACCGCTCTTTGTTTTGGTCTTTTGAATAGATAGTATTACGTCTGTAGCCGAACCTTTTGTATTCTACCATATCGTGTTGGAAAGTTTCTGCCCAAAGAACTACTTGGTGAGGAGGTTCAATTGGCTGATATGTATAATGAATCTTCGCTGCAGTTCTGAACAATAATCGATTATTTTCGATGTAATGGGTCATTGGGGTTGGTTTTAAACGGCATTGCTAGAGTAGGTAGGAAACAATTCTCGCGTCTACACCGAGTGACTCACAGCCGAACGAGGAAGTTGAAGTTTACGAGTACTTCATAGGGCGTGGGTGGGGTTGTAGTTGCGGGGATAAAATTGCGTTGGGGACCGAGTGTCGGAGGCCCAAATGTCGGAGTTTTCTTCAAGAATCCGATGCACCAGGGGGTAAAATGGTGTCATTGAAAATGATCAGGTCAGCCTAAATTTTGAACTGCGGATGAATGTCTCTCATCTTTCCCGTAGCCTAGCCAGACACGATCCATTGGTCTGTACTTGATCAAAAACATGGCTGCTGTGACTTCTGAAAGCAAGCAGGCGAACACCGACCTTGAAGCTCACAGGATGCCGCCAACTCCCGATCCTATGGTTGAAACGTCCGTAGCGAGCTCATCTTTGGACGAGGTAGATGGTTATCTTGCACCAGACGGAGGTTATGGATGGGTCATTGTTGCTTGCATTCTTGGCATCAATATTGTTACATATGGTGCGTTGGTTCATACTTTTTGTCCTATGCCGGCCCGTAACCCAGACAACTCACTAACCACACCTTCGTGCGTGCGTCTTTGGTTTAGGTATCAACACATCCTATGGCGTATATATTGCTTACTACCTCGAACACAACTACTTTGATGGCGCAACTTATATGACTTACGCCTTCGTCGGCGGCTTGTCTGTAGGCATAGCATGGTTTTGTGCGCCAGGTATTAATTATCTCGTGAAGAAATTTGGCCTGAGAATCCCCTTATTCGCGGGGCTTATATGTATCTCCCTGGGCCAATGCCTTTCAGGCCTAACACAGCATCTCGCCATGTTTGTTGTATGGCAGGGATTGATTTTCGGAATGGGTATGTGGATGTGCTGGCCCTTCAATCAAGTCTTCATCATCACAAAACTAATACTTGGAAGGCCTTGGATTGGTGAGCAGCTGACTCAGTCATGATGCTTGCTGGTGATAGAGTTGACGAATGGGTGAAAATCAGACTTCTCTTCCGCCACAACAACTACTACCCCAGTGGTTCGACAAGCGACTGAGCCTAGCTCAAGTAAGCTAGATCATGGAGTAATAATATCCAAATTTAGAAAATGGTAGAGCTGACGCTGTATTATCAGGGTATCGCGACAACTGGGTCTGGAATCGGAGGGCTTATTTTTTCCAACACAACCCAGGCAGCCCTTGCGACGATGGGCGTCAAATACACCCTTATTATGAATGGTTGTATTTCCGCGGTCGTTCTCGTGCCCTGTCTTGTGCTCTTGAAGGGTCGAACTGCAGTAAACGTTAGAGTCGAACCTCTCCAAATCAAGTGGTTTGTGCACGGCACATTCTTTTGGGTCTGGACCTGGGGATTTTTTGCTGGTATGATTGCAGATACTTTTCTATCAGCAGCAAGCAAGCTAACACATTTAAATGTAGCCATGGCGTACTTTATCGCCATTTATTCTCTTGCGCCCTACGCCACAGATGGCATCGGGTTGACCCAGACGCAAGGTGCTGCCCTCCAATCCATACTGGCAGGAGGTCAGATTATCGGCCGCCCGTTAATTGGTTTGGCCCTCGACAAGGGCGGCCGCTTCAACATGACAATCATTTCCAATATTGTTGCTGGATTGAGTTGCGTGGCCATTTGGATGCCGGCTCGGTCATTCGCCGCCCTTGTGCCTTACGCCATCTTACAAGGCGTAGTCGGCGGCACAGTGTTCAGCGTCGTCGTTCCTGTGACGACGTCAGCAGTAGGGGTCCTTGATATGGGATCAGCATTTGCGATGTTTGGACTAAGCATAGTTCCCGCAACTACATTTGGGCAAGCAATTGCTGTATCGCTGATCAATTTCTCCAAGGATACTCTTCTGAAGAGCGGGGGAGACATCTACCAGATATCAATTGGATTATGTGGTGGTTTCTTTTGGGTGAGTGCACTCTTGCTGTTTGGTGGCAAGGTGGCCCTTCAAGGCAATATGAAGTTGCTTAAAAAGACTTGATGCCTTCATTAGATGATGCATGATGATCTACTGAAGAAGAAAAAAGTTATCCGTTATCAGTAAAGCTCTTTACTATGATACTATCCTCGCATCGCATCGTCTTAACATGGTAATGGAAGAGTCTTCAGCTGGCTGGGTATTTTAATTTACGTTCCGGGATTTGGTTTGGAAATGAGCAGTATACTTTGTGCACAGATATGTTTTAGTCATAATATTTATTCACTAGTCGTTCACAACAATGCTGACAATGGGCAGCCAGTCCATTCCTTCTAGTCTAACTATTTTGGGGAAGTATAGGCTTTGTATACAGGCAATCCTCTGGACCCTAGTCCTGCCATAAATAGGATTGCCCGTAAGCTCTAGGATTTTCTAGGCAGAGTCGTAAAAGAGAGCTTTCCAATGCCATCAGACCTTTTGGCCTGAATAGTGTAGACGATCAGAAGACAGGCAATCATCGACCATCCCACACAAATCACTCTACAGGCTTCCCAATAAACCCCATTTCGGGCTTCGTGAGACCTCAACTCTTGATACCTCGTTTCCACCGTGGCAATGACATCGACGAGATGTTGGAGAACAGAAAGCGCATGAGGAATGACTGGGGAGATATGGAACTATTCGAGTCAGTTGGTGTGCCGACGATGATGCTAGAGGCCTTGGGGAAGACGATAAAGTGACATACAGATTGGTGAAAAGCCGGCCGGGCATTAGCAAAGTAGATGAATGATGTAGAAGCGGCAAGGAGAAAAAGTATAGATATGAACATGTCCAGAAGAATGCTGACAGTGTACACACTTTGATGACATGTGCCGCCGAGAGTGCCGATGGACGTCAAAAAGCGCAAGACAGCCACTATCTCGACAGTTCGAGCGAATATTTCGTAGTACCTTGCTGGTTGGCCAGCGGAACCGATTTTCGCGTCGTCTCTGGTTCCCTTTTGCTGATATTGTATCTCAAGAGAGAGTTCGAATTGTGCCAAGAGAGCAGAAGTGAAAGCAAGCGTCGCATAAAGAGCGGTAAAAAACTCGATGCATCTCCTAATATCCCCAATGTACGAATGAAATCGATCGGATACGCGTGCGTAATATAATGAGCCTAGGCATAGCTCGAGGAACCAGATTGCCAGCCACCTAGAACCAAAATAAAGTTAGGATTGAATGGACATGCATCAGGGCTTGTAACATACACTGAGGTGCGTCGTATGGCTTGGCCGGTTCTGAACGAGCATCTGTTCTCAGCCTTACTGTTCTTAAACAATTTAGAACAGTACGGGACCACGATCAACGCATGGAAAATGAGTGCCGCGGCGATGGCTATTAAGTTAAAACCGCTCATCGCTTTCTTCGTGCTCTCGCTGGACATCATGATAGCAGCAGTGAACTCCTTGACTGAGAGTATCTTCGATGAGGAGGTCCGTTGGAGCAGGCTGGACCGCTCTGATATATGTCGAAACAGCACAGCCATGGATTTGGTTGCCTGGAAAGTATTCTTGTTGCCTGCAGGTGGGATTCCATACAGCTATATCTTAGTTATCCTTTAACGGACTGTGCCGGCGTATGGGAATAATTGAATCGACCGACCGATTGGACCGCTGCGTATCTCCGCGGCCCACTTCAATTGCAGCCCCGTCGAGAGTCGCTTGTGGGAATGTTTACAGGCCCAAAACTCTTAAGCATAGATATATCAGTACTAGTTCAATCAAATGAAGACATTTATTTAGCTCTAAATTGAAATTATGCAATGGAAGCCCCTGCCACCATGGCTCAATTACTACATCAGCGCCTGGAGAGACGGCTCACTCAGCCCCAGGGAACTACCGTACCCGAGACCGAGCGCGAAATCAACCATATTTGATAGCATCTGTAGTACCGGGTACTGTACCAAGATCTGCAGTTGGCCTGTTCTGGTGCGGTTGCCGGAACCATGGCCTGTCGGCACTGAGGCTATGTTGGCCAAAGGACCCAATATCGGTTCAAGGCCAATCAACATCCTTGGCAGACATATTATTTTAGTGCTCGGCTTGTGCTTGAGTGGGAGGGATTTGGATATTCTTTGATCAACACCCCACAGGCCAATCCTTAGGCTAGAGGTGGCTGTGCAAGCTGTGTAAGCTAGGGCGGTCATATTAAATTTCATGGGTGGTTTCACATTTATCGAATCATATCCCGTTCTTCTCGCTTTCGCGTGACAAGGTGTTACGAATTGAAATCAGATGTCCAAAGCTACTCGGACAATTTACCCGCTTAAGAGCGAGTCTAAACAACCCTAGGCAGGAACACACTGAGAGTACCATTCGTTGGAGTACTGGCATTTGTAACCGGAGGCGCAGGCCGTAGGACCTGTCCATCCCTGACCGCCGCACTGACCAAATGCTGGAGCAGTACCGCCGCTGGTGGAAGTTGGGTTGGCAGCCGAGGAGGTTGTGGTGGTGGTTGGCGTGGTTCCTCCAGACCGCCATCCTCGGTTGCGGGAGAGCTCATACCACCAATTTCGGAGCATCCAGCCGTCAAAGTCGGTGATTTGCGATGCAGAGCCGGCAAGCATGATGAAGCTGCTGACGCCACTTGGAGTCCAATCTATTGATTGTCAGAAATGAAAGTGCCTTGCAGGTTGTCTTCGGGGAAATACGTACCGTAGAAATCATCCAGACCGAAAGTGTGACCCATCTCGTGCAGTAGGATGTGAATATTAGACGAGCTCAGAGCGCCCATAAAGTATTCCCTGCCTATCCTCTGTCCCCAGTCACCACCGGCGCCACCCCCGAACCCGTCCGTCAGCCAAAGAGATTGGTCATAATGGTTTGCAGCCCCTCCAGGGCATGAGTTATAGTTTCCATCCTGATGGAAAAAGCGGCCGCATGCCTCCGAGCATTGAGGGGCTCCACCACTATCTTTATCAGTATAAACGGTGATCCCAGAGGTTGAACCTTGAAGCAGTGACCTATCCCGCACTGCCCAGCCTACTACTTTGACCTGTATGTTGGAATACGGGAAGCTGTCGTACCCGTAGAGCCACTGGAACCATTTCTGATACTGCTGGTTCACCACGGTAGCAATCTGGGCGCGTTGGGCCTCTGTTACAGCTGTGCTAGACTCCCATCTCACACACATGTTGATTTTTCTAATTCTAATCAGCAAAGCTCAAACTTGGATTGGTAGATAATGAATCTGTGTGTTAACTGGTGTAAGATCTTACCCTCCAGTAGCAATGATCTGATCCCAGCCATAGTTCTTAAATCCAAACAGACCGTTCGAGTAAGTGTTCAGACAGTGATCCCACACTTGCTTCAGTGGCGTTGCCAAATTTGATGGAGGGCTCCAACCAGATTGGCGCTTGACAGGCCTATTCCACAACTCATTGCTCCGAGCAGAGACGGCGTTAGCTTCAACGGCAGGCCAACTGTATAAGTCTGTATCCCTCGAATCCGACACGTCCAAGGCTAAACCCAAGGACGATATCGAAAGGAGTGCCGAGATCAGTGTCGCGCGCATGATTTTATCAGGGGAGAGAAGAGAGAAGTCTTTGGTGTTGTTCGAGTGCTTAGAGTTCAAAATTTTCACGCGGGAGCAAATGGTTTATATATGGCCATTGACATATGGCAATGAGGGACAGAAATATCTTGGCCAAATCAATGCAAAATGTTATTCCTCCAAAGAGAGTTGAAGGATTTTTAGACTAGCCAGGTGATCCTTCCAACACCACCCAACGGAAAATCAAGGACGAAGGTCACGGGCTATATCTTACGGCCAAAGTCCGAGGAACTGAGTCTTTTTGGGCCGTGACTCTTGGCTTCCTGTTTGTGATGTTGGCTATTTTCAGAGACAGGAAGCGCGCCAATAGTTTCATCTCGAAATCACGAGAGGACAAAATCTTCGGTTGGTTGCAAATTTGACTATTCTCCTGTGCATGTTCTCTTCATGCAAATTGAGATAATAGTTCATTCTCATTGGGCAATAAAGCAGAGCCAGGGTGTATCCAAATCCCCGGATTGGGGACGGATGGAGGATTCGCAAGGTGATGATCCGTTGCCCAACGAGGAAAGTGATAGATAGCAAGCCTCTCTAAGTCAATTAGGGCCCCCCCGGCTGGGAACCTAAAATATAATGATACACTTTGAGTATCATTCGGATAGCATGCCGTAGTTACTTAACCAAATCGGCACCGGATGAGCAGATACAGCTCCGTCTCCTCTTCAATAATGATTCCTCGCAATGGCTCCCTCCCTTTATTCATCTCGTTCGTATACACATACCTTCTTGGGCACTATTGGATCGCTTGCAACATATTGAAAAAGGTTATATCTCATGATCAGTGACGGAAAGGGCTGTGAAGAGCCAAATGGTGAGACCAGAAGATTGTTAGGCGCGTGGACAGAAGTTGGACATGGCTCATGCCTGATACGGCTGAAACCCAAGGCTTATAATTCCGAAAGCAGACAATTAGAAAATATGCCCCGGCTTCTTATCCGATCAGTTTGTTATTTGTCAAGCCTGTCCATGGATGTAGTTTCCTTAGCATTGGCAAGCTCACTACGAAAACCTTGACCCAACATACAATTTGCCAACCTGGCAGCTTGGAGTGGGGTTACTCTCTCTTATCCATTGTCTCATTTACTCTTTCGGTCTAACAAATCCCGAAAAGCAAGGGTTGTCTTAGCCTAAGCTTTATCTCCAGACCACTGTCATATGCAGTAGAATATGATACACAAATAACAGCAGTCACTTAACTACGGCTCTCCGCAGTAAAATCGGCTTGAAACGTCGGTCTCATAAATCCACACTCGTGGCTCGCCCTGAGCGAGAGGTGTCAGTCAGCCTTTATGTCTCAGTGAAAGCATATGACCCCAAGGCTGCCAAAATATAGCTTTGAAGGCGGATGGCCGTGACCGTAGCTCATCTGCTGATCCATCATGGCATACCAAAGCTAAATCATGGGTCTCGTGGTCAGGAGCGGCCAAAGGTGATTCAATCTTCAACACTATGGACGTGAGAACAGACACTAAGCACACAATCTTGAAAATATTCCACCACTGATTGATCTCGTATATCACGGTAGTACTAACACATTTTGGGGCGAAACTGAAATTCATAAACAGTGTGGCGTTGCCTTTCGGTGACTGATCACTAGGACGAGCCATCACTTTCCGGGCGTAAAGCTTATCCACGAAACTTACTTTTCAACTTGCGCCGCGTAGATGAAATTGTCCTATAGCGCGGTGGGTATGATAATGGTCCGGTAGATCCCGGGGGGGGGGGGCTGCAAAGAGGACAGGTCATCTCGTTCGCTTGTAATAAGGAACTCCCATGATGTCTGCAATAGCAAAGTTTGGGAAAAGTGAACGATCCCATGATTCTCTAGAGAGTTTTGCTTGACTCGAGCTCTTATCCATTGATAATATGACATTTGCTTTCACACCCGGTGTCTTAGATGGCCCTAATTAACCTAGTGCATATCCAAAGCTTCGTCAGATATTGAGCGTGATTACGTTTGAAAGCTTGCCAGTTCCAATCTCTGTGCCTTACTGATTTATTTTGAATTTACCTTTTTTCAACGGCCCACCCAGCATAAACGGTAAGCATTTCGCACCGCCTAACTCGGGACATCAAACACTTTCCCTTTCAAGGTAATATTGTTTAAAGATTTCTATCTTTTGATAACGAAGTCTTCCGTTCTTTGTCGACCATGAGGTGGATTGGCACAGAACATACTGCGAAAGTCTGATGACCAAGGATGTAATATCTATGCCGGCAGTATAAGTAGACCCAATGCATTATGACAAAGAACCAAGAAAAAGTGACAAAACCAGTTCCCGGGCCTCAACTTTCTTCCGGCAGAGTTATTGCCATGTTCACAGGACCCTGAACGTGTATGAAATAAAATATGGCACATCGAAACAGTTCAGCGTTGAATCTTAACGTAACAGCAGAATATTTAACCTAGTATTGAATACAATATCACGCCAAATATCATATAATAACTTATTATTCTCTTATTATTGTATTTAGTCAAAACCAAGGTCCCTGCCTTACGCGAAAACAGCATTGTTGTGCTATGTTTTATTTCACCCACTTACCAGATAAGTATACTTATTAAGCTTGCCAAGCTTGACTCTATTCATGAACACAGTGTGACTTTATTCAGTTCTATTCAAAAATATTGGAAGCCTTCGCCTATCTATTTGACTGAAAATCCTCCGTCGATCGGCATGGTCATCCCCGTCACATAGGATGACTGAGGGGAAGACAGCCAAAGAGCAGCCTGTGCGACCTCGTGTGGGAGTCCAAATCGGTTGAGGTATGAAATCTGAGGCGCGAACTGTTCCTCTGTCGTGCCAAAAGCCTTAAGAACGTCCTCGATCATGGCAGTCTGGAAACTCATGATTAGCTCGTGAAAAGGGTCATCGGCAGAGAAGAGAGTTACTCACGTAGATAGCGCCAGGGGCAAGTGCATTAGCACGGATACCATGAGGACCACCTTCAAGACATGCCTGCTTCGTCAGGCCCACAATCGCATGTTTGGTTGATACATATGCGGGCATGTTGGGCTCCGGCTTGTAGGCAGCGCCGCTGGCCAGGTTGACAATGGTTCCCCCATTTCCTTGCTTGATAAACTGCTGCATCTCGTACTTGATGCAGAGGGCTGTTCCGGTCAGATTAATACCAACGAGTTTGTTGAAGTATGCTACATCCATCTTCTCAAATGGGGTAGAATCGGGCGTCAGAGCAGCATTGTTGATAGCGCAGTCTAATTGTCCGAATTTCTCCACGACGAATTGCACCAGCTTGGCAACCTCATCCTCCACTGAAATATCTGCCTTGTAGAAGAGAATCTCTCCGAGGGCTGATAATTCCTTCGCCACCTCTTCACCCTTTTCCTCCTGGATATCACAGATGACAACCTTGGCGCCAGCTTTGAGGAATGCGGATGCTGTGGCCTTTCCAATGCCTTGGGCACCACCGGTAATCAGGGCTACCTTTCCTGGCAACACACGGAAAACCTCGAATTCAGGGATCTGGGGAGGCATAGCGACGGTATTTGGTGCGGACGGGCAAGTGTTTCAAATGTGAACAAAAAGGCGAAGGATGTTGTATTGACTCTTGGGCTTGGCTAAATATTGTCAGAATGGAATGTGCTTCAAGTGGATGAGGAGAACAGCTTTATATAGCCATTGTCACAGCCCAAGTCTAGCAACGTGGGGCTACTCTTCTCTACGAATGGAAAAGAGCAGCCAGTAATTGACCGCTTCTTGGGTTCTACTCTGAATGGCGTTCTTTGGAACGGCGAATATGGACGGATGAACTCCTTAGTGGACCTTACTAGCGGCCGTTTTCTCCAATTTTTCCGTGGAATCATGGTTTCGTTGGACCCCCTGGTTTTATCCTTCACCACACTATCTTTACGCCCATGCCCTGACCTTCGCGGAGCGTCCTTGCCTAAACCTTCAAAGGCAATGACAAGTCATTAGTAGGGGAACTAAGAAGTCGGCCGCAAGGATCCGGCTTGCAAGAAGACGTATATGTTAGTATTCAATTTGCCAACATCCGTATGGAAAGCAGGGATAAAATACGACTTTGTTGAGATGGTCAATCCGACTTACGAACATTGAAGGAGACACACCCCACCATCGAGAAACATGCTTGTCACTTGTTGAGTTGTGTGTGCACCTATTATCAAGGAACTACTAAGCCGAGTTGAGTAGGTGGTCAGGAATTTGGTGTGCTCTCGTCACGTCCCAACCTTCGAGCTGAATCACCTCACCTGAGCTCTTCAAGGCGGTGACCACGCTTCATTGCCTCACATACACCGCCTCCTAGCGAGCCGGAATAGAGCTGGCTACTTCCACGTGCAATCTAGAAGAGGCATTTAACCCTTCTGTTACTCCAAACCGTGAGATTTTGTTCACTTTTTCAGGTAATTGCTGAAACCTCAATCGCAGCAAAAACGTCTCGAAGAGCGATATGGGAAGACTCCCAAGCCAGTGTCCACTGGCTAGTGTTTGATCCCTGCTCCTATTGCTCTGCGCGCCTATTATACCCCAGAAACCCTCCGAGTCTCCGCATGAGTGGGAGCCTCCCGAGTGCTAGGTGCATTACCAAGTGGATGTAAATATCGCTTACATGCAGATATCTGTCATTCGCGTCTAAGGCTAAGCCAATCACATCCCCCTGCAATCCGAGGTAGGCTTAGATATGTGCCAACTACATACCGAATATTCAACGTCTCCCCCTCCGTCCTGTTCCCAATTTCTCGACCTCATGCAATGCTATGGTTCAGCTTTGTCCAACACATTGTTACTGTTGTAGGTGGCGTTGCTCCCCTTTTAAGTCCAACGTCTTTGGATTTCAAGCTGTCAACATACCCCGCTTTTCTTGTAGTGATTCCGTAATTCTCCATTTTACTTAACAAACTGTCCAAATAATAATGACTCACTTCTATCACGAACATCGTCAATTAGGTAAACCAAGGTGCTGACGCATCGAATGTTTTTGATATCCAGGTCATGCTTGAGGAGGCTTTGGGAACAACTTTTCCGACGCTCGAATTATTGTTACGCTGTTCACCCATTCTGAAGCATTTATCCCAAATGTTGCTAAGGTAAATGGTGCCAATTTTGTTGATAGATTTGAAACTATGTGTTTTCTCAACGGCCAGTCGGCAACAGAAATATGCAAGGATCACTCCTTCATTTGCCCTACCATGACTTAGCTAATTAACTGAGTCAGTATATAGATTCGACGTTATATACCTACAGTTCTTGTGAGTGTCAACTGCTACAGACTATATGAGGTTTGAGCAGCCCGACATGCAAAAATCATATCGCGACAAGTCCTCATTCTTAATTTCTAGCTTTTATCACAACACAATAATGAAATGTGCCTTATAATACTACGACGACCATGATCTCTAAAGAAAGATGTTTATATTAACATGAAAGGATGGAGAGCTTTCACCTACAATGCTGACAAAGAAGTCATGAGCTGAGTTTCTTTTCTTAAACAATCTTTAACATATTAGATAGCATATGTCAAAGAGGATGACGTGAAACGACAGCTTCTGAGATTAACAATATCTAGTTGTTGATTTTTTAATATTCGGGTATTTTCTCTGACTTTTCGCCGTTGCCGCATAGGTTACATAGCTCTCTCACGTATTACTACTACTACTACCTGCTTATGTATTCTCTCAAATCTGGACTTTGCTGTGTAGTTGGGATAATGCGAGAGGGAGTGACAACCTTGACAGATGCTAAACGCTGCGTATGAAGATAAGAAGCCAGTTCTGATACTAGGTGACCTCATTAACGATTTATTTAGCGCAATAACCTCAAAATTCTTCAAAATCATCTTCTCTTCACGCTCCGAAGTTAAATAATACTGATGTTGAGGCGGGATTGAGCTGATATGTCCGCCAGAGGCGCTTAGGATGGTCTACAACCAAGAACGAACAAAACTTCCGTTACAATACTACTAGAATTGCCTTACCATATCATTTCCCGGTTAGCATCTTGTTGTGGCTGATTACAACGTCGGGTAAAACTGACGCCATCCACGAGATCCTGCCGCGTATTCGCTGGAGCCTTGCCCACTCATCCTATGCGAGTCTGGTGCCTACAGAAACTGGCACAACACATTGGTTCGCAGAACAACACTTAAAATCTGGTTCCGGGCCCGCCTTGGATTCCTTCGATCTCCCTGTAAATTTTGTCCACCTTCGTCTCTTCCTTATTATCATCCATACCTACTAACCGCCCAACCTACCCTATACCTGTCTCATACCACGAGGTTGTATAGAGAAACTACAATAGGACAACATGACCATTTCTAATTCCATTAATCAGACAACTTTTAGCTCAAAGATTTCAACAACGTCCAAACCATGTCTGTTTCATGAAGCAAGAGTCTTAGTTTAAGGCTGCTACTATAACCTCGGCAGTTGACCTCTTGTGTTGATTCGTTGTCGTGGACATGCCCCCGCGAACTTCAACAACAGCAAGACAACTGACCCAGATCTCCTCAATGCTTTTAGAGGTAGCAGTGATGATGCGAAGCTTTGGATCTTGTAAGGGAGATCAAAATGCAGCCGTTGGCCTCAACTAATGAGAGTGTTTGGTATCAGGATGTGTTTGGACACCTACAAAGAAATGATTGTAGGTGACGCACCTTTCCAATTTCAACATCCGATGATAGAACCGTCCTTTTGGTAACAGCAGTTGTTTCCACTCTTGATAGAAATAATGCTCCTCTGGTGTTCGCTTTTCCAGAACAACTGAACTTATTTATACTCATTCTTTTTTATTTCAGCTTCTGGCTTATCCCATATGTGACACCATCCCCAGAGGCCATTTGATTGTTTCCCTCCAGTCTGTGTCCATCCTATCTCCAATATCTGTTATCACTCTCTCGCCCCAACCACTCAAGTACCAGTGCATATTTCCCGTATGCTGCAAAATGACGGCGTAATGCGCGAGAATAGCCAAGGCCATGGGGTCGGACTGCTTGAGAAGATCAACGAAGCCTTCAGAAAGGCAGATCGGCCAACTAAGCGTGAGCCGAAGATCGGGCCAGTGAGTGCTTTCAATCACCCGCTCTGTCCAATCAATTGTCGAGTTAATTGCCTCACAGCATAACGCTGAGTTTGGATCGCCCTCAGCAATTAACGAATCAAGATAACGGAGTTGACTAACGAAGGTCGTTAGGATGGGCGGCGCAGCGGGGTTTTGGTCGCCCTTGTGGAAGAGCATTCCAAGTGGCCCGTGATGAAGTGTTTTCGCAAAGGAGTCTAGGATGAAGCTCTTCCCCCGAATGAGCAGCAAGACATCCAAGAAATTCTCGAATGCTGGCCGCCCGTCACCGACATTCAGCGAGGAATAGCTGGCAAACCCGCAGATGCAGAGAAAAGCGGATGCCGCGAAGACAGCATGGCAGTTTTCGTTGGATATCTGCCCCAGGGTGGACTGGAGACCGAAAATTGCTTTGTTCTGATGTATTGACGCACAGATGGCGTAGGTTGAGTCTGGAGACGGGTTGAGGTAAGCTAAATGATGGGCGGAAAAAGCTAGAAGTTGATGCATGAGAAACTTGTTTGACATGGCGAGACGTGCGACGTCTGTTTGCCAAACACGCCTGATGTCAGTGGCCCTAGGAAGCGTGAGATATGCTGAGGACGTGTAATGGTGCATAAGTTCAAGATCTTTGATCCACTCGTCCTCGATGGAAGTGTCACTGGCGGCAAACTTGGTAAAATACGGGAAAGCATCAGGATCCGGAGTGTATACCCCGGCCACACTACCCATCTGTATCGGGACGTGGGGGCCAGGGTTGAGGTTCGGTTTCGCATTACCGAGAGACGGGAAGTCTGGCGATCTGGGATTTGAGGCTAAGCCACTCTATTGCGTCAGATTAGCAGGGCTGACACGAGGATATCTATTATCTTGATACACGAGGAGCAGATTGCACCTTTTCAGACCCACTGGGGTTCACTGATGGGCTTCTCGTTCCTGAGTCGCTTGCGTGGCCATCTTGGAATACACATGGCACCCCGTGCCTGGTGCAGGCTGAACACGGGTCTCTTTCGTCACACTGCGATTTAAGCTTAGTATTGTGGTAAGTCAAGCATAAAGACAGTTTATCGTTGGTTGCCCACCTTGACACGTCTCTGCTTGCATCTCAGACACCCACGCTTAGACTTCTTATGACCTAGGCGCGGCATATCTGCACGTATGTGTTGGGGCCTTTGATAAGAGTTGGATCGACAACAGAGCGGGTAGGAATAATGGAGCCCTTGCTTCGGCTTCGGATGCGGTGAGGATCAGAATGAGTGATGAGTGATGGGTGGCTCTACGCCCACTGCCACGGAAAGGTTTTAAGCACCTGGGCTGCCCATGCATCGATGGCGTGTGGAGGACGCGTTTGAGCCACCCGAATCAGTGACATGCCGGGATGTGGAGCCGGAGAATGATCTGACGAAGCTTTCTCAACTCTCAACGCTGCTCGCCCTGACGAAAATTTATGCTTGGCTCATATTTGACGTCAACCTTTCAATATATCCGGGTCTCGAGCTGGTAGAATCAAGCTAAAGTAAGTCCAAGGCACACTCGTGGGTTCCAAGTGCCGGCAAGACTCCTTAGGGCTCAGCCTTGTAGTGGGCCATCGCCAGATAAAAAACTCAAAGAACCCTGTAAATCTAGGCGGAGCATTACAAGGCTGTGTCTGATTGGTGACAGCTAAGTGACATATCTCTGCTTAGATCAGGAACCCGATACCGAGACCGAGACCTTAGAATAGCGCCGACGATAAACACCATTCCAAACCTAACCTGATGCTTAAGATACAGCTGGACAAAGAAAACATATATAAATGATATCCAATTGCAAGATCAATTGACCAAAATCTGTAAACAATTCAGTAAATAGCCATCGGTCGACCGCATACACAGTTCGGATTACACAACTTTCTCCTTGCTTTCCAAAACCCATAATTTCAAAATGATTGGAATTTTCAGCCCTCGTTACAAGCTTGTAATCCATGTGATTCAAATATTTCTCATCATAATTGTTCTGGTGCTTTCAATTGTTCGCATGTTCAAGCAACCAGCCGGAGCCCCACGGACCAGGGCGAACACAATGTCTTTGGGAATGGTAATTTGCTCCAATCTGCCAAGCTATTGACTCCTATTAACCTTTTTTTTTTCTCAGAGCGCCAAATCACTTGCCCTAATTCTCTATCAACTCTTGACAGAGCATGTTCGGGCCCTTCAAAGATGGTCAAGCTTAAAGGTGTATGCTATTCTCAACGCCATGGAGATCGTCTTCTGGCTCGCGGTCGTTTTCCTCTTAATCCAAGCCAACATCAGCTTTTGCTCCGGACTCAGCTGCACGCTTAGTTGGATTGTTGTCTCCCTGGGCATTGTCATGAGGTATGAGGAGCTTAGATTTCAGGTCATACATCACAGCTAACACGTTTCCCAGCCTTCTCGCCGTCTACATGGCCATCGTCACCTTCTTGGACTTCCGCAACTCGCGTTCTAAGATATTGGATATGGATGACAGTACAGAAGTGCAGTCTGTCCAAAGCTATCGCGCACCGAGTAATGCCCCCGAGGCTTCGAAGGCCTGAGATGGCTATATGATCTCGAGGAAAATACTTAGTCGACTGATGCCATGATCATCTATTCGGATTACGAAATTGAAATCAAGCCTACTTCGGGGACAATTTTTTTAGAATAATAAGTCTAATGTTCGACAGATGGGTGCAATTTGGCACATAGACGGCTAGCAGGGCAGGTGATGAATAATGAATGCTTCGCTGGCGCATCGTTAGCCCTTATCTGGCCTAGTTCATATGTTTTTAGAATACTTATAGACAAGATATGCATTTTAGTTCTTGCGGTGAAGAGACGGTGACATTAAGAGACGATCGAGTGCGGATCTGAAGATAAAGTGGCAGGGCTAGTATTTAATTGAACTCTTCATAAAATCTCACGGACAAACTGGTATGACTTCGAGTGTTTGATTAGTCTGGCCTGGGTATTGCTGAGCCTATAAGTAACAAAAAAAAACGAGTTTCGAGTGACAGCTCTCAGATACAAGTTTAATAGAGGAAAATAATCTGGATTTTTTTGGATAATATGTGGCTCGTTGCCGATCACTTTGTTCTAATATCCACTTGATGCATTTGGTACTCGTTTTCTCCCCCAAGCTCGGATATCGCGCGTTGTCTTTGCTAGTCTCTGTTTCTTTTGCCTCTCCTTCAGTGACTCTTTGCTCGACTTCTCCTCGGTTTCCAGGGCGAGCCGCCGCATTTCACGATCCAACTGAGCTTTGTGACGGGTTGCGGTTTCGCCCTTCATTTCGGATTCACGAGATGACCTGCGAGCTTCCTTAAATTGTTTCTTCAAATCTTTCTGAGAAGCTTCTGCCAGTTCCTCACGCTTCTTTTGCTCCTGCGACAATTTGTACCGGGAAGTAGCCCGGCTAACCCTTGACGAATAAGGCACCCCGTAGAATTTAACCATAACTCTCTGCCCTGAAGGCAATATGATACGGCGCGTGTCGTTGGTTGAGTTCAAACCTTCAACAAGCTTGAAATTCAGCCAATATTGAGGAAGGGTGCGGGTCGTTAGGCCGAAGAACTTTAGCTTTATCGCCTTATCGACGTTGATTTCGAAATTTGAAAGATCTCGCCAAAGGTCATCGACTCCATCAGAAAGCCAAATACCGTTTTCCTGATGAGAGAGGCGAATTTGACCCGAAAACCTCGCGTAGATGACCTGGGGAGCAAGTGCATCCATCCAAGGCGATGGATAACTGTTTGAATACAAATTGGAGCTACGGGCTAGGAGGAAGTTGAGGTGAAGACGAGAAAGGTTTGGTACTTTCTCGTTGAAAAGGTTCAGATAGTCAGCTACTTCCAGCTCCCTGGTCGACTCGACGTACGCTGCAGGGATCTCAAGCTTCTCCAACCCACGGCATTTCAGTAGTGTTTCCCAGAAGGGCTTCCTATAGCGGAAGCGCGCCCTCGGTGCTCTGATGTGTTCCGCATCGCCAGTGTGATCAGGATTCATGATGCTAACATCTCGTATCTGATCCCGAAGCTCTGGGCGGAGGGAGTGGCCCACAATAGCAAGAAACTCGACGGCATCGAGGAAGCAGAAGGTATTTCTCGACAAGAAGATGCGGGAGCAGATCTCGTAATGCGATTTAGAAACCCGCAAGAGCGAGAGACCTTGTCGCTTGGCACAGGAGCATGGCGTTTCTGTCTTGACCGTCCAGGGAAATTCGCTCACGGTGACTTTAGACTGGACAAACGGAGGCGGCTCAAAACCCTGGGTGCTTCCAGGCCTGTATTTGCATTCCAACTTGTGCTTCTTATCCCATCTTGGGATTTCTACTAGAGTGAACTCATAAATAAGCAACCTGACCTCTGGCGGGAGAAGGTCAAGACCGGGGTTGTTCGATGGCGGGGTTGATGCTCGGGCAACGTCGTAGAATGAGATAGAGATAGTAGCTGCCATTAGAGCAACATATTGCGCATAGCGCTAGTATTAGCTACTCGATGGATCCTAGATGTTTCAGAACAATGGGTGTTTTGCACGCTGCAACCCAAAGCTGTTATTATACGTTGACGAAATAGACATTGCCATTTAGCGCGATCGGCCATTTGCCCTGCCCATGTGTGAGTCAGGCCGATCAGTCATCGTTCGTCATCCATGAATAAGTGCCTCGGATACGAGACACTAGATCCAAAAAGGCTCCGACCCAACAAAGATCCAATACATCAAGCAGATGCATTAGAATTATAATGTAGCTCATCCAATCGAAAATTCCGGAATGGTTGATTAACTGTTCCCCCTTGTTACCCAGCATCAGCAATAGAGCGAGCCATGATCTGCTATAAATAGATACCACAGAAGGTCCAGGTAAGTTCGATACTGTCGCAAAGTTCGTGCGCTGTGTAATGTTAACTCGCAACATGAGGTTCCTGCAGCCAGGAGCACAGATTGACTGGCAAAAGAATCAAATCAAATCATCTGGTAAATTCAGTCCGAAGTACAAAAGCTATTGTGCACGGTTGTTTGATATCCTATTTTGATGTATCAGCACAATGTTGTGCAATTGGGTAGAACTTTGCATGATGGCGGGATGAATCTGGAAATAACGAGATTTATTCTCTGTTTGAATAGTCTAAGCTGCAAAATCAAACTCCTCATGTAGGTGGACGTCAACCTGTAGTGGCCAAGTTAGAGCTTTCGCGCCACTCGACGATCTTGAGACTGCAGTCTTCCTGTTCCTCAATCACCCCAAAGGACCCTTGCGTGGCATTGTAAACATTGTTTACATCGCCACCAATATAGCCACCCTCCCAGCCTGTGAGATACACATTGCCGCCGCGGTTGGTCGCATGGGGAACCCCAATCGCAGAGAAATAGCCATGGGTCTGGAGGCTGTTAGTAGGAATTTTCGGGCAAGTAATGTATTACTTTCTCAATAGATAAACGTACAAAAGTCCCAGCATAACGCTCTAAGATTCTGGGATGAAAAGCTCCGAATAAACCCCTGAGACTACCGAAGTTGTACATTGTTGCGTTGAAGGTGGCGACTAGCTCGGTAGAGAATGCTCTATCAAATCCCTCTGACCAGCTATCCTCGATAGGGATAAACTCATGAACGGCGGTTTGAATCCATGCGATTAGCTCATCGCCGGCAGCAATGCCATCTGGGTTGCGAGGCTCGCAGTCAGCCGCGGCTGCTGGACCCGTAAAAGCTGCCAGGGCGGCCAGGGCAATTGGTTGAAGCAAACGCATTTTGCAGATGGAGATGAAAGAACTAGGGGAGTCTCGAGGCGTTCCTGGAAAGGAATAAATCAGAGGAGCGAATCATCATATATAAATGTGTTTGCTCCCTTGCTGCTCGACGCGGCAACGTCCGTGGCCTAGATTTTGTTCCTTGATCTAGTAAATTTGAAGTGGTGCCGGAACGAAGCATGATTGGCGCAGTTCCGATTTTCGAAAACCCATGTCCAACCTGACATGAGGGAGGCAATCCTTGGATCTCCCGTTTCGGTCTGCGATGCGGCAATATAGATACATGCCCGGCACTTCAACGCAGTTTCTATTGAGGAAACAAGGTAGTACGGACAGCGAAACATGAAGGCTCGTATGGAGAACGTTAGAAAGTACAAGAGAATGGTGGTTCATAAAAGTTGAAACTTGTGATAAAGACTTAAAAATAGCTGGGCCTTCGATGACCCATAGCCTTGGTCGGTTCTCACCCAATCGCAATTACGGAAAGCTCGGTGTCCTCCATAGCATGACGTTTCGCAGTTAGGGTGAGCATGATATAACTCCACCATAATTGCCAATTAATTTCATCGCATCCGTCTGGATCCATTCATTCCGGGCATACACCGCTCACAACCTTGGCACGAAGAAAACGATGGCGGTGAGAGAGTCCCTTCGCGCCTCGTAGTTGGAACCACCAAGTTGAGATGCGAACACTACGTTGTGAATTGCCAGCCTATAAGAGCTAACTTACTAATTATATGCAGAACTAGACAGGTAAAGGCACCCCATTGATCAGAACAGGCGTTGCAAAATATGTCCGTTATTTTTCTAGACTAGTCTGACGCATTCGACCCTTCTTTGGAGCTCCTGAATACCCATTGTTCCTCCCTATTATAAAGAATGAGAAAGTTAAAGTTTACCTCCTCTGTTGTGCCTGTAAAGCCGTGCTCAGTTGCTCCCTGGGTTAGATCCACTGGAGAAAATCGACCTAATACGTCGCAGCAGAGAATTTCTTGGCCTTTCCAGGTTGTCCGATGTGGGAGTAATCCTCTGTGCCGGCGGAAGCTCTCTTTCAGATGCATCAATTTCTGCCGCTGCAACCGTTTCTCTCGTTGCTGAACTCTCTGTTTGCTTCCCCTGGTCCTCGTTTTCGGGTATAAAAGCCCTCGCTACCTCCAAGTGCTCTGTCAGCTCTCGAGCAAACTTCTCCCGCTCGTTTATTCGGCGCGATATTATGAGCTGCCGGTGAGCCTCGAGGCGTTGCAAGTTATCCGCTTCACATGTTCTGTCCCGTACGGCAGCAATATGCTCTCGTAATCTGAGTGCCTTTTCCCCATGGCCGTTGGATTGGTATAATAACGCAAGCATGCGCTGCGCCTCCAAAGTCCGCCCGTCATCCTCTCCCGACATCATCTCCCACGCCACCACGAGGCGTTCTCGCAACTCGATAGCCTCTTCATCGCGCCCTTCATCCTCATAGACCATTGCGAGTTGTCTTTGCTCTTCCATTACGTCCTTCATCGCAATTCTGGCTGCTCTCTTGCTGTTCCGGTCAGCCCGAGAGAGTGGAGAGGCAGAGGAAGTGGTAATATTCTCCAACGTCGTGGTCAAATCCCTTAATGAGGTTTGGCTCTGTATCGAGTTACGCCTCGAGCCTGCGGAAAAGAGTGTAGAGCCATCAATACTCCCCCGGCGATAGTCCCTAAGTGTGGCACCGTCATCTGACAGGGCATCGTCGGGTTGATCAATAGGCGCATTTGCCGCATGGATATTCTGGAATTCTCTCAAAGTCGCCGAGTCCATTTCACACAGAGCTGGTTTTGCAATTTTCCGAAAAATCAACTCTATGCGGCGAGAAATTTAATTTTACGCAACGGTGTCGCTCAGTGCGGGTGAAGCTAATAGGTGTCCTCTTATATTATCGATGGGGCTGACACCAAGGCTGATCAGCTGAGCCACGCGGTGGGCTGACCACGCTTCGGTATCCAACTTTTGAGCCTCAGCCGCACGGGACGCATGGACAAGGCTGGTTGCTTGGAGTATAGTCATATCTCTTTGGACTTCAAGTTGACGATCAAGATTAAACATAACGTAATAATCTTTCGCTTGAAGACTCGTGAGCAAGTCATCTGTGCCCTGCTCCTACAGAGTAACAATGATATCTCCAGCAATACCATGGAACCTGTTAAGAACGCGACAATGTAATAAAGATACGCAGGTTATCCTGGCTTTTTATTGATTTCAGTATGGCTGGGAAATCAATTCAGAGCCCCAGCTGAACTCCAAAATTATCCATGTAGATGGTAAACTAAGGATAGTTGCCTAATATCAACATCAGAGGATAAATTGATATTAGCTAAGGTTTCAAGTTAAAAGCGACCTTTCATCCCCAGGCAAAAAGCATCAACTTGAAAACAAGGATTGGTTATTCGTTCTTTCCATCTTTCTAAGATAGGCCTCTAGATTACTTTAATCCCGAATTATTTGGACAATAGAAGTTATGTTTTGGTTTTTAAATGCTACCAAGCTCATATACGTATTGATACTACTATCTATGGGCGGTAGATTTGGGGGAGCCGGGACAGTCTGAGAGGACGCCAACAGAAAGGCATCTGGACTTATAGGAAGGGAAATAGCATATTGAGAATTTGTCAGCGGGTTTATTGTGTCAGATATCATACGCACCAAAAGCCTTCTCGAAAGGGCAGGTGCTTTCTATCTCTTGCAGAGCGACAGCGAGACCGCGCAGAAAAACGAGGTGTGTCTGGGGGCAATGGTCCGGCATGCGAAGCCAGGCCCCTTTTTGCCAGGGTGATAAGTCAAACCACGTTTGAAATACCTGGAAAGGGAAAGTTTAGAACGGCAAAGTGGATATGGCGACTAGCCGAGGGGTGATCGCGATTTGCCACATATTTGGCAACCAGTAGAACAGATGCTGTCAACGCCGACAGATAATACTTCCTATCAACCAAAGGAAAGGGTAAACGGTCTGATAAAGAATGGCATGCTGTTAACCTAAATAGAAAGTTGGATTATTTTCTGTCTGGGTTTGATGCCTGTTGTATGGCTCGTTAGTCCACTGCCCATCTGAACCAGTGTTGCTGACTCCAACATGCTATGCTTACTGTTATTCTCAATTCTTACCCCTGACCTTTCTTACGCGCCTACCTGTCATCTCCGGCATACGTGCTCTCTTGGCATACATATTCTGGGGGGAGAGCATCCAAGGATCGCCCTTAACTCCGCAAAAAGCAGCTCCAGGGACCATCCAGCCACATGATACAGCGAGGGATTTTCGCCATGGCGGCGTCTCCCGTCTTTCCGCTATAATGATACCTCCCTAGAATGGATTTAGAATGACCTGACCTTTACTATTATTGCATGTCCTCGAAAGAAGGAGGTAGGCTCTAGATACTGTCTGGAGGGCCGCGCCGATGCCCCGACTAATATATGCATCAAAGTCACTTCCGACGGAGAATATACATCCGTATCCTAGATAGGGTGTTTTATAAAGTTTAAAGCGGGAATTCAGGCAAGAGGTGCTGTTTGGTTGTGTAGAGTATTAAGAGGCGAGATCCCCTCCACCATTTGTGACGATCGCCTCAATAAGCTTCAGTTCGAAGTGCCATATATTGAAAATCCCCCACTAGCAAGAACATATTCTTTTCTGACTCGAAGGAAATTATTTGAGATGAAGCTCCAAAAAGCCCTTGCCGTTGGGCTATTCTCATTTGGTACTACGAACGCTCATTGTACGTAACAAGTTCTGGATATCGCTTCCTGCATTTCAATCTTACTAACAAAAGAAAAAGATTTATTTGGCCGTCTGATCCTGGACGGGCAGTGGTCTAAAACATGGGAATATGTTCGGTATGTATGAGTTATCCCAACATCCAATGCCCTACTATGTGGAGATTTTAACAGTGAGACAGTGAAATAAGCCCTGAACCGAGCTTGAGCGGAGACATAGCCCTCGTAGCACCAAACACGAATCCCGATTCGCTTGATCTTCGATGCGGACGAAACGCCTCTCTTCCTATATCATCTGTCAAGACGGCGGTGATTAACGCAGGATCGACTGTTGGGTTTGCTACTGGTGAACCAGCATTATCGGTATGCCATGAAGTCCTCTATGTGTATAGGCTGGCACTAATACACAGGCTACGTCTAGAGCGAACGTCCAACGATGTATCACCCAGGATTCGCATCCGCCTGGCTCTCAAAGTCAACGACCGATGACCTGGAATCATACGCTGGTGACGGCGATTGGTTCAAGATCTTGAGTGTGACAGGAAGGACTGAGCAGTCTCTTGATTACTCTGATCCTGAGTCGGCACCCTATTATGATGTATTCAAGTCTGTTTGGGGAACATTCAGAGTCGGCAGTGTGAGTGGCTCGCCTTCACCCTGCTTTACCGTGCGGCTAATGATTGTTGTAGTGGAACTTCACGATTCCCGCCACGACACCATCAGGGAAATATCTTCTTCGGTTTGAGCACATATTCCCTAACCAAGTCGACGCGCAGTTTTACGTCAACTGCGCCCATGTTGAAATTGTGAATGATGGTGGCTCTGGTTCCCCCGGACCAACTGTGAAAATCCCGGGGGTGTATAAACGTGGGCAGTCAGGTACGAAATCCTCAAAGAGAATCTATGTGTGTGGTGTAAATGCTAATATTGTGGAAGACGTTTACTTTTCTGCGTATGATCTGAATTTCAATATTACAACCTTTGTCCCACCTGCCCCAGTTGTGTGGGAGGGGTGAGAGGCTTTCGACCATGGGCTATTGAAGGGGACTTTGATTGGTGCTTCCAAGCGAAGTTTACACGACTGTTGCGTTACTATACGGAAGGAAATTTTCTTCTTGTTTCTATCTTCTATTTTGTTTCTAAGCTATTTTGAAGCAGTATGGAGCAAAGTGGACAGCAATTAGCAGTTCAGAAACCCGGCTATATCTTCCTCCAAGATTACAATGAGCTCTATGCAAATGGAAGATTCCTTATAGAAGGCAATTTGAAACTCTACTCATATAACTCCATCACGGATCTCTCTGGCTTACGTGAACAGTGTTTCTGATGCCCGAGGCAGACGTGGCCTTATCTGTGTTCTTGTTGTATTAGGCAGAACTGTTTTCTTACTGGAATATTTTGCCTGCCATCTGTGCGATTGTCATGTGGATTAAACAAATTTCATTATTTATTGAAGACTCTTTTGATACAGTAGTCTGACTTCCAACGAAAGGCTATTCAAAACAAAGCTCAAACGGTCATCCCTTCCATTCATTCAATTCACAACTGGAGACAGTTTCGTAAACTGCTTCAAATCGCGACTGCTAAAACCGACGCTAAGGGTGAACTCGCCTGTAGGAATGAGCCATTCCTGAGAGATAATATCCCAGAAGCTCAGATCTCGCCGCTGCAACTCAAAGCTGACGTCCTTTGTTTCGCCGGCCTTGAGGAAAATCTTCTCGAACCCACGCAGTTGTCTTGGTGGCGTACCTTCAGGCGTGCTGGTAGGGAAAGTGACATACAGTTGAGGAACAGCCGCACCGTCAACTCCGCCCGTGTTGCTTACGGGTACCGTGACGTTGTAGATGGTCTCCCACAGAGCAGGGTTGCCACCAGGCTGGACTGGGAGCTGCTCGGGCTTTGAGGTCACATCACCAGCCACCAATGTCTCGGCAGTGAGTCCACCGAGTTCAAACGTGGTGTAGGAAAGTCCATGGCCAAACTCATACAGGACAGAGATGTTGTGTGCGTCAAAATATCTGTAGTCGATTTCCAACTTCTCGTCGAACCAGGACTGCCAGTCTTCAAACCCATCCGTGTGAAGCCCCGTCGTCAAGGGAGCATTGTAATCGCTACCATTCTTGGCAATCGTGTACGGCAGTTTGCCAGATGGGTTCACATCGCCGTAGAGAATATCAACGAGAGAGTTGCCCGACTCTTGTCCTGGGAAGTGAGAGAGAATAATAGCTGTGACATTAGGGTGATCAGCCCAAGGCAGAGTGTTGATTCCGGATGAGTGCGTAACCACGACGGTGTTGTTGCACTGAGAGGCGACAGATTCAACCACTTTATCGCCATCCCAATCGACCTTGAGGAAAAATCGATCATCTCCCTCCGTCGCCCAGGTCTTGAGAAAGACGAGGCAGACCTCTGGTGGAGTGGGCACCCAGAGGTCGCGAACATCTGAGGTGGCAATGAGGGTATTATTTAGCCACTGCTGCACAAGGGCGTTATCTTTCTTCGCTCTTTCTGTGATAGCGGCGAGTGGAGTGATGAGGTACGAGAGGCGTCCTGTCCCAGAGCCACCACCTGCTGTCAGAGTACCAAATTCGTAATCTTTCTGATTGAGGAAGCCTTGGGTGATATCACCGGCGTCGTTTCCAAATACACCAATGGATTTGGGAGCCTTAAGTGGCAGCGTTTGGTTGGTGTTCTTGACCAAAATAGTGGCAGCAGCGCCATGCTTGCGGATCAGTTCGCCATGGTCTGCACGCACGTCTCGACTACGTGGACCAGTTAGGTTGAATACACGCTGCCAAGTGGGCGCGGGAGAGAAGGTGTTAAGATCAGCTGAGGATGGGTCAATTGAGGGAAAGTCCTCTCCATCCTGACCAAGCCAGTAATATGGAGCCATGACTCGGAGAATCATGTCATCAAGACGAGACTCGGCAAGTGTTCCGTTGGTCAGGGCCGTGGTGACATTCTCGCCGAAATACGACGCCGTCCAAGTCATCCCAGCTGCACCCAGGCCTCCGGGCATGTCCATGTCAAGGCCTGCCTCAATAGCTGATACGCCCGAGTGAGTAGCGCCCCAGTCTGACATTACGTATCCTTGGAATCCAAGCTCCTCTTTGAGGATGCCGTTGAGGGTCTTGGAGTTTTGGCAGCCATACGAACCATTGATTCGCTGGTAAGAGCACATGATACTAGCAGCCTTGGCGTGGATGGCATTAGCAAATGGCCAGAGGTAGAGTTCATGCATGGTTCGGTCGTCAAGGTTGGAGGAGATAGCGGCCTGAAGATGATCGGTGAGTGTGCCATTGGGATTGAAGGCAGGGTTACGCATGATTTCCTGCTCGTTGGCGATGAAATGTTTCGGGGTGGCCTGAACACCAGCATCCTGATGTCCGCGTATCGTCAGTTCCATCGCATGGCCAGTGAGATAAGGATCTGGTGAGAAACCCTCCCAGTTCCTGCCAGCGTAGGCAGAGCGACCCAGGGGTCCAGCGACGGGACCAAGAAGGACGTGAGCGCCTTTGGCTTTGAATTCTTTTCCCATGGCTAGGCCACGCTGGTACATTGCCTCCTTGTCCCATGTCGAGGCGATGGAGATACCAGCAGCAAACACGCTAGCGTAGTCCGCATTGCGGAGAGAGAGAGGGCCGTCCTGGAGACAGAGACCTTTGAAGCCTAGGCGGGGGATAGCCACAATGTTACCCACGCAAGGTCCGGGCTGGCCAGTCACCATATCAGCCTTCTCAGCAGGCGTTAATTCAGCAACGAACGCCCTGGCTTTGGTCAGAGCATCTTCCCATCCACCAACCCCAGTAATGTTTGCTGGAGAGGTCTAATTAGTTCGAACTCACATACTTGAGGAGCAGAGATTACCTACGCGAAGGATATACTGCCGGAGAGTGGCCATAATTCCCAAGGATGGTTGTGTTCTCCGGCTGAATGTATTCATAAGCTCCATCAGGTCGCTGACTTGGATCATACAGCTGACCAGAAGCCAGAGGAACCAGCGTCAAGCTGGCAAGGGCAAGAAAGAGCGCCATGGTCGTGAATTGCTTCCAATTCGGATGTTCGATAACGGCTCATGAGTCGAGAGGGGACAAAAGAAACCTCGATATATTTATACCTCTATCGCATTGATCGAAGTGTTTCTGTCCGTAACCTTCATCACAACGCTCAGGTCGTAATACCTCTGCCCACATGATTAAAGGGCCGAAAAGCTCAAGAGAAGAAAACAAGAAAGCTCCACTAGGAAAAACAAGTGCCCCAATAACATTGGGGCCCCAAAGCACAGTGAATTGATGTTCGGGTTCTAGTTCTTTTGGAATGGCGTCATGAGGAGATCAGGAATGCTCCCCCGCCATGGGTTGCGGAAGTCGAAATCCACATGGCGCCGGCATTCAGGTCAAGTTCCACGGTTTGGGGTACCGTTTCTGGAGATGAAGTGGGATGTGGGTTGTATGCAGGGATGTTTTGCCGGTGTTTCTCCTCTAATATCCAGAGTTTTACCGGAGCCGATGTATATCCTCGGGACAAATCACCTACCCTAAGGCCGGACGCAAGAAACTCAATGCCACTGTTTACATGCTCGGTACTGTGGCCACGGTGAGCAGCAATTAGTCGAATTGAGAGAAAGCAATTGTTTCAATACGTGCGATTATCTTAGATTGTATTGCTGATTTCATACACTTGGTCCTGGTTTTTTCTGAGTTATTTTCGGTTAAGGTTGTCCTGCGTGATGATTCATGCTTGATAACCTGGTCAAACTCCCCACACACTTTGGTGGAACCATGGGCCGGACTGCAAAAGTTACACCGTCCCGGGGACCAAAACTATGGTGTCACTACCGGTAGTAGAATCCAAGTTGAAGGTATCGCCAAAAATCTCGGGGGTGGAGAGACTTCATGGTGCTCATTGCCGAAGAAATGGTGGAGGGTTCCACGCTTCCCCGCGCTTCGATGTCACCCTGGATTCGGCCCTGCTGTGGACTCGACTCATATACCTGGGTTCTCAGTGACATTCCATGACTAAGTCGGCTCTGTCGCGTGTCATGCAATGGGCATCGGCGAACTGTGCACCGATGGGTAATTTGATCAGTGAATATGGGCTACGATTAATCTGGTTTATCGTCTACGGCCACTGGACTTGGCCGAATATAGGCTTGTTTGCTGATGATCGTCATGATGCAGCCATTTCCACCTAGGAAATATGGCATGGAGTCCATAGCCTGGACCCCATAGTAATATATTAACTCTCCACATGGGCCGTGATATCCCATCGGTGAACCGACCTGGACTCTCCGTATCCCCGTCGTTTTCCTCTCCCCATCTATGGATGGTGGCCTCGAGTCGCGGAGCTTTCGCTTGCTTAACGGCCCTTTTCCCTGCGAGCTCCGCAACTTGTCCACAACATAGTCTATACGCACACTGTCTGTTCGGCAATAAGATGGCAACGAGGTAGCGAGCAGGTTTGGCTGTCTAGTGTACAGTGTTCAACCGAGCAACTGGTTTTTGTGGTCTGGTGCGACATCAGGACAACGGCTAAACGTCATGGATATTTTCACATGGTCATTTAGGCTATGCACCGCGATTCAGTGCTCAACTTAAAAGCTCGAGCGTAAACTGCGTGTTAATTTTAATTTGACGTATTCTCGGAACAGAATCGAATGAGATTTTCATCATGATGGCATACTAATAAATCGCACATAAATAATTTATTCACAGATAAACCGTCTCTAGGAGCTGCTCATTTACTATCATGACCTCGCCCTTTTTAATATGCGGTAGGGTAAAATATACGAATGTCTGGGTAGATAGCTTTTTCCATCCATAGAACCTTAGATCGTCCCGTACCTTCATGCCCTCTAGAGAATCTGCAGGGTTCTGATTCATGTCTCTAGGACGCCAAAGTAAATAGCCAACGGACCATCTTCGAAGCCCTGGTAGCCCTGTCGTACGATTTCCATCTGGAGGCATATAATTGAAGACTCCTAGCGCCCAGTCTTCTTCCTTGGGAGGATGCCTGCCCAAAATATTCGCGGATATTGTCACTTGCTGGCACATGCTACGGAACTGAGCATCTGCAAATTCCATCTTGGCTTGAACAACAGTGCTGTTCAAGCTACAAAGCGTTTCTACCCGGACTGGTAAGAGGATAAGTGGGAGGCGAAGACCACGGCTGGTCATTCCCATTTCAATCCTTCGCTCCGTATTGAAGCCTCCGTTACCAACGTAACAACGAGGAGAGGATGGCAAAGCAAAGGAGTTAAAAGACACGGCTGCTTTTCCAACCCAATTTAACACCGACGTGCTGCCACGGGACTGCATAATCATTTGAACAAGTCTAGAAAAGGACTGCTCCGCCCCTTCGCCATACGCGGGTTGCAGAACAACACCAAAAATTCCCATGAGAGAATACGCCATATCTTCAACCTTGGTCGTCTGGCGATTTGCTGCCCATGACATTCGGCGATCGACATCGTGCGGACCTGGTAAGAAGTTGCGCAGAGCGTGCTTCGGACACTTGGTGGCATTCACAAGATGCCCGACAACCCGCTCATCCTCCTTGTCATTTTCTTGTTCGCCGAGCGGCTCCCAGTCTTTGTTGTAAAATTTGACCACTGGAGGCGCCAGTAGTTCTTGCAATGTCCAGCCTCTAGTAAACCATTCGTCCGACTCTGCATCGAACAGGTCGTTCGTCTGTGAGAGATATACGAGACACAATGTTGCGTTCCGGTACCATCTAAACATGGAACGAAGTGCCTCATCTAGCTCCGCACTGCTGCTCTTGTTGATACAACACGTGTCGGACCAGGCAAAGGTCAAGCCTTTTTGTTTTGTTAGTCTGCAGTAGCTCTCTAACTTGCCGCGTCCGGGGATATCAGGAATGCCGTTAATGAGATCGTGGAAAAGAGGCTCCCCCCTCGGCAGCCACCTGTGAGAAAGCACGGCGTACTTGACTGTATCGTGGATGATTTGCTTTACTACGCCCTCTCTGTCAATTTCCGACGAAATCCTGTTTGCGATTGTTGCCTCAGTAATCTCTTCAATTGCAGGTAGGTAATAATCTTGCACGGCCAATCGATCCACAAGCGTCATTTCCACAGCGGAGATAAGACGGAGGGGAATGTCGTTCTGGACATATCGAAAAAACTCATCAAGAACATCTTGAGGTGCCATTCGAAAATTTGTAGTTGAATGTCGGCTGTTTGACCATCCCGGGGGTGCAGTTGTCTGTTGGAGATTTTCAATCGCTAACCAATGAGCCTCAAATGAGGGGCAGTTAAAAACCGCGACTTTGCCGAATATGGTGAGAATTTTAGACCAACAAGCCCTTGTCCCCACTTGTGTTTCCGTGGTCGTATATCACCGTTGTCTTTAAGCTCATGGATATGTTTGGACATATTGTAAATCGCTAAATTTGATATGCTCTAGAGAGGGACTGCTCAAAAGGGCTGAAGAAACATACGACTGTCGCTTTAGTTGAAATTGCTGAATTTATATAAGGCCAATAAGCAATGTCTTCTATCAACGATCCATCTCAAATTGGTGGGGTATTTCAACCCGTTGTATTCATTGTGTTGTGTTGAGATGTCAATTCTGGCATCTTTCATTGCTGTTTTCATTTATACTCTCATCCGTATTCCAGCCCGTTGGGACAGCTTGACTATACCGAGAAGAGCTGTGGGAAGTAGATTGTCTAGCTGCCCCTTCAATTTCTTTATAAATGGCAGCCATTTCTCTATTTGGAGTAAGATGAAAATCCACACTTAATGAATAGGTTATTGGAAAGAAATCACGCCAAAAATTGATGGCTGAAAGGGACGATGCTTCTTTACAATTTATAGAGGAGCAAATGTTCTTATATTTGTCACAAATGGCTCTAAAATTGACCAGTGATTTTTGCTCTTGGAGCAATTGCTACAAAACTATCCTAAAGATTTGGGATATTTTACTTTTAACCAGTTAGGGATTAGGTATTTGTGAAGTCATGCACCTTTGTAGTTAACAGATTACGGCTAAGTTGCTACATCGATCCCACTTCGCTTGCTTGGCATGTAGATCATGTAAATTAAAAGAGCAGCAGAAATAGGTGCACAGCGAATCTATTCTTGAAAAGATTTTTACGGTGATTTAGAGCCTTTGTTTTGCGCTTAGCTTTCTGTTATCTTTACTATCATCACTATGAAGTCATCTCGGAAACTAGAGACTCCGGTGCATGACAACATGACATTTTGACAGAATGATCGGCCGGATCTAGTTTGAGAAAATTCATAGATTGGAGACAAGGCTATACTTAGAAAAGTCTCCATACATAAGGATGTAGTTGCCATGATTATGAACGTAGATAATGGTTTAGACGCCCTCTCGGACACAAGCCGGGTGTGCTCGGGCATGTCGACTATTTCGATCAAGCCTTTCCTCAACTTGAATTGGAGAAATTGGAGAGTCTTATCATCACTGGCGATGTGTAGCCCCGAAACTTGTGGGTATTAACTCATCGCCTTCGTTATCTTCGTTTGAGTTGTGCTTGCAGAAAAGCTGGTGATAAGATAAGAAGAGCCCCCAGCGCATCTAATCCCCTGTTTAGGTGCTCTACCCCGCTGTAGTTGGGGGCGTGTGGCCTCGCTACGAGCAAAGACCTCGAGCTAATGCAGAAACCTCCCCCAGATTCCCTATTGCGGCCAAGTGTGACGCCATTCGATTTGCGGCCAGGCCAATTGCCAGTCCTGCATTACTTGAGGGACTCCATCGATGCCCCCGTGGTTGGTTCTTCACAGCATTTGCCCCTGGTCATACTTATCCTCCCCTCCTCCGTGTACCGGCGATCACACCCGCCTCCGAGACGCCCAACGGGAGACGTTAGGGGTCGGCTTCTCCATCGTGCGAGCGAATCTTGATACTCATCTGTCCTCTCCAATTCGAGTTTTAGAGCCTGGCTGGACATGATGCAGCCAGAACGCCGGAAGTCACGGAGAACTGCCAACGCGTAAGGCTCATTCCCTGGGCTTCGTCACCCTCAGAGACCACAGCAACTAACCTGCGTAGGTGCATTGCTTGCCGTCAAAGCAAGATCAAATGTTCTGGTGATGAACCGTGTTCCAACTGCAAACGACGCCTGATTCCCTGCCGATTCACTGATGGGGGCAACAAGGTAGTCGTCTCTGAAAAGTTTGTCTCTCCATCTCCACTCTCGGATTCAACCAGCGTCATATTGCTCCGAGAAAAATGTCTCGTGCTTTATTAACACATTTCCTATGACAGGTACCTTCAAGAGCTCCGCAAGCAAGCGCAAGACCATCGGCAGGGACAACCACACCATCAACCTTTCTCGCCTGGACAGCCATCCCCAGTGAGCCAAGCTGAGTCCATTAGTAGACCATCTAACGACACCTCGTTCGGGTCTATCCTCGAGAGTCATAGTACGTCTGAAATTTTATAACTGCGTTTCTGTCTCTTCTTCTTCAGGTGATCGCTGACACTCGGCCTCCGCTACCGTAAAGTCACACCCTTGGAAGCAATCCAGGTTGATGTCTCTCCTGAAACCACGACCCACGACCAATTAGAGATATTTACAAACCCTTTCGCATTACCATCTACTATTATAAAGAACACTCATAAAAACAGGCGGCATTGGAGTAAGTCCTTTCTGGTGTCATGTCATCTCTTTATTTACCATTAGACTGACAAACTTAAGTCTGGCTCGCGCCGTCGTCGACATGGTCTTTCAATGTTCGCCTATCAGTTGCCATGACCGACAAACTGCAGTTCAGGTTAGAACACAGCCCTCCAAGCGCCCTTGGCGCTGATGTGTATCCTCTGAAATGGAGGTCGCTCCCAGATGATGTCCTGCCAGATATAAGCGGCATCCCATCCATCGACCGAGCACTGTATCTCTTCAACACTGTCAAGTTTCATATTGGCCACCACTACCAGTTCATTGACGACCAGACTTTCCTACAAAATCTGAACGAATTCTACTACGGAAATGCGCAGGAAAAAGCGTTGGAGCTCCGACTTTGGTTTGTCCAGTTCCTTATCGTCTTGGCCTTTGGAAGCGCCTTTCTCTCCAGAGCCAAAAATCGGAATGAGCCCCCAGGGGCGGGATACTTTGTACGAGCAATGGAGCTCCTTCCAGACCTGGGATCATTATGGAAAGATAGTCTCCTTGCAGTTGAAGTGCTCGCCCTAGCCGGACTTTATCTCTACTCGATAGGTCATAGGGAATCTGCCAACGTTTATGTAAGTCGTATTATGAAGGCTCCTTTCCTCGAATTGTTAATCTAATCCGACTGTTGTTTTGTGATTTAGCTCGGTCAAGCATTACGTATCGCTCAGTTGGAAGGATTACATACTCGGCTCCCTGAAAGCGAGCTTGGACACGAGACCGTGGAAAGGTGCAGGCGCCTTTGGTGGACGCTGTACATAATGGATCGTCACTTTTCAACATCCCTTGGAATTCCGATGTCTACCACAGACAGTGATATCTCGGCCTTGATCAACTCATCCACCACAAGCTCCCAGGAAGACACGATACTTAATTTGCAAGTCAAATTGTCACACTTGACTTCCGTCATCTTACGCAGTTCGTACCAACTCATAAATCAAATCAAGCCCTTGGAAAACTAACATAAGTTTCTACAGCTATATACGCGACGGATAAAACGGAACTGGGTGCGTTCCTGGAGAAGACGAAATCTATATTACACACGCTTGCAGGCCACGCACAGGAAATCGAAGAAATCATCCATGCTAAGTTCCACAATTCCGTCGCTGCGATGTCCCAAGGGACTCGCCATATCACACTCCTCTACCACCAGGTATGATTTTATCCGGATTCTGTCTGATTGTTTGTGGCTACTAACTGGTTTGAACGTGGTTTTAGTGTGTTATTCTAGCCACTAGACCTTTATTGCTATCCGTCCTTAAGGAGCGGTTAGAGAAACTAGGACGAGCAGATGAGGACTGGCAGGGTTTTTTCGAATTGACGACAAGACTGATCACTACGAGCATCAAATCCGCGACGAAGACAATCCAAATATTATCCGAAGATGATAATCAAACAGGTAAGTTCCTTTTTCCCAAAAGCATCGTATACACTGGACTGGGCTCTGACATGTCAAAAATTTCAGACGTCTTTCTGCCATTTGATCTCGAGTTCATATACGGTGCAGCCCTTCATATGGTTATGGCCAGCTCCCTTTTCCCCGGTGTAACCGATGGCCAAGGTTACGTCCAACAAGCCCATTCCATCTTTGACGACATGATCGGCAAGGGAAACAAGCTGGCCCAGGGCCATCGAGCCGAACTGGCACATTTGGAAACCTTATTCCAAGAACTTACACGACAATCCGAACAGCGGGGTCTCGAAACTCTCAAACTCAGAGCACCAGACGGATCAGAATACGATAATTTCGGAAGTCATCCCGCATCTCTAGGTCCCGAGATTGACCCTGCGCTAGTCATGGCTTCAGTGCCGCCTACGATAGGTATCCCCCTATCGATAGGGGGTGATATGCCCCCTTCGCCGACATCAGGGACAACCCAGCCCTTGACCAACATGGAATTTTTGGACAATATAGGTATATCTTCGTTCGACTTTTTCGATATTGTTGATCAGTTGGGCCAGCCAGAAATGGAGAATTCAGATATTTTGGACCCGCAGTTGATGTAAAATATTCAATCGCGTCGAAAGTTTCGTTCGGTTGGCGTTGGGTTCCCGCGGGGAAAATGTCGATTTTCTTTACTTTTCGATATAACTTCGGCTTTCTATTCAGTCAATTCCACAAACCATGCTTCTATTTGACGCGTTACCTCCACAGAGCTCGTCTTTAATCCATCACTCTGTATGGCGCCACCTTCGTTAGTCGTACCAGCTGGCAACACTTCGGCAATCGTGTTTAATATGAACCGAATGGCGGAAGATTTGAGGTTCATATCAGGTATCAAGCGAGAAATTTCATTATGGATGTTGAGAAAGTTTCAAAAAGGATCCCGCCGGGCTACGGTACAAAGATATACACCTTTCAGTCTCCCCCATTCCGTAAACTCTTGAGCCTCCATGGTCTGATTTTTTGAGATTTTCACGTGAGTTTCGACTCCCCAGGGCGATGATGCGTACTACTCGCAAGATTAGCTAGCTACAGGACCCTAGAATCGGCAATGTGGCTTCGCTTGAGTCTTCGGGCCTACAATCAGGTCCACCAAGCCGAAGATAGGGTTAATCGAAACTCAATGCAGACACCAGGGACGGTATTGAGTACCTATCACTTATCTCGACAACCATTAATGAGCTTCAAGGTGGTTCATGCAGGGATCGGGATGTATGCCCACAGAGGAGAAGCAAATGGAGAATGGCTCGGGTTTCCCGAGATGTGGAGAAGGTAGCTTGGAACGAACTAGGTACCTGCTGATAACACATCTACACGCTACGAGCCTAAGATGGAGCGGATAATAGAGTACTGAGTCAAAAGATGGCTAGATTTTGGTGAATCCGTTTTATTGAGAGAATTCATGGGATGAATGCTAAGAACGAGCTCGATCCAATAAGCATTGACGGGGCCGTCATGTAGAGGAAAACAGCAGTTGACGGGCTTTTGCGTCAGGTTCAAGTCAATAAAGATCAATAGCTTTGTTTCTGAACTATGCGCGGAATGGATATGAAATTCATTAATTCTAATTCTCTAATCATGCCAAGTCAAATTCAATGGTCCCCCAGCCTTCATAAGTACAGGACCAGTGTCCCGGCTCCTTTGCAGGCATAGCCCTCAGGCAACTTCCAGGTAGAATGACCTGGCCAGGCTGAAACTCGATATCGAACTCTGCTAGGCGGTTGACCAACCACGCCACAGCAGCCAGGGGGTTGCCGAGGATGTTCCTAGTGTTTCCGTCCATGATCTCCTTTCCGTTGAACTCAAGATAACCCCGCATGTTGCTCAGGTTGAGGTCTGTAATGCGCTTGGGCGGCCCGCCAAGGATGACAGCTCCATTGGAGCCGTTATCAGCAAGGGTATCCTCCAGGCTGATGGTCCAATTTTGGACACGAGAGTCGATGATCTCAATGGCGGGGAGTGCATAGTCAATGGCGTTGATGACGTCGGCGACGGTAACGTTGGGACCCTTGAGCTTTCCCTTGAGGACGAACGCGGGTTCAAGCTCGACAAAGGGCTCAATATAATTGGACAAAGGAATCTTGATGCCCTCGTACTCGAACCTGGAGGCTAGCAAGAAACCATAGTCGGGTTCATCAACGCCGAAGTAATCCTGCATCACCTTGGCGATGTTGCCGAGTTTGTATCCGACAATGCGGTCGCCATTCTTGACGTCACTCTCCGCTGAGATTTTGGCAATCTCGAACGCACTCTTGACGTCCAGATTAGGGTATGTTTTGGAGGGGGCAACGACGGGTTGGCGAGTGGCGCGGGCGTTGCGCATCAACTCGGAGATGGTGTTTAGGTCTTTGGCGTCCATTGTGAAATAGTATATACAGATTTAAACCATAGATCGAATGCTGAATATAAGTGATCAACAAACATAAAATAATTAGAAATGAAAGGGAAGACTGCTCTATATACCGAGAATCATTACAACCACGAGAAAATGCGATGGATAACCATCATGGGAAAAGGTCTCAGTGAACATGTAGCGATGGAGCCCAATCACATCACTCGGAATAATATGCGGTGATCCCGACAGGAGCGAGGCCGATTAGAAACTTGTTCGTCCCCGTGGCTCAAGAGAATGTGCTCAGTAGTTCACGGCTGTGGAGGCAGATTCTCCAACAATGGCATTTCTCCGCACCAAAACTACCCAAGATGGGAAATTTCGAGGCTAGCTGCTGCCGAGTGTGGATTTCCTCATTTTCCATTACCTACTTTGTCGGAAGGAAGCCGAGAGAGCCTCGTTGCCTCTCGAGTGTGGTAGCTCTCTCCTGGTTATCAAATTCTGACTACGCCCAGCCTCGGGACCTAACGTGTTCCATGGGGCTTCCAGGAGGCCCTGGACAAGAGGGAGTGTATGGATGAATCTTTCCGATCATGGGGTTATGGTATCCTCTTGGTTGTGGATAACACCCGAACAGCATGTGTGGTGGTACTCACTTAAATTCCCTAATTAGGAAAAGCAGATCCAACACACTGGTGGTAGTATTTGCACAACGACAGTCCGACTTCGCTTCCTTTTCACGCTCGGGTTAAAACGGGACAGAACTGAGGTCGAATGTCAGATTTAGATGCCGTTTACTGACCTCGTCGCCAGGGTCGACTTGGCGCAACATTTGCGTCCCCATCGGCCTTGAGGAGGTGGAGATGCATTCAGTGAAACGTAAATGTGATGTGAGAAAAGCGAAGGGGGGAAATATTGCCTGAATTGGTAATGGTGTGAACTTCGAGCATATCAATAAATAACGAAATATTAGGAAAACTAGGATAGATCAACACAAGAGTTTAACGATTTCTGGACGGCACTAAGCCCCGGCCCATATTCTCCAAGGCTCGGGAGAAGCAAGATTTGGAGCATCTCCCGAATGTTCCTCATCAAGCATACAAAGCAAAAAGCTTCAATATAGAAATTTCCTCGAGGAGATCTGATGCGAAACGTAATCATTAGAGGATCTATCAGTGTCTATTTATAAAGGACCTTTTATCAGAGCCGTTTCATTCGTATCTCATCAATCGTGCCAAAAAGCCCTCTAGAAAGTCGCCAAATATTGACCCCCTCATCACACACATTGGTTATAATGAGTAGGGAGTAGTTTTTCTTATAATGTAGATTTGCCCGATAAGGACAGCACTGCCAACCACCATCGTAAATGCAATGATTGGGATATTGATCCGTGCAAACTCGAGGTTCCCAACCTTGATATGCTTCTTCATGAGAATGTCGCGCCAGAGCAGCCCAGCCAAAGAGGCACTGAAGGCGGTGCTGAATGCTCCGTAGTTGACACCCAATGCCATTCCGTAGACGGTGGCCCAGAATGTGCGATCGCTTATGGCGACACCGTTCTGGCGATGTATTTCTTGCCACGCTTGAATCACACGGGAAAGCAGAATCGTAGTCCCGATGTTTGTGCCAGCAAACTTCCGGTTATGTCAGCCGGAGGACGCCTCAAAGGTGGAAGTGGGAAGACTTACGTTGCATAGAATGACGGAGAGGAACCCCATGCCACCAATGGCGCCCACTGTCCCTGTCTTTTCTACCCAATGGTCCCACCCGTACGCAAAGACAGGCACCCAGCCCTTGGTAACTAGGGCCTGCACAAGCACGAACATGGCAAAGGCAAATGGTACCAGCGGCAGCGGCAGAAGCATGAGGACCGTGGTTGCGTTTGGGAAGGTCTCTCGCAGCCAGACCCAGCTATCTCTGATCAAGGAAACAAGCGTCACATGGTTTGACGAGTTCACTTGGCAGGTACTGGTGGATGAGTTTCGTGGCTCTTTTGCGCTCAGAGTATTCTTGGGATCTTTGTGTGAAGGTTGTACTGGCGGTGGTTTCTCGTTGTCGGCATGCTGCTGGATCTCTGGGTTTGTCCTTTGGGTGGTGGCTGCCTCGGAAATTTCTGTTGAGATTTCGGTTAGCTTGATCTTACTTGGCGAACCATTCTCACTAATCTAGGACAATTGTGAACATCAGAATGCGTACCATGGCCTGTGGTAGTAGTAGCTTGTGGAGATATCGCTCTGGTATTGGCACTGGACTCAATATCCCCATCACCGCTTAGCATTTCCAGATGGTTCTGGCCGTTACGTGCGATTTTCCGTGTTTCTTCCCGTTTGAACCACCCAAAGGCAAGGTCCCAACATAGCATGACGACTGCAGCGGGAAGGGTAATCCAAAACACATGCAACTGGCCGTGCCCTCCCATGGCGGCGTTGATTGTAAGAAGGGTAATCAGAGTCACTGCCATCAGAAGACTTCCAAAGATGGCGCCTGGCTTGTCAAGAAACGGATTCATGATCTCCGCCAGTGGGAGAATCTTTTCTTCTGCGACATCTCCTTCTCCACTAGAGACTCGGGAGTTTGGAATATTGGGATTAACCGGCTTCTGCTCTCTTTCTTCAAGAGGAAGTTCATGGATGTCGATAGTCTTTGGAATGAGTCCCTCACCTCGGAACACGACATAGAGAAGAAAGGGGAACAGGGCGATCGCAGTGATAACAACGGGGACGATCATGTTCGCCGTATAATTGATGAATTTGATCTCAAAGGCCCCGGCCAGAACAAGGTTAGTTGGGTTAGATGACACAAGGATAGCGGAAGCGATGTTGGCCATGGCGAACTGTGTGAAAATCCATGCTCTCGGGTTTGCAATATTGCTTGAAGCACGGGTCATGTACGCCAAGAAAGGTGTCCCAGATAGAATGATAGGGTCGTTGCCAACACATCCGCTCAGCAAAAAGAAAAAGGCGTACAGGAAAAAGAAGAGGCGGTGGCCAGCCTTTCCTGCGCGTTGGAGAACCTTGAGTGCGAGGTATCTGATGAGGCCCGATGCATCGATAGAGATGGCGATGTAGGCCAGCGTGATGAAAAAGATCATAATGTCAAGCGGAGAAATGTTCGCAGTGCCAATAGTGCCGTCGTGGACTTCTTTTCGGCCTATCGCCAAAATGGCCAGCAGAAACAGATCTGCTATCAAAGGCGCCGTGATCAGGTTCATCGGGAACCAAAGTCGCACATACGCCTTGCCGCCATCTGCTGGGGACTCATATCGACGGGGGATAATTCTCAACGAGCTGAGACAGTCCAGACAAGCGTAATAGATTGATTTGGGGACGAGAATCGGTATGTGGAAAGGGAAAAGCACATTGAGGTCTGCCAAATTGCCCGCTTAGCACCTGCATCTCCATGCTCTTGGTCATTCTGCGCAACTCACTGGTCAGGACGAACACGATGAGCGTGACGATCGAACGCCAATGCGTGATCTTGGACGTGTCAAGATCTTCGGCCATTTTCTCGAGCCGGTTCTGGCAAGCAGTGTTGCGCAGTTGGGCTGCACCCCGTGAAAGAGAAGATTGACGGAAGCAGGTTTCAGTCTTCAGGGAGCAATTTAGCGTAAGTACCTATTGACGTCAAGGCAAAATTTCCACAACGGCTCCACCGCAACAGTGAATCGATGGATGCAACGCAGATTATTATTGTTTGAATGAATTGAATTACGCCTCACCGTCTCTCGTATTGTCGCTGCCCAATTGCACTTTCTGTCAATTCAGACTTGTCGCAAAGCTAATGCGGGCTCTGGAAGACATTGTCTCACTTCGCAATTCTCAATCCCGACCGAGCAGCTGTGATCATGATTCTGCTCAGCATGACTCAATAGGATCATGAACGAGGGCTGAGAGGGAAATGCAGTTCATGAGGGCTCCAATTCTTGGCGAAGGTCACTTGGACTGGGCTGTGCGATGATGACGACAATCGAGGAACTTATCAAGCCAATGAAATATTGCAATTGAACCACGTTATTCTTGTGAGAGAATTGACACGCCGCCACCAAATTTGAAGTCAACTTGGCAGTGGCTTGGCTGAGCCTTGCCTTTATCTCAATCACAGAAATCAATTTGGGAGCCTTCCCTGGACGTCTCTATTAAAGAGAAGAATAAAGTTATGCTTGCGTTACCTTTCACACAGATTGATTCTTTCCGGATGTCAGTGAAGCTGCAGGGTAAGTGAACTAATGTACCCTGATGTTCTGGTTCGCTGACCGCCTGTACAGCTGGACGGTTAGATCCTGGCCGACGAGCATGGCGAGGGATTGACAAGCGGAGAGTGAAAAGATTATAGAAATAAGAATAAGGACGACTATATCCAGATGGCTGAGTCGCACATTGCCTTGGGGCTGTTATGTAAGGTAAATCCCACATTCTTGCCTACGAGGTCATCTCACGACCAAAGCTCAAGCTGTCCGGAATCGGATCCCGAGCCCGCTCCTCGCCTCCAGTTCCGATCCCTGCCCGTTAATTATTCCCCAAAATACCTACCATGGGGTAATCGCACCAAATCTGAAGTCAGTCTGAAGCCACATTCATTGCCTCTCTACGTGGAGGATCTTCCGATTATCGGGGGCTCTTTGTGCTTTGGCGACTGGCTTTCACTTCAACATGCTATCTATCATATTAACAGGCTATCAATCATGTCATCCAGGCTATCTCTACACATATATGATCTAGTCATGCCATACGGAGTACTGTCTCACCAGCGCGATTTAGGCCTGCTTGTCTGGCCCCAATAGAGAGCGACTCTTCCCCGCAAGTCACACACCGCATTGCTCTCTATCTGCCTTTTGAGCTGATCTGTAGACTGATCAGCGTCCATGCCCATCCACTTGCCTAGTGGATTTACTAGTTCTCACCAGAATCCAGACGCACCAGATCGGTTCACTCTTTCAGTCAGCCGGGCGGGGTAGAACCGAGCCGGGAGGGGGTGTATCGAAGAGGCGATCCGTCCGTTAGGCAGCGAAAAATTACCTGTTGCCGGCATTGTTTGACGGTTAGTGCGCGGAATCGGGTGGGGAGAGAAAACGTGATGTAGCATCTACCCCCGGAACTCATGGACGCTGTTGCCAATGTGATGAGCGACCCTGCTACGTATTTAGTATCATGCAGGCAATGGCAATGAGGTGTGCCAGCGATCCAGAACCTTTGATTCCTACTCCCCCAATCCCCCGCTGTTTGCCTCCTCACTCACCTGCCCATCAACTCAGCAAGAGAGAGGAAAAAGAACATCATCAATACACCAGGCTAGTAATTCACAATCATCCGCCATGGCTCCGCTCGCTTCTTCTCTTCAGGATCCCTCGCTTCTGATCGAGAAGGCGTACATCAACGGTGAATGGGTCTCATCAAAGTCAGGGGAGACATTCGAGGTCCGGAACCCCGCCACGGACGAGGTGCTTGGCTCGTGCCCGGAATCAAACCTTGACGACCTCAACGACGCAATCGCCGCCGCAGAAGCAGCATTCCCCCTGTGGCGAGCTCAGAGCGGTCGCGCCCGGGCGCGCATCCTGCGTAAATGGTTTGACCTGATCACCGCTAGCAAGGTAGACATTGGGGCAATTATAACTGCAGAAAATGGCAAAGCCAAGCCTGACGCCGAGGGCGAGGCCGTCTTCACTGCTGGATTCTTCGAGTGGTTTGCCGAGGAGGCGCCTCGCCTGTACGGCGATGTCGTGCCTCACAGCAACCCTACTTCCAGAACCACAATCCTGAAGCAGCCAATTGGCGTATGTGGTCTCATTCTCCCATGGAATTTCCCTATGGCTATGGGTGCTCGCAAGATCGCCGCAGCCCTGGCTGCCGGATGCACTGTTGTCGCCAAGTCAGACGGTCTCACTCCGTTTTCCTCCAACACTTTGGCTCTTCTGGGTGAGCGCGCAGGTCTGCCAAAGGGTGTCTTGAACATCGTCACTTCTCTGAAAAATACCCCCAAGCTGGGACTCGCAATGTGCGAGTCGGACGTCATCAAGAAAATTTCCTTCACTGGATCTACCAGAGTTGGCAAGCTGCTGATGAAGCAGTCTGCCAGCACGCTCAAGAAACTCAGTCTCGAGTTGGGGGGCAACGCCCCCTTCATCGTTTTCGACGATGCAGACATCAAGACGGCCGTGCAGAGCGCTCTCATCGCCAAATTCAAGGTCACCGGCCAAACCTGTGTTTGTGCCAACAGGATTTACGTCCAGGAGGGGATTTACGATGAGTTCGCCAAGCAGTTTGTCGAGGGTGTCAAGAGCTTCCGTGTAGGTCCCGGGACCGACCCCAACGTCACGCACGGTCCCTTGACCACCAGCGTGGCCAAGGTCGAGGAGCACGTGCAGGATGCTGTGTCCAAGAAGGCCAAGGTCCTTCTTGGTGGCAACCGCCTGCCCAACCTCGGGAATAACTTCTATGAGCTGACTGTTCTGGGTGATGTTGACGACACCATGGTCGTCTCCAGCGAGGAAACATTTGGTCCCTTGGCTGCCATTACCAAGTTCAAGACCGAAGACGAGGTGATCAAGAGGGCCAACAGTGTTGAGGTTGGTCTAGCTTCATACCTCATGACCACTGATCTCAACCGCTACCACCGTGTCACTGAAAGGCTGGAGTTTGGTATGGTGGCAGTTAATACTGGCGTCATTGCTGACCACGGTGCTCCGTAAGTGTTGAACCCCACATTCTATGCTTCCCTTACCTTTTGTGACGCCCGTAACTAATTATTTTCTCGCAGATTTGGCGGTGTTAAGCACTCCGGCTTTGGTCGTGAGGGAAGCAAATACGGCTGCGACGACTACTTGGTGCACAAGACAATTGTGACCGGGGGCATTGACACAAAGTACAATAGCCTCTTATAATAAACAAGTAAGAAATAACGGGACGTATATAGATGCTGGATTTAGTTGAATTAAGTGAAAAACAGCTCCTTCACCTATAAATATGAATGCCTGGCGGGAATGATTCGATCCCGCAGTGACCCTTTTGAGAACCGCGAGATGCTTAGGACAGTTTTCTCCAACACGGCTTCCATCCAATGAGGTCGCTTAACTCAGTTGGTTAGAGTGCCGTACTAATACATGCATCATATGTGTCTAGTAATGCGGACGTCGCCAGTTCGATCCTGGTAGTGACCATCTCATCTTTTTGCTCCTCTACGTGGGTACGGGTTGGTGCGGAAAAGGAAATTAACTTTGTTGCTGCTTTCTACGAAGCTTGCCCTAATGTTTCTTCTTGCCTTTTGGAGCCTTGCTTTGCTGTTAAAATTGTTGTGTGAGATCCCGCTATAGCACTGCCAAGCCAACATGTTTATCCATCACATGTGTTGAGAATGCTTTCATTATCGACCTTAAGATTTTAGTACGACAGGGCGTCGGGCGACAATGGGCCGTTCCTGGAAGAGTAGTCTACACCTAGTGAGGGAAGAGAAAATATCAACTAATATTAACTTTAGGCACAGTTGATCATCTGATGTCAAACTATTCTTAGCTCAGCCCGAGGAACCAGGGGCAACTCTTGTAAAAGTATATGATGATTTGACTTTGGATTCGATGGGAAACAAGTTAGATAATTCGCCATGATATCGAGTCTTTCAGATTTCAAATGCCATTAGTCTCTCGGGGTTTGCACCTGGCGCTCACCAGTTTACAAAGGTTTCTCATTTAACCTTCGCAACAGAGACACTAGTACCTTGATTCTTGGTATTAAAGCAGCAGTTCTCCCTCCCAAAGCAGCCTTATCCTTTCGTTACACCATCTCGGCTCACGTCCTTTCTTGCTGATTTGAAAACAACTTCTATCGCTATCTTGACCTGTCGGTACAATGAGTGGACATCGGTTTATGGCCCTCATTTTGGGTTACGTGAAGTTAATTTGCATCTTGACTTTGGTCGTGGGAATAATCATGGGGGCTCTCTTGGAAAATCAGTTGTCTCAAAGTTTCGGTGGTCTCGGGTTCGACGACCAGATTCATTCCATCACAGTCTTGTTGATCACGGTACTGCCCCGCGGACCCCATTCATTTCCATGTTATTAATCCAGTGCCCCTTGGCTAACTCCGTGATTTACCCATCCCTCTAGACTGGTGGATTTTGCGGTTGGACGATCGTCTCCATCATCGGAGCGATAGCCTGCCGGCCACGATGGACGTGGGTTACGGGTGTCCTGGACATGTTCTTCATCTCCATCATCGCGGTCAATCTACCACTCCTGATCACTCTAACCAGCTTCACCTGCGATCCCGATCTCGAAAATGGCGTTTGCGATTTATCCACTGTTATGGCCGGAGCGTATTTTATTGCCATGTACGTCCTATCCAGCTTGATGTCCCAGTCCATCGTCAACTTGTGTTCGCTAATATGCCGTTTTGGGTACCAGTCTTCTTACCATCTTCTCAGGAGTCATTGCCATAGTGATTTCCCTATGGCCTTTCAAGTACGAAGGCGAAACCGAACATCGACATGTGATCTGGCTTCGGTGCGTCAAAGGCTGGGGTACGAGTATTCGGGGGCTTATGTCGTGGCGTCCAAGCACACCGCGTTCCTTTTGGCCGGGGAAAGAACCAGGCCGAGAGCGCCTCGACAGAATTACATTGGAAGAGCGCAATCTGGGTAGGTAGATTGTTGTCGGGATCATTTGTGAAGGTGGCGGACTGCTAGTTACTGTGAGGGGCTAAATTGCAAGAAAAAAAGGTTTACAAGAGATCTACTGGGCTGAGAAACTAAGGTAGAATGTCTTGCTTAGGTGATTGATTTGATGAAAGATGGCCAATATCATTTAATTACAATCACTAAGAGTCGTAACGGTGATTAAGAGTCCCAATAAATAGCAGGATGCTATTCTCTTTCAGAAGTACTTGGTCAAGATATCTCTAGAAGGTCCTCTAGAATACGCTCTGGTGGAAGTTGATCATGGCGAGAGTTCTGAAACCTCCCTTTACGTGGGCTTGGCGGCATTGATTGAAGGAAGTCCATGTAGCGTTTGACCTCTGCTGGACGGTAATCGTGCAGATCTAGAATGGAAAGTCTTAGGATCACAGACCCACGAATTATGAAGACTAAAACGTACCTTGCGATATTCTCTTCCGGGGCTTTCGTCTTTTGAATAATAATAGAACCAATGCTATATCGGATGCTTCAAAGTTCTTAAAACACTTCTGAGCAATTTTCAACGCTTGTTGCATCTCCAGCCGCCTTGTTGTATACTCGCCAGACCATATGTTGTTCCGAAGCTCTCGCACATGGCCGGAGCATGTCTTTCTTGCTACGGCATCATCAAACTCCGGGTATAGGTTATACAACCCTGCTTGAATTAGCTGAGAAAGAGACATTACACAAGATCGTCCGCCATGGTGCAACGCTCCTTGAGACAGATATTCTCCATTATCGTAATCATCATTGTCAAGCCGATGATTGAAAAAGCTCTCCATTTCTTTGTCGCGTTTAGCAATGCCGCGATAAGCGTGAAGCAAAGATTTGCTATGTGCAAACTGCCCACGAGGAAATTTTGTCGTATCAATTGCGCATATCTTCACCTCGTAAGGTGTTTGCCAGCGGTCCTTGCGAGGCCTACGTCCGTAGCATCTCCAAATCGCGCACTGAATAGTGAAAAGTAGGGAGCTGCTCCACGATACAAGATTATCCGACTCATCGGCTCCAAAGTGGATATTTCTCAAATGTTTGAACAGCATCGAGGCTGCTTCTTCGTCCTGTAGAGAGAGAAGGTCGATTCTGTCGCGCCAAGATCCCGCATGGGGATACTTGGTCTCCATAGAGGCCACGATGTCTCCATTGAGCGTACACGAGCTTTCAATGTCGAACGCTCTGAACAAATACCGTGGGACATCTGCAAGCTGACATCCAGGATGGCGACTTGCTGGAGGATAGAAGATAGTTGGCCCACCGTAGCATTTATTAAGTGCTTCAACCCAAAATCGAACCCACTGCTCGGCAGTCTTCTCTTGTTCTTTTCTCTGGTTGTCCAATCTTCGGGGACTTCTCGCGCCGTAAGCCTCGGAGTAGGCTTCGTCATGAAGCAAACGGTCTTCACGGTCGTAGTAGGCCTCGCTCTCGAAATGAGGATCGTAAGGAGTTACAAGACAGGCCTCAGACAATGGAATGAAGTAGTTGTCCGGATGTAGACGACCATTGAGACATTCTTCATAGCACATTTCCAACACTTCTCGGAGTACGTCGACATCGTCGCAGCCACTATCGAGCACATGTTGAATGATATCCCTTACATCTCTCGTGAAATGAGAAAGCATCTTCTCCTCCGGCGATCCGGGCCGAACAAGGGACACAATGTACGCCTTGATATATGCTTCACTGTCATTACTCAGGCTCTCCGCCATTTTCTTGAGCTCCCTGGCCTGCCGTCTTACGGAGCTTATCTGGCCGATCTCTTGACCCGCAGGCGTCGGGATGGTTTTCCGATCGTCTATGGAAACGAGTATCTCCCTTGCCTGGGCAGCCGTGGCCTTGGAGGATTCCATCAGCGCCTCCAGAAGGCGATATAAGTCTGGCTGGGTCGTCTTCAGGACACCTGTCTCAAGGCCGGACAGACCACCGGGCTTCGGCTTCCCAATGTATACGACCTGGTTGTAGGTATCGTCTGCCATGCTGCTGGATATACGTCAAATGCGGCTGTGGGCGATGATGCTGGAAGGAAGTTGTACTTGGCTAATTTTAAATCGTAAGACGTGGCTTCACTGCAACCTCGCCCTGCAAGCCCCTCATCTGCCGGGCGGACCTTGAAACGGACCCTTCGGTCGTGATCTGCACTTTTGCTATCTGCCCAGCGTGATTGGGGAATCTCGCTGTCCGGCCGACAATGCGATGCTCCTATTTCATCATTGGCAATGAGTGCCCTTGGGATCTGGCGATGTATCCACTCAATAAATTTCGCGATGGGGTTATAATAGACATATATTGGGAATGGTGGTGATTCGATTGGGCGCTCTTTGTCAACTTCAAAGTCCTTTTCCTAGATGTACCTTGGACCTCCTCAAAAGCCCAAAGGATAGGGACTAGGCTGATTGACTCGACTGTGATGGCAGCTTGGTAGAGTTCTAAATTCGCGAAATACAACATGTCACTGTAAACACGACGACGCTAAAGTACCATGGGACTCGGTATACGAGTTAATTTAACCAGGCATGTCTATAAAGCAGGGATACGATTCCTGGCAATCCCGTCATTGGAAATGCGGCGATTAACCGAATGGGACGCGTTCTGCCTATCCTACTCCAGGTCCGCTTCATCAAAAACACGAATGAACTCGTGGAAAAACAGAATAGCTTCAAGGTGAACTTCAATCGGCACCTGCGTAAAAGAGTTTTCATCAGTATGAGAAACGGATCAAGGCGGGAATATGCCGGAGACTTACATGCTCATTCACATCATGAATCCCGCCCGGGCCGTCATTGTGTCGGTCCCTGCCCGGCCCGAACCTGTAGATTTGGGGGCTGAGATCCCAATAATACCGCGTGTCTGTGTTACCGATGATTTGCATGGGTGCCACGGTGACGTCCCCCCCATCAACCGGTTCGTCGAAAACGTGCTTGATCACGCCGGACAGAGCGGACCAGGTGGGCGAGTCCGTGGACGTCACCGGTGAAGACTCCAGGGCTGCATTGTTCCAGGACAGCGCCAGCGTGTACTCGGGAACCTCGGCTGGCGGCTCTCCGACCCCAGGCTTGGGCCCGGCCGTAAACTTGAGGCCAAACTTATCTGCCACAGGCTTCAGCGTGTTGATCAGCTTCTCGCGGACCTGTCCGACAGTTTCCGTGCTGGAGACGCGGTAGTTGATCAGGCCATTGGCGAATGCTGGCAGTGCGTTGGCCTTGTTGCCACCCTGGAAGATAGTTACGGCCTGCGTGGTGTGGAAGAGGCTCTTGATGATGGGATCATGGGACAGGAGCTTGACAATCTGCGAAGTGCCCTGGGGGTCGCCGATCGCGTCGCGAAGCTCATTGGGCATCTCGGTCGATGGATCTTCTGCTGCGCACTGCAGGAGGGTGTAGAAAGGGTTGTCAGTCCTGAGCTCAAGCGGGAAGTTTGCCTCGGCAGCGTTTTCAAGCGTCGTGACGGCCTGAGCAAGAATGCCGATTGAAGTATGAGCCGGCGGGATGCTGCTGTGCCCGCCTGGAATGTGGACTGTGACTTCAAGATCGAAGTAGCCTCTTTCTGAGACCTGGGGGATTCCAAAGCTACGGCCAAAGCGATCTACGATGAGTGTTTGACCCTCATCGACAATGATTGCGAAGGAGTCCGGACCCCAAATATCGGTGATTCTTTTGGAGAGCCGGGCTGCGCCGTATTGAAAACCGCTGGTTTCTTCGTCAAAGCCGAATGAAAGAACAACAGTTCGCCGGGGCACAAAGTCTTGGTCTAGGAGAGAAGTGATGCTCGAGAGAATTGCAATCAGATTATTCTTGCAGTCCTGGCTTCCCCGGCCGTAGATGAACTGGCCATCGAAGTGGCCTGAGTAAGGGGGATACTTCCATTCCGAGAGCGTGTCGGCGGCCACAGGAACGGTCTGTGGTGGCACATTAGCATCAAATACCCCATCACCAAGTACCTGAAGCCACTCACATCTTGATGGGCCATGAGCAGAATCGGCTTCAGCTGTTCGTCGCTACCTTGCCAGGTGTAGAGAAGGCCATGCTCGTTGACGAGTTCAAGGTGGAGCTTTTCGTGACTGGCAAGTTATGAGCATCAGTGCGTCGAAAGTACAGTGGTAAGTTGATGTATGAAATGAAACTTACAGTAAGGGAAATGTTTTCCTCAGGTATTTCTCAAAGCTGTAGAAGACATCCCAGCGCTTGTCCTCCCCGAGCCGACCCAAATCCTCGAACGTCTCAGTTGGCACCTGAATCGCGCCACTCAGTCGTTGGACGCTCAAATCTTGGAACGAATCGGACTTGAACAACTGGTTCACGTTCTTTTCGGTGATATCAGGCCTGGCCACAGGAGAGACCTTATTTTGAGCGGGACAGCGCGAGAGACTCTGTACTACGAGGGTCCCCGTCTCGGTCTCAGGTCGCATACAATGCCCATCATTGCGAAAATTACGGGGTGACAGGTGGTGGAAGATTTGGAAAGAGAGCAGCAGCATGGAGAGAACTGCAATACCTCGTGCGATGTGTGCCAGAGGCCGATTACGGTGCCTCGGAAGTGCTGTTGACGGCGAGCCCAATTGGCTGCTCAGTAGCGCCTTGTCCGCCATTGCACCGGTAAATGTGATTTCAATTGATCAGTATGCAGGTGGGTATGTCGATGGACTGTTGAACGATCGCGCGGATAAACGTGGGAGGAGAAAGAGGTGGATGAGCCGGCAAGCGGCACACGCGTTTGTCGAGGGGCGAGAATTAATCCACAAACAAGCGGGGTTGTCTTACAGCATGTCAAATACTAACCCACTTTGATATTACTTGTTGGCTAGAATCTATCGAATCATTCTCCATTGTGAGTTACAAGCATGGTGCCTTAGCGGAACGAAGGTGATACAGTTTCACATAGGCATAAATCAATGGTGCTCCTAGTATATCTCTGGGAAGCTGCTTGCAAAAGAGAATAAAATCGCTTCGTACAGTCAGTGTTGGGCGGTGAATGCCGGCGTGTGCGAAGAGGATCTGCCGTATATGATAGCACCGGCATGCGCTTAGACAGGCAGATACGAGGCAGATTGAGGAGGGTCGTTTTATGAAGAAGCTCTGCGACAACCCTTGTCTTAGATAACCAGGTGGTCCGAGGTTGTATTGGCTCACGGCCAGCACAATTTGGGGCGGGATCATGGCATTATTGGAAAGACGATATCATGCTGACTGTAAGGAGTCGCCTAGTCACGATTGGAGGATGAGGTAAAGTGTATCGTGTGCAAGGTCCATCGAAACCGAATTCAGCTAGAGCGTATGGCGATGTTTTGGACGAGGGAAGGGGAGTATTAGCTTGATTGGCAACAGAGCTTCCTTATCCGTTCGTCACCTTTCTTTTGTTCACATATCACATGTGGCTGAGTCTAGGCTCAGCTCAGCCATCGCCCCCTGCGACGGCCAATCTGTATGGACCTGACCTCTCTGTCCATCGTCAAGACGAGAGAGATCGCTCTAGACCCGGCTGAGTTGTCTTACATTAAGACGAATGATCAAAAGGCTTTCTTGTGGCAGCCTCTGACCTCTCCGTCTATTGCGCCAGGATGTTGATTGCCACACTGGAATACATGTGTCTAGACTCGTAAAAAAAAAAAGCATGCTCCTGCATAATGCTGCTGAAATTGAAACACCCTCACCTTCGTCCTGGCGAGCTGAAAGCAGGTGGCAAACCAATCAATGCGTCCAAACAAACACGTTGAGAAGTTGGAAAAAGCATTTAAAGTCTCATGCCCAACAATTTCTATCCCATCGTCACAAACCAAGCTTCTAGCCGTTTGCATCATCCATCACGCCCCGTCTCTAGCGGCCCCCGAATTTGCTTCATACTGCCCAAGATATCAGACCTCGCTGATAATTCTTCCTCAATCATGTTGAACACTGCCAATACCCTCGTTGCCTACGACGGCCGCGAGGCCTGCGCCTCTCTCCCCCCTGGTCGCGACTACGGCAAGTTCAGGGAGATGTACAACGGCCGGATCATCTGTATTCAGCACGGCTTCAGTACGTGCGATGAATGTGATGTGGACTATGGCTGGCTAGATGACGACCTCCCTGCCGACGATGGTGAAGAGAACGAACACTTTGTAAGCCGTAAGTAATTGCGTTGGCCGGCATCACGGGAAAAGAATGCCTCTTACATGATGTGTCATTAGGCGCCGGAGTTTCGCTCGTTGATGAATTTCCGAGCTTCGATGGGAACGAGGACGCCGTATCCGACCTGATTGAGGATCTTGATCTCCATGACGATCCTTTCACAGAATCCGAGTTTGATTGGATGTCCGAAGCCGGCCGTGATTCTCCCCAAGATGACCCTTTCACTGAATCCGGGGTTGATCGGACATCTGAAGCCGGCCGTGATTCTCCTCAAGCTGGGGCTAGATTCCATCCCTAGACTCAACATCTGGAGCCGAGAAGCGGGACTGGCCGTGTTTTCCCATTATCCTTCCAATCCCCTGTGGCCCATCCTCTTGAATTGGTGAGACCTGAATGTCACTCTGCGTTGAGCGGAGAAACTCGGTAAGCCAACCCCCAATATGGCGGGAAGGGATGAGCCTTGAGCTGACCGGGCTTCATTTCAGTTACATCCACCGTGACAACGCCTCAACGGCCTTTGTCATAGTTAGTGGCTCGTGTCTAAACAACGGCACACCTGATGCCAGGGGAGGTTGGGCCATTGCCTTTGGCCCTGGGAACAACACGGCCGGCGGCGCCGTGGAGGCATGTAACCCCTTCACCGGCGGGTTCATCAAGCCAACCAGCAACCGGGTCAAGCTACGCGCCTTCATCGCGGGAATTCGCGCGTGTAGTTGGGCCGACGAGGGTTTCAACCATGTAATCATCGTCACGGACTCGAAATACCTCTTGGACGTGGGAACAGTTCGTGCCAGGACCTGGGGACCAGAAACTGGATTTACGCCCAACCAGGACCTGTGGCGATTGCTGCTGGGCGAGGTGGAGCGTCAGGATGACCTGGGAGTGTCTATCCATCTGTGGCAGTGCAGCGGTAGCGACGTATATGGGCTTGTAAACACGATTGCCGGCGAGGCCAGCCAGAGTAGCACGAATCCGACCCAATGGGCGGCCGGGCAAGGCATGTGAGTGAAGCTTGATGGCTGGCATCCTTGGGTTGTGGGTTTGCTGGGTGCGGCAGTTGTGTGTGTAGGCAGCACTCTCGTTTGATACTATTCGATTTTATTCATGCGTTTACTTATTTATTGCCGCGGGCGGTAGAGCTCCTGGTGATCTGGTGAACCATAAGCGTAAAAGCAAGTGCTATTTTTAAGAGCTATACAGCCAGATGATGGCAAACCGATTGTGAAAAGCTGAAAATCAAGCTGCCGGTGGCGGATTTAGGTGGATTTCTCTCAATCCCAACTTCAGCCATGACACCAGCCAATAGACAAAGAAAGAAGGAAAGAAATAACAAGAAGAAAAAGAAAAAGAAGAAGAAATCGAGAAAAAGAAGGGAAAAAAAAAAAAAACCGAACAGCGATGGGCGCAGAGAGAAGCTGCAAGCCTTACTGGATATTGAGGTTCGCAAGGGCGTGAACATTTTTGCATTGTTTCGATTCGTCTTGATGACCTGGCGTGGCCTCAGCCTCACAATGTTTCATGTCTGAGTCTGGTGTATTTAGGGTTTTTCTGTTTATTTTACTCTAGAATCTACCGAACGGCACATAAAGAAAAGCAGCGATAGCCTCAGCTCTAGATATCGACTTCACCCAATTTTGAACTCTGAATCTGCAAGCACCCATCTGCTCGCCGGACAGAAATCCCTAAACATCTGCCTTATGAGCGTCGGCCTCTTCCGTATCATCGGCCCGTTCACCATAATAGACGGGAATGTCGGATACAATCCGTGTCACATCGTCATCCCAGTCAGGTAAGTCACCATCGGTGTCCCAGGGAGGCCCATTCGGATACTTCTGACAATAGCTTTCACTCATATTATTGTGTAAGGCCATCTGATCAAAACCTGGTAGCGGTGCACTCTCCCTATCCTCGAAGTGATCCCACAAATGGTACTCCCACTTCTGCCAATTCCACTCTGGATGGGTTGATAATATCTCATCCGGTGACCCAGCAGAGGTTCCAGGGTCAAAATTGCATTGTATTATGCCAGATTCCCGATTGTTTGATAAATCCGCCAGCAGCCGAGGGAAATCATCAAAAAGAAAATGATCCATTATCCTCTGTACGTAGGAGCACCATCGACCACCCCACCTTGGAGCCTTGCACACAGTTTCCTGTAAAACAGCGGCTTCTTGGAGCTCTCTCCTGAATATTTCAGACGCTTCCTCAGGAAATGGATCGCCATCCATAGAAAGCGTCAACTGGCCGACTGGCATGCCCATGGAGGTGAGAATGCCGGCCTCTGACATCCAAGCTGCTACTACTTGGATGATATCCCCGAGCGGTAACTCGTCAGCGTCCCAGGGTACGTCACGAAGACGACAGTTAAATATCCCATGAATGTACCGTTGCCAGTGAAGTTCACGAGTATCCGATAGAAATAAGTTGCCCCATAGACTGGCACGTCGTATGATGCGCAAGGATGGGTTTTCCTGGCAGAACGGGATTAGCCCGAGAGCATGACACTCAGGGAACGCTACAGATCGATAGTCTTCATCAATCATGATATTTCGAACCAAGCAGCGGGTCTCCGGCATAATGCGGCGAAGGAAATAGATAGCAGTAGCAGCAGCGGAAAAGCGATATTTCCCATTATCAATGTAACGACATCGCTCGTAGACATGGTATCTCTTGTCGGGGTGGGTCGGGAGCTCGACCCAGGCTGCGTCTTCCAGCATGTTGTCGTCCAATTCATATTCAAGCGGAATATCCCAAGGATTTATTTCAAAGCTAACGAGCTTCTCGATGCGTTGTCTATCATGGCGTTGAGGCTTGTTGCTAGCTTGAGGCGATGGTTCATCATGGGGCAGAGAGGCCAGATGCGCGCGTAGAGCGTCGGGACTGGCAAAGTAGACTCGAGATGGAACCTTGTCCGGGGAATTAGCTTGTAACAAGTGTGAGAGAGAAGCAAACTAGACTCACATCAGCCCAGTGTCCACTGTGGGGACTGCGCCCGTATGTTTTTATCTCTTCAATGGTTGGTACGAGAATCGGATGTCGGCTAATGATATCTCCCAACTTCACGGGGTCCATAGAAGCCGCGCGATGGCTGAAGGCGGTTTTCAGTGCCGAACGGCGTTCGGAAAAGAACATTTGAAAGCGCCCAGCTAGTATCCTGAGCTCGTCAGAGTAAGTGGTATTGAACTTGATAGTATTGAGACGAAAGGCCATCCCTCTGGTCTCTTCGCAATAGCTCTGCAGGTAGCAACCAGGGCGACGTCAATCGGACTGTTGTCGGATTTGCGGAGCTTTTTGGAAGGGAAATCAAAGACGTAGGTGTTCTCAGGGGTGGAAAAGTACGCGAGGTATATCTGCTGGCGAATTTCGCCCGGCAGCTGCTGAAAGGGAGATGTTGCGTCCATGGTGGTGAGTTGATGCGGATCGATTTAGGACACAGACCGATTGGTGCAATGGAATGAGGTCAAGTGGAGTGGAGGAAGACTTCTGAGGGGGGGAAAGGCCTGTATTAATACTCATTTCGCCCTGCTCTCTTGGCTTTGTGTCACACCCGCATCCGGTGTGACTCAGCCCGCCAGAACTTTATTGCCCGCCCACGATTGCCCGGTTGGCCACACCCTAAACGGCCAGAACCATTATCCTCACATGCGGTGATTTGGAACCGAGGTTTTCCTCGTATATAGGGGTATCATATTCAATAGTAAGTGAGAGAGCTATGCAGCTGCTGAAAAAAAAAGGGGAAATTCCCAAACACCAAGAATTTAACAACTTGACACCATACCCAGTATCACAACACATTAAACTTCAGCCTTTTGCCGGGCTGTATACGAGGTTGAATACGAACAATAGCTGTGCCCAGCCGTATATAAGGTTTAAATTCAAAGGCTATACCCGGCGATGACTCTTTCGTCGGCATGACTCCTTTTATGAACCTTAAGATGCTGCTTTTCATCTATTTAAAGACCGCCATCTCTGGCCTGGTCCTTTCACCATGGAACAGTTAGCAATTCGGCTCGCACGGGTTAGAGAGAGCGTATACCAGGTAGTAATAACTTAGCAGGAGGATACGGCGCGTACCGCTGCGAACATACCTGAATGAACTGCACAGCTCAAGTCCATCTGCACTTGCGAAAATCTAGATATAAGCACTGGTGATACCTAAATAGAGGGGAAGTTAATACTCACATCGACAATCTGCCTATTCTTGCCACACGCAAACGGTTGGCTTCATTTGGTTTTGGTGTTAGGGTGTGGAAACTCACTCGCAAATCGCTGCTTTCGTCGCTCCACTAACCATCAGCTACGTCAAGCTTTGCTTTCAAAAACAGGGAAAAAAACTTACTTACAGACAAGCCAAGTGCTTATTAAAGCTTTGATGATTAGCTATCCAAAGTTTGACAATTGATGTAGAAAAGAGAAGGAAAATAAAAAGTAAAGAAGAAAGCTCACCCACACATCGCCACCTTCGTCGCTCCACTGACCATCAGCTACGCCAAACTTTGCCTTCGAAGCAATAAAAGAAACTCACTCAGTCAAATCAGTCGACTCCTTGCCAGAAGTCTACCGGTTAGCTATCAAAACTATAGCCATTAAAGCAAAGGACGAAAACTCACCCACCCATCGCTACCTTCGCCGCTCCATTGACGATTAGCTACATCAAGCTTTGCCTTCGAAGCAGTAAAAACTCACTCAGTCCGATCAATCGACTTCTTGTCAGAACTCTGACGATTAGCTATCCAAATTATGGTCATTAAAGCAAAGGAAGAAAGCTTACTCGCACATCGCTGCCTTCATCGCTCCACTGGCCATTAGGTACGTTAACCTTTGCTTTCGAGACGGTGGAGAACTTACACACACTCAAGTCCTCGCCAAAAACTCTAATGATTAGTTATTTGAAATGTGGCTATTGAAGCAGTGGGGGAAAAAGATTAACTCACTCAAACATCCCACCGAGCCTGCGCTTGACAACAAGTTGAACATTAGCTTCGCCTAGCCTGTTAAGAGCAGATTTGAAGACCTACTCTCGCCCGATCTGTCCTGAACTTGATGGTTAGATATCTACGACTCCATGAAAGCATAAGGTGATATCGCACACAGCAACCACACATACTCTGAACCTTGACATCAGTCATCAGCGAAGTTAGCTTCCTATCGCAAAGACAAGAGGCGCTTACACACCTACGCATCTCAAAGAAATAAATATATCAGCAATCTCATCTAAGTTTCAATGATGACTAACTCACTTGGTCAAAGCACACAACCTACAAAAAGCATTAGTTACTTTACATCTTCAGTAATTAAAACCCGGGATATTCCATACCTATAGAATGGGGAAGAAGAAACAGAAGCCGGTAGCTGTAGCACCTATTATAAAGGGTACCCAACTACAAGACCTTAATATTAAAGTCCTTCCTAAGGTCAGTACGAGCGATCACAAGCTCGTAGGTGCCGCGAAGGCGGTTGGGTCTCTTGAGACCATAGGTATAAAACAGGTAGTTAGCCTGTTCAACTTAGGAAGTCACATTCTCGGTCGAACCGACTGCTTCGAAGAGAAGCAGTTCGATGAGAGCATTGTTGCCAACGAACTGTATTTCGGTTAATAAGGTATTTTATTGTAAGATCTTTAGATGACTCACAAGTACAGCCGTTGGCTGGCTTTCCTCAAGGCAAAGTGCGCTTCGTTGCAAAGTGGCGATCATAACCGCCGTTGCCTCTAGCCTGCTTCGCTTGCCCAAAATCAGTAACTTAGTACAGAGCATAGATTTGACTGAAGGATAGTAAGTACCTGGAAAGCTGATTTCTCAGCTTCTGCGTCTCGTGTAGATTTGATGAAAGATATCGTGTGGAGTGGACTTACTCACCGTGAAGACAGCTGCTGAGGTTGCCTGGGTTGACCGAACTCCTAACAGTTAGTGATGACCAAGAGAAAGACGAGAAGATGAGATACGGCAAATGGACGATGAAAGAAACTTACTTACACACAACTGGGGAGGGGAGGAGGAAGGAAGGAAGGAAGGGAGATAGATAGCTAGGCCAGTCAAATACAAGCCCACTGTCTCTCTCAAACACACGAACGTACACACATACACCTGTCCTCGTAGCCCCCCCCTGAGTGAATTGCTTGTATTTATCTCACTAGATAGTCATATACGTACGTAGATCTTTCCGTTGCAAACATAGAAGCCCCTCCTGAATCTAGACCTTTGGGGAAAAAGGACCGGAAAATTCTATGAGAATGTAAGTTCATTCAAAACATTTGCAGACTGTACCCAACAGCTATAGTGATTAGACCTCCCTTTCGATACGCCTTCAGACCTCCCCCCTCCTCAAGCTATCCTCAAGTAATCACTGATGATGTGTCTTCAGTTTCTTACGCCTGTGCTCCGCGTTGTGGTGCGCGTTGTGGTGCGCGTTGTGGTGCTTGCGTTTGTAGTTCGTATTGCCCTTCTTGTCTGGCGGGGGCACGCACTTGAATTGCTCAATCCCGAAATTTTGAATTGCCCACCGCGCGAGGATTCCTGCTTCCTTTGGTTTCCCCAGCAATATCCCTAGTCGGGCTGAAAGATCATACTGGTGCAACTCGGCCGTCAGGCGCTGCCTTGCACGGTTCAAGTTTGGGCACTCCAGGAATAAATGGAGCGCAGTGTGCTTGCCAGTCCCGCATGGACACTGCGCATCAGGGATCTCGTCGTTGGTGATCTTGCGGTTGGAGTGCAGGTAATCGCGGAGTCCGATGCGGCAGGTACGGCAATGCAAAAGCATCGTGCTCTCGGCACGCCGAAGGTCTTTGTACAGCTTGAAGTTGTTGTGATCCCACTGCGGGTTGACCAACTGGAAGCCTGGGTGATCAACCCAGCCGTCCATGAAGGTACGAAGGCCCTTTTCGTGCTCGTCAACGTAGCTTTTCCACTCTGACTTGGACCTATCATCCGCTTCCCTCGAGACGAAGCGTTTGATGGCTTCCCGGAGCTGTTGTCGGCTAGGAGAGAAGTCCTTTTGTTTGCCGTTCGATTTTGCGAATTCGGCTTTCAATGTTGTGAATTCGTTCTTCTCTACCAACCGCATTGAGGCATTAGCCTCACAGAATAGGAGATGGAAGGGATGCCTGTCGCGTGTAGTCTTTACCCTATCTAGAGGTGACCTCAAACGAATCCGCTCGAGCTCCTTATACTCGGGAGTATCGATCATCCGTATACGGTAGATCTTGGCCTGTTGCCCGAGGTAGACTTCTAGACTGGGTATACCCAACTCAGTGAGCAACATTTGACGTGAAGTTCCGCTGATGGCTCCAGATACGACCAATAGGCAGCGGTATTGTAAGCTCTCAAGCTGAGCCATTCGATTCTTGGTCAGCCGCCACTTGATCCGGTTCTCGCCCGGTGGAGAGAACCATGCGCCGCAGCCGTAGGCGATGATGGGGCGTATTGAGGTTAAATAGAGCTGCCTCATCTGCCATAATGTCTTACCCCACGTCGGCCCGCTGATACGCTTCATGTAGCCCAGCTTGGTATATACCTTGCTCTTCAGCGTGTTGATATGAGGGTCCCAGGTGAGCTCGTCGTCGACGATTACACCGAGGATCCTCGTCTCCGTGACGAGAGCTTCCGGTGTTACTCCCTCTATTTCGGGCAATTCGTAGGACACGGGCCTAAGCAACGTCGGTGCCGTGGCTTGCTTGAGGCCATGCGCTTTGCAGTCTTTCGCATTCTCTTTCCGGAGAATCCGCTCGATGGAACGTAGGTCACGAGTGCGCGGCGCTCGAAAATGCATGACAATATACTTGGCTGGGTTGAAGGTGACGTCGTTCTCTCTCGCCCATCCCATAATCACATCACTCACGACCCGAAACACGGCACAATTGGTCTTGTAGTCGGGGGATATGGCGACGATGTAGTGATCGTCGGCGTACCCAAAGATGTAGAACTCCACGTCAGGGCCGAAGGGATTTGCAAGCCCCTCATTTGACTCGAGGAGCCCAGCGATGAACAACAGAAAGAGGATGGGAGAAAGCGGGCTCCCCTGTGGGATGCCGACATCGATCTCATAGCACTCCGACTCGTAACCGGGGAACCGTAGATTGGTAGTGCGGTCCGAGAGAAAGGACCAACAGAACAGGACAATCCAGTAGGGCATTCTCTTCTTCAACAGCGCTTCGAGAAGCCGTTCACAAGGAATCCGGTCGTACGCCCAGGTGATATCAAAGCCTAGGAGGCTGACGACCCTACGCCGCACAAATCTCGGCAAGCCAGATACCTTGGGGAAGGACCAGCCGCGGTAGATGATATTGACTAGAAACTGGAGAGCGTGTGTCGTGCTTCGGCCTGGGGCCGCATATTGATATTTCGGTACCAAGTTGTGCTCTACTGCCAAATCTCGTATTTTATTCGCAATGATCTTTTCAAGTACCTTGCCCAGGCATGACAGTAACGCCACTGGCCGCCAACTCTTTGGTGCGGTATAACTCGACTTCGAGGGCTTGCGTAGCATGATGGTGATTGCGTGCTTGAAATGCGCTGGGTGATAACACAGGGTCAAGCAGGCATTGAAAAGATGCTCCAAGTACGGGAGACACTCTTCTATACATATGATCATAGCCTCATTGCCTATGCCATCTGGGAGAGAAGATCGGCCAGTATTGAGACCCTTGATGATGTCTCGGAGCTCTCCATCCCGTAGGCGTTGGAAGCCTCCAGTTCAAGCCTCTGTGACAGTCGAGCTGGCTTGGGTATCTTTCGCCGTTACCGGGGCTGCCCCTTTTTGACAGGATGAGCATTGGGCCAAATGCTACGCACGAAACAATGTGCCTGTTCCTCAGGCCTCGTAACTTGACGGCCGTCGATTTCGAGAGGGGGTACGATGGGTGGTTTGCGGGGCTGGCTCCGTCGGTCGGACTGACGAAAATCTCTATGGACGTGTTTTTCGGCTTGGCCGCGTTGTCTGTCATTGTTTGACGGTACCGTTCCGTGCTCACGCGTTGTTGTAGTTTACCGATCTGATGTCTCACGTTGTATCAAGCCGCGAGGGTCTGTCGATTTTCGTTCTCCTCATACTCCAGAGAGAGTTGAGCTTCCTTCTCCATCAGCTCCTTGAGTTCAGGGGACCGCGGAGCTTGGTGCTGGCGGCGGGAGCTGTGTCGCCTGGTCTGCGCTTGGCTTTCGATAACTGATCCCATCGCTTTCCACACCGCCACTGTGTATTCGTCGGCTTTCTGCTGAGTCTTGATGGGCGGGAATCCCAGCGGTTCGAGCGCTTCTCGCATATATTTTCTGACCTGTTCATGGTCGAGAAGTTTCCAGAGGTACTGGACGCCAACCGCCTCAACGGGCTTGATGTTTATAGTCGTTTCGGTGACGCGATGATCAGTCTCAAATCCCTTGACGTTCAAGACCCGGCAAGCCCCCTCTCTACTAGGGGCACGATCAAGAAGGGCCTTGCTCACAAAGATGAGATCGATGGTTGAAGAGTGGAGTCCGTCCTTCCTTGGGAGGGAGCGAGAGTAGGTGATTTTATCACTGGGTGTCAAACACACCATGTTCGCGCCCTTCATCTTTCCTCCCAAAGTAAGCGACTTGCGACTTCTTTTTTTTGATTCGGGATGCTCAATGTTGAAATCGCCCACGAAAATCACGTGCTCAGACCCCGCAGCATAGGTGATTAGTTCGTCCAAGTCGAGCTGGTTCTCGCGGTTATAGATGTTGTGGATATCGATTATCGCATCCTCAGTGGTAAGATGAAGCGTTGCGACTAAGTCCCTGTTTGCACCATCGAGTGGCCTGCTGGTGGCCCAATTCAAGGATGAAATATACTGTGCAATATAGAATCCCAATAAGCCAAGCTCCAGAGGCTCTTTGGGCTTAGTGCCATCATCCTCCTGGACTTTTGTCGTATCAGGCTTCTTTCGGGATTCCCATGGTGGGGGTGGCTTGTCGCTTTCTTCTACTTCACGATTTGCCCAGTAGAATAAATCAAAGCCAGGGGTCTGCGTGAAGGCAAACTCTTTGGGAAGGTCTTGAAGAGCAATGACATCCCAACGTTCACCCTTCTCACTCATGTGCAGCTGGAGCGCTTTCAACCGGAGATAAGAACGCTTCAGGTTGGCCGACGCAATGCGGAGAGAGTGATGAGGAATGCGCTCCAACCACGCGGGTACATCACTGCTGTATTCCATCGCTAAGTGGTTTCAGGGGTCACCACTGTCGTAGCTTCAGTGTTTCACACGAATCCGAGGAAATTTCAGTTGTCTTCTTGGGGAAAGCACAAAGCATCTTTTCGTTCGGAGGCTGCTAGTCGCAACGGCTACAGAACCTGGAATTGTCGGTTTTGCTTTTGTCTCGGTTGCGCAAGTTGCATTGCGGTACGGGCTCCACTGATGAATGCACAGCCAGTAGTCCAGGTACCAAGTTGTCAGGGCCTGTGCGTGCCGAGCGGCGTGGGTGGCGCCCGGGATGAGTGGGTCCACATTCTTATTCATTGTGTCGAGTTGCCGGGCCCTGGTTTTGCCTGGCAGTCAATGCGGGCAGCTTCCATTGTCTTGAACTTTATTCTCTGCGTACGTGGGTCCGCTTTCCACCAGTTGATAGACGCCTGCCCAATAACCTTCATGCATGTCAGCAGGCAAGGCACGACTTCGTTCTCGAGTCCGTGGCGATGATTAGATGCTTGAAACCTTCGTCGGCCCAACTATGCGAGCGAGTTCCTGCGATGTATGCCGACTGCCGACTGCCGACAGCTCCTCGCCAACGTCCACACGGTAGTCTCCAGTGGAGCTGAAGGTGTCCCGACACCGCCAACAGCGCCAAGGCGGAGGCCATAAACCCTCCCAACATCAAGCAAAATCTCCGCATCTGCCGATATTCTCTGCCCGAGGTCGGATGACTTTGAAGTCAAGATGCATGGCCTTGGTGAAACTCTGACAGATGGACAACGGGGTTGCCATGTCGCTGCTGCAGGCCTTTATTCCCTAGCTTGTGGTTCTAATAAATCCAATTGACGGGAACTTGGTCTGCGCATAGATGCCGCGGAGCTTTGGTTCGGCTACGTATTATTTAATTGCATCCGAAGGTTCGAACTGCTCCTTAATGACAGTATATCATAAGTAACCTTCTCGGCAATTTGTTGCATTTATACATGTTCGCCCTTTTGAAGTAAACCTCTCTTGTTCTAGATTAGCTTGCCCTCTTTGTTTCTTCGGTACCTGGACCTCAAGATTTTTCTAGTTCAATAATCACAACGAGGGAGGATTTTAATGAAAGCAATCAGTTCACCAAGGAGTCAACAGGTTTCCATCTCTGGATATGAGCTGACGCATTTGTTCGGTTAGGCAACACTCAACCTGTTGATGTATGCGCAGAGTTCTACGGATCAAATCGTGATAGACACTCAATTCCCAAAAGACCCAGGCAAAAAATGATCATTTTCAAGCTACATGATAGTTCTAATTACTAGTCCTCGCATCTCCTGTCAACATCCAAATTCGCACCAACCCCAGAACACTGTACCGAATGCAGCGCCGAGAATGTCTGATATGTGTCTGCCCGGCAACCACGAGCTTCAGGCTGTCCTAAAACATGTGCACTATGCTGGCTCAATACGAACGCTTCGCGATTTTCGATCCAGGACGGCGCCTGGGGCCCCGATATATTAATGCTTCTCTCTTGCGGCTCCGTGCGCCGCCTTTGTGGTCAAGTGGGCGTCTTTGGGAACATCTTCAAGATCACGCTGTAGTTTGAATTACCTAGGTTGAGATATAAAGGAGCTTGCTATATCACCTACAGCCATCAGCCAATCCATAAACCACAGCCAGCTTCAAAGCTCATATATAAGACCCATTCATCTCTTAGATAAAATAGTATAGTATAAGCCTTCCCTTTATAGAGTAGCCAGTCATAGCAAAGAAGTTGATGTACTGTACGAAAACAATACTTTCTGCTTGGATTAACTGGATTTCTTGATTAAGAACAAAAGGCTAAAGAGGCTCTCTTCAATTTCTTATGCTAGGTAATTTGATATCCCTCATAGACATTGCGAATACCCTAGAATTGTTAGCATCAATGTTCTCTATCTGGCAGGTAGTTGAATGAAAGATGAACCTACAAGCATTCACATATGTACAGGTATAAGGGCTCACACACTTCGAGCCAGGTATATTAGCACGTATTCATATTGCGATAATAAGAAGCCGTCACTCACAGTTGTCGGCCCAGTCCACCCAGAGCCTCCGCATTGGCCCCAATGAGGTGCTTGACCACTGCAGAAGGTTAGCTGTTTGATGACAGGGAACACGGAGTAATTCGAGACTGGATGTCTCACCCTGTCGCTGTCGCCGTCGCACTGGTCGTGGTACTTGTAGGAACGTTGGTTTGGGTTGTCGATGTCGGTGTAGAACCACCCTGTGAATTGTTAGACACTCAGCTTGAAAGTTTCATCAAAGATTTCTTCTGGACGTACTGCAAATCCAAACCACTTGAGGTCCTCTGCACCCATGACGGGGACGCTGTGGCCGATGCCGACGCCGTATATCCCTTCCAAGTTTGAGCCATAAACATACTTCACATACGGGCTGCTTGGGTTGTTGTAAAGAATTTCTGTCGGTCCAGAGTAACCAAACACGCCACTCCATTGCTTCATCGTCTCATTCCAGTTATTTGGATACAAGGTACTGTCAACCGACCCGTGATAGATCTGCATCTTGGGTCGAGGTCCGGTGTATCCGGGGTACATGTCAGTGGCAACTTTGGCCCACTGCGCAGCGGTTTGAACGACATTTCCTTGCGAACAAGTCGAGTTCCATCCGTTGACGGTGCCAGTGTAGAAGCATCCGGCGGGCACTCCGGAATAAACGATGCCCGCAGCAAAGATGTCTGGGTATGTTGCAGCCAATACATTCTGCACCACAACTCAGTTAGTGCTCATTACTTCGTTTAATGTGAGTGTTCCTCTAGGTTTTCTTACCGTCATCATTGCCCCTGAAGAGGTGCCAGTGACATATACCCGGCTCGAATCAGCTCCATATTTCGAGATCGTGTACTTGACCATGTTAGCAATCGACGTCGTGTCTGCTCCCCCTTCGTGGGTGAGTGCGGCTTTTGAAGACACATCCCAGCATGTACCGCTATATGGAGACTCGGGGTAGATGACAATGAATCCATATGTGTCCGCATACTGAGCGTATGGCGTGTTGGAGTAGTAGGCTTGAGCCGTTCCCGAGCAGTAATGTACAGCAACAAGGATGGCTGGTTTGCTTGCAAGTGTAGTTGGTACATAAATATACATCTTTGTTCCAGATGCGTTGTCTCCAAAGCTCGTCACCTGCGAGTATGTGCCGGCCCATGAAGGGCTTAGGAGCGCAAAGAACACGCATAAGACCGAAATCAACAATGCCATTGTCACGGTTTAACACAGGTCGAATGATGGATTTGCCAAACCCGCAGGCACAACTTCTTATTAATTGACTATGTATCCCGCCGCAGTGGACATAATATATATTTCCCAAATACCTGGCTTCATTCATCCAATTCCTGGTTGGTTGATGAATGTCCATGTTTCCAACGTTTTTAGCCTGATTTTTCAAGTTGCGTCCATCCCACCAACCGTCAATATCGTGGCTAAATAGAAGCGGTACACGGAGCACAGGCATAAATCCGATACCGCATTTGGCAAAGAAGCTTCATCGGGCCGTTCATCCGGATGAAATTGGAAGGAAACATATACGCCAGGTGGTGATATTTGATCTCAAAGAGGGGTTGAAAACCAATATCAACTAGTGGAATCCGCCCACGTTACCATCGTAGTGGAAAACACGCGTCGAGGTATCACATGCTATATACTATTGATTCCGCAGGCAAGTGCTTCATCAAACCATTTCATCGCCGAAGTGCCTAATTGTAATTCATTCTTGCCGCTTCATTTAGCCACTCACACATAGACTAGATAGATTGTGATACTAGGGCAACGCGGCCTGTTTCTCAAATCCAACAACCTCACCAAACCCCGCTCCCGTTCAGAAAACCTCCCAATTCAAGAATCATCGCCGGCAGTCTCATTTTCCATGTGGGGCACTTGCAATGTTGTCTTTCCCCAGACCCCTAATGCCTCGGCAAGAGCGGCAAGATTAGGTTGCAAATCGAAAGTCGAGCCTATCCAGGTTAATCATAAGCTACCTTATCCAATGGATAGCAGATAGAAAGATAGGAACATACCGCTTGTTTCCCACATCCGTCGTGGTAGTTCTGTACTCATGTTGCTCATCTGGAGTCATCGCATCCCACTTCTTCGCCTTTTGATTGTTTCTCCAACGGTAGTAGAAATATGTGCCAGGGTATTGAATGAACTGATACCCAAGTAAGCCTTCATACAAATATAAAAGGGGGAAGTTCATGGACTTTGGAGTCCCGGGACTTACACAGAGGTAGATGCAAATCACCAACAGGCCTTTGTTAGCCTTGTAGTACCGTGGAGAGTCGCTTGATTGATAAACTATGGCATAAGATATGAGTAACCTGGAAGACAATATTATGAGAGGAGTCGACTTACTATTTGCGCCAATCATTCCACTAACTTGAACCCACATGTTATACAGCCTGGTGGCATGATTAGTAACACGGATAGGAAGAGTAATCTGAGAGCTAATGTCTTACGATGCGGAAACCGTTCTATTTTGTACAGATCCGGCGTTTCTACTTGTCCATGCAACTTGAATTGGGTGAGTGCTGGGACGATTGTTAGCTGAGTACGCCTAGGCAGATTTGTACATGCTGAAACCTACTATGGGAATGACAGAAGAACGGTCGAAATGGCAAAATAGGCCCAGGCACTGATAGGATCCGGGAGGGCGATCAAGGCTATAAAGCACGGCAGGAGCCATGCATCTTCCGCCATTGCCACAAAGCTTCTGTTGTTGACAAGCTCACTGAGAGCCGTGATGAGTAACATCGTGATGCTGGACCCGACAATGTATGGAATCGAGAGCAAGTTGGTGTGAATAACGTTGAAGCCCAAACTGCGGAACGACAGGGTGAGATACTGGTCCACGGGGTACTTGGGCAACCCAAATAGCAACCCTAGAGCATACAAGGGCCACATGTCGTAGTCTTTGGCACATTCCCAAATCTGCCTAACGGATAGACCTTGCCGGTTGTACATCCCTCCTTTCTGGGGATCATCTCGAATAACTGGGCCATGGTTAGATGTTCGGTCGTTTCCCACTTGAGAGCTGTAACTCACCAGAATTTACAATGATTTTCTGCTCCTTCTCGGTGAAGTATCCTTTGGGATTCCACCAGCTTTTAGTCCTAGTGGGACATTGTGGCATGAGAAAGAAAGAAAGAACGCCAATCAGGACTAGAGACTGGTTAACATGGTGAATAGGAGCCTAGTAGTAGTTTGGGATTCTCACAGGTAAATGCGCCCCTAGTATGGTTTGTGAGTCATAGTCATGTATCGTCTGCGGGATGGGCCACTTACTCAATCAAAAACAACCATCGCCATCCTTCGTAGCCGAGTATGCCACGCATAGAAACCAGACCCACGGCGGCAAACCCAACACAGATATCGGCTTGTCGAGGTTAGCCAAAGAGCAACTGATTGCATGAACGTGCTAATACTCACCAATTTGCGAGGACATCCAAAACCAAGCTAGTCGAATGGGGAGCTACTCTCTTAGGTCAGTGTCCCTGTCCTTATGAGTTCCAGTAGCGTGGTGTTTCTTACTGCAGTCCCTGTATACCAGTAACTAAGGTACAAAATTGTATCCGGGATGAAACCTCCTTGGAATGTGGCACTGAGACTGATTAGCAAGGCTTGATTTGGGGATATGTAAGACGACTTGCATCAAATATCTTGTAGCAAGAAAGGATGCTCTGCCTTTGAGGAAGAATTGAAGAGCAGAAATGAGACTGAATATGCAAATTTGGATGGGAATCCACATGTCTGGCCCGATACTAGTATCTGTTAGCTGCCACCACATCGTCGTCTGGGAGGAGAAAAGCTGTACCGTTTCGATATCAGCTGAGAGGGGAGCTCAGCAACCAGAAACCCAACTCGAGAAATAGTTTGTCCAACATTCTACAAACTTTGTTAACTCTCGGTCAGGAAATTACGGGTAGGAAATGGAGAAATATCAACGAACATAATCCGCTTTGGTGAGTCCTAGATCATCGAGCATGTTATCGGATACGGCGTTCTTAATGTTGCCTCGGTCGATATTGAGGGCCGTAAACATTACGCAGGCCCAGACCTATTCAATGCGTTTAGCTAACTTTTACAAGGCCACAAGTAGATCAACTACAGCCGAACCACTTACCATGATTTTCCAGTCAACCTTGTGCCGGACTGCGGTCTCCTCCTTCCAAGTCCAGCGGAAATTTGGATCGAATGCCGGCCAATTCTCCCACTTCGGGTGAATGTATAGCTCTTTGAGCTCTTCGATCTTTTCGGAATCCCAGATACTAGGTTGAGTGGCAATCTAGGTACAACATAAGCTAGGCTCCCGACGCACGCCAAAAGAAAATTGAGTATTGGCCTACTGCATCGGGATTGTATTTCTCGTGTCTAGGACCTTTTCGAATTCCCAAGAACCGCAGGACAACATCGCCCAGCTCCATTCGCTTGGGCTCAGTCGTGGAGAGCGGGGGAGCTGTAGGCCGTGCTGATGTTTCAACAATGCTGGTTTCCGTCTTGCTCGGGGATTTGACGCTACCATGCTCAGAGGGAGAACTAGACTGTTCTCCCACTGAAGGGACATCAATCTCCTTGTTTGTCGCCATCCTGCTAGATGCCTCAAGATGGCGTCCTTCGCGTTCGTCGATGCTCTCTGTCGATTTTGGCTTGCCGTCGACGATGGAGTTAGATTAGGAAAGTGGGAAAAGTGGGAAAACAACGCAATGCGATATAAGAGGGATTCTCAATATTTATAGCAGTGATCAACGAAAGCAAGCTCATGCGTTGGTTCATTCCCTTCGCGTAGGCAATTTGATCCATGAAGGGGGGCCAGTTGAACCGACGCGAGGTCAATAACATGCGCTCGATTAGCAACTGAAAAAAACTAGCACCTAGCTTTAAGAACTAGAAGAAAAATTACGTGAATGATATCGAGCCCCCTGGACTTGTTGCATTTTTGATTCCCTTTTAGTTCCCTTGGCCGAAAGAATGGAGCCCCGTGTCGTGTCACTGATGAAGCCATCGCTAAGCCAAATGTCGTGCTTTACGCCATGTAAGAGAAAGCGATACTGACCCACCTCTCCATCATGGCAGACAGGGGTTATGAACGATTATGGCTTCATAATTGGCGAGGTTTGGAGGGATTCTGACGCTATGGGTCTGTATTGCAGTGAGAGATGGGTGTCCAAATGCTCGCCACCCGCCAAAAATTCTTCCATCCCGCTTCTATGCTTCGAATGACACAATTGCGGAGATGGCGGCTTGAGCTCGTCTCGTTACCCGGAGCCACAACCGCGTAACTTTCAATTAAAAGGCGTGTCGGGCCTTTTCCGGGCGTTCGATGAAGCGGCCCCTTCCCGATGCTAAAGAACTTGGCATAAGGCTGTAGTATCCATTCATTCCATTCATGCCGAGGGTTTGTTGCTCTCCGAGACGCCCGCTGCTTTGCGTCTTGTGGTCTGGGCTATTTCCTCTATTATTTAGCAACTGAAAGGCATGGACGGAGTAGAATATTCAGCATAAACAGCGCAATGAAGAGTGTCTGATTGGCCCTATTTAGTCTCCCTTAGTACAGTGTCGAGCGGAGGATGCCATGAGTACTGAGAGCTGGCCGGCTTCATCCGACTCCTAATTAGGTAGAAAACGAATGGAAAGGTCAATCATACTGTTACGCTCATTGAGGCGGTTATTACGCGAGTTTAGTTTTAGATCGCACGCTGCCGTACTCCCTCCGCTCTACTCTACCTCATCTGTGGTGGTGTGATTGAGGCCCTTGATGTTGAGGTCCCGGCCCCTTATGCTTGATACATTAGACTTGTATCAATGAGATTCATCCACATTTTCAGCTTTCCAACTTCAACATCTTCTCAATACATAAAGGCGACTCCTCATTTCCGGTGCGATCTACTTTGGGCAAGGGAACAAGACTGGCGGTAGTGCGCAAACACGGACCCAGAGCGTGGGTGGCATTTCCGCGGAGTCTAACCCTTTAGTCAATAATTCGACATCCCCGGGAATGTTTTGCGCCATGTTCCCAGCCAACGGTTGGACAACCTTTTGAGTATTCTCAAGGTTATCAGTTACCGCAGTGGGGGCAGGTGACAAAGCAGGGTAGTAGGGCTAGTCCTAGAAAAGGGGAAATCGTCAGCATGAAATATGATAAGCATGGCGATGATCGGGGGTGCAAATGCCCCCATGGGGCCAATGTTCATGCTGCTCTGTTCTTCCTAGCTCAGCAAGGACTTGAAAGCATTTTACGTTGATACCAATGCAACATTCTCAGCGGGTATGATTATTTGGGCATCTCAGTTTAAATCTAATGGAAATCTCATGTAAATGATGTACATAACAGTCGGATTTAACTTGAATGTACATGAGCTGAAAGATCAAAGATGGAGCACCTGTTCTTACGTGACGCAAGATGCACTACAGTTATACGTAATTTTTCCCGCCATCTATTATAGGCTACTAATAGACAAGCTATTGAGAAAATACAACGTTTACTTTCTACTATTATTCCTGAGTGATCTCAAAGGGTGAGTGTAGGACTTTGGCATTTGTTGTTCGAGTAAGCCTTCAACGTTTGTCCCCTTTGGTTTGATTTACTTACGGCTTTGAAGTTTGTGTGGTTAGGAGATAAGTCGCACATAGCTAATTCAAACGCTCAATTAATAATTAAGATTGGTACATGTGCCCAGTCCCCATTGTTCCAGTGGATCAATCGCCTTCTACATTTTGTGTAGAATTGATGATGATGGTAAAATGACTCGATTTTTCATCGTCGGCTGGAACATTCCAGTATGGCATGCTACATAAAAGCCAGCTCTTTAAAATAAAAGTCAGCTCTTTAGCCGCCCTTGGAGGTTAGGTCAGCACGAACTGTTTCCTTTAGTTCACATAGTCTAGCACATATTCGAGCTCTCTACTAACGCAACCGATGATGATGGGATTATCAGATAGAACCACAAGTTCCCATTCATTATTTGATTTGTTCTTAGAAGTGAATGATTTGATACGTTCCTTCAAGTCCCCGTGATTAGTCGCCTTTCCTGTTGAGCTCTTTCGAGTCATTGCAATATGGCCCGGTTCCTCTGCCATTCATTGAAATCGTTTCGAAGCTTTGCAGCTCCTGTGTTTACCTATGAATGAGATTATTATGGCACGCATATGAAAGACTGCGATATCGATTGATAAAAGACATCAAACTTTGATACTTGGCAGCAATGCAAGTTAACGGAGGGAAATTTCCGTGTTGTCTCATCAAACTGAGTCATTCGATACTCATCATAACACAACATGGGCCGGTTTAAATACTAATCATAATCAGATTTGCGTCACCTAAAGAAATTGACTATGATGATGCCTCGTAGACTTTCAAAGGACGCTATGTCTTCAATCACGGGGTATGTCAAGCCATCACAAGTATTATGGGGTTCATGGTCGAAAGTGATACAACTATCGAGGGTGAAGGCGGGATTATATCAGAACAATACAAGTCATGGAAGTTATCGGGAATGCAAAGGAGATCTTGGTATAGAGATCGAGGGGGTTACTAATGGTAATCCTACATCGCGACCAATCCGCTTAACAGATATCAGATCTTGAGACTCGCTACCATCATACCCACCTAGCCGATACTCAGGTGAAGGGGGGGCCAATAAAAAGCAATTCAGCCAACGCTCTTTAAGAGGTCACTCAGGTGATTCTAGAATAGGCTACCCCATTAGATGATTTTTGCCAGGTAAATTCGGGAGGGGTCGCTGACAACATTTAGCAAATAGTCCCCCTCGAGAAGCAAGGATGTGCCTTCAGCTGAGCCTAGCCTGCAGGAGAAAGGAGGAAGTGAAGAGTTGACTATTCCTTGCCAAGAACTGATCAGCCAATCATTTCTTATGCACAAAAGCCCGTACCTCAGCTGAAACAGGTGTCGCCAATGAAGAATCAATTTGTGCGCCACCGTTTACTGAAAAAGCGTGGCGTACATTGATAAATAACGAGTCGTCTGCCCATTCTTTTTCCTTCGGGCCGTAGTTTTCACCGTTGTTTTCATCTTTCGGCAGGCGTGTTTGGGATCGAGAATGGCGAGCCCAACCGGATCCAGAATTGGGTACTATATGGATGGATCATCAGGTATGTATAGCTTCACAAACTTTCTAGGTCGTCTTGTTGACTAAATCAAACCAGCGGTACCAATATACTGCCCAAATGGAAAAGCTTTCGGTATCACCGACCAGCTTGGACGGTGCGACATCACACGAGCAGCGACGGCAATCGAATGTTTGTCAGGAGGCATCCCGGACGGATATGTATTAGAGATATATGTCTTCGCGACCTACGGATACAGCGTCACTATCACTCAGTCACAGTATTGGTAAGTATGCCGCGAAATATTAGAAGTCAATCAACAAACACTTACGGTCTAGCCCATCTTCCGCGCCTTGCGTGACCGTCACCTTGCATGAGAATATGGAAACTTCGGCGAGTAGTTTTACCATGTTCCAATGTCGTGGCTCGATTCAACTCCCGCGCGGTGTTACAGAGGTGTTCATGTCCATTCCTTCCACCGTAGGTATGTTTTCTCAAACTGGAGTTGCAACGAGAATCAGTTTTTGTATACTAAGATCGTTGGCGAAGCCATCACGACAAATACAGAGAATGTGCGACAGCAAACCACTAGAGGAAGGGATATCAGTAGCTTGGCCCCGACCTCGAGGTCAACGGCCTCAGCTCCAGGCCAAACTGAAAATGCAGTCCAAGGTGGTGGGACCAATCCTGGCATAATTGCCGGTGCGGTCGTCGGATCGGTAGTAGGTCTTGGTCTTATAATTACAGCCTTGGTATTCGCCTTTTTACTAGGAAGGAGGAGAGCATCCGGAAATGGTTCAAGTGGCGGGCGCAAGGACGATGGAGATATCTTGGGGCCATTACCTCTCAAGGAAACAATGACAACTCCGGAGTTGCAAGCCAATAAGACTACGGCTATCTTCACGCAATTCTCTAGTCCTCTAGAACTGGCTGCAGATGCTAGGGCAAACGGCCCAAGGACTGAACTCCCAGAGTGTGGGAGGCCCGAGCCCCCAGAGCTGATGGCGGACAGTAGAGGAGCGGGTCCTGGTTCTGAGCTTCCGGTGACGCCCTCCTCACACCAATGGCCTACGCCAGGCACAGAGCCATCTCGTTACGAGATGGAGGGTTCATATCGTCCGTCTCAAGCCCCATAGGGTGTCAGTAGCCCTTCAATTGTGGATGGGTAAACTAGCCGCTTAGTGGCGTATATACCTATCTTGAATAATAACACGGGATGAATCCATCGGCAGTGCCTGAATTGAGTTTTTACGATTGGATCAATTTAGATAAATCATCATAGGCCAAGTCACGAGACATTGGGAAGACATCCCAGGAACTCAACGAACTATAAAACCAAAAACATATCGCCATTGTTGGATATTCTACTTGAACCAATAAGTAAGAAACTAAACAGCAAACTCCTCAAAAAAATAGCCAGCGTTATTCATCCTGCCTTCCTATATTAGAGCACCCTAGCGAGAATGCCCTCGAAATGAGTGGCCACCAAGTCGGCAGAGGATACCCTCAACTCCTTCAGTATCTTCTCGTTGTCGGTTATCTCGCTATTCTGATTAACCAAAAATACACCACCCGGTGTCATGGTAGCCTTGCCCAGGCCCTCAGGGATGGGCGGTGACAGCGACGTGTTAGCGTCCACAGTGTACCGAGCATTAGTCGCTTGGAAGAGGGATCGAGCGCCAGAATCATCTGCGGATGTTGCAAAGAATGTATTCACCAGAGGTGATACAACGTTTCGGAGAAGAATGCCGGAGATTCCCCTGGAAGCGCGGGATAGAATCGGAGTGCGGACAATGCCGGGGTGGGAGTGGACGAAGCTGATCTTTGGGTTCTCCTTGGCCCATTTCTCCAACATTAATGTGAGCATGGTGGCTGAGTGGACGGCTGCTTTCACGATGGAGTAGTTGCCGGGCTTCGCAAGGTCAAGGTCGTCCAAGTCAATTGAGGACTCCATCCCGCCAGCCAAAACATTGCTAACGTGCGGGTTCTCGGAGTTGTTTAGGAGGGGGAGCAGTTGTTGAATAGCTAAAGCGCGGCTGTAAAAGCGGGTTGTCATTGAAGGCTCTAGGCCTTCGGACGTTTCTAGGGAGATGATATATGTTAATGATTCATCTGTTAAAACTGACAAAGGGGGTTTCTCTATTCTTCGTGGAAATGATAAGCCACTTACCAATTCTTCCTTCAAAGGAGATAAAGCCGATAGAGATGAACAGCAAATCCACTCTAGTCTCGTTCTTTCTAATAAGTGATGTAGCTGCTTCAATATCCTGAAGGAGAGAGCCATCTTTCTCAATGAATTCAATTCGAGCGGCGGGATCAGTGCGCGTAAGCTCTTCAAGCAAGGGGGCCGATTTCATTGCACTGCGACCGACGACATAAACACGCGGAGACTTCCCCTTGGCAGCGACAACAAATTGTTTAAGTGTAGCTTCACCAATTCCGGAGGTTGCACCGATGAAGACGGCAACCATTTCATCAGGGATGAAGGCAGGAAGACTCTCGGTGTTTGATTGCTTGACTTTCGTGATTGGTGCCATTGTGCCAATTGTTAGAAGCTTGATTGAATTGAGTGCCGGAAGTATGTGGTATATTTTATAAGTACCGAAGACGGTCGGCAGTTAGCGGAGCAAGGTGGGCTGATGAGAGTGGTGTAGATGGATGGGATGACATCAAATCAAACTGCCATTGATGGCTGAGTTAGACGGGACTTATATTCATAAATACACCAGTTACTCGCCGGTTTGCTCTGTAATGGCGAATCGCGGCGAGATCAAACCTACCATGTTCATGTAATCATCATCCACACATACATACGATAAACCTTATTAGCTACGGGCTTAACTGAAGCTCGCTCTACCTGGTGATGATTGGTAATCCGCTCTGCCCCGGCGATAGTGGTCCATCTAATGCTTGACCGAAAATGGGGGCACTTGGCCGTGATTCGGTCATTAGACAAGACCGAAAACACCATCAGCAGCCATCCTCGCACTTGTTACTTTTCCGAGTGCGGGACTACAACGAATCTCACTGTTCCAAACTTGGTAATACATAGCTCCGTTCCATCGGGACTCACATGCGGAGGACAAGGGTTGATATGTCCGTAAATTGCCGTCAAAGTTACCGTCCAAGAATCTCCGGCACTCGAGGCAACTACCCTACATCACATAACGAGGAAATTTTCGAGACGATAATTATTTAGTCTTGCGAATAAAAAAATTTATCTGTTTGGTGAAGACATAAATAGGTTATATCAGCCTGCTGACCCTTTCCCAATCATCCGTAATGAAATGTCGTACTTACAACGATTGTTACGCTGGCAATTAGTACTGAACACTATCTTTCTAAATTGAGCTGCTATATCAACCGATAGAGAGTGCTTAAGATCTCGAAAGAGGTAGATGGCAGCTTATAACAGTGATTACTCACTGCGCTACCCGCCTATCTACATATACCCAAGCATTATGTAAAGTATATGAGTAGGTGATACCTCATCAAGTCAGTTGGCGCCTCGAGTCACACAGTTGAGCCGCTAGCCAGATCTTAGGCGCTGTTTACACTTCATGGCGCCGAGCTTGGCTCCGCAGAAGCTAGAGAGTGGCTTGGTGTCTTTTTTGCTCCATCAGCCATCCTCTACAGATACCATCGTATTCATCTCTTGGGCGGGCGGGGAGTCCATCATTCAAGTGTCTATATCATATATATGGTTTTGAGAAACTATGCCACTCATCGTTTGGCGAGAGAGCGCTGACCCAGACGTCTACGAGACCGCGCGTACAAACAGACTGTTCAATGGCGTCATCCCTCAGAGATATCCTGCCGCCATTGCATTTGCAAAGTCGGAGCAAGACATTGTCGATGCGGTAAACACTGCCGTTCAGAAAAACCACCGTGTTTCGGTCCGTGCCGGGGGGCATAGTTATGCTGCGTGGAGTCTACGGTCTGACGCTCTGCTTATCGATCTCGGTCAATTTGTCGAAATGAACCTCGACGAAAGCAGTGGCATCGTTCGCGCATCGCCAGGCGTGACAGGGGCGCAGCTGAACACCTACCTATCGGCAAGAGGCCGGGCATTTCCTGTCGGGCACTGCCCTGATGTCGCTCTGGGGGGATTTCTTCTGGGCGGAGGGATGGGTTGGAACTCGAACGTGAGCTGCCCCTCCCCTCTCTCGAGACAAGAGTCTAATCCGAGCTAAGAACTGGGGCTGGGCATGCGAAAGCATAGTTGCAATTGACTTGGTGACAGCAAGTGGGGAGCACATCAGAGCAGATGAGTGCAACAGCGCAGACTTGTTCTGGGCTGCCAGAGGTGGCGGGCCAGCATTCCCTGGAGTGGTGACGAGATTTCATCTTCAAACCCAGCCAGCTCCGAAGGCCATCCGCTCGTCTGTATACGTCTATCCAGGAGAACACTACAAGGCTGCGTTCACTTGGATATTAAAGGTACCACAAATCAATATTTCAAGATATCTGCTTGTTTGAGGCTGTGCTCATAGCTGACCATATCAGACTGCCTCAAGCGTCGACCATTTGGTTGAGATAACTGCTGTTGGAAGCTACAAAGAAGGAGTTCAAGATGCATGCCTTACCATCATACTTGTTGCATTCGGCGACGATGAACACGCTGTCGGTGACATCTTGCAAAAGGTAGATCAATCACGTCCTGCAGGTCTATTATCCCGGTCGTTCTCCGAGCAAACCAGCATCGACCGCGAATTAGAGAACAAGTACGAGGCGTACCCTATCGGCCAACGCTACAATGTCGACAATGTGTTTCTGAAAAACGACGCTGATGTGGCTGAGCTACTGCGGCCGGCTTTCACCACTCTACCGACGAGACAGTCGCTGGCACTATGGTCTTCCATGAGACCACGGAGCACACGGGCGTTGGCAGACATGGCCCTCAGCGTCCAATCAGACCATTACTTTGCCCTCTATGCGATATGGGAGAATGAGGCTGACGACTTGGAAAATGGCGCATGGCTAGCTGGCGTAATGAACCAAGTGCAGCGTCAGGCAGCGGGTGCATATCTTGGCGAACATGATTTCAAAGCTCGTGCAGCCAGATTATGGGGAAGTCAGCAATACGAGAGATTGGTGGGCGTCAAGCGGAAATGGGACCCAGACCATCGAATCTGCGGGTGCCTCGGGCTGGGGGAGCTTGACTAGCTTTCCACCAATGATGCGTACATGTATGGCAGGGACTTTGGTTATACAAGGGACCTTTAGCACTTCGATGGCATCGTTCTTTGGGCACGGGTACGGTTACCTTGCACCTCGAGTTTCGTAACATGGGAGGCATCGTCGAGAATGAGGCATTTGGCACAGCCATGCGATCCAAAACAGCCTCGAGGATGCCTTGCCATGCAATGATGCTGAAAGTGTAAAATATCCAATATCAATGATACCACCGATGTGCATTCGGCGTAACTCGCTGGAACCCCACCTGCAGTACCCCCTAGATAAGTGCTCAGGTGAGCTGAAGCGAAAGTTCTGAACTCGGGTGTTGATGCTGTCCCAGAAAAGAACCAAGAAAAACTACACTGCAGGCTAATTTTGGCAAAGCTATTCGTTGCTAATTATATCATGCTCGGTATTCATACATGTAAGTTGGTCGGTTGGCTATATTTAGGACCAACACTCTAGGACTAGGTGAATATCAACGTATATATGGCGTGGGAAGGGCCTCAACCTCCCGTCTCCTTCATGTCCCTGTGGCCAAAACTACGTCCAGTCCGTCATTCTCGCCCTCCAAGATGCCGTACAAAGTGCAGCTCTGGACTCGACCCGCGATGTCGCCTTCGTGAGTTCTGCCAACGCGCGGCAGCACGCGGGGTTATCCACCAACCCCGAGATATCCCTCGTTCGCATCTCTCTTGCGCACTCGACCCCTCCTTTTTCGACACGCCCCGAAGTCTCCGAGTCTCGCCTCGTGCGCACAGCTTCTGTCTCGGTGGGCCGCTCACACAACGGTGAGAAGGCGTCCTCCTGCCTTGCATTATCCCGCCCCATTTACCACTCCGGTTTCGACAAGCGTGCTGCATGTCTGATCATGTGTCGGGCCATCATTTACCACTCACTGGACGCTGGGGGCGACAGGGAAATTATCGCCACCCTGAATTGGCTTCCCTTTCCCTAATCCGTGGTCGGAGTAGAGGTCGTTTCTGGGATATCGGCTCCCTTTGCGTCCCTGATTCCCTGGGTATCCCAAAGGTCTCAGCTCGCGCTACGGCAGCATTCCCTGCTTTCCTGATGCTATCATGGGCCAGGGATGATGGGAAGTTCCTTTCGGCACGACGAGATCAACATGTTTGCCAAGCCCTTTCTGCATTAATCACTACAACAGGGACGAGAGATCGGATCGCCCTGATTGGGCTGCGCAGCACAAGATGAACCCTACACTTTCTCACAAAAGGGACGAGTCGGCATGCACTCCCCGTGCATTTCTGGACGCTGGATATCTTCTGTTTTTGCCCCCAGGCTTCACGCTGACGGATGCCCCAAGAGCTCAGATCCAGGCTACGCAACAATGGCTTCGGCAGATTATTACTCAGTCTCTCCACCCTCAGACGATAATTTCGTATCGTCGTGTTCTGCGGGCCAGATGAGCTCAGCATATCAGCCTCGCCCAAAGAGCCCCCCTCGCATTCAAACTAACACAGGATTGGGCATGTCAGAACCATCCAGCCCGTAAGTTGCATCGCCACTCCACGCTAAGGGCGTTGGGACGATAGATGGCTAATTCGCGAAAACTCAGCAGTATCGCACTATCGCTTTCTTCAAGTGAGAAATCCAGGATGGTGGCGATTATGGCCATAGAGCTGCTGGCTTTCGAGGGCAAGTTGCACAGCGGGCGCACGAATTGGGCCTGTCCCTTCGACTTTTGCAAGGAGAACTTCCCGACAGCAAAACTATTGATGCGGCACGTGCCTTTCTGCGAGCACTTTGCTAGCCAGAGGGTTTTCTGCAACATGTGCTGCACGTACGACTGCTTGGAGACCCACGAGCTTCCAAGCTCATCGTCCGTTTCGACTCAAAAGAGGGCTCTACGCAAATTCGCCAAAATCTTCACGCGCTCGAGATCGCCGCTTCCGCAATCCCCGGAGCCTGAGGAGACGCAGAGGGTATCCAGCCCGCAGAGCCGGGCTAACACAGTCAGCCCAAGTTCCAGCATGAGCGGCAAGTCGGCTACGATGGGGTCTATTTTTGAATCACCAAGACAGATTAAAATGCAGTCGCCGTCTCCGGTTAACAGCCGAGACTTGCCCGCTCAGATTAGCGAAATGGGCGGGAACCCCATTTCAGAGCTTAACGACTCGTCGCCTCCGCCAGAGCTGCCTGATCACGTGCATCAGCCACAGATGTTGCCCAATATTGGAACAGGGCCAGATCAGGATGCTTGCAATGTTCCAACACAGCATGAAATCTCAGGATTCCAGCCATTGATCCATGATACGGCTACAACCATAGATCTAGAGATGGAAGATGAGCTATTAGGCTTCAATCCATTCAATGAGTCCTTCTTCACGACTCCCTTCCCCCATCATGATGCCGGCAGAGAAACGCCAGCCCAGAATTTTGGATCCCAGGAAGGCCAGGTAGATGTGAATTTCATGTACCAAAACGCAGTATCAGAATTTCCCACGGAGCTCAGCACGAGGCAATTGCCAAATGCTCTCTTACTAGACACCGGATCTATGGAAAGAAACCACCAGAATGGTTCCCAAGACTCCTCAGCGCCCAACAGTTCCGTGCCTGATCTTGACTCTCAGCCACTAGTCGGTAATAAGATGCCCCAACGGCCGCATATTTCTATTCAGGTGAACCAACTCTCAGGTAATCCTTGGCCCTTGCCACTCTCGGCAAAGTCGTCGCCGTGGTCGGCATCTCAATCTTCATCATCTCACCCGTCCTCGGCAACTACCCTTTCGCCATTCACCCCGATTTCTCGCAGAGCTCACCAATTCAACCCAAGCCTGGAGTCCCCCATCACACCTGTTGACCAGGACGCCCAAGTCTTCAAGTGTCCTCACTGTGACTATATCACCACGGGGGAGAAGACGGAAAGTTACCTCACCTACTTCAAGAAACATCTAGAGACACATGCCGACAACAAGTTTCCCTGTCCCGGCTGCAAGAAGTCATTTACTCGCAAGGATAATATGAATGTGCACATGAGGGGCTACTGCTCGAGTTTACGTGCTGTTGGGAGTGAATTCTCTTCGCTGCAGGTAACTAACGGGCTCCTCGCGCCGTTACCTAATGTTAATGAGGGTCTTTCAACTAATGTGAAGGATAGAAAGTTGAAGTTGGTGAGGCAACCGAGGACTCGCAGGAGAGACCGTCGGGACGGTGTACAGGCTGTCTCTGAGGTATCTTCGCGAAATTCACGAATCTATGGAAGAAAGAAGATAGGATTTCTGCAGAGTCAGACTTAATGAATAAGAAAAAAAAGAATTAATTACAAAATAAGTCCACCAATTGACCCATGACTGAACGTTGTAGCAGATTGATACGTTCTATATTGATTGGAATAATGGCCATGACGAGAGAAAGTATTGTGAACATAGATAGAGCCAGGATCGAGAGAACGGTTCGGCATGACCGAAAGAAAGGGCAAAATATCATCACGTAGTATTTAGTCCAAGGAAGAACTGCCACATTACTTACGGCTACTCTGTGGCAAATGCTTTACGACTTAGTCCCGTATCCCGTCGCCCAGGATGATGGAGGACGGTTCGCACAGTCTGAGACCAATTGCCTTCCTCTTCCTCCATTTATCAGGCGTTCATACGACATCGAGGTGGCAAATTTGTGCGTTAGGGAAGTATGTTGCATTGATTCCAGGAGGAGCCCACCTCACACCCTACTACGGATTCTTCGGAATGAGGTTCAAAATCACATATGCTCTTCATCCCAGGGATTCAGGGCACAAGTCTGATGCGATTAAGGCAAAGCGAGACTCGCCTCGCCAGTACCTGATGACTTTCCCTAGTCTCATTCCCTGACAGAGATATGAAGTTTCAATAACAAGTTTCAGGTATCTTGAAATTACTAATCATACCTAAGTTGCAATCGCATGTGACGATTGGATTGTTTGACCAAGGAGTGAATCGTATTTAACTATGAGGGAGCTACTTCCCTTGATGTCTTTTTCTATCAAAAACTAACATTCTAGACTACAGGGGAAGTCAGTCAGGCGAGCCAAGGAGAATCCTACTCTATGACATCTTCTTAACTCATCAATTCATAATTCCTCTTCTTTCTTACACAAGATGAACTTCAACAGGTTAGATACTCGATAACTAGTCTAGTCAATACCGTAATTTAACATTATTCGACATAGGGACAAAACGACGACCACCCCACTCACCCAACAAAACCTCAACGGTGTTTCGTCAAAGTCCAATCTAGGGCACTATCTTGCAAAGGATCAAGATTTTGAAAAGGTGTCACAAGGCCTGGCGACCAAAGCGAGAGATTCTGCGAGGTATCTCTCTCAGTGGCAGAAGAATTTCGATAGTTCCAAATAGTTGACATGTACTTTCACAAAGGTAATCGCGGCTTTCGCTAGGAGCAGGAAACATTTAAGCTAATGAAGAGAAATTAGCAAGATTGGACGGGACTTCCAACCGCGGACGGGCGAAATGAGCCCTCTTCCATGACAATAATACACCAAGCCTGAAAACTCGACAGTCATGACGTGTTTCTTGGATCTGGTATCGGCAGACTTGTGGTCAAAGCACAGACAGTAAGAAGTGGCGGGATACACTTGAGTCTTTAATGAATAATCATCTTCCTAGATATACGCAAATAGGGAGATGCGATATAATAGCATAACAATCACCTAGTCCATGGAGAGATATTACTACAGTGCAAAGTGTGATGGTTTAGAACGACTGCCGTTTGTCAAGCACTCTGAACCCAGCAGGTGCAGAGATTCAACGTGCCACTCGGATGGCCTCTGCTTAATGCTCATGAGCAACTAAATCTTTCTGTGCCAGCCATATAGCATTCCACACTTCCATCCCTCGTTGCCATAAATCATCCTTGTAGCCCTGATGCACCTTGCCATTGGGGTCCAACCACAGCAAATGGTCCTCGCCCAATTCTGTATGCCCCCAATCTACACTCTTGCCATACAGGAACTGCCCAAATGGCTCGATGAAGTTCTTGGTCACCTTCTTGTCCTCTTCCGTAAAGTCCTGCCTCCAGCCCGACGCCCACCAGATCTGCGTATCAGCAGCATGGAACACTCCCAGTTCTGGTCGGAGCCACGCATCAAGAGCTTTCGCCCTCCATGAGATTCGGTATCGGTGAACCCTCTCAGCCGGCAGAGGCCGCACATTCTCTCCCGATGGAGGATTCAAGAGCAGGTGAGCGAACCCCCGGATTGACGCGTGGACCTGCCCATCAGCCACGATCTGCCCGAAAATCTCCGCATACGCCTCGGGTGTGTCGTTGGCCGATCCGGGGTCCGGTACGGCATACAGAGGTAGTAAAGCATCGCATACGACCTTTGGGTAGTAGTTCTCCAGCTCCACCTGGAGACTCTCGCGCGAGTTGGGCGGGTTCGTAATCTTGTAGAGCTCTTTCTCGTCGCTAACCTCCCCCAACAGGACGGAGGTGCCGTTATCGTGCAGAAGCGTGGTGTATGAGCCAGAGTGCAGCGACGACAGAAAGGTAGGAGGGATGAAGTCGTTGTCGGTGCTGGCTCGGAATGTGTGCAGCTTGAGCTTGAAAAGGGCATCGACCAAGTCTTTTGACGGGATCTGGCGAAGCCTCGAGAGCTTCTCCTCTGGCTTTTCCGTCGCTGATATGCCGAATAAGGAGCAGAGATCGTTGAATTGGCCTGTGAGCGTCTCCGAGTCTGTGGCACTCGGCTGGATCGCCACGCCGTTCGACCACAGATAGATCCTTCGGATGAGTCGCTGGGAGGCAGGCAAGCGAGCATCGTAGTATAGTTGGTAGAATGCGGAATTGGCGCCGGCTGATAGCCCGCCTACTGAGATGTTGCCTGGGTTGCCACCGAAATCCGATATGTACTGGGCCACCCATTCCAGAGCGCACCGCTGGTCCCAGAACCCGTAGTTTCCAGCGGCAGGGTCTTCGCCGACCGAGCTCAGATCCTTGCCTCCGAGAAAGCCAAATACGTTCAGGCGGTAGGTGGGTGAGACGATGATACGAGGAGCAGCTTCGTTGAGGAGGTCTATTGGGTCATTCTCATGTTTCTGATTGGCGTTTCCAACTTGCAACCAGCCTCCATGAAGGAAGAATTGAACTGGCCATCCGCCTTCCGGGGGTGCTCCAGCAGGTACCCAGACGTTGAGGTATAAGCAGTCTTCGTCCTCAACGTTCACAACGGGTGGTGCGGCATTAGAATTAGGGAGAGACGCAGCGCCATGGGTGTATACAGGCTGGGGGCAAATTGGGCCGAACTGAGAGTAGTCTCCTGGCTCTCCTGAGGCAGAATTGAACGAGAATTCAGAAGGCAGCTTTTGAGTTCGCCTCCACCGCAGCGGCCCAACAGGCGGCAATGCATATGGGATCTTGGAGAAGCGGTACAGGATGGACTTTCCCGATATGTCTCGCTGCTCAATCCCCGACAGGCGACCATGCGGGGTCTCCAGTACGTACGGATGGCTAGTTGCCTGTGTTGGTCGCATTTTGAGTAGAAGCCTTGGGTTTGCGTCTTGGGTTGCTAGATAAGAAATCAAGGGTCTGGTCGGTTTCCAGTTCACATTCTCAGCACCCCAAAGAGGGGAGCGATGGCGCAAGAGTTGAAGTCATCGATCTTAATGGTGCTGAGCAACGAGGAGGGTGGGCCCGGTGCCATCTTCTGGCTTCCGGACAACAATAGATTAGAGAGGCTTTGAGCCGGGAGTTATTTCCGGTCTTGCATAGGGTCTGCAGAGATATAAGGTCCATCTCGCTTTCAGGTATTCAAAGTGAGGATCTGTATATTTTATCAAAGCGAACATCGACGTGAAGTGTCTCTTGTACCGAAGTGAGACTCTCTGGACATGAGTTATTCATTCCCTTCACCTTGATACAAGCCACTCTTCTGTACGTGACACGCGCAGAGCCGAGTCACCAATGCTAGGAGCGAATCTCAAACTTAGCCTACTCAATGCTTCTTAGAAGAGGACTCTGCTCATGAGCCATTTCGATTTATGTACGATAAGCAGCTGTCTAACGGTTAACAACGTGATCCACTTCTACCAATATACGCAACTAATATTGAAGAAACCCACGCTCATTACTTTTTTAAGAGAAAAAGAAGCATAGGGGGTGAAAAAACCAGTTGACGGGATACCGGAAGAAAAGCCGAGTCAGGCCGGCATTCTGGCGTCAAACTATATTATTTATACACCGCCCATCAAGAGTGAGAGTTATCGGCACAAGAGAAAGCACCATAGCCCACAGACGCCCCAGAAACCTCCTTAATACTCAAAACAGAACCGTACGTGCCTCCAGCCAAGATGATGGTGCCAGCAACGATGACGAAACCACTCAAGCACACCTGGACCATCCACCATCGGGGCCGATCTTGCTTTCCAGCACTCCAATTATCATACAGCCACATGCAAGCCATCGGGTGAAAACAGAGAAGAGTGCCAAAAAAGGCGCCATTAAGGGATGCGAGGCTTCCAAAAGAGGGAACGGCACTCGCAATGATGTATGACACGGTAGCGCATCCAAACGTGCAGGAAAGCCAAGTTGCCCAGTGCCTAAGTAGTGCCCTTGTGGATGTGCTCAGTGCCCTTTAGCATACGGATGAAGATGAATTTGCTGGCAAACTGCTCGATATATTAGCCAACTTGGTGTATTTTGCCAGTCTCGCAAGAGACCGGGGGCAGGGAATGGGGAGAAAGACAGCCAGATGATGCCGGTAGGTCTTCCTTTGAATACGTACATGAATGGATAAAACTGTAGTTACGATTAAGCCCGGAAGGCTCAACCCGTAGCAAATCTTTTTCATCATCTTACCCGCAGAGCCGAGGGCTTGAGAAGAGACATAAGACCCGTAATAATAATACACGATGCAACCGACGACGATATAAACTATAGAGACGACAGCATGACAGAGTATAAGGGACCGTGTATAGAGTCAGGGGTTTCGCATCTCGGCCGCGATCGGGAAAAATGCAGGGACAGCGCTATAAGCTATGAGGAACATCGAGATAGCATTCATAGCAGCAGTGAAGGTTGGTCGGTTAAAGAGTTTATAATCAGAGACCCAGTGACCGTCTTCAGGTGCTGCATCGGGCGGTCCTGGACGCCGACGCTGATGGACACGGTAAAGACTAGACACACCGTTACAAGGAGTGCTCAAGAGAAGAGGAGAGACAGGAGAGACACTTACTCGATGCCAGAAGGCAGAGCAATCCAAACCATGCAGCCCAAGCAAGGCGGCCGAGGGTACGGATACTGGCGATCGAAAAGCCCAAAAAGGCGGCCACGCCGACGAAAGCGGCCGTACACGCGCCATGAGACGTGATGGCGTTTAAGCCGATAGCGATGCGTAACATCCCAGACCCGGCAGCGAAAACCCAGACTGCACAAGATTAGAAGCCATTTCCAGGTCAGTTGCGGTTCAACTCACAGAGACAAAATATAAAGCCAAATGCTTCGCGTGCAACGCGGCCGAACATGAGCTGGACAGCATCGTCGATGCCATAGAATTCTCGGTGACGTAGCTTGAATACGCCAACCACTCACGCAGTCTAGGTCACAATGCCGCCAACGACGGATAGGAGAATAACCCCCGGGATGGGGCCTACATCATTAAAGGCAGCCGGGAGAGCGAGGACGCCGAGGCCGATCTGGATCTTCATCATGAGAATAGCGGATCCAAGATGGATATCAGTTAAGCACATGTGGAAATGTTCCCAGGAGAAGCTCACATTGCGATAGTCAGGGCCGTCTTCGCTGATTTCGCCAAATACGGGATCATGGACAATTTCGTTACTGTCGTGCATGCCCTGCGAGGCCATGGTTGAGAGACCCTCTGGATCAGTCTTTTTTTCATTCAAGGCAGACATGTTCAAGACAGTGTGTGGTATGGAGTAGTGGAATGGAGAATGATGTAGGACATAATCATAGCATTTGGATATTGCAGTCTATTTCAACGAAACGGCCTGGCGATGGCCATGACTTCTACTATAGTGACTCTTGATAAGTCAAAAGTCTGGGGAAACCATATGTGGAGAACTTGATGTTGTCACTTCCGTATACTTCAAGGCTGAACGCGGGGAGCATGACCCAGCCGGAGCCGCCAGGAATCTAGTTCCTGGGGAAGGCTAATCAGTTGGATAAGGCCCAAAACCTGCTTGCAACGGGTAAACGTCAGTCTCGGCATCGGTAGCCAATTGGCAGGATCGACTGATCTGCTCGCCCGGGGGAACGGATAACGCTTATTATGTGGACAGAGAAGTAAAGCTTCAACTCTTGTTTACAAGGTCAAGGTCAACGGTATCGACTCGGCAAATCGACCAATAACGGAGAGTCCAAAAATGCTGATTCCACCTCATCAGATGGCTCAAAGCCACCCACAGGGTTGCAGAGCGGGTCTATCATTAGTCAACTGCCTGGGTAGGGAGTAGGGAGTAAGGAGTAACTACATAGGGAGCACGGCGTATGGCGTATGGCATATGGCGTAGGGCGTAAGGCGTGGGGAGTGGAATATCGGAATCCACTTGCCGTGCCTACGGACACGCCGAGGGTGTAGATAGTGTGGATGGAGTCTTATTGAGGCTGTCTTGGTCTGTTCTGAGTTTTCCCGTCAAAGCTTCAACTATGTTGCAAAAGTGCTTTTTTTTCAATAGGTATTCAAACCATACTGATGAGAGAGTTTGAGTATATAGTTAGGAATAGTAATGAAAGATGCCAGACTCGACATCTCAAGACAATGAATAAATCTACTCAAACCATAAGAGAACATTGACCATACATTGCTTCTATTTTGACTAAATCCAACTAAATTCTGTTCAGTGGCTTTGTGACGTAACAAGATCGAATAGCCTCAACCAGTTCGCCTACACTACTAGGAGCATGTGAGAAAGATGTTACAAAGCGAACCGTTCCGGGCTCCCATCGGTCATGATAAAACTGATAGCCACGACCCAGTAATTCTTTTATCACATGCGGTGCCAGTCGACAAAAGAGTATGTTAGCTTCTGGCTCTTTGTGAAGCTCTGGCCCGAGGATACTCTTGATACCAGTGGCCAGGCGAGCAGCTAGACCGTTCGCATGGCGGGCATTTCGCAACCACAAGCCTTCGGCGAGGTAGGCCTCAATCTGAGCAGTGTGGAAGCGCATCTTGGAGGCCAACTGACCCGATCGCTTCTGTCGAAAGGCCAGCTCCGACGCCAACGTAGGGTCGAAGGAGATGATGACGTCGACCGTCATCGCGCCGTTCTTGGTCAGGCCGAAAGAGAGAACGTCAACGCCGGCCTTCCAGGTCATCTCGGCTGGAGACACATCTAGATGAACCAAGGCATTGGAAAAACGTGCACCATCCATATGGACACGCAAATCTGCACTCTTGGCTATCGAGGACAGCTCGCGGATCTCATTGACCGTGTAGACGCTTCCGCTCTCAGTAGCCTGGCTGATACTGACAACAGAGGGTTGCACACAATGAACGTCGCCGGCCTTTCGGCTCACTGCAGCCCGCAGAGAATGCGGATCAAGCTTAGTGTCGTCCCCAGACACCGTGACGAGTTTAGAGCCGCCTGTGAAGGCTTCTGGGGCACCACACTCGTCATTGTTGATGTGGCTGTCCGGATGGCAAAGAATGCTGCCCCAAGGCTTGACGAGCGAGGCTAAGGCGATGCAATTTGCTGCGGTCCCGGTCGATACTGGGAAGACGTCGACTTCCCTCTCAAAGATTTCTTGTAGCCTCTGACGAGCAGCTTTTGTGATGGTGTCGTTTCCATATGGTGGAGTATGCTCAGTGGCCGCGGCGATGATAGCTTGCACAATCTCGGGTGATGCTCCGGCTATGTTGTCACTCATGAAGCAACGGCCAGCACTCGGGGTATAAGACACCATGATGCAAGTATGGGTAATATGAAGGAAATTACAAGTATCTCAAATAGTACGGTTAAGGGTTGAAGGGGTAAAGAAAGTATGAAGACGCATACCACTCAGGGAACAGGCTTTAATTACCAGCAGGGAAAAAGAACTAGGCAGAGACAAAAAAAAAATCAAAGAGAACATATACCGAAGCCGCAAACATGACAGGCTCCAGAAATGTTTGCCTCGTGGACAAGGAAGCCATCTGAGTTCTCAACCTGTTAGAGACACACCTTGGGGCGACCTGCGAAGAAAAATCCACATGGCCGGCCCACACGAATGGGTTTCATTCACGGCTTTTGCCGCCTAAATTACCAAAGTAAGTGTTCAAGGGTCAGTCATAATATCTGACGTTATAATCGAGGCAGGGGCCCCAAGCTATCATGTCTTTGTACTTTCTACGTTTCATCTCTCGGCGTGCGACGTGTGTGCCTCAAGTCGCGTGCTTCTTTTACCCATCTACTTGGGCAAGATACCAACTGCTGAGCAGTATCTCCATACCGGAGAAACGAATTCACATCACTATGGAAAAGGTTGAGCCCAGATTAGCCCTCCCGAAAGAACGTCCGCGCTAACTCGTTCTCAGTTTGGCCAAACTGAGGCCGTCTATCACCATGACGAGACCAAGCACGAGCTCGAAACGACCGTCCTAGCCAGCATCCCATTCGCCCAGTGGGATGATGCGACCAAGATAGTATTCAAAGGGGCTTCGGATGATGGCTGCCTCGTCGTCACCAAATCCACCATTTTCTATGCCAAAGGCGGCGGCCAACCGAGTGACACTGGCACCATGACCTCTCCCGACCAGACCTCGACCTTCACCGTCACTTCTGTCCAGAAGCTCCCGTCTGGGGCAATCATGCATCTCGGGACATACTCGGGCAGCCCCTTCGAGGAACACATGCTCGTGGCCCAGAAGATCAACAAGGATACGCGAAAATTGCATTCTCAGATTCATGACGCCGGTCACATCCTCGCCTCGGCTGTCCGAAGACTGGGGATTCTAGATTTGCGAGAGATCAAAGCACAACACTACCCCGACGTTGCATTTGTCGAGTTCCAAGGCCTCATCGGGGGCGACAAGAAGGAGGAGATTGAGCGAATTGCGAATGAAATAGTCGACGACGACCGGTCGATAGCCGTCCGCTGGTGGTCACCAGAGGAACTCAAGGCAAAGTCATGGACAGCGCCAGAAGGTGGCGGCTGCAAAGATGACGCGGTTAGAGCTGTGGAAATTGAGGGCGTAGGTGCTTACATGTGCGGGGGAACCCATGTTAGAAGTACAGGGTTGGTAGGGAAGATCAAGGTAAGGAAGATAAAGAGGCAACAAGGAGTGACAAGGATTTCATATGAGATGGTATAGTTAGCAACATAGGGAGCATACAAATAGACAAATAGACATAGAGCGGTTACATGTGCTACTTAATATCCCCGCTCCTTTTTTACTAATTCAGATGAAGCTATCCTGATTCCTCAAGATGTTGGCTGCGAAAGAGAGATAGCCACTCCTCGTTGTCAGCAATAGTATCATCCAATGGGTCTACGTTGCCATATTGCAACCTTCTTGCTTCATCCTGGAACATCTTATCTGTTAGGGGGACGCCGAGCCTCGTCTGGTGCTGAGCAAAGCGACCTAGGTGGAAAGCCAGCAGTTCAGGGAATGCCTTGTCGTGGAGGGATACCACCGGTGCTCCCGACTCCGGCGACGGCTCTGAGCCACTCCATGCTTCGAAACTTTGCTCGGCCGCCTGATTAATCTGTTTCAAATGCTCTGCGTGTGTCGGGTTGGGAGTCTTTGCTGAGAATGGGGCATATGTCTTTGACTCAGACGCAATAAAATACGGGGGTATTGCGTTGGTAACCCGGGCTGCGATTTCAGGCTCAAAGTCATGCCCTCCCTTCCAGTCGTCCATCGTCTTCCCCTTTCGAAAGTGCGACACCAGATGGTCTATACGTTCTTGCCATGTTTCCATACGAAGATCGCAGAAGCCACACCTCGATGTTACTGTTGGTCCCTCAACCTTCCATGAGTCTATCGACGGAGGGTCCTTCACGTGGTGGATACAACCCAGGTGCTGAACCAAATGATCCTTCCGCGCATAAATCTGGCCCTTGGTACACAGATGGATGCCATGATCTTCAAGGTGATTCACCGTGGGATCATCAAGACCACAGTAGGCACAACTGCTTCTCCCTGTGATGGCCGATATCTCGACGTTGCCGAATGGTGCGCATCGCCACCCGTCGATATTGAGATGTAAAGACCGCTCGTGCCGGGCCCAGTCGAACTTGCTTTTGAAAGAATCACAGCAGAACGTACAGGGAAATCTCTTCTTCTCTGCCGTCTTGCCCTTGGCTGCAGTCGGCCGTGTTCGTTTCGACACGCGGGAGCGATGCGCCACCGAGCTGGCAGAGGCAGAGCCCGAGGATAAGCTTGAACCGCTAGCAAAGCTGATTGTCGAGCCCGGTCGAACGTCGGAACGGCGGGAATTGAGGCTAGTGGAGGATGCCTGACCCCGAAGCCGAGTATTCCTCAGAGCGTCTGCAATGGCGGATAACGAGGCTGGCTCGGTCTCCGGGGGCGAATTCCGCCAGCGCTGTATCGGGTCCATTTCACCCTCTGCTAACACGTTGGGGCCTGGAGTCTCTATAGGCCCTGGAATGGTTGGCAGGGCCGGATTAAAGAGATAGCGGCTTCTTCGTCGCGGGAGGCTATGTGGCGGAGTCTGGACGACGGGCGAATGCTGGAGGGCTCTAGCGGTGCCTTGGCTTAATTCCCACGTTGGTGGTAATAACTCGCCGAGACCAGTCTGATAGGAATGCTGCCAGCCATCTTGGCTCAGATGATGCAGCGGCCAGGATGATAGCGATGGTTGCCAGGGTTGTTCGGTAGGCCGGATCAGATTCCCAACCGAGGCTGTCGTCGAAGCGCCAGAAGTCGCATCGACCAAGTCTTGTGGCTGCCAAAACAAGGGGCTTTGATCCTCGAACTCTCCCACATCTTGCTGAAGACTCATAAAACAGTCTCGGGTTGTATCATTCATGCTATCGAATTCCCTGGCCAACCCGAGTTGGGTATATTCCTCGGAGAATGTCAAGGCTGCTGACGATGGATTAGCACCGCATCATTCAGTCGGTGAGAGAAGCCTACTGTTGCCTTCGTCATGGGCCGTGAATGGCGGCAGTTCCACGGCCCTTGATATTTCTTCTGTCGGCGTCATCACGCTGTCTGAGAGCCAAGGTAATGTTAATCGTGGCGCTGTTAAAGTTTGGATCATAAAGCTTGACGAATTTCTCTGGGACCCTGTGATAGCTCCACACTGATTGAAGGATACCATCAATAGTTGCATAATGGCGCATAACCTACCGATTTACCCCTCTCTACCTGTTCTGGGATATTTCCAAACTTCATATGCCACCCGAGCATGAAAAATCCCAACGAGGCCAAGAATTCCCAAGTCAATGGCAATGTAAACACCAATCAGCGTCGCGAGCACCGCTATTACGCTAGAACCAATTGATATATCAAGGATACTCACCCGAGCTCACCACCAGCTCAGCGTAAAGCAGCGGCTACTCAGGACCGTAGGCGAGAAAGGAAGCAGTACATGTCGATGTTTGCATTACGTAGTATGCTGTTTCATAGCAATATAATCCTTATTGTCGCGTTCGAAGACACAAATTTAGGGAATAAGACAACTTCCTATCTACCCGTCTCAAAAAGCGTCAAGTCCACAGACTCGGCCATCGCCAAGTATCCAGCAGGGTTGAGGTGGAGATGATCACCCGTATCATACTTTGGGAGAAGCTGATCCTGCTGCACTGGGTCCCTCACGGCCTCGTCAAAATCAATTACGGAATCAAAGACCCCCGATTCTCGAATCCATTTATTAACTCGCTGTCTCGTAGCCTCGCGGTTGGGGTGCCCGTAAACCTGACCAGTTCCTGTCATTGGGGTGATCGTCGCTCCAATAACTATCATGTTGTGGCGGTGCAGGCGCTGGATGATCTGATCGTAGGCTTGAATTAAGCGGTCCCCAACCACAGATTGGGTGGCTTCATCGGTGCCCGCTGTCCCTATATCATTGACGCCTTCGAAGATGATCGCGTGGCGGACACCTGGGTGTGATATAACGTCACGGTCAATACGCCCAAGCGCGTTAGGGCCAAGACCGTCGTTCAAGATACGATTTCCTCCAGCGGCCTGGTTCAAGATGGCCGTGGATCTAGTCTTGGCATTTTGGGAAAGACGAACAAGGAGTTGGTCCGGCCAACGGTCGTTTCCGTTAGTTGTAGACCCGCGCCCATCCGTGATCGAGTCGCCAACAATGGCAATAGTTGAAGCGGTTCCAGGAATGAGTCCTTCTACTGCGCTGATAAAGTACCAATGATCGGCAGAGCCCGCTGTTTCTGCCTCGAAATCTAGGCTCGCGAGATGATTTCCTTTGGCAAAAAAGGAAGTTGTGCGGCTGCCTGGGTGGGATGTAATTTCATTGGTAGTTTGACCGTTTTTCAGATAGATGCTAATAGAGAGAATCGATTGTGCAGCAACGGGCATCTGTATGGGGTCAGACAAAACAGAGGCACCGTTCGGAACAATGAATGATTGGCTTCCCGAGAAGGTCAGTGCCTGGGTCGTGTCTGTTTGGATTTCCTTGATGCCCGCTGTCTGGTTGGCAGGGATGGCAACTGTGGCAGCGGAGATAGACAAGTCGGAGCCACCGAACACGTTGCTAATCTCGAGCCGGATAACATCCGTATCCAAAGACAGCTTCACTGTCTGACGAATAGTAGTATCATCAAACACCCGTCCCGTAGAGTTCTATGAAGTTATCAGCCCATGAGATCTTGAGTGATCTAGGTTTCTTTGCATAAGAAACCTACAAATGGAGCGGGAGGTAAGTTTGCAGGCTCAGTCAGCTGGGGCATGGCCCCCCAAATTGTCACCCATTCAGTCGTATTTGAACAAGCTGCCGTAGCCCCTAGGGCGAGGTTTAATGCAATTGCGCCGGCAGACGCAAGCATGGATAACGGAGGGTACCTCATAGAGCCGTATATATCATACGCTGTCGGGGACTAGTGTCTTATATAGGGCTGCAAGTGGGCAACTTCTTACCACTCATTACAAGCGAACATTTCCAGTCTCATTCTTTCTTGTAATTTTCAGCTCCAATGTTCTTCAACCCGGGCGGGTTATATACCCCTAGGTATGTGAGCTTTATGGACTTGGTTGCCCCTTTTACGTGAGAATTAGGCTAAAAACGGAACCACGGCGCATTGCAAATATCACACCGTCATAGTGAGTTTATGGACAGCTTAAATTTGTTTACCCTTTTTCAGGCGCAATTGACTCTCATTAGGCTAATTTACTAGTTTACGATCTTTCTGCATCTTGTCCCGGGAAGTTAGCATGTACTTTCTTATACAGAATGCTACAGCCTAGACCATCTCCCCTAAAATTCCTAAGGAATGAACCTTGAGGTTCAAGTTTACATAAGCTATAGACTTCACCGCAACTCATAGAGCTATATAAATCTTAGGCTCTGCCCCCGTGCATTGAAGAACCTCTGGCTAAGCTGCGTGTTGTGATCTAACTTGACCTAACAATTAAGAGATAATTAACAAATTATTTGAAGATGGCCTACGTTGAGTATTTTCGAACTCCTGCAGCAACTGATGGTTGTTAAAAAATGACTTTACAAGACAGGATCAGGCATGCACTTTTATGTGGGGTTCACAAATTTGTCAGAAATCGGAGTGCAGCGAGATTTTCGATGATGAAAACGCCAATTAGCATGAGGCCAAGCAAAATCTTAGTAGAGTGTACAGGATTTAGACAAAGAAGGCCACACCCAGTGCTCATGAAGGAGTAGGAAAATCAAAGATATCAGAAGTCCCGGGTAGTCTGCCATAATAGGGGTTGTCTCAAGGAAATTGAGTGAGATTTTTTTCTCCACTAAGAAAGCCAGATTCTTGCCAAGGCGCAAAGAACCGACATCCTCGTGATGATGAGTCTGGGGCAGTGAGCCAGAAGTTTGCCCCAAGCCTACAAATCACGAGCGCACCTTGGTATCACATGCAAAGCAGAGGAGGCCGGCTAAGAGCTTGGCTAGTGATGGGGTAGTCTGGGAGAGATATGGGGAAGTGCCCCATCAGCGGCGAGTTCTGGATTCCAGCCAGACCGACCGGACATCGGAGTTCGATTTAGGTGCAGAATTTGGGAGAACAGGGGTCGCCAATTCCATCTGATAACGCAGAGCCCTGGTCAAGCGGACCCAACAACTCGCGCATGATCCATCACGAGATCCACACCTTTGTCATCTGGGGAATGATGGTGATGCTAAACTCAACATTACACTAGTGTCTTGGAAATTACCTCGGCAACTGCTGGGCGGATCCATGTTCCTTTTCATAACTCGATTGCATGCCTCAGGGACAAATGACGTCGAGCTGGGCCTTCAAATTCATCCTCATTCCCACCGACCTCGTCCCTTCCACCTCATCCCATTGTCTCGTTGATCACGCGTCTGGCCTTGGTCTTGCAATTTGAGACGCAATTTCCCTCACAGATTCTCAGCATCGCATCAAATGCCTGCCCCAAACCCAGACTGGGTCAAAGCCCTGAAGCCTTCGGGCCCCCAAGGCTCGGAGCTCCTGGAACAGGAACGAGCGCGTTCTGACCTCAACGTCGACCAGCTTGCCACGTTCTTGTTCACCGACGAAGTGCTCAATCGGAGAGCCAAGATTCTGGAGATTCTTCAGAGCGATCCAGTTTTCGACAAGTCCCAGAACTACTTCCGCGGCAGGACCGAGAGGCTTGAAGCTGCCCTGGGAAGGGCCAAGGCGCTGAGACAGCTCTCTGTCAAGCACCAATGGAGCGAAGAGGAGTACTACGCTGCCAATGAGCTCATCAGCGAGCCTACGCCATACGGCCTGCACGATGCCATGTTCTTGAAGACCCTCAAGGAGCAGGGAACTCCCCAGCAGCATGAGCTCTTCCTCAAGCGTGCCGAGAAGTACGAGATCATTGGCTGCTACGCGCAGACCGAGCTGGGCCACGGATCCAACGTCCGAGGGCTGGAAACCACTGCCACCTGGAACCCAGAGGACAAGACATTCACACTGCACTCGCCGCACCTGACCGCCTCCAAGTGGTGGATCGGATCACTCGGAAAGGCGGCCAACCACGCTGTAGTGGTTGCGCAGTTGATCCTGAATGGAAAGTCCTATGGCCCTCATCCCTTTATCGTCCAGATCAGGGACTTCAAGACCCATGAAGCTCTGCCTGATATCCATGTCGGAGATATCGGCCCAAAGTTCGGGTACAACACCATGGACAATGGCTTCCTCCTTTTCAACCACGTCAAGGTCCCCCACGTCAATCTGCTCAGTAGATTCTCCGGCGTGGATCCAAACACCGGAAAATATCTCAGGCCAGCAAACCCAGCCCTCGTGTACGGCACATTGACCTTCATTCGCTCCTCAATTGTCCTCCAGTCAGGCTCCGTGCTTGCCAGGGGCGTGACCATCGCTACCCGCTACTGTGCTGTTCGTCGCCAGTTCCAAGATCACGATGCCGAGGATGGTCAGGGCGAGAACCAGGTCCTCAACTATACCATGGTACAGCACCGCATCCTGCCGCTGCTGGCGGCCTCGTACGCGCTGCACTTCACCGGCCGCGCCATGTTCGACATTTACAACGCAAACCAAAAGCGCATGAGCCAGCAGCGCCTCACCAAGGACACAAACAGAGGGGCTGGCCCAGAGGAGCTCAACCCCAGCAGCGACCTCTTGGCTGACCTCCACGCCATTTCTTGCGCGCTCAAGGCCTTTGCTTCGACCACCGCTGCCGAGGGACTCGAGGTATGTCGCCGTGCTTGCGGCGGACACGGATACTCTGCCTTCTCAGGTATCGGCACCTGGTACGCCGACTACCTCCCCACAGTCACGTGGGAGGGCGACAACTACATGCTCACCCAGCAAGTCAGCCGCTACCTGCTCAAGTCTGCCCGCGCTGTGCTCTCAGGCAAGGCTCCCGATAACAGCATCAGCCAGATCCTGAAGGAGTACATCCGAAGACAGGATATCGGCGCGGCATTCGACATCCTCGAGAATGACGAGGATCTCGTCCACGCCTTTGCCTGGCGCGTGGCCTACCTCACCTTCGAGGCCCTCAAGCACAGGGACGAGGAGAAGAGACCCTGGAACGACCTGCTGATCGACTTCTGGCGCCTCTCCACCGCCTACTCCCAGTACCTCGTCGTCAAGTACTTCTACGAGGCCCTCCAGAGCGAGCAGACCAAGTCGGCCCTCGACGCCAACACCCTCGCCCTGATCCGCAAGCTGTTCCAGCTCTTCGCCCTGCACCACCTGCAGTCCCACGCGTCCGAGTTCTTCACCTCAGGCGCCACCACCGTGCGCCAGATCCAGCTCGCGCGCACGAAGCGGACGCTGGCGCTCCTCCACGAGGTCCGACCCCACGCCGTCAGGCTGGTCGACTCGTGGAAGTTCCCCGACTGGCAGCTTGACAGCTCTCTCGGGCGCTATGACGGCAAGGTCTACGAGGACATGTTCCACAGGGCGTCACAGGAGAACCCGCTCAACGACGTCGTCATCGATCCCTACCCGGATTCACCTGTCCTCTTCCGCAAGGGGCCAAAGTCGAAGTTGTAAAATGGTAACATACTGTACAAGTACTAGGGGGTTATAGATTGGTTTATTAAATTGAGACTCTATATAGACTAGAAAGGAAGCTGGTTAGACTCAGAAGATATGAGATTGAGAGGCATTTCTATACTATACAGCAGAAGTGAAGAGGAAGAAAGTCTTATGGGGATGTTGAGGGACGTTTACAAAATGAATTTTAGACGGGTCATTTATCTAGAAATTGGAAACAGAGCAACCATAATTAACGATGCAAAGGAAACCCCGTGAGCTTAGTTCATGTACCTCTCCAGCCACTCGAGCATTTCCTGCGGCTGCCGCTGGAAGTAGAGGTAGCCGTCCCAGCGACGAGTGGTGTTCTCGATCCACACAAGCTTCTTCTCTGGAATGGGGATGGCATCAAAGATGGCTTGGACGTCCTCTGGCCGTGTCTGAAGGTCATTGCGGACCTGGTAGATGAATGTTGGGATCGTGACGCTTCTGGCGGCGGGGATGGGAGAGTACTGGTCGAGGTGGAGGCTTGTGCGCCAGAAGACCATGTCGTCCAAGTCCTTGATGTAGCTGGCCGGGATTCCACGGTTGGCCAGATCCACGCGGGTGGACATGTTGGCTGAGATGGGCTGAGGCGTGACAATGACACGGATACCCTCGAACTCTTGGGGCAGTCTCGACATGGCGTGGAAGACGGCGTTGCCGCCCATGCAGCGGGGGAACAAGCCGAGTGTCATGTTTTGAGTGTCTGGGCGGCTACGAATATAGCGAATTGCTCCGATAACATCTCGGGACTCGTAGCGTCCTCCGGAGTAGAGCACGCCGTTGGCTCGTCCACTGAGACCGTGGTTGCGGAAGTCATGGGTGAGGATGTTATATCCAGCATCATGAAGGATTTTGTAGTCGGGGATGAAGTTGACGTCAATGTTGTTGCCAGACGGAGCCGCCAAAGTCGCCCATGGCTCCAGGTGTGAAGGTAAGCCTGCACGGTTGAACAGTCGAGGATGATTCATCAGGAGAATCTTGTCCGATCCCTCGCGTGGGAAGAACCAACCCTCCAGAGGGACCCCATCCTCCGATTGGAATGTAACGCTCTCGTATTGCAAGCCTTCTTCTTCGGGCCAGTGGAAGAGGGGCGCCTCGGGCCATTGTCGAAATGTGGTGGCTATGTTCAGTAGCTCTTGTTGGATTTGGGTTTCGTTCAGAGGACCGGTTGAATTGGTATTTTGGGCTTCGAGAGTCAGCATTTTCATTTTCCGGAACTCTCCCATCTAGAAATGGTCAAGACTTACCAGCCGCCAGAGACAAATACCCCATAAAGAGGAGAGAACCGAGCTTTCGGAGCATTGTTGCGTTGTTTGGATTGATTGTGCGCTGTAGAGCTTGTTGAGTCATTTGTTCGATTTGAAGATATTCAATCTTTTGATCTTCGATCATTCTTATATCTTTCTTGATCGGATCTACCAAGTGGAACTCTCAAAATAAGCTTGATCCTCATCCGCGGCCCAGATTGACGAAATCCGCGGAGCAGCATCTAACGTCAGCCCAATTTGGAGCCATAGCACAGCCTCCTCAGGCCAAGCCTCTACATACAGCATCACGGATGATTCAAAGTCTCCGAAAATATTAATTTAGAGTATTGCGGGATGAAAGTTCCCAAAATAGGCAACTCTTGGCGTGATTTGGCTCCCTGAAGATCTGATTAGGCTCAACAGGAGGCTGACTTAGAAGTTAGCCCAGCAGTACGATCGACCAGGGGCTGAAGTTTCAACCATGCCCTTTTCTCATCACCGTTGGTAGTGATAGCCGTACACTCGTCTCTGTTTCTAATCATTAATTTAGCAGTGGCTCACGTAAACAAGAAAGGCCATTCATTGGCAACTCGCCTCCCAGTGTCTATTCTTGGACCCAGGATCAAGTATAGGTGGCTGATTCACCACTGGCAGAAGGCATTGCTACAATGTTGAGGCGGTCATCTGAGGATCCATTACTATAGAAATGGCGATTAGGGATGAAAATTTCATGAGTTGCATTCCTGTTCTTTTCTGGGAACTATTGGGAGAAAGGTAAAAGAAAGAAGCCTTCTGTCACCATTGTATTCCCATAATTACAACACTACGCGTCATTGATACCACCAGTACCGACTAATTGTCCATTTGACTCTAGGCCGATGGTAGTCCATCATACTTGATCGTTCCTAGTTCCGTAGTTTCAAACTCCGTCTTCCTGCCGAGCAGTTCTTCGACATCCCAGTTGGAGTACACAAACTTCCCGTTGAGAAACTGGGCCTCCGGGCTCGCAAGCCAAACCACAAAGTGCCCGGGAAGATCAACTATATCAAGTCAGTTCATTCATAATCAACCACAGCGCCCAGGTACACGCACCGCTGTCCGGCATCTTGATGCCAAGTTCATCCGCCATGGTGGTTTGGATCTGCCCCGGCTGGATGCTCACCACCCGGATGCCAGGGTTCTCGACACCAAAATAGTCCCAGATCTTAGTCGCTGCAATTTTGCTGGCCGTGTAGGCGACAGAACCTGGGAACGCGCGCAGAGCGGCACAAACCGAGGACGTGTGGACGACCACAGCGCCCTGCTTTGAGGCGACGCGACTAAATGCCCGAGCAACCAGGAGATTGCCCTTGACGATGCCTTCGAAGGTCTTCCATGCTTCCTCTACATCGAGCTCGTTAATTGTTCCGGCGCCGGAAACTACGCCGGCGTTGCTAGCGAGTACGTCGATGGTGCCAAACTCTTTGACGATGGCGTCAAAGGCTTGGTTGACTTGCTCTTGGTTTGTAATGTCTGCTGACTGCACGACAACCTTGAGCTCAGGGAATCCTGCCTGGAGCTGACGTGCAGTGTCTTCGAGGGGCTTTGGGCGGCGGCCGATGATGGCGATCTTCTTTGAGCCTGCAACGGCGAAAGACCGGGCGATGCTTGCACCAATTCCGGTCCCCTGTTTCAAGAGTGTGAGATTCGCCCGGGGGCACAAACGAAGATATCTCGATCGGACGCGCTACATTAAACAAGGTTCACTTTACTTACTCCGCCAGTTACAACTACTGTCTTATTAGCAGCCGAGAGTTCAGGCCTCGTGGGCGAGATGGCTGGATAGCTGTCCGTGTGCCATATTTTGGTAAGCGAGGGAAAAGGAGGCATGTTGGAGCGGCGTGGGCTTATAAGAGGTTGACTTTCAAGCTCTATTCTTTGTTTAGTTACTCAGATGGTTAGGAAAGGAGCTCCATGAAGAATGGCTCAGACTTCTACTTATACTTGGTTTCTTTCATGGAGCTGCTGAGGTAGGCAGGGTGGGTCATCGAGCGCGACACGGAATTCCGTGACATTATCTCTTCCTGAACACCAATTGTCCTCAGCATATGTTGATCCCTGGGAAAATCCAAACCAAGCAGGCTTGATTTATAATAAACTGGCGGAGATAACAACCAGTATTCCCAACTCGTCCGTTCCTGAGTACCATCTGCTCCATTCCTCCCTGCTGGGCTGGTCACTCTCCCCCTTGCCCTTGAACTTCATCAGATCCTGCAGACTCAATTTCTTATAAAAGTCGTCTCTGGCTATCTCAGACTCCCATTCTTGCTCGCTTGATGCTTTCCATAGTAGTTTGCTTGCCGGGAGAGGCATGGCTGTGAATATGTTGCATGGGTTGGGCGCCACGTCCAAGTTGTACAGCTGGGACATCAGACGCAACGTGCTGTTCAACCTCCGCTTTGATTCCACAATAATCCATTGCTTCCACGGGGAGAACTCTGCCATTTTCTCATAAAATCCCGGCAGGGACGGGATGCGAAAACAGAGCCGGGAGAGAGTCGCGTACAGATGCACGTCTTCATCCAGTTCTGAAGGGCCGCTCTCGATTCGCATGAGAATATAAATTATCAGGGCCTGTCCTGAGCTGATCAGGTCCTCAATCCCCATTTCTAACAAAGTTTCGTCGATCCTCTGCTGCTCCTCGCGAATATTTGATAAGGTACCGGGAGAATTGTCGGCGACGGAGGAAGCAATGGATGATGCTCGTTCTAGCGATAGAGGTAATTTCCAGCCATTTCTTTCCGAACCGTAGCAAAAAGGATGAATAAATGGCGGTAAATCGTTTATATTTCTCATCATCAAAGGGTAAGACTTTAAGATTCCGGTTCCCATTGTTGAGGCCATGATTGCGCCCGGCGCGTGGAATGGCCTGGGTTCAAATAACTTCGGTGCTTGAGCTTGGCCATAGCTATTTGAAGGGTCAATCAGGCTAAACCTCAGATCACCTGCTTCTTTTTCGGGTTCAAAAACGCTCGATGGCATGAAAAGATCGAACGGGAAATGACAGTCGGGAGCATCGAAAGACGGGTTCTCCTGAATTGGCACGCTGTTCATGTCCAAACTGGTGGGAGCTCCAGGATCCAAAGCAAAAGTGTCACAAAATTCCATACTGCCATTGGGATCAGGGCTTATGGGAACTGTCAATGAACAGGCAAGGCCTTTTCCTGAGCATCTGAGGCATCCCTGGCCGGATACTTCGCATCTGGCTTTGGCCTGAGCACAGTGTTGGCATGACTTTTTCCGGCTTCGGCTTATTGCACCCTTTCGGATGCAGTACCTCACATGCCGTTTTAAAGATGGCCCTGTATATCTTGTTAGACTGGCCACCAGCAAAGAGCAGCTAGCGAGTACGACTATAGCATACCTGATGCGCTTTCTTTGCCGCAGATGCCGCAAAGAAGCTTTGCTTTTGGGGGGCTTTTGTTTTCCATCTCAAGGTTTTACAATTTACCCAGTTGCTGCCCCTACGGTAGGAGCAAAGAACGGAGCCGCTGACAAGAGCTTGAATGTAGTGGCACGGAGTTAAGGAGGACCAGCTGCTTATGACCGAATTGCCACACCCGCCACAAGAGCCTCTCGACACGACAATCAAGGTTCTACGTATATGGACGGAATCTTCATGTCTGATATATCTCAACCGTCATATTCAATCATGCGATTATGGTCGAATAAACATGTCGACTAGAAGCATCCTCCATTGCCCCTACATTTGCGTCGGAAAGTATCGGGATTTAACCCGCAAGGAGTTCAGCCACGAAAGCAGGAGGAATCCCAATATTGACCAACATTTTCGTCTTTTGACTGGTACTAAACTATTCACCACTGATAGAAAGAGAGGCTGACATTGATGTGTATGTCAAGACTCCAGTGTAGGATTGGCTTAGAAAACAAGATGCATTTCCTATGCCCTTGATGCTGAAGTGGCGGTAGCTGGTGATGACAAGTTTGATATCCATGATGCCAACCTTTAGTGCTTACGCCGGCTTACCTACACCGATGTACTGATTGGTTTCATGCAGGGCGTCCAACAGCTCCAATCATACTTTGTCAAACAGGAAGATATGCCGAGCAGCGCAGAATGCTTGTGAGACAGGCCTTCCCATCCCGCTTAAACAACGTCAATAAACAGCTGAATGGAGAAGTTACATGCGATACAAGCAAACATATATGTGACCTCTGGCCAGTGAGATAGGTACAGTAGCATAAGCAGACGAGGCCGCGTGACTTGGGACAACAGGTTTGCCACTTCAGACGGGGCTAGACAGGGTGCTGGTACACGCTATTATTGCATCCGTCTAGTTTGCCTTAACCGGAGTCTAACTGCCCTCCCCGATGCGATGTATCGTCCCTACACCTACCTCGTGTAGTCAATGATCCGCGCAGAGTGACATAATAAGCATATAGTGTTGGTCGCTATAATATAATAAGCCAGCCTACCTCTCGACGGCAGAAGCACCCTTTATCTTCTTACTTTTCCAGGTTCCTTCCGTTCGATACTAAGCTTATCAGTAAGTTTCAGGCCCGAAAATGAAGACCAAGGGCACTAGAGATCTTGAATCGAGTTTGAAATGGCCCCTTCGCCCAATTCTAACGTCCCTCAATGGGGATAATTCATGGCTCTTCAGCTTTCCACGACCGACAAATGATGGACACAACCAATATTTTTACCATATTGCGTTCGAGCCGTGGCTAGTTGGCCCGACGGCTGGACTTCCAGAGTGGCTGGCATTCATCACACTATCTCAGGAGCCCGCGATTGCCAGCGGAGATGCTGTGCAGAATGCAGCAACTGAGATTGAACGAATAGCAGCCGAGTTGGCAAGGACAAACGGCAGTGGCGTGAGAGCTGCCCAGAATAAGGGGATTGATGAATACAGTGGCGCAGTCGATGCCATAGTTATCCTATTCGACGGACCAGATCACTGTCATCGTCCGACGCTGGAGACTTTCGACAAACGTATCCCGCTGGTTGCGTCTAAGGAAGCTGCAGCTGTGGTAAAGGCGTGGAATTACTTTGATGACGTCTCAACAATCCACGAGCCGGATATGTCCGCGGAAACATGGCAGGCCGACAAACCCCATTCATCACCACTCCCGTCATGGCTGACAACTTTCAAGTTGTCGGGTGAAGGGTTCCTGAACTTTGTCGGAGTCTTCATCTGGTCGCAAACCTTGGACACAGGAGAGCAGGTCCATGAGGTTATTCTGGACTCGCCACATGGAACCGAAACCTCGGACTTGGAAGATTCTCCAATCCAGAACTTCCTCCGCATGGCGCCTGCAATCACGCCACTTGCTATTCTGCATGGCCTAAAAGAGTCTTTCGCCACTCGCTGGTGGCGTACTACCCATGGTGCAGAAGCTGGTTTGAAACTGTACCGCAAGTCAGGAAGCAAGTACTGGATACTGAGCCATGATCTGGAGCTAGAATATAGCGGATTGATGCTGAGGGCATTGGTGTTTGATATTAGGCGCACACTGGATTGGGCACTAAGTCGCGAAAAAGGAGCGACTGAGGCTGAGGATGTAAATTTTGTGGATGTGGGTAACGGGAACTCTTTTGTCTTGGTGTAGTGCAGTTCCTGTGTACCCGACACCTTGGCAGCATGAATACAGGCACAGGAGTGTCCTTGGAACCAATTATTGTAAGCCAAGGTCACGGAGGGTTAGCTACTTTCATGGTGGCTCTTCTACATTCATTATGGGCTCTCGATGCTCGATCCAAGTGATGACAATATCATCATGGTAGTCTAGTGCTTACTTGTTGGCGGAGTACCAGTCTCCTAATGCATTTGCGAGCTACATAGGGAAGACATATAATAGGACAAGTCCCTATTCTGTTGGAGCGCTCCGTTCCTATTCCCTTCCGTCTTTCTTACTTCCCTTCAATGTTTCTAGCTCAAGCAGCGGCCCAGAGACTTTTTGAACTGGCTGCCTGCTTCAAATGGGATAGTGTGAACCACCAACACCTTGCAGATTCCATGATAGCTCTTCCAGATGGTTGCGCCGAAAGGTTCAACGAAGAGCGTCCCCAGCTTATTTACGTTTCCGATGGAGTATTAGACAAGGTGTACAGGGCTTGAAATGCATGTTCTAGTGCGCGGATTGTATCTACCCCTTCGGCACTATAGATCTAGCTAACAATTTCCCCAGTTAACATCTCCGGCGACCTACACCAGTGTTTTGTTAACGTCAATGCGATGGGCCGAAAGGCTAGCCCAGATCGCACATGATGCCCCCGACGATGCCGAGCTTGATCTGAAGCGACTGGCCACAAAGGTGCATGATCATATGCTTGGGGTGTACCATGAGGCGTTGGAACATGTCAAGTGAGATGAAAGAAGCAGATGACGCAGAATACTAAACAGTAGAGATGTATTAGGTGATAGGTCGTAGTGTAGCAATGTGCGTAGGTAGGAATAAGATTATCATTCACTATAATTATCGCGATCGCATGAGCTTTCCCTCAAACAGTCGAGATACTCCTTCCTGTATCTCTCGACATCTCCCCCATAACACCCCGAACTATCTCAGCCGCCCCTCTAAAATCTGCCTTAGGTAGAAATGCATTAATAAACTGCATATCTGAATCGATCGCAAAAGCCACACATCTATAAAGTAATGCTCTCACCAGAAGCTGAATTCTGGTTCCATCGAGTCCGCCATACAGATCAACGACCAGCTCTCGGCCTTGGGCGCTCCAAATCAATGCGTCGGCGGCGATAATTGCTTCACCATATGCTGCCGGCCGCCAGAAGAAAGTCATATCGATGATCCCAGGCAGGTCAGCATAGAGGATATTGCCTGCCAGATCTGCATGGATGATCTGTGACGGTGGAGTAATCTGGAGCGGCCTTTTCAGCTTATTCAGCTCGTCTAATGGCTGTTGTATAAGTGAAAGCACATGACGGTTAAGGCCTGGGACGGAGGAGATTGACTTCTCGTCCCAGGCTAGCCTATCAGACTCATGAAAACGGTCGGATAGCCTGTCTAGAAAGGACGGCCTAGCGAGACTGAGCAATGCGAGATCAGAGTGGAACCTGCGCGCCAGTTCGAACACAAGGGGATAGCGATCAATTCCGTGAGCATGACCGCCAGGTAGAAGGCTCCAGGCTGTCCAGCTATCTTGGACATATACAGTCTTGTCTAACCCCGCGGGGCACGGGAGGGGTACACGGTAGGTCGTGGGGGGGCGTATAGAATGGAGCTTGTTGATGACCTCGGCGATGAACTGAGATTCTTCGTAGTCCTCTGATGGCTTTAGGACAGTGTCATCGACCTGAAAGCAAAGCCCTCTGCCGCCTTCCAAGGGAGTGGGAGTCCCATGGAGATTGAAGGTTTCAAGAACTGATTTTGACGGCTGAGACATGGACTCTGTGCTCGGCGACATCCAAATTGGGGCGAAAAATAACTTGCCAAAATATCTCTTCTTAAAGAGAAATGAACAAATTCAAGAAAGGGCAGATGGTCATCAGTGCGCTCATTGTGTCTGTTAAACCTGATCAACACTTTGCCTCTTACCACCATGTTGATAATACATAAGCCCGAAGTGTCATCCACGCCCTTTAAACAAGCCACATGACCTACCCTATGCACTCTGGTTTTTATGAGATTTACCACTAGGTTCTCTAGAGCCATGCAATTATGAGGAAATACTAAAGAAATATTTTATTGGAAATATTGGCAAATTTGGATTTTCTTGCCTCCCTCTTAATTAGTGCGCCGACTTTCGTGGTAGAAATCTACGGAGTCAAAGAGACCAATTCAGTCGCTAGCAAACCATGGTATACCTGAATGAAAACCTGATTAAGAAATTATCCGGAAGTCAAAGAGGGAGTATCACCGCAGTGAGGTTTTCCATCAAGCTTGCACAATACCTAGCCGAGAAATGAAAGAGCTTTGTTCTTCTTGCTCAGACTGCTTCCCTCATCTTGCGTTGAGGCTTATTGGGCAAACAGCGGAGAAACCAAGACACTGAAAGCTTGTAGGACTCGTTATTGCTCGGCCAATGGATGGGCTCAGCTGAATAAGGATGACAAGCTGTGTAGGTGTAGGATTGAGTGAGATCGCACATGTACAAATTGCGTCTGCATTGTATACTTAAGGGAAGAAATTTACTCATCGGACACTGTGAACATGCTGCCACCCTACCTCGGCACTGAGAGTCTTACCAGCCGGATCTAATCTACCAATCAAGCTGTCATAAGTCAGCCCTCAGAAATAAGGTAGCCTATAGTCGTACCTATATGATTAAAAAGAGAGCAAAGGAGGGAGAAGGGATTAAGGCTTAACAAAAGATAGCTTTAATAGTAATACTTCTTAGTCTTTAAAAATAGGACCAGAGAAAATATGGAACCCCTAAAGCTACATGCTATACTAAGTCTTGGCTGAGACCTCATATGGGAAGCCAATCGAACCTGTCAGAGATAACTGCTATGGCGCTGAGGTGCTGCTCAAGGACAATGCTGCGGGCGTCCGATCTGGTGTCGCCTATAGGACGAATCGAACCCTTTAGACAAAGTCCTCAGAGATATTAGTTTATTGTAAGGTGAGCAGTACACGATGTTAGCTTGCATTGAACATTCGCTTTTGTATCGATGTTTACGCGACACGTTTAATGAGCTTATCTGTTAAGACTGAAACACCCTAATATAGTCCTCCAGAGGTTCGATGACACAGGTCAACACTTCAGAAATAAACTCAGCCTTTCCCAAGTCCGGAACAACAGAGAAACGCAGTCCCACACATCGCAATACCACATCTGCCAAGTCCTGGCCGAGGTAACCCTCAATCGTCTTTTGCCACTCCAGCGCACTCTCCCAGAGAATCATGTCAGGTGCTTGTCCGTTTTTCTTGAACTGTTCATAGAAAGTCTGTTCCTCAACTGTTCCTTGAAAGATCAATTCTAAAGGCGCAAGTCTGAGAGCAAACATGGCCATTTCAGCATGCATCCGTGGGTTAGGATGTTCTCGCTGGAGAGCTAGACGAATACACTCGTGGCTGAAAAAAGGGTACCGACGGAGGATGCGTGGTGACCTGAATATCACTACTGTCCCAACCTTGAGGAAGCCATACGGAAGTCTTTAGATCAAATGAATATAAACATTAAGCCTATATGATTAAGAATAGCTTTATTACTATAAGGAGTTCTATAATAGAATATAAGTTTGATCCGATATAACACGTCGACCTAAACCTCCTTACCAGGCGGAATAATCAACACAATAGGAAGACTTACAAAAGCAAACTTCGCAAATAGCGATGCGGAAAGAAGGAAACATAGTCTAAAAGAATGGAATCTACCCAAGACTTTGACAGAAATCATCAGTCTATAATCGAAATTGTACAAGTGGCCACCAAAGCTTCTATCCTTACCCAGTCCAATATTTATCCTTTAAATCCACCTCTAAGCACTTGTGGTCTTCCTGGCCTTCTTCGGAACTCTTGCCAACCAGTAAAAGCCCAAGGCCATTGCAATGTTGAATACGCAGAAAGCCCACATGATACCGAAATCCCTCCATCTGTTGTCAAAGTTGATGTTGACACTGGTCAAGAACGAGTTGGTCTCGTTCATGGCACAGTATCTGCAGTCTGTAGCTTCTGGGTCCGCCAAATAACCTCCTGCTTGGTTTAGAAACTCGGCAGTATACTCGACGCAGGTAGAGCCGTTGGGCGCGGTGAACTGGACGAATTCGTTATCGGCACAATACATCGGCGCATTGCCCAAGCCGGTACCTAGCAATCCCTCGATAATATAGGTAAATGGGTTGACGCGGTACATGAAAATCCAAAATCCAGGAAGGGCATCCGGACCAGCAAGAACACTGTTCAACTCATGTTAGCTGGGCTTTTAGCTACACGTGTAAGAGCCCACCCCAGGTTTGGGTCCTGTGACTTACCCGCAGAAGGTGAACATCATGATGAGAAGCAAGCCCACTACGCCGCCCGCAATGTCCGCAGATGGCAGTCCCGCAATCATCATGTGCGCGAAAGTACTTGAAAACACGAAGAATACCCAGATGTGCAAGAACATGGTGATACCTCGTTCATGAACAGCATTGGTCCACTCGGCATTCCTGAAGAGACCGATAGGATAGTACCATGTAAGATAGCAGAGTACAGACATAAGCTACAATTGCGTTAGCCAAGGGTGGTCCATAAAACGATATGGGCTGAATCTTACCGAGTTCCAAGCTATCTCAACAAAGATAACTGCAGTCATAAACGCCTTCCATGAATAAGTCTTGGAAGGCCGCTCGCGTGCCTCGTATAGCTCGCGTTGAGATTCAAAGACGGGCATGATCTGGTTGACCATATTGGGAAAAATACTAAGGAAGATGAAGATACCGAACATTTGGTTGAACAGCCCGCGCTGTGTGTTGTCGCCATTCAGGAACGATAGACCGATGAATAGGGACTAATACACGTAAGCAAACAGAGTATTGCGCGAAATGTGGGCAAATACTCACCACTCCCAATGCTAATATGACTTTGGAGTAAATGTATTGGGGACTGCGCCAATACTGTTGAAAGAGTCGCTTCGTTACCTGTCCATATTGTACCGTGGCAGCTGCAGCAAACTCCTGGTGCGCCGCGGCTTCCGCAGAAGGATCCTCAGCAGTAGCGGAAGTGAGAGCAAGCCTTTCAAGTTCGTCTTGAACCCCCTTGTACTCAGGGCTCTGCCGCCAGACCGTGGGCCAGTCGATGGTCGTAGTGGAGCCTGGGGCTGTACCAATAACTTCGAGCATGTATTCTGCTGGGTTCTTGCCGACCGGAAGCTGATGGGCACCATTACGTGTAAAGTAGTCGACTAGAATACGAGAATCTTTACCAACATCGCCAAAGTAGATAGTCTTACCCTTCGATAGTAGTAAGAGACGATCAAATCGCTGGAATAACATCGCAGAGGGCTGATGGATAGTACATAGAATAGCTTGGCCGTTCTTTGTAAGCTTCTCCATTAGGTTGCAAATCGACCAGGATGTCTGGCTATCAAGGCCAGAGGTCGGCTCGTCCAGGAAAAGCAGGAGTTGAGGTCGAGCTACCAGCTCAACTCCAATAGTAAGCCGCTTGCGCTGTTCGACATTGAGACCTTCACCTGGTACGCCGATAATAGCGTCGGCATACTCCTGCATGTCCAAAAGCCCAATGACTGTACTAACATAGTCTAGCTTTTCCTGTTGTGAATACTTGGAGGGTTGTCGAAGAAGGGCGCTAAAAGCCAAGGCTTCGCGAACGGTCGAAGTGGCAAGGTGTAAGTCTTGTTGCGTTACGTAGCCAGTCTTCCGTTGGAAGGACTCGTCCCGCTGTTTGCCATTGACGAGCATGTCGCCTGATATAACGCCCATGGTCACACGGCTAGCGAGAACGTCAAGGAGCGTAGTCTTTCCGGCTCCGGATGCACCCTACACGTTCATCGTCAGTCAATTAGATGGTAGAACATCCGTGGGGCAGCTACTTTGCTTACCATGAGGGCTGTGAGAGTTCCTGGTTTGACCCAGCCGTCAACGTGGTCCAAAATTCTGCGATCCTCTTTCTTGATCTTGATGTCATAGCAAACATTTCTCCAATGAAACACAGAGACTTGCTTCTCTACTCCTGCGCTAGATGTATCAGTGGCGGTTTCCTGTTGATGAGATGAATCTGCCCGACCACTCTCGGTATCACTAGCGGACTTCTTAAACCGCGACATCGCTTCGCGGAGATAAACGAGTACCTCTCCTTTTGACCGCTCAGACGAGATGTACTCTGAGGCCACTAAATGTAGAGCCAGGTAGATAATCATGAAAGCAATCACCACGCCGAAATTACGCCACCTATGGGCGTTGTCGTATCCATAAATAGTCTTTAGGTAATCTTCGCCATCGATGAAGCTCTGCCCGGCAATAGATGCTTGCGCGGAACAAGCCCTGGCCGTTGGATCGACGTCTTCATACTCGGGCCCTGCAGGGATATAGGACACACAGTCAAATCTTCTGCCGACAAACTCATTGAGCATGACAGACTCGAAGGCATAGAAAAGAGGGTTGGCCCAGCGAGACCAGGCGATCCAGCTTCGCATGTACTGCGTTGGGATAGTGAATCCAACATACAGCACCAACCCCTGCAGGATGATGGCTGACGGCGCCATCGCCTGAGCGATTGACTTCGTAACAGATCCAATGAGTCTGAAGAGCATCGACATGGTTAAAGTGGTAGTGAAGATCATGAGAAGGAAAAAGAAGAAGGGTCCCGGCTCTCGACGGAGGTTACCCATGAAATACAGAGTGATATTGCAGATAATCGCGTTCGTGATCTTATAGGGAAGACTGACAACCAGGGATGACAGAGCCTCAGCACTCGGATGGTATAGTGCGTATCTCGCGTGCTTCTCAACGATCTTGCGCTTGGCATAGAGGGTGATGATCTCCAAGATGCTGCTAAATGCATTCATCAAGATGAGGAAGAACAGTAAGACCGCCCGACTCTGCATGGAGGCAGTTGTCTCAGAAAGGTTGTAGAAGATACTGCTTACTATGATGGCTTGTAAAAAACTGGTGAAAAGCATTGTAATGGTCAACGACGGATCTTCCTTGATCAGAGTTGCCTCTCGCCACATTGTCAATGCCATTTGCTGCAAGTAAGATAAAGTGAAGGGCGATTTAGCGCGTTGCAAAGGGGCCTGGTCCTTGCGTCGTGACTCGCGGAACTTGTCGTAGCTTTCACCATGGAATGGGTGAGACGCCTGATACTCTGCAAGCTCTTCTACTAGTAGCTCACGGTCTCGGCTCGCTTTCCAGGCTTGGGCGAATTCCGCGGGGCTTCGGGGCGTCTTGTTCTCCCAGCCATCCCGGACGATACGCTCCCGCGCGCTGGTCATGGAAGTCAAGAAGTCGGCAGTGGTCTGCTGCTCTGGGCAGTGGAAACCCAGCTCCTGAAAGTACTGCTTAGCCCTCTTGGTCGAGCCGAAGAAGATTTGGCGACCCTTGTACAAGAGCAGAACCTTGTCAAAGAGATCATAGGCATCCTGAGGCGCTTGATAAATGGCAACACATGAAGTATAACCCATTGTATCAGCCTGTATCCTTAGCGTCTTGCAGAATTCCACAGCGTTCGCGCTATCGAGGCCCCTCGTACTATTGTCCCAGCATTGCAAGGGCGAATGGCTCAAAGAGGCTTCAGCGATCGTAACTCGCTTCCTCTCGCCTCCGCTGACGCCCCGGACAAAGTCATTCCCTACGCGAGTATTCATTGTATGCATAATGCCTAACATGGCCATAGTGACGTCGCGGATGTGTCCAATGTATTCGCTTCTTGTGATACCGGCAGGGATGTTCTGAGGGCAACGAGCAGAAGCGGCAAAATACAGTGTTTGGCCAACTGTGAGAGAGGGAAAGTGGTGGTCGACCTCGGCGGTGTATATAGCTTCGCCACGGAAAGACGTTGTCATTTGAGTAGGATGGATGCCATGATAGTTGATCAAGGAAGTATCCTTGATGTAAAATCCGTGAGTGTCTCCTGCGATCGTTTTCAAGAAGGTGGAACATCCAGAGCCTGGGGGGCCAAGCACGCAAAGCATCTCTCCATTGCGAACAACACCTTCCAAATCGTGCAAGATATCGACTCGTTGCTGGTCTTTGCGAAACAACTTTTGCAGCAGAGACTTGGCTCCAAGAACGACGTTGACGACTGTTTTCTGGAAGTCGGTGTCTGACCCGAAGCCGTACACATCGAGGTTCTGGAAGGCTACACCAGCTGTCTTGTGTGGTGTCCCATCGAGCGCTTCGGTTCTGGCGTGAAAGAAGGCCTTGGCCCATTTCTTTGCGTCGAACTTGGGGCTTTGAGGATCCAACGGTCCGTCTTTGGAGAGGGGGAACAGCTTTGCAGAATCACCGTGGTGAGGCTGTGTCGTAATCCGCCTGGCCAGCTCGAGGACCTCATCGTGAATCTGCTCCTCGGTATCATCATGGGTATTTGCATCGTTCTCGACATCGGTAACTGAGGCACTCGCAGTATTTATGCCTGAAATCGGCTTCTCTGAGGCAAGTTCAGCCATTGCTCCAACCGCTTGGGATGCTATTTTAGATATGTTCACGGCTGCAAGCGAGCTCAAATAGAAATTAATGGAATTAAAGTATAAGAGAAAGGGTCAAGGAAAGTGATTGGGGATATGGGGGAAACGAGAGATGGTGAAAGCTGGACACACTCGACCAAAGTAAATTTTAGGTCTTGAAAGGACATTTAAAGCTATCAAACTCGGCATTTCGGAACCTAACTTTCGCTCTTATTACCTTTTTCACACAGGGGTGAAAGAAATAAAGAAAAAGACATCACAGCTTCCAACAACTCTGCAAATCAAACAAATCGGCGCCGAGAGCCCCACGGAGAAGTACTTATCCCAGACTATCTGATGCTAACGAACCAATCGGTAGCGGTTTATCGCCGAGACCGAATACCACCAGTGACCTCCTCTCATCTAAAACCTCCGAGCACGTCCGTCGTATTCAGTTTTGTCACAAATAGCAGACCGATGTTCACACCTGTCTTGGAGAAGGTCCACGCCTCCTTTTTCCCTTCATCCGCTCTTTTAACCCCCATTGTGTGTCAGATACCGGAATCCTCGGTAAGCCGACCGTCAAACATGTCCGAAGACGTCACAGCATCCCAAAGCCTACCTCCGGCAGAGCCTTGGCAGGCACCCAGCGATGGGAGTCCGGGTGTTTATGCCGGCAAGCAACGAGCGCCTCGCTCATGCGAACTGTGCCACCAGAGAAAAGTCAAATGCGACAAGACAGACCCTTGCACGCCTTGTCGCAGAGCCGAGAAGCCATGTGTCTATCCACGCCCCGGTCAGAGGGTTCGGCGGACCAAGCGATCCATTCACTGCGAAATGGCCACACGCATTGCCGATTTGGATAAAAGATTGAACCAAGTTGTTCATGCCAGGGGGGTCGATGGCCAGTCCCCGTCCGCTGGCATGAACAAAGCTCAGTCGGCACCAGACTTGACTTCATCGATAGGCACCGCTTTGGCCCCTCGTAGTGTTGACACTGGCACAAGCACGCCATCAAGTGTTGACATTTTGGTCCAGAAGGGATCTACAAGTCATTATTTCAACGACGTTGTCCTCTCAAGGGTACTGAACGGGAATGAGCATGTTCAAACCGCTTTGACCAGCCCTCAAGCCAGTGCGCCAACCCAATCCGTATCCCCGTATAATGTGCTCGGCATTCTCTCGGTGCCGGATCTGTCAAGACCACCACACACCTACCACCCACCCAGTCATATCGCCTCACAGCTATGGGTCAGTTATCTCAACAATTTGGAGATATTTTCAGGGCAGAAACTGCTGCATATTCCAACAGACGAAGTCAAGGTGTTCCAGACAATCAGAGATCCATCATCAGCAGCTTTGGAAGACCTAGCATTATGCTTCGCCATCTATTTTGGCGCTTGCCTGTCTATGAGAGATCCAGATCAATATGCCATCTTAGGGGGGAGTAGGACGGAGGCTTTGCTGAGCTTTAAGACTGGACTTGAGCAAGCTCTTGCCCATGCCAACCTGCTCGACAGGCCTAGCTTCACTGGCTGCCAGGCCTTGGCTATTTATTTGGTACGTTGGTTTCAAACATGCTCTCTTACAAGCCTGTTCCAGACTAACCGGCTCGTTTAGAGCGCACTCCGCATTCGCAACCGTAGCAAAGGGCTCTGGGTTGCTAATGGCCTCGCCATTCGACTTGCGCGTACCCTTGGTTTGCACTGTGATGGAGAGCGCCTGGGTCTGTCCCCTTTTCAGTCTGAGCTACGCCGGCGTCTATGGTGGCATCTCCTTGGTTTGGAGAGTCGAGCGGGAGAGGACTACGGATTCCAAAGCGGATCGGAAGGGTACCGGCCAGGCAGCGTCGGTATTCCACTTAACATTGAAGACATAGATCTTGTCCCAGATATGAAGGATCTGCCACCTGCGAGAGAAGGTTGGACGGGGATGACACATTTCCTCATTCATATCCACCTAACGATAGCGGCGTCAAAGCTGACAGCTCTTGCTACTTCGCGCTCGCCATCGGAAGATGAACGGGTCCAAGTTATGGACGAGGTCAAGAAGACCATCGAAGGATACATACAATGCTGCAATCCCGTGATCCCCCGGCAGCGCCTTGCTCTGTTGGTCTCGACCTTGGTGGTTCGGAAAATCGATTTCTTGAGCCGGATACAATGGCAGCTATTACAGTCAGCTGACTTTGATGGGCCCTTTGGAAGCAGCGAGAATCTTCAGGAAGCCGAGGATATTCTGGAGGCATCTCACGCAATGGCGGACGACGAGATTATGGCACGACACTTGGCACCCGGCAAAGCGTATCCTCAGTACAGCATAGCGCTGTACATTCTCTGGTATTTCTGTACCCACCCCACCGGGTTTGACCATCAAAGAGCGTGGGAGCTTGTGAATCGGGTTTTAGAAGATGAAAGGGTCTCGGCGGCTGAAGGATTCGGAGCAAAATTGACGGTACTAGAAGCACTAGCGGCGAAGTGCAAAATTGTCTGGGAAGCCCGACAGAGATCCAACGAACCATCACTGACACATAATGGGCAAGCTCCTACGGTGACTCAAGATGAGTCGACGCGCCGGAGCCCCTATGGCAATGGGACAAATGGAGATTCTCAGTTTATTCTTCCTACACAGATTCTAGATCCTGCGTCCGGACCGATGCAGTATCTAGAGTGGATGAGTTTAGTATCAGGATATCCCAACGTTGACCTTCACGAAGATGGTTATTGGGGTCTATTCGATCATTGAGGGATACATCTCATATCAAGTAGTAAACGCATGGCCTCGTACGATGTCTACAGCGATACGACCGAAGCTGAAGGGTATTAAACGCCAAGCCAGTACGAGGAGGGTAGATCAGCATCAGTGGCTTAGGACAAACTTGATATTCCATGCACGTCGGCCCTCCGCGGAACCCGCTACAAGCAGCCTAGCCATACTCATAGAGTCGCGTCAATTGGAGCTTAAGAGAGGACTAGGCACCTTTGCGGTGACATAATCGTGGCCAGCGGGCCTTTTTAATCGCCGAAGCCGAAGCAAATCACCAAGATGTAGTCTCGTCTTCTCTCGTTCTCGCGCTTCACGCGATGCCCCCTACATCACAGGCCCGGTCTCAACCACCTCGGGATACCGATGTCCGCTAGCTAATATCTGCGCCGGATGTGACAAGCACCTTACTGATCCAATCATGTCGGTCTTCGGACAACTCGTATCTGCGCTAAGTCACGAAAGTCCGAGCGAGGGCGAGGTTTTCTAGAACGATGCAGTTGGGCCATGCTCACGTATTGTGAATGCACTTCAGGGTTTCTTGATATCAATTTTTGAATTGGAAAATATAGCAGTGATGCAAATGCTACTTATCCTAATATGTCACCGCGTAATTATTTTTCTTCCCATGCGCGCGCGGTTCTGAAAGGGCTGGGAAACCATTCTGGAGCCTTGATACGCTTCGTAGTCTCACCCCAGTTTCGTATCCGTACACGACTTGCCGTTCAAATGATGACGGAGTTGTCCGTGATGTTGGCTTCCGTGTTGGAGAGAACTGCTTGCCACTTCCGTAGATGAAATCGCTCGCCTTTACCAAGATCGCCGGGAGCGCGGAGGACGATGTAGTGCACATATGGATGAGTCGGATGGGACAAACTGAACGAAATCCAAGATGAGCTCCTGAGAAACGGGTGCAGAGATCTCAATGTGGTGCTTAAAGAGTACGTGTAGCGTCATCTGATGGGCGCAGGACGAGTTCCAGCGGCCCTTGGGGTCATTTGCAGTGATACCCAAGCACCTCGTCAAGTCCACCTCGGACAGTCCTAGGGTTGTTGTGAGGGCTGTGGTTCCGGCATCTTTATGCTCAGGCCAGACTGCCATGTGGTCGCCAGTGTTGTGTTTGAGCTCCAGAAGCTGTGAGATGTCAAATTCAATGTGCACAATAGAGTCATCCATTGACGACGCCAGCTTTCGTGCGCCTTTGATGTCAACAAGGTGTATCGGAGACAGCGTCGATTTTGCCCGGCCCTTGGTAAGTTCGGCGTCATCAGCTGGACACTTCGTGGAGTTGTCCTTCGTGATCGTCTCAGTAGAAAGCGCAACAGACAAGGTGGGAATATAGGGTCGTCCTTTCTTCCGTGCCTAGCTTCTGCGTCGCCGTCTCAAACAGGGTCGTCGACCAGTCGAAAAAGTCCTCCTCTCGCCCCAAGTTTCTGAGGACGTTCAAAGCATTCTTTGTGAACTGGTTGTAACATTGGTAATTGCTGTTTCCGAGTTCCAGAAGGATGAACTCATGGCCTCCGAGGGTTGCCCAGAGGAAGCCGAATTGAGCCAGCGGAAAAAGCCGAGAGCATTACGAGGGGGTCGCCTTCGCCATAAGTAAATACGACTGATATCGAGAGGGCGTGTAGTTCGATGTGTTCAAACGATGTGCAGTCGTAGTCGGAGGCTGTTTCGAGAAGCGTCGGTCGATTGCAGCAGCAGGTTGATTTGCCAGGCGCTAGGCCATGCCTATCTATGAGTCGAAGATGATTGTTCTTCTTTCCCTAATCATAAGTTAGTAGTAGCTATATTGTAATTCTCATAGAGAGGTCTCTCACACTCTCTTTTAATACCTGGGCGACGTTTGTGTTGACGTGGATGATCGCTTTGCTCAATCCTACTTGAGGGCTTTCGAGCCACAGGTGGTAGTAGGGATCTTTGCTAAAGAAGCGAGCCCTCATGAAATGAAAGGATAAACATATAGCAATACATGCCACTAGCAAACCGTCCCATTGTGCCTGTTCCCTGAAGAGTGTCCAAGTCGATGCCGCCAAGCGCTAAGAATCGTTGTTGAGGAAGACTTGCTACATCGCGGGCTGCCATAGGCGTCGCAATTCACAAAAGACCAATGACGACTAGACTCGGTAAATCATCATGTCCACTCGGGAGAACCGAACGGTGAAGAACGATGTTCGATATAAAGTACAACTGCCGGCGATGACAGACGGAAACCAGCATGGCGCAGAACCAACATCTCCGCGCTGGACTTAATTGCCTGTTTCACTATGGTCACCGACAAGGATCTGTCCCAGACCCAAGAAGCCGAATGCCAAATTGAGGGAGATTTTTTACAATCTAGATCAACATGAAGGTGAGCGGAAGATGATACGGCAGCGTGGCGCCGTAACGATGAACCTACCACAAGGTGGAAATTCTTCTCAAAAAGAGGTACCCATGCAAGTGCAGGCAGGGGGCAGCAAGAACCCGTGAAGATTAATTTGCCGGGAGGATGAAAGTTACCATGTGCATGAAAAACCGCGGTGGAAGCCCTTCACAGCTAACTTTGACTACGGCACCATGGCAGCAGTGGACCTTGGCCAAGGAGCAATGACGAAGAGGCGATCAAGCCCAGACATAAAAACATGCTTCATCGAGATGTATCGCCCAACAAACAGGCATTTTCTTCCGATGCTCGATTTCAGCCGCTGTTACTGGCGGAGAGAACTGTGATCGCACTTCTCAAGCATAAACATCATATCAATATTACAGCAGGGTAGGAATATAAGCAGAATGCGAACAGTGACTGTCACATACGACCATACCCATTCGAGAACACGCGATCCCGTCCGCTCTCGCCTAGTTAAACGGATGAGGGGCCGATTAGTAGTTGGGTCGGTGACGACCAGCGAATACCGGCTGTTGTATGTTGTTCTATTTTGTTTTTTAGAATTTTTTTGGGCTTAAAAGTTGAGTCTCTTTGAAGTAGACGACTCCTTTTGTCACGAAAGCCAGGTACTTATCACGAATTCCAAACAAACTAGCAACTTCAAATAATCCTTTATTATCGGCAAAAGAAAAAAAATTAGATAACCAATACAACGGTTCTAAGAAAAATTAATTTAGCTCAAGGTATGTTGAAAAAATTTACGCGTCGGGATCTGAGCGACAAGGGGTTGACGCTCGTAGTTTAGTCACGTGGCTTGGGGTCACGTGTATCCCGCAGGACCACCTCGTCTCAAGGGAGTAAGATCCCCCTCCCTACCTACACCTGCACCATGCATCATGCATGTCTAAGCTCAACCTCCATCTTTGTGCCGCCAATTGAACACGGCATAGTGCGGTCTGTGACGGCATTGACGTTGCCAACCTGCTCACTCCGTACCGGATCAAGGGTCATTGTGAAGGATGTACAGATGAATGGCAAGCTTTGGGGAAATGAACCGACAAATTTAATCTCCAAGGCAGGAGGTTCTGGTTCTCCTCTCTGAACTCGCAGTCAGCTACAACCAAACCAACGATGACACATCCTAAAGCCATGAGAGGTGCTGCCGATTCGCCCTCGGCCCAAGTGCGTCGCTACCGGGGGTATTATTAGCCTATCCTTTGTTTCTTCTTCTCCCGGTCCTTTATACGCTCGCTTCGTCGAGTCCCAACCAGGGGCGTGGTCTGGTCCCTGCCTAGGGCCTCAACTGAATCATTGAGCTGAACCACAATGCCATCCAAAGGCTCTTGTGCATCACAGTTCTTGTGTTGGCCTCTTTTTCGCTTCTGGGATGGGGCTGCTCCCACTGTCGGCTTCAGGGACAGCCTGTTCTCCTTCTCGGGTGGTGTGTTCTTTGTCTGGACGACATCCCCGGGCTTGTCTGTTGCCCGCGCAGTTTTTCGGTCTGCCGTCTTGCCCGGGGGCTGCTTGTCTTCCATTAACAAGGGTAGTAGGGGACCCTCCTTCAACTTGGCCTGGCTGTTTTTGGATCTGGTTGTGGGCTTAGATATCCCCGATGGACGCTTGGTCAAGCCGGTCGTATTGGAAGGTCGACCACTCCTCTTGGTCGCTGATTTCTCGGTCTTGGTTAGAGTCTTGCGTGCGCCTGGCTAGGACTGAGCCTGGCCCGCCGCCTTAGGAGGCCGACCTTTTGGCTTGGCTTGGATTTTCTTTGGTAGGGCAGCAGGCTCGAGTGTATTGGGTGGTGGTCTAGCCCGTCTAGTCGCCTTTGGGGACCGTCCTCTTCTCTTAGGCTGGGCTTTCTTGGAGGGGGCAGTACCATCGGGTATATCTGATAGAGACTGGGACAGGGCGATGGTCTTGGCAGGCCGACCTCTTGGCTGAGCCTCGGGGTTCTTGTATAGGACCGTGGGCCGGGGTATACGCAACGAAGATTCGGCCAGTTCGGCGGTCTTGGAAGGGCGACCTCTTCTCTTCGTCGCAGGGGTATCAATCTTGATCGGGGGCTTAGATACGCCTGATGGAGTCTGCGACTTATTGGCCGTCTTCGGAGGTCGGCTGCTTAGCTTAGTCGATGGTGTGTCGGTCTTGGCGCGAGGCTTGTTTATGCTGGATGGAGGCTCGGCCGCGCTGATCTTTTCGGAAAGGCGACTTCTCTTCGTGTGAGATGGGTTCCCGGACTCGGTTGGAGCTTTGGGCGGCATGGCATCTGGTCCATTTGCCAGGAATCGAGGGCTACGTCGTGGTTGGGCGGGGTTTTCTGGTTCGGGGGCTTGGCTCGGAGGCATTTCTCGGCGGGGCTCAGTGTCTGCTGAAATTTATCAGATGCATCTGCGATTTGGGGTTCTGGAGACAAAGGCCGGGGGTCTAAAGACTCAATAACGTCTATCTCAGAAGGCGTCAGCTCCATGGCATCATGATCCAAGTGGATGTTCTCTCTTGCCGCAGATGTATCCCAAGCAGGTCCGCTATCAGGCAGCCACTTCCGCTAGCATCTTCATGATCAGGCGAAGGACTCTCATGGCGCCATTTCCAGCCAATTGGTAGCCTGGGTTTCGAAGAATCATTTTTCAATCTTCGGTCCCCTCTGTTTTGCCATAGCAACGGGACTGATGGAACGTATTTTTTATCTCGAACTGTAGGAAGTCGGAGAAGTCTCGTCTCCCACTCAGTTTGCTCAATGCCAAACACAAACCACGGCCGAGATGCGATGAAAGACACTGCCTCGCTGGGCGATGTTTGCTCAGTCAGGTGAGAAAGGGGAGGGGGGTGTGTCTTTGCCGCGGGGGAGGATAAGGATGTTGCTTTGGCGGCAAACTCGCCGTGCTGCCACTCCCATCTCCAATCCCAGGTCGAGTCATTGGGCTCCGATGGCTCCCGGCAAGGAATTCCCCAAGCAGGATTCCATACTCCCATCTTCTTCCAGCGCTTTCTGATGTTTCGCCGTGCGAGGACTCGTAGTCGCCGTACGCCCGACGCACCTTCGACGTATTTATGCCTGCAAGAATCCACACTGTTCGCCATGCGATGGATCTCGAACTTTTCTTCCCTCGCGTAGACTGCACTGGGATGGTACAGCCGAATGCCTTGTGCTGTACCTAATGCGATCTCTTGCTCCATATGGTCGAGATGCGGCGCGAAAAGCTCCTCCATCTTGCGTTCGTAGGCACCGTCATCAGGCGTGGCTGCAGCCATGCCTGGGACTCGCCAGATGGAAGTACCTTCGGGGAACGGACAAACAGCGGCGGTGCGTCGCGCTCAAAACGGCTGTGGTCCGGATTTGAGCAAAATCTTTCCAAGGCAGGATTGATGCCGTTGACGAGGGCCTTTTCGAACTTGACTTTATGGTATTCATTGCCGGTCATTGTGCCGGCAGCTCAGAGATGAGTTGTAGTCTAAATGGTATGGCAAATTTCTTCTTGGGGCAGCTTTTCAAAATGAAGAGTACAGACGTGGGAGGCGAAAGTGCAGAGAGTAGTATTAACGACAGCTGTCTGCATACAGAGGCTTGATGGTCCAGGAGGTTGTCTGGGAGATGACAATGCAATATGTCATCTCCTTGTCTCTTGGGTGTTCCCTTGTTACTCCCTTCGGATACGTCAATGTCGGACAATCCAGATGTCCCCAGCCCTTAGGTGCCACACGAGCTCTCTGGCTAGAATCTTCTCCCCTAAATTGCCTGCTCATCCTTCTCCCTCTTCAACCCTTTGTCTTGGCCTTGCCGCAGTGGCCCGCCTAATGTACAAAAAGAAAGGGCACCCAAAAAGCGAGCTACCATAGTGTAAGATGTCGGGACCTATTGTCTTGTGACACTGGGACAATAGAAAAGACAATAAACAAGATGTACTTCTACAAATAGCTACACCAGAGTACTTACTACTGCCTAATGGTACTAATTTCATGGTACGTGCAGGGACAGCCCAAAATGATCAAGGCACGCCGTGCCAACAAGTCCCGGTGACTTGACGAAAGACGTGGGTTGCCTGCATACACTCCCACCGTCACACTTCCCGCTCCATCCGGTCCTCTGCTTGTTCAATTGAGGGCAAGCCTATTAATCCAGCCAATGTTTCATTATTCCTGTTTTCATATGCGCCGCTCCGTGCTAAACCGAGTGGTGGAGGTCTCTTGGCAAGCAACATGGACTGCAGTCGCTTCAGGATTCAGGCAACACATCCAATCAAACAAACAAACAACCCCTGGGGCCAGTTTATTCGTCTGAGGAGTAAAAAATTATTTATTTGCTTTAATCTGAAGCTTGATTTGATATGTTTGACAGATCTAGATATTTATTACTAGCTACGTAGCCCGCCGCCGGCGCCGCGAGAGAACATGAAGGTATTGATATTAGGTAGTCAGCAGCAGCCCTGTTTCTCAGGAAATCTTCAGAACCTCACATGAGAAGAATCGTGCATATTAATAGATTAAATAGAACTCTCTAGAATTGTATTTGTTTGATTTGCGAAGCATTCCCATTTGATTTGCCTGGTTTCATTTGTTGTTTGACTGGAAGCACTGGATCCAGGTAAACGAACTGCCTCTCCGCGCTATCGAAAAGATCTGCCTTGCTGCACCCTTCCCGTATCACCAACGAGGCTTTGTGTGGCGGCCACTGAGGGCCAGTTGCTCTCCGCCAGTGGGAGGCCATGGTCTGAACGTGGGACGCTTGTTGCATCTTCAAAGTAGCTAGCAGTTTTGTGCATCTACCACACAGCTTATGGAATGGTGGATATGTCAGCTTGTTTCGTCCCTTTCATGGGCCTGGTCACATTGAGGTCGCTGGTATCCTTGCCAAATATTATGATGGAGGAGGGGGCTTTCATACAACCCTATCCAAGACTGTCTGCTTGATATCAAAAATAAGGGAAAGGTTTAGCTGTAATCAAATCTGACCGGGAAATCTTCCCCAAATATGGTGTATTGGAGACTTTTGTTTGCAGATTGCAGCATCAGCAGAAGCTCAAACCATTCAGGCGATGGAAGCAAACGGCGATGGAGGAATTGGAAAGTATCGCAGCCACTCCCCGGGGTTGGGGCCGCTGAAGCCTCGGAAAACATATCACCTCCATTGGTGACGGGCCGTTATTAGCACGCATTGCCTTTTCTAGCCGCTGCCCGTTCTTCATCCTTACTGGAGCAGGGAATGTCAAATCCCAAATGGCGTCCGTCTTTTACCCTGGTGTCAATCTTCTCTTCTTGCAAGGTAGCATCCATACCCAAAGCATCTCTACACAGTATCCTCAGTGTCAACAACTTCTTCTTCCATCCTTCTCATTTGCCATCTTATAATTTCATCTCTCTATACATTACAGCGAGCATATCTCCGTATCTGGAACCTTCAACTCAGCTTACGGTCACCGTCAACGCCATTCTCAAGATGGCAGCATCTGACGGTAGGCGTTCGCCTCATCAACAGACTTTATTCCATCTAATACCTCGAAATCAGAAAGCGGCAGCCGCACTATACCATCCCGATAACTCTCCATTCGTATCGACAACATCCGATGGTACTGGATTAGAGGTAGGACACCACGTTCACTCAACTCCGAGGGGAGACGTGATCACGAGTCTCGGAAGAGACGCGGATCTGATCCTTAGTCAAAGCCAATTCCAACACAAAAGACCCCCGTTCGTCTCTTCGAGACACGTGGACTTCCAACTAAGCAAGTTGTCTCAAAAGGTGATGCTCCGCGTGTTATCCAAAGACAAATCCTCTGTCTCGGTCAGGCCGCGCGGTTCTAAAGATGCAGATGTCAATGATTTTGACATGAGCGGAGTTGAGACTCCGCAGTGCGTCCATCCCAGGAAATACTGGGGAGATAGATACCAGGAGTATGGCGAATCTTGCCGAATAGACATTTGCGATTACAGTTTCAACTTGATCTGGGTCAAAAAGACCACCGGACAACTGCAGGCTCTTGCGCTTAAACGCCCTGCACCAAAAGATCCATTGTATGACACCCACAGCAAGTCAGCGGAGAGCGTAGAGTGCCATGTACACGAGATTTTTGACACTCGGGAGCCGAAGCATGTGAGCCCCTTTACAACAGTGCACAAGGCCCTGGACAACACAACTGGGAACAATATCATCGTTACGATGATTAAGCTCGGCAATTTTGGGGCGCGGAAAAATGAGGTTCGATCAGCCATTCGTCAAGAAGTTGCGTTCCTCCAAAAACTTAGACACGTTAGTTTTTCTCTTATCTCCTACTCCCCGATCGGCAGGTCACTCATGGCTAACAACCAACAAACAGCCCAACATAATTCCATGCTTGGGCTCGAGACACTTCCAGACTGACGTACCTGTCTTCTACACCGACCTGGCGGAAGGGGACATATTATATCTTTCTAAAACACAGACAATCCTATGGCCAAGTGGCCTTGGTCGAAGAATGATGCGCCAAATACTCGACGCGCTGGCATATCTTTCTGGGAACAATATGAGTCACGGGAGCATTGAACCAGCAAAGATCCTATATACCTACAGCAGGACGCAGAACAAGGCGGAGATCGACAAGTATGACTTCCAGCTATCACATTTCGGCATCTCCAAATATGCTGTGAAGCCACCCGCGCAGTTCCGGGCACCGGAGCTCTGGGACGACTACGACTCCTCGGACGACGACTCCTCGGACGACAACGAGCCTGTCGTGACAAAACGGGTGACACCGAAAACAGACGTGTGGTGTCTCCTTGCCGCATATGCTGCCACGCATCCGCGGACCGAGGGCGACCTCAAGCGGGTCAGCAGCTTGTCGGCCCTATGCCAGGTGATGGTGAGGGTCAGAAACCTGTGGCCGCTTTTTAACCCGATGGCCACTGAAGACCCCAAGCAACGAGCATCCGCAACTCAGATGATTCATTTTCTCGCCGGTCTTGAAGGCCCAGTTCAACCTCCTGTTGCCCCAGCCCCAGCTCCTCCATCGCTGGGAGCCGGAGGACCAACTGACGGCCCCGCGGATCCGGGAGGTCAGAAACTTGAGCAAGCCATCATTGGGTACAATCTGCGCAATCGCACAGTTACGCAACGTGCGGAGCAGAGAGCTCATGTCTCAGAAATACAGCGCCAAGGGGTGACCTGAGGAGCGCGTGGCTGCAGCCACTGTGCGAAACAGGATCCTGCTGAACCTGCAGTCCCTGCATACAGCCACGCCATCTCGGCGACACGCTGGCAAGCTGGGCAGCCAAGTGGGATGAGTGTGCCCATCGAGACCACTTGCAGTCAAGACGTGGCGATGCAAAGCACTCCTCACCCCATGCCGTAATTTTTAGGTCTCATTTAAGCTTGAATCCATTAGAGTGTTAGCGCCAAAATGTCTGTCCACTACAACAGGGCAGGGCACAAGACCAATTGCTTTTTGCTCATTTGCCCGCTCGGCTGGGAAGACTGGCCAAGAAAAGGAAGCGGCAGAGTTGCCGGCTTGGCTGGGCTGGGAAAGGGCTTGCAACGTCATGACGTTCTGGCACCCGCGCGTCTGCTACAGTATGTACGTGCCAAGATTTGCAGGCTAATTCTCCCGGTGGGCAAGGAAAAGAGCGGGTGAGGCGAGGTAGAGACGGCGGTTCTTGGCGGGGAGACGTGAGACAGGTAGCACGGCCCTGTCCGTTGGAGCTCTTTTTTTTTTTTCTCTTGTCCCGCCCTCTCAATGGGGCAGTCTGAATGTGCTGGAGTAGACGAGAAACGATGGTGAACAAGGAGCGACTTGCATCACCTCCCACCTTGCCAAGGGCAGGAAGAGCAGCCTAGGTCGGTCGGGATTGAGTCAACGATGGGCCAAGGCACGGCCGGTTCCTAGCGATGACCAAATGTTAGAGGTCTAGCCCTTTGTCTTGTCGACAAAATTTCCTCACGGCAGTGGCCATGTCTCTGCCTTGACGGCCTTCTTGGCGAGAATGCCCTCCAAGGTCAGCTGCCGCCTCCGCCTCCTGCACCTCCTACATCTCCCACGCCTACCGATGGTACCAGTGGCCCTCCTTCATGCTGCTTGGTGGCTCCTCGCCCCGTTTATCGTCTCCATGTTTTTTCTCTTCTGATCTGCAGTCACGCCTGTGCCGTGTATAAGAAGGCCCGCCCATTAAGCTCAGCCCGGGGTTGGAGCCATCTCCTTCGTCATCACCACCACCTTTGCGTTTTTCTTGCGCCGGGTTAAAGATACGGCAATCACTCCACTTCAATTACTCGACTGTCGCATCTCATACCAGATAGACATAAAGCAGAATTCACCATGACCAATACCATCCGCCAGGCCAAGCCCGACGAGCTGCCTGCCGTCGTCAAGTGCATCCTCGCCGCCATCAACAAGGAGCGCCTGTGGACAAACTTTGTCCCAGCCAAGGGCGGCCAGGACGAGAGTTACCTCGCCGAGATCGAGAACCTCCTCAAGGAGCACCTCGACCCCTCCAACAAGGACTGGGTCATCGAGGTCGTCGACCTGGCAAAGAAGGGCGCCCCGGCACAGATCGTCGCCGTCGCCGTGTGGGACATGTCCGCCGCCTCAGAGGAGGACAAGAAAGGTACATACATAGCCAAGCACCCTTCCAACCAGACCAGACCGGCAATGCTGACAGAGACTACAGCCCAGCAGCCGCAGACGGCCATCAAGGACGACCGGCTGCGCGCGTACATCGAGGTCCTGCGCAAGGCCCGCGCCGACGTCTTCAGCCGCTACCCCCAGCACACGTACCTCCAGCTGCTGGCCACGCACCCCGACCACCAGAACCGCGGGTACGGCAAGGACCTGGTGCACTCGTACATGGCCAAGGCCAAGCAGAAGGGCGGCGTGCTCACCGCGCTCGGCGGGCCCTTTGGCTACATCTTCTTCTCCGGGCTGGGCTTCCACGACCTCGGCCCCGTCGAGCTGCCGCCCAGCAGCGCCACGGACGCGCAGATGGTCAAGGCCCTGAGTCTGGTCGTCAACCAGGAGGAGAGGCGGAGGTCCATTGTCGACTCGCTCATCAACTACATCTCTAGCTAGGACGGGATGTATCTGATAGTCACTCTGTTTTCTTTCTCTTTCACTCTCATCGCTTTCAATATACGTCGGTCGGCAGATGGATATTGTATCTGGTCGTTCTGGCTATTAGATATGTGCCTGGAAGTGGGCGGGGGATGCCCATGACGATTCTACGACGATGCTTTGCTTGGTCTGACTTTTATTCATACCCTCACGTTCTTGGTTAAACTACAGCTGTCTTCTTAGCGAAAGAAGGCCACAATAAAAAATCATACCACATCAATCGCAACCCCTCGTCCGCCTAGCTCATCAGAATCCATCCATCGCGACAAGCTCCAGCCCCTCTTCCCCAGATGACGTAGCCAGCTTGCAGGGGTGCGCAGCTTGTGCTCTTGGCGCGTTTATGCATTTCGCGGCCGTTTGGGAGCAACGCCGGCGATTTCCGTCCCTCCATCACTGAGACATGGCGGGGCAAGACAACGGCTGGTGATAGATCACGGCCTGTTCCCCATCGCGGAGTCGCTCCATGTAGGTAATTTGCTGAGCTGAGTGAAAGCTATCTTGCAGTTCATCGCAGAATGGTCCCAGAATTGGAAAACTTACGGATTCGCAGTCCAAATAGCCCGAGATCAGCAATATCCCTGCCTGATTCTGGGGCTGATGTCACAGACCTGCTTCAGTGGGAAGCTCTCAATGTCGAGTGAAGGGCGCAACAAAGGAGAAAAACGCCCAACTGTCGCCTTGGTGAATGTCAACATGCGAGCAATCCATATTCATCTAGCAGACCTTCAATCGCAACATGGCATCCCAGACAACAACCAAATCCGAGCTTGAGCAAGCCTTCCTCTCGTTCGTGGCCGGCATCAAGCGGCATGACGAGAAGGCCATCTCCGCGCTCCTCGCCGCAGACCTCAATCACAATGGCCAGCAGGTCGGAAAGCAGGAGTACCTAGACGAGCTGCTCAAGGCCACGGCCGGCACGCAAGACATCGTCGTCGACATGCTCATTGTGAGCAGCCAAAGGCCCGCCGTGGCAGCCAGGCTCATCCACCACTCCGACCAAGGCCACCAACAACACCCAGAATACGTCTTCGTTCACTTCTCCCCCCAGCCATCCCTCCAGATCACCAGCATACGTTCGCTGGCCGACGAGGCATCGTCCTCCCCCATCGCCCTCTCCCCCTCAGCACCGACACCGGAGGATACCACCGCCGTGAAGGACCTCCCGTCCTTTTACACCGACTACATCGCCTCCATCAACACCCACACCATGGAGAAGGACTTCCCCCGCTTCTGCCAGCCCAATCTCACGCACAACACCCGGAGCCTCGACATCCCCAGCTACATCCACCTCATCGAGTCCTCGTTCGAGGACATCCGCGGCCTGCACTTCAACGTCGTCGACCTCGTCGCCGACGAGGCCAAGCAGCAGGTCGCCTCGCGGATCGAGTTCACCGGCCGGCCTGTGCGCCCGTTCCGCGGCGTCGAGCCGGGGGCCAACGGGGAGGAGGTCAAGTTCCACGAGCACGCGTTCTACTTCCTCGAGGGGGGCAGGATCGTGAGGGTGTGGTCCGTGTTGGACATGGATGCCTACAAGAAATGTCTAGGTCGGTCGTAGATTTTGCCCCCTTACATATACAAGAGTTTATATAGAGGAAAAAGAAAAACGCATTCTGTTTTGGTTTCGACTAATCAATGTGAACATTTTCCTGTAATTTCTACCAGATGATGTGCTGTATAGCCTATACCAAGGTCTCGCAACGCCATAAAAACACGTCTAACAAACCGTCGCCCTTTTTGCCCCATCTCCATTGCCGAAGAAGAAAAAAACCCAAAAAAATATGCTGTAAAATATCGAATCATGCAGCGCCTATCCAAGACACAAGCCCACCGTTACGAAAACATATCCCAAACCAGGTGGCCGAGCATCACGAACAGCACCCCTATACCCGCGCAGCCCGCCTCGGTCGCGTCGCCTCCCCAGGCGCCCCAGCCGGCATACCCCAATCCCGCCAGCTCGGTGCCGGCGACGACGAGGCCAGCCGCCGCTCTGCCCCTGCAGGCGTAGATCCCCACGGCGGACGCGAGGCCGAGCAGACCGAGCTGGATCTCACACACGTGCGCAACGGGCATCGTCAGCATGAGCAGCCACACCACCACGATGCCGCCAATAACGATAATCTCCACAGCCGTTCTCTGCTGCCGCTGGGTTTCGGAGCGGAGGGCGGCAAGCCTTTCGGATTGCGTCCCCTCGCCCGGATCCAGCTCCGTCTCCCCCGAGCCGAGGCTGAAGCTCTGGCCGAGCATATCAGCCAAGCTGTTGGTCTCGTCGCTCTCCTTTCCGGGAGCAAAGAACTTGGGCTGGTTGAACGTCACACCCCCGTCGCGAGACCCGCCCTTCAGCTTGTCGCCTCGCTTAGCGGCAGCCCCGCGGAAGAAGATGTTCTCCCCCGTCTCCTTTGGTTTCGCGATGAGCGCCGGTTGGTTCGGCGGGTTTCGTAGTTTGTGGGCTGGGTTGAGTGGTGCAGGCGGCACCTTGTACCAGAACGCACCGCTGTCGGTGTTTGTAGGCGCCTGCCCGAAGGTCCTCAGAGAGCTCGTAGGCCCCTGGCCGAAACCTCTTACTGCAGGCGTGGGTGACCCTTGAAGCGCCCGAGGTGGTGACGACTCCACTGTTGGTGTCCAGTCCATCTCATCACTGGCATCGTAAGCTTGCGTGTTGGGGGTTCCGAATTGTTGAGAGGCAGCACTTCGGAAGCGGCTGGAGGAGGGAAAGGGGCTCTGTGGCTGCATAGGTGCCGGTGTAACTTGGGGCGAGTATATAATGGGCTTCCTCGTTGGTGTCGTATTTGGAGAATCCAATGCTTCGTTGAGCATTTCTGCAAATCCCTTGGGTTCAGAAGCTCTCTGCTGAACCAGCGGAGCATCTGGCCTGGGTGGGCTGACGGGAGCCCTCCCTCCAAAGAGAGGCGTGGTGTCTACCTTGATGGCACGGAGCGCCAGGGTGTAAAGCTATCGCTGGTTAGTCTCGAACATACCTATAAATAAACTGTCCAACACAAAGGAAAACCTACCAGTGACATGGCAGCAGCCATGATCAGATGCGCACTGAGCTGGGCGTTTTTCGGCTGCCCGTCCAAACCCACCAGGTTGATCACGCCCAGACGAAATGCAACAATGAGCAGCTGGAAACAGTACCATTGTCTCAACCCTAGCAAATGCCTGGTGAATCCACGGACCACCTTAACGAGCTGTGGATTCCACCATGCAACAAAGAGCCCCGCCCAAAGACTAAACCGTAACAAAGCCTGATCTGGTGGCAGCATGTTGAGGGCTCGCCCCGTCAGAGATTGCCATCCCCCTTCGTCCTCCGGGTCCGACATGCCGCTCTCGCTGTCCTTTTGACTAATGATGATCTCCATGAGGCCCTTGAGGTGCCAGCTCATCTGTAAGAGGAACCCTCCCCACCATATCAACCGGCCGACGTAGTGTACCCAGTCTAGCTTGGAGGTTCGATTTGTTCGCAGCCGCGACTGTCGGCTCAAATCCATCATCTTCCGCAGATGGTCCGTCTTGGCCGTGTATCCGGCCTTGTCGATTGCCGAGTTGACCCTGACCTCGCATTGCTCGCAGACCTGGGGGTATCGCTTTTCCAAGCCCCGTCGAAACTTGTAGTAGTCGCGCTCGAGCTCCTCGTTGTCGGGGTCGTCCGAGTCTTCGGGTAGATACTGGGCCAACGACGCCGTGAACAAGTGCTGGTTCTTCAGGCATGTGGAGCAGAAGATGTTCTCCGTGCGCGGCGATGATTGTCGTGCCGTCGTGTGCTGTACGCCGGGGTGTGATTCTTGCACCATTGCGACGGGGGGATCCGTGATCTCTCCATTCTACAGAACTGGTGTCAGTAAGAGGCTCGCTATCGCCTTGCAGGTTCCCCTTTACGTACCTCGTCTAAGTAGTTGGTCGCATCGCAGTTGGGGCAGTCGAACTCGGTAGTGATGCCATCGAAGCGAGTTGTTGACCTCTTGCCGCAGTAGAAGCAGCTGAGGTATCTACCGGCCCGCCGGCGCATGCTTCCGCCTAAACACCAAAATGCGCGCTATATACTGTAGGGCTGAAGGAACAGATGATTCTGAGCTGGGCAGAGAAAGCTGGCATGTGTTGTAGGATCGTCGTTGTACCCGCCGTGGTCGTGGTCGTGTGCTTGGAGGTTTGTTTGTATGCAGGCGAATGTAAAGAGGCCAATGCAGGAAATTCAACAATGACGGAGCGGAACCGTTCCAGGGGCTTCTCCAGTGCGCTGGCTCCACTAATGGCCAGCAGTCCAGGGCCTGTGCGTGCCGAGCGGCCTGGGGAGGCGCCCGGGATTAGTGGGTCCACATTCACGCCTGCCTTGAATCCATTTGATGGACGAAATCAAATGCATCATTCTCCCACGACTGTATCTGATGCACCGAATTCCCGTCCAGCTCAACCCCAACCCGACATGTTGTAGCCGCTGCTGCATTCGAGACGACACGCCGTCTCAACACTCTCAATCCCATCCAGGCGGTCCCCCAAAGATGCAGCCACCATGACGCCGCCTCTCTGCCTCACCATTCGCTTCTCCAACTCCCTCCCTGATCTCAACCTCGACATCCCGTCCCCCGAATCAACCACCATTCTCGGCCTCAAGCGCCTCCTCCGCTCCAAGATCGACTCCCGCAACCGCCTCCGCCTCATCTACCAGGGTCGCCTCCTCGCCGACTCCTCCGCCCTCTCGTCCGTGCTCAAGCCGCCCCTACAGCCACCTCCCACCCCAAACCAGGACCACCATGACCCCAAGGGCAAAGGCAAGGCCAAGGCCGACGACAACGACGCCCTCTCCCCACCTCTGCGCATCTACGTCATCTGCTCCATCGCCGACGACGAGCTCTCCCAGCCCGAGCTAGACGCCGAGGCCGCCGCCGCCGACCTGCCCCCCGCCCTCGACCAGGACGGTCTCCTCTCAAGCAGCGCCCAGCAGAAACCGTCCACCCGCCCCCGTCCCCGCGGCTTCGACCGCCTCCTCACCTCGGGCTTCACCTCGTCCGAGATCTCCACCCTCCGCACGCAGTTCGCCTCCATCCACGCGGACCGCTACCCTCCCGACGCGCCCCCCTCGCCCGACACCCTCCGCGGGCTCGAGGACTCGTGGATCGACTCCAACGCCTTCGGCCAGGGCCTCGCCACCACCGCGGGCGGCGGGGAGGATGCCTCGGGGCTGGGCCAGGGGATAGACGACATCTTCATCCGAGCCATGATGATCGGCTTCTTCTGGCCGCTCGGCAGCCTGACCTGGCTCCTAAGGCAGGAGGGGCTCTGGAACGACAAGTGGCAGATCTTCGTCGCCGCGGGGGCCGTGCTGAGCCTGCTCGTCGGCACCATCGTGAGCATATCCGGGGGTCGGCCGTGATTTAAAACAAGCCGCTGTTGAGGGACGCAAAATATACACTTATTAGATTCATGGGGTTAACGTCCGGTCTCTTGGGTTGTGCTCTGCTTTGCATCACGACAAAAGCATTCTCCTAGCATGAGACATGATCATTACTTTTTCTGGGGCGGGGCTTTGTACAATAGAGTTTAAACATCAGCACGGCGTTTGAGGACACAGAAACGGAACAAATATACACTCATACTCATAGCTCACATTAAGATTATCACATTGAGAGTACATGCTCTTACATCAAGAGGGTATAGCAAAACTATCAGCATCGCGCTTCAAGAATTTCTTTTGTGATCCAGGGAAATATATAGGCCGTCCTTAATCCCCTATTCTCCCTTTGCTCCCAATGCTCCATAACACCTCAAACCGATGATTGCGAACAGCAAAGATGGCGTGCTGTACTCTGGCAGAAAAAGACCCCCACACACAAGTATATATACTATATAGTCTAAACAATCAAGAACGTAAAACGGGCGGGTGCGTCGGGAATTAGAGGTACAGACTCTGCGCGGCGACAATGTCCCTGCGAATCTTGGACAGACTCTCCTCGAACTTCTTGGTGAGGTCGTCGTTGCCCATTACCTTGGCAGCCTCGCCCATCTGGCGCAGCAGTTCCTCCAGGCGGCGGAAGAGGCGGATCAGAGAACCTTCGTATATATTGGTCATTTTGCTGCGAAGCCGTGTTAGTTCGAACGTCTGCTGGGATAAGGGTGTGCTAGAAAAAAAAACTTACCAGATCTCGGAGAACGGCCGCCCTTGTGCCCAAGCAAGGACTGTCTCCATGAGCTCCCACTTGAGCTTCTTCACATAGTCGTCCTCGTTCACATCCAGCTTGCATTCCTGGCTGACCTTGGCGACAATGCGCGCCTTGGCCTGGATCTCACGATAGGGCTTCTGCAGCGTCTCCTTGAGAGCACTGCTTTCAACCTTCTCGTCGAAGATGAAGACACTTAACGTGGCAGCGCACATCTCGGGCGTCAGCTCGTTGAAGAATCTGTCAAAGAGAAGCTCGGAGAGAAGCAATTCGTGGCCCTCGGTGGAGGAGATCTCGCAGGCGACTCGGGCCTTCAGCTGAACAACTTCGGAGTCGTTGATGAATCCCAGGCGACGGAGAACACGCTTGCGAGACTTGAGCTCGTCCATTTGGGCGATGCTGTGGGCCTTTGCGATCGACTTCTTCTTGTCCTTGACCTTCTCTGTAAGCTGGACCTTGTTGCTGTACTGGTCCCAAAGAGAAGGAAGGAGAGGAGACAGGTGCAGCGGGTTGGCGAGCAGTCTCGACTCCAGGACTTCGATTTTCCGCAGGAGCTTCTTGAACGACTCGTCGGTGATTTCCATGTTCTCCAAAGGGTCGAGAACCGGCATGCCATCAGGGAAACGGCGCTTCACCTCCTCGAGAGACTTTGAAACCAAGTCCTTGTTCTTGGGAGACGCTAGGCCGTCCTTTGGCATGAAGACACGGATCTGCCCAATGGCCTTGATACATGTCAGCAAGCAAGGGACGACTTCGTACGTCAGGTCGTCTTCACTTCCAGCGGGAGACACTCCGGGGGCCATATCCCCGCTGGGCTGGCCGGGAACGATATCGGAACTTGACTTTGAAACCGCAATCAGAACGTCAATCACGTACGACTCCTGGGGAGGATAATCTGGTTCTCCCATCTTTGGAGCGTGTCGGGGGACACAGTTCGCAATCACTCCCCACCCGAAATCCAAACCACCAGCGACACCGTTGGGTGATTCTTTGGGGTTGAAGATCTGAATCGTACGGCCGGGTTGCAGGTAGGATATGCAATGAGTTGGATGTTGGATGACGGCTCTCATATCGGCAGTGTACGTGTTAAGAGATTGCCGGATCTGATAGTAGTCCTTAACTGTGGCTTCATCTGGGATGGTCAGGCTATCACGCTCCTGCTGAAGCGACATCAGCTCCTTCTCTAGTGCCGGTACGCTTGCAGCATTTTGGAACTGATAGAAACATCTCTCAAGCATAAATTCGGGCGAGATGGCTTCGATTCTCAAAAGGTTGAGAATCATGTTGTAGCCTAGGTAGAACGCCGAGTTCAGCTTGTCCTGCTGTCCCATGACAATCTCTTTGGCCGTCTCGGGCTCAAGCTTGTCATCAACCATCATGATAACCAAACCACGAGCATCCAGACCACGACGTCCAGCACGACCGGCCATCTGGATGTATTCGGACGAGGTGAGTGGTCGGTTCTTGATGCCATCCCACTTGGTGAGTTGCGTAAACACGACCGTCTTGGCAGGCATATTCAAACCGATAGAGAAGGTTTCGGTAGCGAAGAGGACCTTAATGAGAGATTCTTGGAACAGAATCTCGATAGTCTCTTTCAGGATTGGCAAAAGACCAGAGTGATGGACTCCGATACCTTTCTCCAATAGAGGCAAGAGGTTGCCGATCTGGGGGAGGTCACGGTCCTGCTCTGACAAGCTTTCGATGGCGCTGGTGAATACCTTCTTAACCATGGCCTTCTCCGAATCGTCGTTGAAGGACAGTCCAGTGATACTCATAGCCATGTTCTCGCATTCACGCTTGCTGAAGTTGAAGACAATAACAGGGTTGTAGTTCTTCTTGATCGTCATCCTGATAAGCTTGTTCATGTCGCTACCGTCATCACGGCCACCCTTGTTGGTCTTCTTATTCTTGCCCTTGCCCTTGAGCTTCGCTTTGGGATCATTGGACTCAGATCCCTTTCTCTCTTCCACTTCCTGCATGACCTGGTTGAAGTTGGCTTCGTTGAAGTTACCCTTTTCGTCAACCACAATTCTCGCTCCCTTTCCACCACAGGGGAAGAAGTAGTTTTGGAGGGGCGTCGGTCGGAAATCGGTATAAACGACGTGACACGCTTGATGATGAATCTTGGCAATCCACTCGGCGAACTGGAAAGCATTTGGAATAGTGGCAGACAGAAACACGTAGCGCACCTTATCGGGCAACATGATAATCGTCTCCTCCCAGACAACGCCGCGGATCTTATCACGCATGTAATGGATCTCGTCGAATACCACCCACGCCACTTCCCGCATAATCTCCGAACCACGGTAAAGCATAGATCTCAAAATCTCAGTGGTCATAACCAAGCAACTAGCTGTGGGGTTAATCGTGACATCGCCGGTCATCAGACCAACGTCACCGAAAATGCTTTCGAAATCACGGTATTTCTGGTTACTCAAGGCCTTGATGGGACTCGTGTAGATGACTCGCTGGTTGCGCTTCAGACACTGCGCGATAGCATACTCGGCAACAACAGTTTTTCCAGCACTGGTATGCGCCGAGACCAGGATACTCTCCTCTCGCTCTATCGATGCAACTGAAAGGCTCTGGAAGGGATCGAGCTTGAACTTCCACGTTCGCGCGGGCTCGGCGGGCGACTTGTGCTCGGAGAGGGGGACATACTCGTAGTCCAGGTCGGGCGGCAGCGCGACCTGATGCTGGATGTTGTGTGACAGCACCAGGGAAGAGTCCTGGGGGACAAAGGTCGCCGCGGCCGCGACTTCTCGCGACTCGGCAGTCTGGAAGGTATCGGTCAACACGGGAGCCGCCCCATCCTCCTTCTTCCGTCGCTTCTTGTCCTGCTGGCTGGGCGTGTCGGAGTCCTCCTCGGACTCGTCGTCGTTTGACGTCGTCTCGGTCGTTGCGTCGGCCATCTCGGCCTCCGCGCCGTCGGTGGCTGCCTTTTTGTGCCCATCGCCATTCATGGCCTCGTCGACTTTTCTCTTCTTGCTCTCCTTGCTCCGGTGGGGGAGGTGCTCCTCCTCACTCTCAGTTCTGGGGCCGCCGTCCCCATTGAACACGTCGAACAGCTCATCCATGCCGACAGATTTCGGTGGCTGGCGCTCAGCTCAGCTCTCGACCAGAAACAATGGAGGCGCTCCGCGAAATGGTCCAACAACACCAAGGGCAATCACGCGTGCCCGTCAGATAAAAAATATGGTAGGTAAAGAGGGTGGTGTCGGGAGACGAAACTAATTCAAGCGATGCGTCCCGGTGCAGCTTGTTCGCTAGCATTGGCCTAAAAATCAAGCCGGCGAAGTTTTGTCTCCCTGAGTGTTGCAGTTGCCTCGATCCCGATCTTGAGTGTGCATCGGTGCTCGGCAGCCCAAAAAAAAAAGTTGGAAAGTGGGCCGTTGTGGCAGAAAGTCGATGAGAGCCCCGCCGCTCATTCGAAGGCGGTGACGCCACACTTCCCACCAGCCACATGCGCGAACCAACGGCGCATTTCAAAACACATGGGACCATTTCTCGATTCACATGACTCAGCACGTGACATTCTCTCCGCCAAGCTTTTGTCATTGAGGATCCTCTCTCCGTCTACTTACCTGACCGAGGATATCACACCACTTTGCAACCAGCAAAAGCTTCAACTCACCCGCATCCCGTCGTCGCAAAGCCGCAATCAAGGTCCGCACACCTCGCCCGTACGCCCTCGAGCCCAATTGCAAAGCTAATTGAACAACCCGCAGATGCTGTCCCGCGCCGCCGCCCGCACCACCACCCAGCTGGTCTCCAAGCGAGGATTCCACGCAACCCGAGCCCGCCTCTCCTCGCCCTACCACTACCCCGAGGGTCCCTACTCCAACCTGCCCTTCAACCCTCGCAGCAAGTGGTTCGGCGCCGGCTACTGGACCTTCATGGCCGCTGGCTTCTTCGCCCCCTTTGGCATTGCTGGTGCGTTCCTCCCTCCGTTGCTCCGAAATATTTTCGTCGTGGTATGAGAGTGAGACGATTGCTAACGGGTCGTGATGATAGTCTGGCAAACCTACAAGCCCCAATAAGCTTGCGGCGTCGATAATGATTGCGGTACATCGCAATTGGCAGCTCAGGATGGATTATCAGCGGGTTGCTGTGTACAATACGTAGATAGCCATCACCAACGGTCACATCAAATACTTCCATTTGTCCTTAGCACCGTGGGCCACCCCCCATCATCGTGAATTGCATGTCAATTGATTGATTTGATTGATACACGCCGGCAGCTTCAATGCATTCCCGGCCTCTTTCCCAAGCTATGAGCGTTGCTTGGTGTTATACAGCACTACATAATGTATATATATACACCCAATAATTACATAATGTTCGTTGCGTCATATGCCTATCGCTTTGTTTTGGTACACCTGATGCAAAGTATCCCGGTTCTTCTTCTTCGACTTCAGATCCGAGCCGTCAAGAATGTTGGTGAGCAGATCATGAAGAAAATCGCGGCGCTGGGGGGCAATATCCCATCGCCTCTTCAGGTTGTCGAATGCGTTTTGGACATCCCCGTCGGTGGAGCACTTCCGGACCGCTCGCAGCGCCCATATTACCAACCAGCTGTCAATGCGGAAACCACGAACGCGACAGTCCCGTGCGTTGTACAATGCCGACAAGACACCATTCAGGCGCTGCACAGTCCATGCGGTGTCCCGACCTGGGCCGCCATGGACATAGAACCCCTTGAAAAGAGCTAGGAATATGGTCGGGTGCACGGGAATCCGCAAATACTCCATCTCGTCAAGGTATCTGGCGACCTTCCGTAGGTCGCCCGCACTGATAGCAAAATGCTCGACCATAAGGCGATACGTCCGGATATCTGGGCTAAGCCACATGTTGGTCTGAGATGATTTCACCATTTCAGGGTGGTCCTTCCCCAATTTGGCAAACATGAGAAAGGCCTGGGTGAGGACCTTTTCCACGCGATAATCCTTCTCTGGTAGCTTCCTGCCCGCAGGGGTGTTGTCCATCATGCGCCTATATGTCTGCTCGGCTGCCTCGACCTCGCCGCAGCGCAAGAACCCAGAAATGACACAGTTCAATGCCACAGTGTCAATGACTTCACCCGACTCAACCATCTCCTTGTACGCAGCCCTGATGCCATCAGAATCCAGTCTGAGGCCAAAGTAATATATGAGACTGACGTGGTGGAAGCGGTTGAATTGAATTCCCCGCTTCTCCATTTCTCCGAATATCAACTCGGCGAGTGTGAAGTTCCCGAGCTTCGACGCGGCGTCAAATAAAATGTTGAACGTGACCTCGTTCGTGTTTTCACCCAGCTCCCGCTCCATTCGTTTCCAGAGACCCATGGCAGAATCAAAATGGTCCACACGTTTTCCAGCATGTTTCGTAGCCAGAGACAATGCGAAATTCCATTGCGATGGCCTTATAGTGAGACCTGCCTTGGTAACATCGGCCATGAGCTCAAAGTACCGTAGCATAGCGCTCAGATCTCGCTTCGGCGGCCGGGCCATAACCAATAACAGCTTGTCTCGCCACCGCGCAGAGAAATTCAGCATCCGGGGTTCCGGAAGTTTCATATAATGGTCAAAAATAGTACCGAGACTGATTCGATGAGGGTGTCGGACTCGGAAGCCAATGGCGCCGCATAGCCTAGAATTCAACGTTTTGAGCTCATCATTGGGGGTGTAGATCTGGTCTTGGGATGGGTAGTCCACATCGAGCTTCGCATCTGAAATTTTTATGGTCGGGGAATCAGGTATTGCATATCCACTTCGATAGGTATCTCGATAAAAGTCGAGATGCTCCCTCACAGTACCCTCGGGCTCTCCATCAACATAGGACCGCAGCTTTTGTCTGTCCTCCAAAGACAAGTGCGGTACAGACCGGCGCGAGTCGCTCGATACCGCCACCGCCGCCGTGCTATAGGCCTGTCTGACATGTCGCTTCCGGGCTATCGACAAAGCCTGTCGGGGCTCGGGGTTGGGGAAGAAGGTTGAGCCGAGCCATTGAGAGGTTCGGGAGCAGAAGAATGAGTTGCCATGTTCGGTCTTGTTCGAGCCGGCTTGGGTGCTGTTTGGTTTGTCTCTGGAGCTGCAGAGCTGCCTCCGCCCGGAAGCAAGAACCCCCCTGAGACTCGACGAGGAACGGCTTGAGAAGACCGCACCACAGACGGAGCCATCCACGCGAGCGGAGATTTTCATGGGCTCTTCCTCATGATGTTGCTGCTTCCTGCAGGAAAAAAGATCGTGTGGGCGCCGGAAAAGAGGATCGGGGTTGGAGAGAAGCTCGAGATCGAACCGTACTACCGCGTGCAGAGACCGAGTAGTGGATGCACAATGGATTGTCGGCCTGGCTCCAATGCGTGCAATTCTTTGGAGGTCATGGATTTGATTTTTGGCCGTCGATCTACAGGGGTGGCGCCCGCCGGTACTGTCTCCGTGCTGGTGCTAACTTCTCAGTCCCCGTTGGCTGGATTAGATGGAGCCTCCAGACACCACCTCACTCGCCCCGGCCATACGATTCGCCGAGCTAGCCCAAAATTTCCCAAGCCTGAGCATCCATCACCACTTTCGAGGTCGAATTATCAGACGAGCAGGACGACCCGACTCCCCGCCACTTTACAAGCTCAATTGGTCACGGAGGATCCGTCAGTAACGCCCACGATACCTTCCGCACTCTAGGACCCAGCTAATTTCCTCCTCCAGACTCGGTGGTCATGGGTGTCAAGCAGATCCGGCCCGCAAGGGTCTACAAGGCCGCCGAAAACGAACTGCGCAACAGAATCCTCCAGAACAAGCCCATCCCCACGCCGCCTTGGTTCGAAGTCGTAAACTCCGTCCCCCCCTCCGAGAACACAGTACGGACAGTCGCTCTGCGCCACCGCGCCCCCAGCAAGAAGGCCACCAAGCCCCGAAACCTCTACCGACCCCAGCAGATCACGTACCCCGAGGACAGCCTCCGCAGCACCTTCTACAAAGACCATCCCTGGGAGCTGGCGAGGCCGCGGAATATCGTCGAGACGGACGGCAGGGACGCGCAGCGCTATGACTGGAGCCGTGGGCTGCGACAGCGCGGCATGCAGCTGTCAGGTGAAAGGTGAGCCGATTAGGAACAATTTTTCAAAGATCAGGGAGGGAGAAACTGACAAACTGTTTTCCAAATAGCGTTGTACAGCGCCAGCTCTGGCTGATGGAAAACCAGCAAATGGGCCGCGAGAAGGCATATGACCAAGCTCGCCGCGAGTTCTACCGCCTGCGACAGGAGGAGGAGATTGAGAGGCGAGTAGCGTTGGAGGAAGCGAAATATGTCGGTGCCTACTTTGGCAAATCAAGACTCGACGTGGGTCTCCAGCTTGAGAACGCCGAGTACGAGAAGTGGAAGGTCTGGGCCGCCAAGGAGTCCGAGAGGCGGGAGGCGCTACTTCAGGAGAGCAGGGCCGCCGACTTTGAGGATGAGGATGCTGATGTCGAGGCTCTCGAGACGCCGGGAGCTGCAACTGAATCATTAGGAGCAGCAGAGAGCCGATGAACCATGTTTATTTGATGTATACACCATGTATAACTATGTACAAGAACTGCATTGTGGGATGAATACTCCTGCTATTCCCGGATTCATGAAGACGCCCCAATCGCCGATCCCATGGGACGACGCTTGTAGTTGAATACGAGAGGGCCAGCATTGCTCACGCCGTAGCGCTTTGCGACCTCCTCATGCTGGACTGCGAAAGCATCCGCGATCCCAGTGAAGTGAAATAGCTTGCCGGTTAAGCTAAGCGAGGTGATGCGTGCCCATGATTCAATGTAGATAAAGAGGCATTTGTCCTCAGGGATGATGTAGATGACCTTCAAGACGTGCACAGCCAAGCCAACAAAGAATCCAGTAGCCGGCCCGTTGGAGAAGATGAGTCGAGGGAAACGCAGTGTGTTGCCCACATCGTTGGCGGGAGGTGACAGCAGAACCTGGAAAATTCCGTACAGGCTGACCAAAGCGGAGAATGGAGTGGTCAGAAGGGATTGGTGAACACGCCGAGCTCGGGCAACAACCTTCGTATCGTATGTCCCAGGTGACTGGCCCTCCTTCTCGCAGAGAAGCTTGACATCGTTCTCAAAGTCTGTCAAATGATTCAAGGACATGGAGTCGCCACTCGAGATGAGATAACGTCTGTGGAAGTTCTCGAAGTGGCAGAATCCGTCATCCATCATCATGAGCATTTCTTTTGTGTGCCCGCCGGATCCCAGGACGAAGAGATAATAGTCGTGGGGCTGCTCGCGGGTCTTGATCCTTTTGCGGCTATGCGACCATTGCACCTGTCGCCGGCGCCGCTGCTGCAACAATTGGAAATGCCGTATCTAGAAACGTTCAGCCACATTGCCCTAAGAGGTGGGATACTTGATGCCACTTGCGCTGAGAAATGATAGCAAGAGGGCGATGGTGAGTAAAGAGGATACAACAGGACCTGGAGCGAAGGGCTGAACAGCAATGAAGCCGACGGCAATACCCAGTCCCCCAAGCGTGATAAGAATAACTCTCGCGGCGGTAGCTTTATTTTTGGCTGCCATATTGGCTCTTTTGATAGGTCTCAGCGCTTCAATAATTTCTCAACCAACAAGTTGTAAGGAATGAGCTAGGAATGATTCTGGACACCTGTCTATCTGTGAATCGTCAGACGCCGTTGTAAAGCTGAAAGAGGGTAAGCATAGGGGAGAAAAGATAGGAGCTATTATACTGTAGGTCTGCATCGGGCTGCTCAATGAATAGCCGGACTTGACCATCACAATGCTTTGCACTAGGAAGCTGTTGTATTGAGGTTTAGGTTAGGCCTCGACATTGATGTGGAGGCAGGTGAGAACGACTACCAGTCACACTAACAAATAAGCAGCCTCAGCCCAACTTTTTGCCAAACCTCACCTCAAACTCAGACGTACAAAACTGACACAGAGGAAGGAGAGCCGTATTGAATTACATAAATTTACGTGACTACCTATCTCCAGTATTCCTATTTTATGCTTTTCTAGCCACTGCCATCCTTTTCTTTCACATGCAAATGCAATCAGCTCCCAAGGTATAAGGAGCAACAAGCCTCAGAAGAGTCGACGTCTTTTCTTCATTGTACCCCCATGAACCGCCAGATCAGCAGCAGCAGCCTCATTCATGCGCATTATCGTTCGCCTCGTAGCCTCTATCCCAACATCCTCAATCACCCTGTCCATCCCGTCCCCCGTCAGCGCAGAGCATTCCAGATACCCTTCTGCGCCAATCTGCCCAGCGTGCCAAGCAGCCTTGTAGTCAAAGTCAGCCAAGGAGAATAGAGCGAGCAAGCGTCAAGAAAAGGATAATACTCACATCAGCAGGGCACACGCAACACAGCGGAAACGGGGGGAACGAAGCAGGGGCGCGTGCCCTCCTCTCCTCTCTCTCCAGGAACCGCTGCTCCCGCAGGTCCTTCTTCATGCCCACGAGGTAGAGCATCGGCACAAACCTCTGGCTCTCGAGGAACCCATCCACGACGGCGTGATGCCACTATTATACCGCTTAGCTCTCTTCTCCCCTGTGCATCGCTTTCAAACAAGAAGACTCACCCAAGACATGATGCTAAACATGGAGATCTTGTCCATGGTGTCAAAGCAGAGGAATATGGCGTCCCACTTCATATACGACAGTGTCGTTACCGCGTTCAGGTCCGGCGCCCCAGAGGTGTCCTACAGCTCAATCGTGGCCGGCTGCGAGTCGTAAACCCGGTGGTTCTCGTACACTTCGTAGCAAGTTCTGTTGATCGCCGTCGCCTGTTTGATGCACCCTCGTGAGAAAAGCGTTTCTTCCAGAGGAAGGCCATGTCTTTATAAAAACAATCAAAGGAGGAAAAACTCACATCGGGGAAGTATCCATATCGAGAGCGACTGCCGCAGGTCAGTATCTAGAAACATCACACAAACAGCAGCCTACAATGAAACATACAACAACAAAGACGTCTGCCCAGAGTTCTTCGGCCCGACAAACAGGCAATTCAGGCGAATCGGTTCAGGCGCGATGAAAAACGGCTCCGGCGTCGTGCTTCTGGCCCTCTTCTCCTTGTACCCTCTGTGAAGCAGCCGCCGGAAGAAACCTCGCTTGCCGCTGCCAGGATGCTCGTCCCGCGCCGACCTTAGACCCAGGACCGTGGCTGGCCTCGCGGCCGCTGAGGCTTGGGTAGGTGTCGAGCTCCTCCCAAAGAGAGGCGTCGCAGCGCGAAAGAAGCTGAGACGCGTGGATGCTCTTCGGGAGGGCTCGGGATTCTGAGGCGGGTGGAATGACTGTTTGGTAGTGAAGGCGGAAACTGTTAGCTTCTTGGATCCAAGATCGGGATGTGAAAAGAATTGGTGATGAATTGGTGGAAATAATCATACGAGTTGCGTAGAAGGCCTCATTCCGAACGGGCCTTCAGCAAAAGGATCTTCCCGTTCGACTCGGTTGGGGATGAAGCGACGCCAAGATTCGATGAACCTAGCCTGTTCCTGCGAGAAGGGAGCCATTGAAAGCAAGCCTCGTCCGCATAGGTTAAAAAAAAAGCGAGATCGGTGTAGGAAGAAGTGTTCAAAGGTTCATTGAGGAAATAGATAAGAGTGAAACCAGGCAGCCGATGTGGAGGTCAAGTTCGAGGAAACGTGCTGGTCCGCTAACAGTTGGCCAGCACTGTTCACCTTCTCCTCACATTTCCAAGGCGCGTGCCCGTCTACTACTTCTGCATATGCAAGTACCTACATGTCATGTCATACATGTCATCACACTTCAGCCATGAGCGATATGTTAAGAGGCACACGAAAATGAGGCGTAACTGGGCCAGTGGGAAGGCCGCTATCATAACATTTTGTCTAACACTCTAAATCCCCAAATACCGTGTTCCATCCCAAACCATCCGTGATAAGACCAGAGAAGAAGAGTAAAAACTGCAAAAAACCTACCCGGAAATAAAGAGTCGAGGAGGTAGGGAAAAAAAAGTAGAAGTATGTTAAAAAGGGGGTAGAAGAGAAAAAGATCCCAAGAGACGAGGCAGGTGAGACTATCTAGCCATGGTCCCCAGGATCAGTATGCCATTGCGCCAAATTATAGCAAGGCTGCGTGTCCGCTATAAATGGCCAGACTAAATATGCAGTGAACTCCAAATCTTAAGAGGGGTATGAGCAATCATAAACATTGGGAAACTTGGAGGTCTCCAGGACCGTCCTTTACATCGCTAAACCCAAAACCAAAGCCGGCCTCCGTTTGCGCCAGAAACGAAGCCAAAATAACGAACGAAAATGACAAGAATAGCAAGAACAACGCCGAGAAGCTGTGTCGCAAGGTCGATCCAATGTTCGAAGGACCTCGCCATTCTTTGCAAAAGGCGATGATAGACATAATTTCCTGCTGGCTGAATGTAAAAAGTGAAACTTTCAAGCTGTTGGTGTTTACATGCTGACGGCGCCTTCGTAGTCGAAAAATTCGTCCTCGTCCCCGTATCCGTTGATATCGTCGTGTAGCCGACGGTGCTTCGGGTCCAATTCCTTTCTGACTTCCTTCTGAATCTGCAGAAAGTACCTTTTTAGGCTTTTGAGACCCTTCAGAAATCCGGCATCGGGCTCGTCAGGATGTTGCGGCGGACAAGCTTTATCCTGAACTCTGTCATAAGGAGTCAAGCTGTTCGCAAAGTCTGCAATTTTGAAATCGATTTCCCCTTTGTTTCTCTTATTATATCTTGTTATCTCTTCAGTGTCCGTCGGAACGTCTGTAAGAGATTCATATGCTGTGTCATAGTCCGCCGAATCCTCCGAGGCGCCATCGTAGAACATGAGAAGACTAGCGGCATAAAATCGGTAGCCCCGAAGGCCTTGAACAATTTGCTCAAGCTGCGCAAGCTTTCTCAAGACAACGGGGATGTGTCGCAAAATACTCTGAAGCTCATGACCATTGTAGAGGAAGTTTCGAAGGGTTGCCTTGAACTCGGCACCAGCCTTTAATCGACGCCCAAAGTACTTGTCCTGAAAGTCATACGATTCGCTTTGGGCATTCCAGACTTGAAGGCCGCAAATGCGCACGCCGAGCTCGGCAGATGTCGTTGTTCTGCATTTCTCCTGTTGCGACTTTTGCTTCTTGGGGCTGGCATCGACGCCATACTGCCGGGTGCCCATCTTCAAGTCCATCATGCAAGGTCTCTTCATTCCAGCCGTCAAATCCTCCAAGAGCAAAAAGTACTCGACTCTGTCTCTCTGCGTCTTGGCTTCCTTGGGGTTGACAGGACGAGGTACTCTCTTATACTCGTCTCCGGGGCTTGGCAAGTCGTAGACCGCTACATCCGAGGTCTCAGCGAAATCTGTCCTTGCCGTGGTATCAATACCGTGAGCCCCATTAGTGCTCGAGATGACGTCCCCGTTCTGCGGAGGGGTATGGTCCAACTCCCCAGCACCAATATCCTCATTGTCCCCCTTGTAGCCAGCGTCATCCGCCTCTTCGAAGTACTTGAGATCGCCTCTTGGTTCCTGGACATCCTTCGGCTTGCGACGGAGACCACCAGCAGAATACCGCCGTTTCTTCTTAGAAACGAGAGGTCTATCTCGAAGAATCTCGGGTTCTGGAGCACTGGTCCCGGTAAGATCCTTGACATCTCCTTCAGGTACCTGTTCACCATCCAAAAGTGCTGTATGAGAGCCGAGGTCGCTCTGCGTGTGTCCAAACAGTGTAGCTGTTGGCGATTTGGGAAGAGTACACCCATGGAGCAAGGGCTCCTCGCCATGAAAGTCTCTGTTCATGTTAGATTCTGAGTTTGACGAGCGCAGCAGCCGACGCAAAGTAGGTCGAGGGATTGACCGCTGATGCGGCGGGCGGTGTCTATGAACTTGTACTGGCTCCTTTAGGAAAGCATCGTTGAACACCTCGTTGCGTAGGCGCTTGTTGACAGTAGTAGCTCCCCAGCTATTTGGACGATCGTCCATCGGCGGCCTGGCCTGGACGGGGGGTGGCGTAGATGAACTGTCTGCCTTCATAGTAGAAATGCTTCGACGCCTGAAGTTATTCGGCAAAGGGGTGGGTTGTAGGAGGTTTCGCGGTAGAATATGCCTATTGTTATCAAAGGTCACAGTTGGGATTTGTACATTGGCGCCTGCGAGAGACTGGCTAACAACACGGCCATGCCCGCCTGCCCGTGCTACAGGATCAACATCCGGCTTCCTCTGCTCGTCAATAGCGTCTTTTACTTTCTTCCGCTCTGAAGCAGCTGCATCATCCTTCTTGGATGTACTCTTCCGGCGTGGTTGTTTTTGAAAAGTGACATTGAGGACGCCAATATATCTAGAAGGATCCGTTAGACACAAAATACCGTGAAACAGGGACAGAAGTAAGTCGGGTGAATGAAAAGCCTAAAATAGATAGCATGGTGATGGCGTACCTTGGTAAGAAGCGTAATAGATTACGGTGGTATCTCTCAATCGTTTCGTAAAATTCGTTTTCTCGATTGTTGAGTTGCTTGCAGACGGCTCTCTTCGAAAAGCGCCACAAGGTTGTGTGTCCTCCTACCTGGTGTTTATAAGGGATGAGCTGGATGGCCGAT